TCCTATTCGTTGAACTATTAATCCGGCGGGTCGATGCCATGCTTCCTTCCACAAAACCAGCACGGAGCCTTCGGAGCGTCGATTTTCTGAGACGCCGCACGAGTTTCGCCTTTTTCGCAGGCATATCCCCACGAGTTACAATGACACAAAGCCACTCCCACGTTCTGCTTTCTCCCCTCTCGGCTGCAACTCACCCAACGGCGTCGTACAAGCTTGTAACCAACCGCATCAAAGAGAAAGCCGACTCTGTTTCCAACAGTGTCATGTGAAATTCGCGTGTCGGAGCATGAGAATCTGGCTTCGTCAAAGGAGGCTGTGCGACATAGGGATGCGCGCCTGTCCTTAGACCTGATGTCGCAAATAGAAACAAGGCATGTGTCACGCTCGCATCCCTCTTCGTTCACATCGACCACACACCAACCACGCAAGTCACACCAGTACCACGCAAGTCCCTACTTTCAAAGTCAAGAGGCGGTAGTAATTCGTAAGACCGGATACGATTGATGAACTCAAGGTCCGAGGTCCGAGGACACTTTCTGAAGACTGTTGCAATCCAGGTCTTTCGCCTACTCTGTCGGAAGAAAGGCCGTACAAGATTTCACCCCGGACGTTAGCTGGATCAACGGCCGATGATAACCAAAAACGGAGATCGGTAGTTGGCCCTTTCGTGTACCTGTACGGACTCCGCACTCTGTCAGACTTGCCTGTGAGTGCAATTACGCCACCAATTTCGGCTCAGAGAAAGCCAAAGAAACCGGCCTGGCGTGGGTCAGATGTTTGGCGCGACAGCTTGGCGCTTTTGTCACAGCGCAGTGCCGGAAAAGGGGGCCCCGTTTCGATGCGTTGAGCTCAGCTCACTTGGGGAGCCTACACTAGACCCTTCTTTTTCTTTGCTCTGTAATTAGCAGACGAGATGCCGCCGTTGAACAAAAGTCGTCTTAGCAAGGCACACTTCCAACGACGGATACTGAAACAAAACCCAATTTGTCGTTGAGAACTCCAGATCTAACTTTTTTTCCCCTTCGTTTTTAGATCCCATTTTCTGCAGACAGGGCACCCTTCGTTGATTCCATTCGGCGGCCTGACAACTCTGGCAATGAGACATCATTGGTGTTGCAAGGTTGTTAGATATCTTCGCCTTCCCAAGTCGGAAACTTAGTTTGCAGCCATAGAGACTGAAATGACGTCGTCGCACGCGGGTTTACAATACGGGGAAAGGCACTCGCCACGCCATTATGCCCTCAGTCCCCGCGATCCTTGGGTAAGGTGTCGAATGTCTTTCTTTAGCAACATCCCGCCACAGCCCTGCAGCAGTCGTGTGTCGTGCTAATCGGAATACGAGGTCCCAACCAATCGTCTCGTTTCGAGAACGGCTGGGTTAGGTAGACAAGCTGCGGCGCCGATATTAGTAAAGAAGGAAGAGATTCCGGCAAAACGGAAACCACAACGCGAATCCTGGCTACTGGGAAAATGAAGAGGACGAGAGGCTCATATTTATCGCCTTACCGCGCAAGAGAAACTGCCTCGCATGTGCCCGCGGGCCAGTACGATGCAAGAAACACAATTGTTTAGACGTCATGCCATCTTACAGTGTCGCTTTTGGCGAACATTTTACAACATGCTTTGCGCCACTGTGCTGTTTTCTACAGCCCCAAAGCTACATGACGGCTTCGGCTCGTCCAAACCATCTTCGCTGTGCGTTTGTTGCGGGGAGGTATGGTATTCAAGAAAAAGGCCCTGCGGGAGGAGGCTGCGGCCTGGTGCGGAAGGGGGATCTTGGCATGCGACGGCTGTGAGATGAGCAAGTCTAGTCTTTCTCTCTTCTTCTACGATATTTCTTCACCTGTGTCAAACCCATTGTCTTCGACAGATCGCGACGGAGAACTAGGCATTCGCACATTGAAACAGCTATCCAAAACGGGACAGCAGGGACAGGTATTGCAATCAGCGAAACTGTTGACCTGGGAGACCCTGACTATCACAACTCAAAATGCGAGAGTACTCAGGAGGTGGTGATCCATACAGCCAATACAGATGTACCTGCGTGGTCCGCGGGAAACCCTCAAGTCTAACCCCTATTCACTAGTCTCCACGGGAATACAGCATACGTCGTGCTCATCTAACATACCCACGTTGTGGCACAAGGGACACGCGTCCCTGACGGAGAAGACGACGCTTGACGGCCGCGACAACGGCCAATATGCAACGCGAGCATACTTCTCGCCTCGCCAGCGGGTGAGGATGCAGAATGACGTGCCGACAAACTACATGAGGCAAACTAAGCGTTGCGCTAGATGCTCTTGTAGCTTTCCAGAAGGGAGGCGGGTGACGCGAGGGATTCCGGCTTTTGAAGCGCACATCAAGAAAAGGATGGCGGCAGGACCCGATGTGCAATGCGACAAAACCTGCTGAACTCTTCCTTACCATCCCTGGCGCTCTGGCCCTGCATTCACGCAATCACCAATCATGACGACGATGACCGCCGCTTCAAGTCGCTATGTCAGATTGTCATACTGTTCATCGCTTGGAGATTTCTCCCCCGGGCGGATATTACTGAATACTGGAGCCTCTCAGCCCCCTCTCGCTCGCCGTGGTCTAACGCGTTTGCTGTATGAGGAGTGGCAAGCCAAGAAATTGCAGGATGAAAATTAGTGCGACCCCTGGTCTCTAGTTGTCTTGGCGTGCATTCGAACCACTTTGCATGATCTCAAAGAACGGGAGAACGGCCCAAAACAAGGCATCAGAGCACAGCCAGCCCAGCTGGACACAACGGGCCTGGGAAGCGAGGATCTATGCGAAATGCGAAATGGCCACCGAAATGGCTGCCCCCAACGGCCAGCAAACGACGCTCTCATTTTCGTGTCTTTCTTTTTGTGTCCTGTCTCATTTCACTTACACTCTTGTGAGCCACAATGCCAAGACCACTATCACCCCAAACTCCACCACCACGACAGCACGGCACGCTCTCAATGTCCCAGCACACAGTCAGGAGACGGGCCAGGGTTTTAGGTCGCCTTACGCCTGGCAGCATTCAGGAGGTCAGAATTGGAGATTGGATTTTGTCTGTCGTCGTTCAGGCCAGCTCACGAGGCTGTGTCAATTGCTGGAGAAAGGGCACAATAACATCAGTGGCCCTAGAAGCCTAGTTGTCCCAGGGCCTCCAGATGGCCTAGGCCTTGGTATCCCGGCCCCAAGGTTGGTACAATGGGGCAACAAAAGCGTGGGGCGATCCCGATGCAGGTCCATCTGCCAGAAAACGCTAAAGGCGATGTTTTGCCGGCGTGTTTGACGGCGGTGGACCAGAAGCCAAGAAGGTGTCTGGGTGTACGACAAGATGAAAAAGTCAAGTGGCGGGCATGAAATGGACAACGATAAGAAAGACAACAGGGACTTGTTGCCTGTAGCGGCCCCGAAAGCCATGACAGGCCACTATGGCCGACACAAGACGCCGGCAAACAGACCAATCGTCTGCCCAAAGCCAGAAATGTAGGCATCAGAGGCGCCGACAACGCCCGCTAACTGGCACCTGTGATTCGAACCAGACAAACAAATGCCCCATAGGCTGAAAAGGTTGGACGTTAGCGGCTGGGCATGGAGCTTAGAACAGGGGAGACGTCGAGGAGTGGCCATTCTCCTTAGTGGCAGCGCGGCCGCCAGGACGACATATACGGCCAAAACGCACCGAAACACATGTCGCCTCTTTGACACCGACTCGACAGACGACGCTGTAGGAGAGGAGATAAATTGAATTGTATTCTGTACATCGCATCTTACTCCTGCACATGGTTGCTCGACAAAGGAAGTCACGATAGGACAAAGAAAGAGGAAAGAGCATATGGCGTAGGCTGATGTGGCTACAAACGCAGATGTTAAAGTTACGCGGACACAGTAAGATACCCGCCCACGGAAAGCGCTTGCGCGGCAAGAGCAGACCGTTGTATCTTAGGACCCTCTCTTGCCTCTTTCAGGTCGCTCTCTGACGACCGTCTTCACTGGGGCCCCAGTGTCCAGTTGCATGTCACTTGCCCCCTAGCCAAGCCTGCCACTGCCAATCAATCTATTCAGTCTCCTTTCCCTTGGTTTTTTTTTTTTTTTTTTTTATTTTTTTTAATTGTTGTTCATCTTGGTGTTCTGCCGATTGTCCCACCGTCATAGCTCTAGGTAGACTGGCAGGGGCGACCCGCAATGTATTTCGTAGACTTGGTCTCTTGCTCTTGCCTCTTTTGCTTTTACGGAGCACGCTTTCTCTTCTTCACACTTATCTGTCGACGTCCCGTCACTCCTTCCTGCCTGCTTCTTCTGTTCTTTCCTCTGTTCCCTTCTTCGTCGCCTCGTGCTTTCCCTCCTCCGCCTTTGTTCCTTCCCCGGTTTCCCCTCCATCTTCTTCTCCTTCCCCGACAGTCACTCGTTTCTGGTGTTGTTCTTGTCTTTCTCTTCATCCTTCTCTTCTTCTTCTTCTTCTTCTTCTTCTTCTTCTTCTTCTTCTTCTTCTTCTTCTTTCTCCTCGTCCCGTCACTTCTTCGCAGGCAGGTTTCTTTTTATGTGTTTTCTCGCCATTCCGATTTTATTTTCTAGCTTGGACTCGTATACGACACGCTCTCTTATTACGCCCAGTATCATCTCGCAAACACGACTTTACCTCTCTCACTCTATTGCTCGTTCGCTCTCTTTCGTGTCGACATCAGCTGGACGTCTTCTCTTGGCTTCTTGGTTCGACGTCATATCGACTGCATACGAGCATATGATACTCAAAGTGAAGCCGAACCGCCTTTGTATCTCCGGACCGACTAGCAGGCTTGTTCGCGTTTCGTATTCACCGTGTTACACTCTGTTTTCTCGACGAGTCAAGAAGGGCCGGAAGCGGATACGCACCTCTCTTTCTTTGCGGCCAGACCGGTTTCGAGTACCTTTTAACGACTACTTTGCGAACGGACACTGGGAGACGACTTTCTATTTTATTTTAGTTTTTTTGTTTTTGACAACCGTCGAATCAGCCCATCATGCCGATCGGAAAAGAAGGAAACGTAAAATGGGTGGACGTAAGTATCTCCGGCTCGTGGGCAAAGGAACAAACAGAAGAAACAAAGGAACAAAGAATCAAAAGCCATGACCAAGGGAGGACGCTCTGCTAACGACTACGCAAGGGCTTCCGTGGCTTGGCCTCGTCACTCGTGGTGCTCACACACTTGAGCCGCTCATTCGACCTGCTGCTCTTCGACATTACAGACAACGACAATGCAGCACCAAGAGTTGTGCAGTACCCCTTCATCCGCGTGCTCTTCCAGGGCCGCATCGGTGTCGCCGTCTTCGCCATGGTCACCGGCTACGTCTGCGCCCTCAAGCCCATCCGCCTCAGCCACCAGGGCCAGCAGGCCGCCGCCTTCAAGTCCATGGGCAAGTCCGCCCTGCGTCGTGTGCCCCGGCTGATCCTGCCGGCCGCCTTTGCCACCTTCTTGACCTGGCTCGCCTGCGAGCTGGGCGCCTACCACACCGCCGCCCACTGCGACAGCTGGTGGATCCGCGCGACGGGTCCTACGCCGATCCCGGACTTCTGGCGCGCCCTCCGGAGCTTGCTCAATAGCGTCATCGCAACCTGGACGCACGGCGGCAACGAGTACGACGCCAACCAGTGGACCCTGCTTCCGTTGCTCCTGGGCAGCTTCTGGGTCTACGTCTTTATGCTGGCCACGGCTCATGTGCGCCCGCGCTACCGCATGATGATGGCCATGGCCATGTGGTTGTACTTTATCCTGGCCAACGACCCGACCTTTGGCATGCAGTTCTTCTTCGGCGTCTTCTTGTCGGATCTCCAGAACCTCCCAAGTGCTAACAAGTTCTTGAACGACCATCCGCGTGCCACCCGCGTGCTCTCCCCCGCTTTCCTTGTCCTCGGCACCTTTGTCGCCTCGTACCCGGAGACGAACCCCGAACGCGTCGGCTGGTCGCGTAATCTCCACGCGGTCCTCGCCTTCGTCCTGCCCTACGGCTCCGACTACCCGCGCTATGCCTCTGGCCTCGGTGTCCAGCTCATTGCCCTTGGCCTGCACTTCTCCCCCAAGATGCGCGACGTTCTGTCGAACCGGGCCTTCCTGTGGCTGGGCAAGCAGTCCTTTGCCGTCTACCTGTTGCACGGCCCGCTCCTGCGCAGCGTCCTTGCCTGGATGCTGTACGGCTTCAAGACGCTGCCTGACACGCTCGATGCCGAGGGCCAGCCGCAGCACCACGAAACGCCCTTCCCGGGCATGATGCACCTCTATGTTTCGCTTGTTATGTGGATCCCGCTGAACTACTTTGCTGCTCATCTGTGGACGACCTACGTCGACCCGTACTGCGGCGAACTGACGGAGAGGTTTGTCCGCTACGTCCTTAACGAGGAGCAAGAGAAGCCGCAACCGCTCCTGCCGGCGTAGAGGCGCGGCAGCCGAGACGGGCGCGAGCCATACGAAGATGGAGACGGCGGTGCCGGACCAAACGCGGACCTCGACTGCCGGTCTTACACAACGGGTGAAGATGCCATTGAGCTGGACCGGTTGGACATCTTCTCCGACGCGGACAACGCGGACAGCGCGAACGATGTGGGCATGAGCAGCGCAAGAGAATAAGCTGCCACCATATACCCAGTACATTGACACCGCACACACCACACACCGAAACCACCCTCACCCTCCACACTACTCGACAGCATTATTGGTTCTCTCGCATTGGGGCGATAAAGAAGCATATGGCGTTTGGGTCTGCTTTTTCTCAATGGGCATTTTCTTTTCTCGTTTGTACTTTATCCCTTCCTGTTCTCTTTTGTTTCATTTCTGTCGTCACTTTTTCTTGTCATTTTCATTGGCGGCATTTGTTCATATTCATTTTTCTTCTTCCACTTCTTATTTTCTCGTTTCTTATTTAAGAGGTACTCTTTTCCTACTCTCACCCTTACCTTACCCATAGCTTATTGCTTGCTATACTGTTTACGCCGGATGCATGTCATACTCTCATGCAAAAATACATACCCAAAATATTTATTGTCTGTGCAACATTCAACAGAAAACAAGTAAGAATATTTGTACGCCGTGTTACAGAGACAAGTCAGTGCACATGGAGAGTATGTGGCTTTACGACTTTACGGCCTGTTTGTGTCATGTGATGTAGAAAGAGTAAAAAGAGTAAAAAGAGTAAAAGAGTAAAAGAGTAAAAGCGAGCGTGGCCCGACCTACCGTGCAAGGTACAATGCTCCAGACATTGGTGGAAGACATCTAGCGTCACGATACCACATCCCATTCTTGTCCATCCTCTGGCAGATTGCACGACGCGCGTCTCAATTTTTTTTTTTTTTTTTTTTTTTGGACCTTTCACTTGACCCCGTTTTGTGGGCAGAACCACCTGCCGAAGTCCACAGGTTGTCTTTTCGTCTTGGTAGTCTCCATTTTTCGGCTGCTTTTGATGCAAAAATAAGGGAAGGACCCGGTATCCACAGTATTGTCTTGGCACCCTCCAAGTTTTCCGTACAGAAGAGTTCAACACACACTGAGACCCCTTTACTCCTCAACCTGCAGAACCCATTGCCAGCAGCATTCGATGGGTTTGATTTGGCTGTCCAGCTTGCTCGTGTCATTATAACTTGCCTTTTCGCCTGTTTGGATGTGTTCAGTTCCCCATTTGGGCGAAACGGTCCTTCGCAGCGCATCCAATCAGTAGCCGACTCTCCGCAGGCTGTCTTGTCTCGTTTCTGAAATTGGCCACAAGAGACCGCAGTACCAAGAAAAGGGTCCAGGGCCATATGTGTGCCGGGGCTTGCTGCTATTTGTCTTGGCGTAGGCTCAATAAGCCTTTGATCAGCGCTCCTTGACAAGTCTTGGCCTGCCAGGTCCTTTTTCGTTCTTGTCGCTGCGGTGCGCTTCGTGTCCCTATCTCGTCTATTTATGCAAACTTTTGTTCCTGGCCTAACCCAGTGGTTTCGTGCTATCGCCAGACGAGTTGAAGGTTCACACTGACATGGAGCTTGGGAATCTCGGGGTCACACAGTCGTACACATACAGAGAAAGCCAACTCTCCCAAGTAGTAAACAAGTGGGTACCGTTCTGTCTACAGCGGCTCTGACTAACCAAAATAGGAAAATCCACAGATGTTCGCAGCGTTCGTACAAAGATTCCCAAAAAGCCGCGATACAAATGTGAGATGAAAGTGGTTCTAGTGACTTGGCCATCTGGGTGCGATATACCAGGCGGCAGGAGACAATATCAAGATCACAATCCACAAAGACGAGGACATCTAGAAATCGAGACAACTGATCCGATTATCGTAACCCGTGCTCCATACTGAAATCCAGAAAACGAGCTGAAGATTTCCCAACAGAAAAAGCTAGCGACTATTTTATCCATAAGAGTTTAAAGTCAACATCGTCCACAGGAGTATTGTGACATGCTGAACAAAATAACGCCAGAACATAGAGTCACAGCGGTGCCAGACCTCCTTCTGCTTATGGAAGGTGTGTAAATGTGCATCAGATATGCATGTGAGAGGCTCCGGGGGTCGTACGAGCAGAGATAAGATGTGAGAGATAAACTTGCTGAAGATAACCTGTAAAGGCGACGACTCGAGAACTGTAACGATGTTTAAATTCGATATTGCTCTCTTTATCATGTAAGCTTCTCGTTTCTTTGATTTCTGTTGTGGCCCAGCTGTCTCGTCGAGTTATGAACACCAGTGATGTATGCAAGGCCTGGCTGGATACGCTTTGATTTGCTTTATACCACGAGTCGTTGAGTCGAATTTTTGGACGGTGCAAAACAAGAAGGCAACAGCATCTAAGAAAACACCAACGTGCAAAAGTGAAATGGCAACGCAAAAAAGGGATTGGACGCGAAACGCAGACCTAAAATATACACCCCATATCTCCATAAATCGTAGTGCATCAGCGTGAATAAACAAGACGAACAAAGCATGTCATCATCAACTGGTATATAACCACACAGCCAGGTAAACAAAAACCGATGAAATAGAAATAGGTTACCGGCTCGAAAATGTAGAGGACGTCTATGTTGCCGAAGCGGGTCACCAGCATCGCCAAGAGCGCCACAGTCGTCTCAATCACCAGGAAAACTGTTCGCAGTGCAGCTCGACGCTCGGCCCGTCGCTGGTGATGCATTTGGCCGTCGCACTGCGCACCGTCTTCATCAGTGTCGGCGGGCCGCACGCTGCGACCAAGACACGTTGTATTCGCGCCGTCGATGATACGGCAGTGCGGATCACTGTCTCCGCGTCGGGGCGGCCCGGCGAGAAGGAGTGGCGCAGAGGCTGTGACTCGGTTCCGTTGGCCTCGCTGTTGGCGGCAGCGGCGGCGGCGTCGGCTGCTGCCGTTGCCTTTTCCAGGTCCGCCGCTACGTTGGCACCCGCACTGGGACTGCCAATGTCATCACTGTTTCGGCTCGTAGCATGTTCCTTCTGCACGACATGCACCTTCTCCTTCTCCTCAGCCATCTCCTTGTCGCTGTCGTGGTGCAGGTCTGACGTCGTCGTCTCGCTTGCGAGTGTTGTCGGCCCAGCTCGTCCTGCTGTCGATGCGGTGGCTCCGCCTGCAATAAAACGTGTCGTCGTTCGACCGACTCGGTGCCCGGTTGTATGTCTAATATCCTCGTCAGACGACGACGATCCCGGAACACGCGTGACGTACAACGACACATGCACTTTCGGTGCGTTTGGATGCGACCGAAGTGTATCGAGGTGTCCGGAAAACCAGCTGAGTGTTTCTGTTGGGTGACGTATTAGCGTTTCGATTTCAGGACAAGAAAAAAAAAGATAGAAACGCAAAAAAGAGACCGAAGAGAATGTACCTTGTGTTTTCGCCGTCCAAATAAACACAATGTTCTTGGCAGACTGGGCATCCATCCGCTCCAGCATGTTGCCCACCAAACCAAAGGTGTAGCTGGCACCGCTTCCACCGGCAATCAGAATAATCTTGTCGTATTCCATGGGATCGGGGAAGGTGCCGTAGGGGCCCTCGGCAGCAGCCCATAGCTTTTGGCCAGGATTTGCCGTTGCCTGGGCATGAAGCTTTCGTGTGAAACCGTTGTAGGACTTGACGACAAATTCAGTCGAGCCGTTGGCAGCTTCTGTGTCGATGATTGTAAAGGGATGCATCTCAAACGTGCGGACGGCTGGAATCCACATCAAGACATGCTTTCCAGGGACAGCCCGTGGGGGTTTCTTAGCGAGAAGGATCCGCGTACCTCCGTTCGGCAAAGGGTAGATGGTCGCTTCATTGCTTGTGCTGTTCAGCAAGAGACGGCTGACGCGGATGAGACGATCGGTGGCGAACAAGGCTGCCGTCAGAGACAAGACAACCGGGATGCGCGTGTGAATATCCGGGCGGTGGAACCCGATGCAGACAATGGCCACGCAAAAGGCTGTCAAGTGCATGACATAAAAGGCTTCGTAGGCATAGCGGCGCAGCAGAAGAGCGGCCGTGACCATGATGAGGAACATGAAGCCCGCGATCATGCCCGCAATCTGCGCATGTTCGCGCAGGACCTCTAGCTTGCCAAGATGAAAGAAGAAGGCCGTGTACGAGGACGCGTGGATGACCATGAGCAGAAACGTTGTGCAGCCTGCAATCTGATGCAGGCAGTTAAGCCGTTCGTAGGAATACGACGTCAGGTAGGCCAATGGGGTATTTTTCAGAGCGAGAAATACAACGAAGCACAAGTTGGTCACAAGGAGCCTGCCAGGAGTCAGAAAAGAGTACAGAAGGGAGTAGAGGCGAGGAGAAAGTTCACTGGGAAATAAAATACACTCACCAACCAAACCGAGACGCTTCGGGACTGAGACTCGAGTTGTCGACGTTGGTGAGCATGAGGGTAAGGTTAATGGCCACATAAACCGCAACGAGAAGGCCGTGGCCAGAGGAATTCAGGCCAGGCGCCGGGCGGACAAGGAGGTTCCGTAGACGTCGGGAGATGACAACAAAGGGCCGAGCCAATGGGGCTGGAATGAACGGCGATCGGCTCGCGAGTTTTCGAGACCAGTGCAGGAATGTGAATACGGCAATGAGACCACAAATGGCGGCCGCATAATACGTCGCTGTCCTCTCGTTATATGCCTGCCGAGCGGCAAACATCGCTGCTTGGGCCGGGCTGAAGGGACTGCCACCTCCGCCGCCGTGGCCTCCATGGCCGCCGTGGTCTCCCATCGGGTGACTGCTGTTTTGGGCGGTCTCATTGCTCGGCAGCAAGCCGGAAGTCCCTCCACCAGAAGTTCCGTTGCCGTCCATATGTGAAGATTGTGACATTTATTTTTCAAGTTCTGCCAAGACCGCACGAGGAGGAAACGTGGTTGCAAGCTCGGGGAGCGAAGTTGACCAGTGTCACCCAAGACAAAGACAGTAACTCGACGAGCAATAACCTAGCCTCCCACTGATATAAGCAACAACAGCAACGAGGAGAATGGGATGAAGGGCCGAGGGGAAAGCGAAGAAGGAGCTATGATTAGAAAAGGAGGGAGGGAGGGCAATAGAAACGTCTTGTATAAGTAAGGACAGAAAGTAAGGACACAATGTGAGAACCGAGTGAGAGAAATGTGATTAGTGTTGCGGAAACAACAAATAAAAGTAAACACCTCCAAAACCACGCGACGGACAGAACAACCAACCATTCTTTGACTTTAAGGGTTGGCACGCGAGGTTCTGACCAGGAGAATATATACGATGTCCCTTGCTCACTGTCTCGACCTCGACTAACGGTGGTGCCACTTTGGAAGGCAATATAAAGTGTCGTCTCGTTTGCAGCCGACATATTCTGAGAGTTTCATATCTCTTCGATGCGGACGAGTATACGCCAGGATACAAAACACTTACAGACGTGGTTGGGGGTGTGGAAAGACAGATGGAGGGGAAGGAGGGGGTGTATCACTTGAAGGTCTGGATCTGAAAATCGAGTGACGCTCATTGAGTTGGTTCATTAGTGCCCGACTTCGGGAGGCCAAAGGACAGCGCAACGAAGGCATGTGGAATATACAACAATGGATTAATAGTAGAGTAAACCTGGACCGGTGCGTAGGCAAGGGAATGGTACTTTCGATGATATGAATGACGAGCGATGGAAGGACCAACATCGCCAACATTCGAGGGACTACTCCACATGCCGCTGCCTTGGTCATCCGTATGTCAAGTTTGGAGTAAAACGCACGACAGGGAAGGTAGACTCATGACGCACCTGCAACAAACATGGGTAATAAATAAAACAAACATGGGGTGCTTAGGCGTGCCCGGGGAACAGTGGATCTGGCAATAGCCTTTTGGACTCGCTTCAGTATGTCGCAAGAAAACGCGGAAGCAAAGCCTTGTTTCCACAGACTGTGACGCAGAGACGGCTCTGCGGGAGGGCACAGGCATGGCGCTGGGCGGGCATGCCGGTGCCGTTCCCGTGTGCTTTCTTGAAAAGCCCTGGATTTGAGCTCCGAGATTCCAAGACAGTCACGGATCACTGATCCAGGCCGCGAGTTGCTTTGCAGCTTGCCATTCCTTTCCATGGCGATCTCCGTCCTGGAGGATCATAACACGTCAAAGCTACACTAGAGTGGTCTCGATGTCGGATCGATTTCCTAGACATATACCACGTCCGTTAGCAAAACACTACCATTCACCATTCACCATCCACGGCCCATGCAGATCACCACACCCTTGCCACGCTTCCTCACCATATTGGTTTTGCTTTTAGGCGGCATGAGAATATTCTCCGCGCCCAGATGCTGTTCCCATGCTCGATGTTCATCCTCAGTTGGTTCGCGCGGAATGGCATCTTCCCTGTTTCGATGGACTCCCAATCTGGTCATCACAGCAGAAGGCGGTGGGTATACTTCAGAAATCTCTGCGGTTGGAAGCTAAAGAAAACAAGAGACAGGAACAGCAATCAATGAAAGGGCACAGGTGTCGAAATGAAGACGGAGAGAATGAGAGAAGAGTGGTACGAGGTAGGGAGGGCAATCAAAGCAATACCGTAGGGTCTTGGCTAACGTTGATAGTGTCAGCGATGACAACGACGGCAAGATATAGTGGTAAATAAATGGAAATGGACAAACGAAGACGACAAAACAGACGGTAGCAGAGCCGATGGGAGGCTCATTGTGACAGGTTGTTGACAAGGTCAGGATGTTGCAACAAAGCGGAGAGATCAGGGAAATCATTGGTCGGCATCGCGCCTGCCATTGCGCAGGTGCTTTGATTGGCTGGGTAAGGAAAGAACGTCGTATTCTTGATTGGAAAGAGCAATATGGATAAAACCCCCTAAAATGGAATTGCCAATACCATGTTGAGGAAGGAGCAACAGACAGGTGCGAACTACAAACAGCATGCAGCAATGAGAAGTAGCCCCTTTTACATAAACGGCAAGAAGACGAGTGGAAGAGGAAAGTGCGACACAGACGCTGGAGAACTTGAGCCCTTCGCCCCTTCCTTGCATGCATGCATCTGGCACCGTGACATGCTCACCTGATCTTGAGACAGTAAGCGACGACGAGCCTGCAGCAGTCAGTTAACCGAGTGAAAACGAAAAGAATTGCACATGAGGCGTGAGAAGCTCAAAATGGAAGGAGCGCTGCTCAGTCCAGATGTGGTATGTATCTGTCGTACAGGCAAGTGCAGCTTGTGCCCGAGAAGGAAGCCATGAGACGGACGTGCTTTCCGCCTCTTGCAACAACCATATACTCTTGCGGAAGGCACACCCAGCGGCCCCATTACTGTACTCCGTATGTTCCTGCTCTCTCTACATCAGATATGCCACTTTCTGTGCTTCTCCGGTTTTCTAGAGGAGTTCTCAACTCCCGTTCTTCCTCCATTCTTCCACCTCTCACATCACAACAATACACTCGCCCCGAGATATTCCCACCCCCCTTTATCTACATACGAGTTACTTCTTCGCCTCCTTTGCTTGGTATAGATAGCTTGTTCGCATCTCTCTCTCTACGCACATAGTCGACGTGGTGGTTGGTTTTCAAGGTTGTTTACTATTATTTTGGAACTCTGACCTAAAACACGATTGACGATCCCTTTGTCGGCACTTCTCTTCGTTCGTCTTTTGCCGTCGGATCATCTACGCCACACTCGAGTTTAGAGGTTCCTCCAGGTTTGCTCCTCCTCACGCCTTTGCCACCACCGTGGCCCCCTGGGTCATGAAATCCTATCAACCAGTGATTCCATTGTGTGCCGCAAACAGCCTTGCTCGCCCCTACATTGCCAATTCCCCCCCGCAAAATGGACAGATTAACAAATAAAAATGGTCACACTTAATTATGTTGACCAAAAACAAACGGCATGTGCAGAGATACAGCTCGCTGCAAGCTGCAAGTTGCAAGGCCGGCATCGATATTGAGACCTGCTGGCTAGGAAAGGCAAGTCAACCTCGCTTGGGGGGAGCCTGCCACTGCTAAACAGGTAGACGAGAAGTCCAACTAACGAGTGAGAATTACAAAACAAGCGAGTGGTAAAAATGACGCAAAGAAGACGGACGTCTCGTGGGCCGGTAAAGGAGCAGAAGCAGAAAAGTGGACGCCGGAACAAGACAACGAAAATGAACACCGATGCGACCTAAAATCGAGAGAGACAAGAGATCTGGATGCAACGCAAACAACCTACAACGGCTACGAGGCTTGTATTTCCGTGAGCATACAAGGTCATATTACTATGGAAGACCACCTTGCAACCAGGATCTGCGTTTACAGAGTACCACTGACACGCCTTTTCTGTCAGCGTCTCCGCCATGCGTCCGTCTTGCCGGGTACGACAGTAGCATACGAGGACAGCTGAGGCGCTGGACTGCCGTGAGTTCGGATGGGCAAGCCCGACAGACAATCATATGCCAGTTAAGACTCTTAGCACGACCATCGATCCCCTGGAGCAAGATCCGGCGGAGCGCTCTGCCGAGCCAAGAGAGCGCAACGTGCGGCGCATATTTTGTGCTGGGCTGTTTTCTTAAGACACATTCCCACAATGTTGCATTGCAAAACACCCCGTCAAACAGCAATGTCTGGTTGTTCTCCATTTTTTGTCATTCTGGCTATATTTGAATTCGCGACAGGAACCATGGGCCGACGACGTACACATCGGCGCTGGCATACACAACCCGCCGAACAAATAGCAACTGCAACCATTGGCACGCGATGCATAGAGTCGTATGTAAAACCATAACCAGCAAAGAAAAGGCTGGCAAAAACGACAGAAGAAAATGCTTCTGATGCAGGCCACAACGAGGGGACGAAATGGCCGTCCCGAGAGCCGCGACGGCCGCAGCGGCCTGCCAAAATGGAAACAAAATTACGCCCCACCGTTCGCAGGTGACGGCACAACTGGCTCGTGCTCCCGTTTTTGTGTCCGTCACCGTCCACCCTAATGCCTCACCCCCCCAGTTCTCTGTGATCTGTAAGAAGGGTCTTACTTTGAGTCAGCGCGGCTTTGCCACTCGGGGAATTAAAGTTGCAGAAGCCAGGTGCGGGAGGTGCATCTTGAAATTGGGCTGCAGAGAGTGTTGCGTGCACGAGGGCCACAAGGAAAGAAGAAAACGGGAACGCGGTTTGAAGGATTAGAGTGCATTCAGAAGCAAAAGCAGGAGCTGCGGATGGCCAGTGCACGACAAAGGGACAAGGACGGGACGGAAAGCCAAGACATCAGTCGCAATCTGGGCGATAGAGCAATCTACTAGACGAAGACCTGTGATGAACAAAAGCGGGCCATCAACACCTTACAGGAGGGGGTATACCGAAAGCCACAGCAAGGGAGGGCGGTCTTTTAGATGAACTGCGAGCAAAAGAAAAAAAAATGAAATAATAATAAAAAAACTGTTTGATCGTAGGAGTTGCACGGTGAGTGCCCAAGTAATATATTGGAAAGCCAAATCTACGGAACAGGGCTGTGAAGGGCCTCATGATCGGGCAATTGCAGGCTACCTCACCTCTCTTAACATGGACAGACAAGTTTCTGAAAGACGCCAAGCTGTCTCAACAAATGGGGAAAACGTGGGATAAGTCGCTACATTATGGGATATCAAAACAGCAAAAGCTAGACACCGTATATCTTGGAACATAGTTCTCCAATGATCATCAGCGAGCGAAAGGGCCATGGAACAGGGATGATTTAGGAAAGGAGATAAATAAATCTCTTGATAATAGACTCAAAAAGGCAGCCACCGCAGACAATCACCATAACGCACAGCAACAGATATAAAAACGGTTCGCAGGAAGCATCGAGGCGGCGGGAGAGATGCTCATACGACAGACCCCAGCTGCAGCGGCCGTGGGGCACAAGGAAGATTGCGGGGGAATAGGGTGCACTGTATTTGAGGAAGTGTGTGGGACAGGGGATGCGTTTACATAGGTGCGTTTTCGACAGTCTTTCCTAATTGGGTAATGTCGCAGGGCGTCCCGCCGAGTAAGCTTTTTACCTATTTGGCATAGGATCTGCCTGACAGCAGACAGGGGTTCGCTGCTCTTTTTTGAATGTGTGTGTTTGGGGAGTGAAGGATAGCGAGTGGTAATTACTGAGTAGAGGACCGGATAGATATACACAGGATGCGTTTGTAAGACGGAGAGTTCCTTTGTCGACGAAGACCAAAGGAGTAAGGACAGACAAAAGAGGATAAATGAACTATGCAGAAAAGAGAGGCTGGGAATAGAATCGGAGTACGAAGTACAGAAATTAATCAAAAAGAGGCGTTTTTAGCAAGAAATTTCAGGCAGCAAGCCCATCAAAAGGCCAAGGGGCGTAAGTAGCTATGCAACTAGGAAACCCGTATTGTGGCTTATCATATGAATTTCCAATACGTTCCTGGACACATTTTATTTACAACAACTTTATTTACAACAACTTTATTTACAACAACGATAAAAACATGCAAAGGACTTAGGTTCAAACGTAGTAGCCAAACACAGTCGGGCCATGTTCTACATTGGTAGACTGCCGAGGGCACAGGCACGATATACAGTCCAGTCCGGGTCTCATCTTAAAACGCCCTGGATTTTCTCTGTAAACCGGGTTTACGAGACCAAGCAATCAACAAATACCGCTCGAGAATGCCTTTTCCCTTCTTCTGTTGTTTTAGGACCCTCGGCACTGAGTCGTCGTATTGACTTGGCGTCCAACTCTAGTCGATTTAGTTGACAAGTCGTGATAGTGTCGGCTTCTGGACTGTGAAATCACCCTTGCAATATATGAATTCTCGAGTCTAGGCCTACTCGGCGTCCTTGGCTTCTGTTTCTTGTTCTTCAACACCTCCACCACCACCGGCACCACCCTCTCTTTCTTTTCGATGACTCCAATGTTTAAGCTTAAACGTCAGGGCTACGGCCGTGTATTTGTATTGTTTTATTTACATCCACCCGCCACACCCCGCCGCCTCACCTCCTGGGTGTGTCGATGGGACCTCTAATGAGAAAGTTTCCGAGCATGGTGTCAGCATGACCATATGTGAAGTGCCGTCTTGCACCTGATTCTTTGAATCTGTTTGTTATTGTCTCCGTTCCTTGCGGCGCTGTGCAATAAAGATCCGGACTTGCCCCAACGCAGCACACCATAGTGCATCAGTGGGAGGCTGATCACAATGTGTCGTGCACCGAGTCTACATTAAATGTACCGTTGCATGCATCCATCTTGGAACTATCATGGTCCTGTCAATGTTTTGTTTACGTCTATTTCGTTTCATGTACCATGACCATGTAATCAAATCATGGAACGGAGAATGGGAGCTACGAATCACTTGAGGCCAAGGCACAGAAAGCTAAATCACGGATAAGGGTAAGACAGATTTCTCCGCGCGCTGACACCGGAAAGGCAAGCAAGCAGACCGGGTGCTGGGATCATTTCGTCAAGTGGCAGCTCCGATGCATGTCAGCGTTCTCCGGACTACATCGCCCGAGTCCCCACTTGATCGTATCTTGCCTGTTTGTACGTCTTCTCGGTTTTAGAATTTTAAACGTGTTGTTCCAGGCTCACTGCCTTTCATGACCACGAGGCGTCCTCTCGGCTGACAATCGTCTCGTCAATCGTCGCCACCCGTCCAGCCACAATCTCGGCGCCATTGACGAGGTCGTTCTCGTCGGCCCGCGCTGCTGCCGCTTCGGCGTCCGCCGCAAGACCCGCAGCTATATGCCGCTGGATCAGCCGGGCGCGCGCCACGGCAAAGTCCACATCCACAAACCAGCGCTCGTCCATGTGCTGGGCGTCGGACGCGGTGCGCCAGGGCTCCTTGTCGAGACAGACGTAATTGCCCTCGAAGAGGACGATGCGCTGGCGCGGGCCAATGGCAATAGCGTCGGCGACGGGGTCCTTGATGGCGTGGTCAAACGAGGGGGCCAGAACGGTGGCCACGGACCCGGACGTGGACCCGGACGTGTCCGGTTCCTCGACGGGTGTCCGCAGGCGTTCCACCAGCGCCAGAAATGCGGCGCCGTCAAACGTAAATTCGGCACCGCGGCGGGCGTGAGCACGGACGGGGTCGGGCATGGCGGAAAGTTGCGCACGGGTGAGATGGAAGCCGTCCATGGGCACGGCCGTGGCGACCGGCTCGGTTGGCTCCGCCGTACCAACCGGCCCAGATACCCCAGCCTGCTCCGCGTGCTTCTGGTTGATGGCCGCAGCAACGGCGCGGGCCAAGGATGTTTTCCCTGTGACCAGTGTCAGGAACGTCGCGCACCGCAAAAATATCAAAAGGGGCACCAAAAGGGACACCAAAAGGGGCACCATAACGTACCAGAGCCAGGAATGCCGCCAATGGCAATCACTAAACGACGGCAAAGGTAAAGAGCTGGTTAGTAATTGCCCAAGTCTACGAGATTATCTCCATCCCACCGGCCATGCATGACCCAAGAAACAAGAGAGACTCACGCACACGCTGGTCAGGCGGCGTCCGGAGGTACCGACCCCAGACCTTGTCCACCAGTCGGCTCACTTGATCCTCCATGCTGATTGTCGTGTGAGTGTTCTCTCGACGTAGCTGGGTGCGATTGATCCCGAGAAAAGAGGCACGTGGGCAATTGATGCGTGCTTGATCGAGAGTCATTTGTGCCGCAGTAAATGGCGAGGCTGTCGTTGAAGCGCGCCTAGTGCCGTTTTCTTAGCGCCTGCCCAACCACAATGTCTTGATCTGCACCTTCCCCATGACAAACTTGGCCAGCCTCACGTCAACAAAGGAAGGGAGGAAGGAGCAAAGTAAACAAACGCCCCAAACATCACGGCTTTGAGACAGCATCTATTCGTGCACATATGCGGGCGTCTGTGCGCTGTGCTTGTGTTTGCTATGTTGCTCCCAATACTTTGCACAATCCATCTCCGTCGTCGAGGGAGAGGGCATTGCATTGGCAAGCACATCGATTCCAGGCAATTGTCAGCATATGCAGCTTATGCATATATTCAAAATGGGCAGTTCAGTCAAGATTGCAGGTGAAATGTGAATCTGCCATCTGGCTGCCTCTTATCCCGACTACCGCATATCGTATGCCACTCAGTGCCGCATCGCGAATGCGGCCTTATCCCACAACGGCAAGATATCACCGAGTCTGTCCTTGACGACACCTACCACAGCCCAGCCGTTGCGCGCTTTTGGGCGATAAAAAGCCCCTTCCGTCCGCAAAATCTCACTGTCTTCACATTTTAAGCTGGTGTCAACGTTGCAATGCCCTCAGCCATTGTCCCATTACCATTGGCTGACGACTATTCCAGCTGCTTCATTGCAAATGTCCTACATTATAATCTCAAAGAAACAAATTCATATCCACTCGCACAACATGATCCTTTTTAAGCTCAAGACGTCCCCAGAAAGCCTTGGCCGCATAGATGTTTCCAGTCAGAAATATGTCTCATGTCGTCCAGAGTCTTAACGTAACTTACTTACTGTGGGGGCTCTAGTGGCTATTGGGCGGCGGACTTGGGGGAAAGAGGCGAGGCGTCTCCATTTTTATTTTGGTCGCAGCCGTGTTAGCAGGTGGTCTCCTGTCACCTGGCGGCGCGGCAAACACCTTCCTACCTCGGCTCAATGGAAGGCAGGATCCATCCATCTTCTTGCCCACGGGCGACACCAAGGTTGAGTGGCACCTGCCTCGCACTTTCTTTTGTAGTGTTCTTTGCGCGCCACCGCTCCTACAGAGGGTTGATGCATTGTTCGCTCCTGCTCTGAAGCCGACCCGGTGGTCAATTCGCGCGCTGACGAAAGGGAAGGCGCGATCGACGCGAAACTCGGCTGCTCTTCTGTACGTACTGTTGGCGGTCCATTTGCATTTTCACACTGTAAAGTACGACGTATTGTGGCTGCTGGTCGTTCGTTTCGTTGCTACGCGATTGGGGAACTCGCATTTTTTGTATTCCACAGCTCGTCCACGGCTCGGTCAGCACATTTGTTGCACCTGTCGGCACATGGAAAAGCCACAATTCCCCAGCTCGGTGATTTTTTGGTGGGGAGTGGGGAGAGTCGCCCCCTTTGGGGTAAGAACCGCCCGTGTCGCTGGCGCTGTCCCTTCCGTATTCTGCACGTAACCCTTTCACGCGCTCGACTGGGTAGGACCTGCCCGCACGCAAGACACTTGCTCTTTCCCGAAAAGCACCTCGGCGATCCCCCCATCGGACGACTCCGCTACACAACCCACCCTCCACAGGCACGAAAGAAGAAAGAACCAAGGGCCAAACTCCAAAACCTCCAAGCAACGAACCCCAGGTCCCCCGTCTTGACAGCAAGAACCAAATTAAACTCATTAGGCTCGCTCTTTCCCATCCCGAACCTGCCAAAAAGAAAAACAAAACTCAGCACGCATCGCGCCACAGGGCCTTCTTTCCACTTCCTCTCTTCCTCTCTTCCTCTTCGTTTCTGTCCCTTTCACAAGCCAAACGTCACCCCCTCCCCCGTCTCCTACAACCTGTTTGGGATGTTTGCAGCAGTCGCACGAGCTGAGGCAAGGTCGTCTGTGCTCAGAAGTACAAGCACCAGCACCAGCAGTTTGTTGAGGACGCAGCTTGTGAGTTTCTGTCCATTCTTTTGATGCTTCTGGCTAAAGAGCATGTGACGACGCCGGGCACAGCAACGCAGTGTTTGCGCCCGCCGTTGTGCGCACCAAGCTCAAAAGCCCGTGGTCCTGCAATCTGGCCTGCGCTAACGTTTCTTTCTACAGACCGGATTCACAATGGCTCCCGCCAAGAGAAACAACAGCACCAAGAAGGCGCTGCCCAAGGGTGCGTTTTGAGTTTTGGCAGCCAGTCTTGTGATCCTCGTTTGAGGAGAGACTCGACCGGCTTCTGCCCAAGCTGTGATGTGTTTGGCCGGCGTCCGTACTAACTCTCGCCCAGGCTATGTCGAGGATACGTCCAAGGGCCCCATGCTGCGCTTCCAGGAGTCCCTGCCGCGCCTGCCTGTCCCCACCCTCGAGCAGACCGCAGCCCGCTATGTCAAGTCTCTCAGGGCCCTCTACCCGGCCGAAGACGTCGCCAAGAGCGAGGCCGCCGTCCAGGAGTTCATCCGCCCCGGCGGTGTCGGCCAGCGCCTGCAGGAGAAGCTGCTTGCGCGCCGCGCGGACCCCAAGACCAAGAACTGGCTGTACGAGTGGTGGAACGACGCCGCCTACCTGGCCTACCGCGACCCCGTCGTTCCCTACGTCTCCTACTTTTACTCCCACCGCGACGACCGCCGCCGCCGCGACCCCTCGAAGCGCGCTGCCGCCATCACCACCGCCGCCCTCGAGTTCAAGAAGATGGTCGACCAGGGCACCCTGGAGCCCGAGTACATGAAGGGCGTCCCCATCTGCATGGACAGCTACAAGTGGATGTTCAACTGCGACCGCATCCCCGCCCACCCCAAGGACCACGCCGAAAAGCACAACCCGGCCAACTACAAGCACATTGTCGTTGTCCGCAACAACCGCTTCTACAAGGTCCTCCACGAGGTCGACGGCCGCCAGCTCAACACAAGCGAGCTCGAGGCCCAGTTCCGCCGCGTCTACGAGCTGTCCGCCGCCGCCGCCAACGCTGCCTCGGAGCCCGCCGCCCCGGTCGGCTTCCTGACCACCGAGAACCGCGATGTCTGGGCCGATGCCCGCAAGGCCCTCGCCGAATCCTCCCCCGTCAACGCCGAGTCCCTGGCTGCTATTGACTCGGCCGCGTTCCTGGTCTGCCTCGACGAGGCCGCCCCCGTCACCTTTGAGGAGCGCGCCCACCAGTACTGGCACGGCAACGGCTCGAACCGTTGGTTCGACAAGCCCCTGCAGTTCATTGTCTGCGACAACGGCACCTCGGGCTTCATGGGCGAGCACAGCATGATGGACGGCACCCCCACCCACCGCCTCAACGATTGGGTCAACGACGCCATCTTCAAGAACAAGCTCGACTTTGACAACCCGACCGTCCGCGCCAACCTGCCCGAGCCCACCCCTGTCGAGTTCAAGGTCAACGCGGAGCTTGCCAAGACCGTCGCCGCCGCCGGCGAGCACTTCCGCGACATCATTGGCCGCCACGAGCTGGCCGTCCAGTCCTACCAGGGCTACGGCAAGGGCCTCATCAAGAAGTTCAAGGTCTCGCCCGACGCCTACGTCCAGATGGTCATCCAGCTGGCCTACTTCAAGATGTACGGCGTGAACCGCCCTACCTACGAGTCTGCCGCCACGCGCTTCTTCCAGCTCGGCCGCACCGAGACCTGCCGTTCTGTTTCGGAGGCCTCCGTCGCCTTCTGCAAGGCCATGGGCGACGACAGCGCCGACGCCGCCACCAAGGAGAAGCTGTTCCGCGAGGCGGCTGCCTCCCACATCGAGTACATCTCGGCCGCTCTCGATGGCTACGGCGTCGACCGTCACCTGTTCGGTCTGCGCAAGCTGCTGGACCCCAACGAGCCCGTCCCCGCCATCTACGCCGACCCGGCCTTTGCCTACTCGAGCAAGTGGTTCCTGTCCACCAGCCAGCTGAGCTCCGAGTACTTCAATGGCTACGGCTGGTCCCAGGTCGTCGACGAGGGCTTCGGCATTGCCTACATGATCAACGAGAACAGCCTCAACTTCAACATTGTCTCCAAGGGCCTCGGCAGCGACCGCATGAGTTTCTACCTCAACGAGGCCGCCAACGATATCCGTGACCTGCTGACGCCCTCGCTCGAGACCAAGGCCAAGCTGTAAAACGGCGGACGGACCAGTCAAAGAGCGGTCAAATTATAGAAGACGAAAAAAAACATAAGTATAGAGTCGCTATCAACGACGAATGAGAGTCATAGATGGTGTAGAGATGTTGATGTTTGGTCTCTTTTTATCATGGAAAAAGCAAATGTTGCGACTTGTTTCGGATGAAAAGGGATTCCTTTATTTTGTACATATGGTTTGGATAGATTTTTGGAAATGCAGTGAAAATCTGAACTTGGGTTGTTTTCTTTTCTTTTGTCTTTTTTTTTAAAAATAAATAAACAAACATAAACATAAATGTTGAAAATAATGAAACAATAAAAATGCAATATACTAGTCATAGGAATATTCCAGAAGTACGGTCAAGAGTGGTCACATTAAAATGTGAAGAACAAAGCGAAGTTACGGGATGGCAAATAATAGGACATAAAAGAAAACGAAAACTAGTTGTGACAGATATATAAAACGCCAATGTCTCTCCCGCCTAAGATACAAGACTCCCCGACGAGAACAAGAGCTTCCAATGCTCTACCATTCGTTAGCTATAAGATTTTTGTTGTTTTTGGGTTTGACGTTCTTCCTTCCCGGTACAAAGCAAAAAAAAAACAAAAAAACAATAAAAAATAGAAATAGAACCAATAGTACGTTAACAGAGCAATTGTCCCATGACACCCTGACAACAAAAGAGTAAGATACAAGCCACACTTTGTAAAAAGAACAACAGGGAAAGGTAAAAATAAAGACAAAATACAGACAAGACACTCCCTGTCGGTCCCCCACACTCCTCGGACTCCTCACGGTCTGGTCCCCGGCTCCCATGGCTTGGACTGGCCTCTCCAAATCATCTCCGCGTGTACCACGGCATTACGCCCTGTCTGCAGACGCCCAATTCGGGATCTCGCATCGATCGTTTCGCCACACTCAACCCAGACGCGTTACAGCTCCAGACTCCGCGCCGCACCGGGCGTGGCGCTCAGGGGCTGCACACCACCGGCCGGCGTGGCCGGCGGGAAAGCCAGGCGCGGGCCGTCGACGAGGGCGTCCTGGGCCAGGCGCAGGCCCTGGTCGCCGCCGGTGGCGGCGGCGGTCTTGAGGTTTTCCTGGACCTCGCGCACGCGGCGCTTGAACGACAGGCGGTCGAGGAACAGCTGCTGGCGCGCGCGCTCGAGCTCGCGGCGCTCGGCCTGCAGGATGGCCTCCATCTCGTTAAAGTACTTGAGCTTGAGCTCCATCTTCTGCAGGGTGACGTTGACGGCGGCCGACACGAGGCGGGTCATCTCGCGCTCCTCGTGGGACGCCAGGCCGCCCGACCGCGCGCCAATGGACGCCAGCGGCAGGTTGGCCAGGTTCTGCTGTGCGCTGCTCAACGTCGTCGTGGTCGTGGTGGTTGTGGTGGTGGTCGTCTTGGTCGTCAGGGACACGTCGGTCGACCGCGTGCCGTCCACATCCATGGCATCGTCGTTGCGGTCGTCCGTACCGGCCGTGGCCGCCTTGTCCTTGCTATCCTTGTCCTTGTCGTCCGATGCCGCCTCCTCGCCGCCGGCTTCCAGCTTCTTCTGCAGGCCGCGCTTCAGCTCGTCCAGCGACTTGTTGGCCGCCGCCGCCGTGCTGGCCGGGTCCGCCAGGCTGGCCAGGAAACCAATAACCGACATGACAGGGTTGTCGGCCTGGTTGAAGGGCAGACGGCCGCCGCCGCCGCCCAGGATCGACAGGCCCACGGGGGCCTGCTCCGTGACCTCGGAGTCCAGGTACTTGGACTCAATGTCCAGCTGCAGGAACTGCAAAACACACTCCTCGCGCGTGCGCGTGCCGACGTGGTCGGCCACTTGGCCCCAGTCGTCGTCGAAGCGCTCAATGGCCTCGAGCAGGCGCACCAGCTCGGCATCGCTCCAGGGCGCGTCGCGGTCGAGGACAGACGAGTAGGTGGGGTTCTCCATGCGCAGATACTGCGCGCTGGTCTGGTTGCCCGCCATGCGGCCTTCGAGGTAGCAGCTGGGGCACAGGTCGTACTGGGCGCGCGGGTTGCCCTCGGCCTGGGGGTTGTGGTAGTAGATGCGGGTGCAGTCGATGCCGCACAGGTGGCAGTTGACCTTGACACTCGGCTTCTTGGTCAGCTCTTCGGCGGCGGCGGCAGCAGCAGCGGATGCCGATGGTGCGCCCGGTGCGGGGGTGCCGTTCTGTGTGCCGTTCGTCGTCGCACCGGCAGTGTGCGACGCCTCGTTGTTCGTCTTGGCCTCCGTCTTGGCTGCCGCAGACGCGGCGGCGGCGGTGCCGCTGGCACCGGAGACCTTGGCGCCGCGCGCGTTGGCCTCGTAGATGTTGCGGCCGACCTCGAGGTTCAGCTCCGACTTGGGCGCAACGCCCGTGGCGGCGCGTGCGTCGGTGTCGCCGTGCTTCTTGCCACCGACGATGACGGGATCGGCAGCAGGCTGCCATGGCTGCAGACCGCGCGGCGTGTCGGCAATGATCTTGAAGTGGCCGGTGAAGGGAGGGCCGACGTGCGACGGGCGCTGCTCGTAGTCGACCTGGTAGTTGATGAGGCCCCACTGCTCGAGGAAGGCGTGCACGCGCATGATGGCGCAGACGTCGCCTGCCAGGTTGCGACGGCAGGCGGTGACGGTCAGGTACTCGACGGGGTTGAGGCGGTAGGTGTTGATCATGAAATCGCGGTAGTCCTTGTAGACGTGCGGGGTCTTGCTGCGGTTGCGGCTGTTGAAGAACTCGGGCAGGGCTTTCCGCTCAATGTTGTGAATCTTGTTCATGTCGAACCAGGTGCTGTAGCTGGGGAGGATGATGGCGTGCGTCTGCGTAATGAGGTGCTCGCGCGCCGCGTTCTCGACCGTCTCCTTGGACTTGGTGGTGCTGGCAGCGCCGTCCTCGCCCTCGGCAGCAGCGCCCTCGGCAGCGCCGTCCGCCTCGCCCGACGCCTCGCCCGCTGCCTCCGCCGCACCCTCGTCAGCGGCCGCTGCCGGCGTGCCGTTGTCGCCGGCCGTCACGTCAACCTTGGTGTCTTCAGCCGCGTCGCCCGACGCTTGTGCTGCTGTCGCGTCTGCCGAGCCGCCGTTGGCTGCGTCGCCCATTTCCTCGTCCTCGGCGCCGCTCGTCGCGGCTGCTGGTGCCTCGGGCGCATTGAGCGCGCTGTCGGAAAGGCCTGCTACGGCGGGTGTGGCGCTGTCCTCCTTGATGGCTGGTTCTGTTGTGCTGGGTGCATCTTGTGTGTCTGCGGCATCCCCGTCGCCCATGTGAACATCTAAAGAGGCGAAAACCGTATGTTAGCATTCGTTCCTGGGGTCAATCGACCGCTAATCGACGCGCCATTCCGCGTCTTCTTTCATTCCCATCGTTCAAGTAGTCCTCTCACACGTCGTACCTTCGGGGGCAGTTGTCGATGGCTCGTCTGCAGGTGGTGCCGCGACAGGCGGGTTGCTGGATGGTGTTCCGGCGTTGGCAGGGCTGCCGAAGTTGACGGTATCCTCATCCATTGTGGCGTGTGTGATGGAGGCGATTGTGATGGAAGAAAAAGGGGTGCTCTAAGGTCAATTCCAGACGGCCGTGACGAGTCGTGATGAGATGCGCGGATGCGAGTCGGAGGAAACGAATCGCGCGTCAATCGAAAGCCCACAATGAAGCGCGACGGTCGACGTGATGCGTAAGCCCAGGGGGACTGTTGGGCGGTTGAAAAATGACACAAAAAAGATGGTCGAAAACAAGGCGAAAAAAGCCAACAGACCAACAGCTGCGTAAACGACGGCGAGCTGGACCGATCAGCAACAACGGCAAAAATAGCACCCAAAAGGACAGAGGTTGGTTCCGCCGAGTTGCTAGCGTGGGCAGTCTCCGGGGTCGTTGCGAGACGCGATGATGCTCCACGAGAATCGATGGGGGTTCGTGATCGCGGTGGTCGATTCGCCCTTTGAATTTCGCGCCTGGAAATTTGGTGGTGGATTTGCGAAAGAGTTCCAAGGGGTGGACGCTGCTGCCAAATGGGGATTATGATTTGATTGCTGGGGTGTCGCGTTTGGGGCAGGAGCAGAAAAACTGGTAAGCTAGGAAGGCGCGCTGCAGGTGTTTCTGCCTGGGTGCCTGAGGCATGGAAAGGGAAGGACTTATTACCTAAGCGGAACCATCACATGACACAGCACGCGCTGGTGTTCGCGTGAGTCTCCGAAAAACGGGGCACCCACTCACTCAACCTCGGGCCGCTTCCAGCCGGCGAGCCAGTGCTTTGGCTGGCTCCTGCCCCTCCATGCCTACAGCTTGTTTCTCCGCTGGGGCAGGTGCTACGCTCTCGCTCATAGCCGTCGTCGGATTTTCGAGGCCGCGTTTTTGGAGCCGCTTTTCCTCACCTCGCGATCCATCCCCACGCAGGCCAATTGGACTCTGCAACGCACGCCTCGTTCTTTTCACCGGATTTCCCGACAGGCTCCCTGCCGTTTCCTCGACCGTCCTCCCTTTTTGAACAACCCCACCCACCACAATGCTGTCTACCGTTCGGAGGGCCGTCCCTGGCCCGGCCCGGCAGCAGCTGCGAAGCGCCAGCCTCGCCCGTCTGCTGTCGTCTCTCGCCGTCCTCGAGCAGCGCAACGGCCAGCTGAGCAGCGGCTCGCTGAGCGCGGTCACGGCGGCCAAGAAGCTGGGCGGCTCCGTGCACGCCTTTGTGGCTGGCAGCGGCGTCAAGGCGGTCGCCGACGAGGTGGCCAAGATCGACGGCCTCGAAAAGGTCGTCGTCGTCGACAGCGCCGCCTACGACAAGGGCCTGCCCGAGAACTACGCGCCGCTGCTGGCCGAGAACATCAAGAAGGGCGGCTACACGCACGTGCTGGCGGGCCACACGGCCTTTGGCAAGAACCTGATGCCCCGCGTCGCCGCCCTGCTCGACGTCCAGCCCGTGTCCGACGTCACCAGCGTCGAGAGCGACTCGACGTTTGTCCGCCCCATCTACGCCGGCAACGCCATTGCCACGGTCGAGTCGACCGACCCCATCAAGCTCCTGACCATCCGCGGCACCGCCTTCCCGGCCTCCGAGGCCACGGCGGGCAGCGGCAGCGCCGCCGTCGAGGAGGGCGTCGACCCCAAGGCCGAGGCCCCGACCGAGTGGCTCTCCGAGGACCTGGCCACGTCCGACCGCCCCGACCTGGCGACCGCCGGCAAGGTTGTGTCGGGTGGCCGCGGCCTCAAGTCCAAGGAGGAGTTTGACAAGATCATGCTGCCGCTGGCCGACGCGATCGGCGCCGCTGTGGGTGCGTCGCGCGCGGCCGTCGACAGCGGCTACGCCGACAACAGCCTGCAGGTCGGCCAGACCGGCAAGGTGGTGGCGCCGCAGCTGTACATGGCCGTCGGCATCTCCGGTGCGATCCAGCATCTGGCGGGCATGAAGGACAGCAAGGTCATTGCTGCCATCAACAAGGATGCCGAGGCGCCCATCTTCCAGGTGGCCGACGTTGGCCTGGTGGGTGACCTGTTCGAGAAGGTGCCCGAGCTGACCGAGAAGCTCAAGTCATAAGCGGTTGACAGGGACCATGGCGACGAAAGATGCTTAAACGGACGACAGCAAACCAAAAGGAAGGGATCAAAACGATGGGAATACTGGTTTTGGACAGCATGGCGGTAATTTCATAAACTATATTAGACGTGTAGCAACATTATGTCTGGAGGGCTCTCGGAGAATTGACTTTTGCGTTTGTATTCAGCTACTTCTGCTCGTAAAGGCGTAGGTTCATGTCTATCGTACAAGTGCATTCCCGCGGCATTTCAACCCAGCACGGCCAGCATGTCGGCAGTCTGTGTGAGCTTGCTGCGTGGCTTGCCCAGCTCCTTGCCCCTGCCCAGCTCGACCTGGTCAATCTTCTGCCAGTCGGCCCAGGACACGACCTTGGCCCCTGTCGTGTCGGCCTCGGCTTTGACTCCGTCCCAGCCGCCGCCCTCCACGCCGCCAGCAAGGAACGGCGCCCGTGCCTCCCAGTCCTTGACGATGGCGTCCGCCGTCGTGAAAGCATCGTCCATGGTCGATGCGATAACACCGGTCGGCCCACGTTTCACCCATCCTGCGCAGTAGAAGCCCGGGTACGGCTCCGTCGTCATGCTGGCGTCCTGTGAGCGCACGTCACGCAGCACGCGCCCGAGGCCGTCGTTCAGAATCATGCCGCGCCGCTCGTCAAAGGGAATGCCCAGGTCCTCAAACCCGGCCAGCGGCTGCGACCGATAGCCAATGGACCGGAAGACGAGCTGGGTCGGCACGTTCACAAGCTCGCCCGTGTGTTCCGGCTGGGCATTGGCATCAAAGGGTGCTGCCAGGTGTGTCTTTTCAAATGCTGCCGTCGCCACGCGGCCTTGCTCGCTCCCCTTGGCGGCGGCAAAGTGCTTCGGTGCCATGCAGAAGTCGAGCGACCACGACTTATTGGCCTGGTCCAGCGGCGTGGCTGCGCCCTTGGCCACGACCTCCATCAGCCTGCGCTGGGCTCGCGGCAGGTCCGTGAGCTTGGGCGGCAGCAGCGTCGAGGTATCCCAGGGGTGCAGCCCCACGCCGGGCAGCTTCATGAGCTCGCGCACCTCCTTGATCGTAAACGCCGCCTGCATGGGGCCGCGGCGTCCGACCACGTGCACACGCTTGATGCGGCTGCGAGCCAGCGCCTCGAGCGCCGCCTCGCTCATGTCCGTCGTGCGCAGCACGTCGACGTGCTCCAGCAGCATCCGGGCCACGTCCAGCGCCACGTTGCCCTGGCCAACGACCACTGCTGTGTCCGTGTCGGCACGCACCAGGTCGGCCACGATGCTGCTGCCCAGAGCGTCCGAGCCGCTCGGCAGCCCGTTGTACCAGCCCACAAAGTCACGCGCCGCGTACACGCCGCGCAGGTCCTCGCCGGGCACGCCGAGCTTGCGGTCGCGCGAGGCGCCGTAGGCAAAGACGATGGCATCGTAGTGGCGGGCGAGGGTTGCGAGTGGTACATGGCCGCCGTCGGGGTTGTGGCTGCTGATGCTGTTGGTCGCGGCAGACCCGTCGCCCACGGCCACGTTGCCCAGAAACCGGAAATCGGGCGACTGGGCCACCCCCTCAAACTTGTCCTGGCAGTTCTTGACCTCCGGGTGGTCCGGCGCCACGCCGAAGCGCACGAGGCCAAACGGCACGGGCAGCGCCTCGTACATGTCGACACGGGCGGCTGTCTTGGCCATGACGCGGTAGGTCGTGTAGAAGCCGGCGGGACCCGAGCCGATCACGGCCATGCGCAGCGGCCGACGGCCAGAGCTGTCCGAGGCATGTCGGGCCTGGTATGGGCTCTGGTTCTGGCTCTGCAGCCTACCGCGCACGTTCCAGGCAGCCGATCCAAACAGTCGCGGCGATCGCAATCGCGCGCCGCAAGTCGCTATAACGGGCTGCATAGCGACAGTGGCATGTCGCAGCAAGGGTTGCAGCCGGTTTTGTCAAGGCACGGCTGTTATTTGTGTCGGTAGAGTTCTTGTCAAGACAATTCCAAGGACATTCACTATGTCGAGAGTTTCGATTGCCGCTCGTTCTATTGGACTAGCGAAAACTGGGGACGTTCAGGTACCTGTCGCTCGTTCATAACTCCGCTGAACGGAGCTTTGAGGCGCGCTGGCATTGTCGCTGGACGTGTCCCCGTAGATACGACGGCAAACGTCTGCCCTTCGGATTTGTTGAAAACGAACCAAAAAATGACGCTTTTCACCCAACATTGGACAATTGCATCGCGAAGGGCATGGTATTGTCGAATTGACGTAGCCGCGCAGAGACGGGATTGTACTTGATTGCGATTGGCTCTTTTGCCTTGTGCGGGCTGTAGTTGCAGGGCAGAATGGCGCCGCCTCACGCCTCACCTTGATCATGTCTTGAAAATCCTCGAATTGGCCAAACTTGATGCGATTTTCCAGATGCTCGTTTAGTGTCTCGGTAAGGAATGCTGTTGCGGTGGCACTTTCCCAAGTTTCGCCAAGCTCATGTCCTTCCAAATACGACGTTGTCCTGTCTCAAGTCGCACCTGCCTTGCAAGAGACCCAAATTCCAGTAGCGTTGTTGCTGTGGCAACAGCGTCCCTTCCTTTCTCACCACACCACACAGACAGCTCTTGCCTCCAACATGCAGACAGGGCCTGGAAGCGCTGTGGTTTGCGCCTGCCTTGCACGAAAAGGCATAATTTCATGCGAGGAATACGAACAGGAAGGCACGCCCGGCCTGCTATTACCTCACCATCGCCCCCTCTCTCATATTGCTCCCGTCGTTTTGCATCCCGTCTCCTGTCGCAATCAAAACCCTTCCTCCAACAACCAAGACAGACGGATATTGTCTCGCCTTTACCGGCGCATTCCAACGACGACATTGCTGGTAACTGCCATTCAACGTGAGATCGTCTGTGACGGTACTCATGTTTTGACAGGAAAAAGCAATCAATCGAAAGACAGAACGACAGGAGCCGAGACAATCAACAGATCAAATTATTCGAAAGAAATCGACAAATCGCCAAAACGCACATCTTCGCACACGGATGATCGCCATCTCGACATCCCAGGAACGCACACTAGATTCACTTGAGAAAGGGCAGCCGTCAATCTAGCCGAAGTCCCGCACGGATCACAGGCACCGTCTATCCTCTGGAACGCAACGCAGCAAGACAACAGCAACGGACACACTGGAAAGGACTGGGATCGATCTCGTTCTCGCTTGTCGACTGTCACCATGGGGAGTCATCATCAGCCGTTCCTCTACGACGCCGAGCACAGCTCGTCGAGGTTGCCTGAGAAGCCGTTTGATCCCAAGGCCGTCACGCGTGCTAGCTGGCAGCCCAAACCCGTCAAGCCCCAGCAAGAGGGACCATTGGTGCAGCTGAACCGGCATCCTGAGTACGTCTCTTGTTTGTTTGGCTTCCTTCTTTTCGATGTCTGATTCTTCACTCTTTCACTGCTTTCTTTTTTTTTTCCCGTCGCCCTTACATTCGTTTTTCTTTTGTCGTTTGATCCTGTAATCCATTTCCTATTTGCTGACCTTTCTCAAGCGCTCATGAAGTTATCGGCGGACAGCGCAAGCCCGTCAAGACCATGAGCAGCACCACCAAGGCCTGGATCAAGGCCATCCGCGTCGTTCAGCTGCTCATACGAGCGCTCCAGTTCATCGGCGCAACGGCTATCCTAGTTCTCGTCATTCTCATCACGGGCGTGCCCGGCATCACGACCTGGGTTCTGCGCATCACGGTATGTTGATACAGCTGCGTTGCTTGGGTCGTACACTTGCTAACAGGCCAGGCTGGATTTGTCATTGCTCACAGCGCCTATGGCGTCTACCACCACTCCAAGCCCGCTGGCTACCGGACGCCAGCATCTTCGGGCGCCTACCAGGTCTTTGCTGCTTTCTCCGATGTCTCAGTTCTTCCCCTGTACGCATACGGCGCTATGTCTGCCAAGAACAACAGCGCCGGGTGGACGACGCTGCTCACGGACCAGACTTATGTGCCGTACCTTGTCACATCGTTTTACTACACTCTGATTGGTTCCGGTGGCCTGCATGGTTTGTCGCTGGTCGTCTCTTTCTGGCTTGCGCTCAAGTTCCGCCAGATTGCTCAAATGCCGCCCGATATGAACCCGCTCGAGGACCGCTACACCACGCGGTCGAAGAAGCGCCAGCAAAAGCAGCTCAAGGATATGCAGAAGCAGCAGCATGCACGGAACAAGTCCTCGATTGCCACAGCTGACACGTTTGAGTCGCTGTCCAGCCTTGACAATGACAAGGGCTTGCTCAGCCGTCCGCCCTCGGTTCCCTTCCTGCACACGCGGACAGGCTCCCAGGCCACCATCTCGTCTAGCGATCCCCGTCTCACTCTTCCCAGCCAGAACAGCCCTTCATCGAACTCGGCACGCAGCTCTCTGGCTAACCTGAAGCGCTCGTCGATGGTGAATACACCGAACAGCGGACGTGGCTCTTACGCCGAGGTCCCGCTCAACGACGGTGGCTACGCCAACTCGCCCAGCTCTCGCCTTAGCTACCACAGTGGACGGCCCAGCAGCCGCCCCCAATCTGGCACGCCCAACAGCTCCAACTCCCCGGCCGGTCTTGGCATCACCGACGGCGCCAACGACGGCGGCCGCCCTGGCAAGTTCACTGAGACGTGGCAAGCGACGGATTCCATGGTCAACCGCACCCAGCAGCGCAACGCGGCTCTTAACACTATGGTCCTCAACGCCTCGGGCAAGCGGCGGAACTATGAGGTCGTCAGCCAGGCATACGATTTCCACGACTCGGAGGGAGAGGTGTCGGATACGGATACCGTGCACCGCCATGACATTGACGACGACGACGACGAGAACGCCCCGTACAATCACTACAGCTACGATGATGGCGGTGATTCCAACCGCCCGAATCCCCTCCGTTCGAACCCGACGCTCCCGCGCACAAAGACTCCGTTCCGCCAGGAACGTCCTGCATCTACCGTCCCATCAATGACCTCGTCCGTCCACACCAGCACCACGCACAATGGAAACGTACTTGGCGAGGTGCCTATTAACGACCGTCGTGTGAGCGGTGGCTATACGGTCGATATTGCCGACGCAATGAAGTCCAGTATCGCCAAGGATGGCAAAAGCAGCCCCACAAAGGATATTGGACGTGGCCTTACAAAGGGCAAGCTCTCGCCACAGGAGACGCAGCAAAAGCCTGACTCGAAGGTGTCTCGTACGCCAACGAAACGCTGGACCTGGGCTCCTCGGAGTCGTCAGAGCAGCGTGCAGAAGGAGGACGACTTCTACAGCAAGCCGTACGGTCAGCTGAAGTCGGCCACGCCACCTATTATGGTGGGCGAGGACTTGGGGGCTGGCAGCCCGAGCGGAACACGGCAGGTTTCGAGTGGCAACGACTACGATCTGGGCAGTGACCGTTACCTGTACTACGGCGACAACAACGCTGGCGCGGCCAACACCTTTAGCCGGCGGAACGTGAGCGGCAAGATTGCCGAAGAAGGCAGGGCCTTCAATCGGTACAGCACGTACAACAACTGAGTTGGGGAATATCGGTACATGCAACTGATGTCTTCCGCCTCTTTCACTAATAATCCATTCATACGACAAGGTGGTGATGATATCCGATGTTTCTCGGTATTTCCGGTATTTCTGGTGCTTATTTGGACGTTGGTCTGGGGAAGAGGCAAAGAGTCAAATTGGGTCGGCCTCCGACGTAACGAAGGGAACTCTCATATGGAAATGGGGTTTGGCGGCTGTTGGAAGATATCATCGCACATGTCAAACGGCGTTATTTGGGTTTGCAATATTTCTTGTTTGATGTATCTCTCATATTTTGCGGCCCAATACATGGACTCGCTCTCTTAGGTAGAATAATACCACTTTGTAGCCAAGTACTCCTTTTTGATTTTCGTTTTCCAATACGTCCCAGTGATGTTATAATGTCGTGGTTGTGCACGTCTCACAATATTCCAAAAATCAAATGGTAAACGACTTGCTCAATGGCTTGCTAAATGAAACCATCCCAGCCTGCCAGTCCGGTCATGTCTTGGCAGCTCGCCTTCTCTTCCTAAGAAAACGACCCCATTCGGTGTTGTGGATGGGTTGGTTGTCCCCCTGTTCCAGGTTGTCGTCGACGTCTGGACCACCGCCGCCCCAGGAGCGACCACTCTTGTCCCAGGCGGCGCCCAGACTGCAAAGGTGCCGCATCGTCGGACGCCCGTGCGGACAGTTCCACGGCTTGTCCATCTCGCCCATGTGCGACAGCACCGATGCCATCTGGCGCCGCGACAGCGCTTTGCCAATCATGATGCTGCTGCGGCACGCCCGCATCGCAAACATTTTGCGCACCTTGGCCGGGCGGGGCACGGCGGTCAGCTGGCTGCCCGGCACGCCCCGCCGTGGTCATGATCACGGCCATGGTCGTGGCTGTCGCCGTGGTCGCCGAGGAGGGCAATCAGCTCCTCCAGATCCGTCAAGTCAAAGGTCGTCTCGCGACTCAGCGGGAGGGTACGCAGGCGGCAGCGACTGCCGACGGGCTCCGAGCCGTCGAGGACGGCGTCGACGACGAACCCATTGGCGGCGAGCGCAGGCAGGTGCTCGAGGACGATTTCTTCCTCGACGGCGGTGAGCTCGAGGCGCTTGGGCTGCACGAGCCGCTGGGACTGGACGACGGTGCTGGCCTGCAGGCGCTCAAAGTTGTACTTTTCGTCGGACGCGTGCTGATCGATGATAAAGAGCTCGTCGTCCAGTTTGGGCGCAGCGCTCTGCCTAGCACCACGTTCGCCGTCAGCGCCGTCAACGTCACCGTCGTCATCGACGTCCTCTTCGCCCACGCGGGTCGCTTCGCGGACGGCAAGGATAAAGCCCAGGTTGAACTGCCCAATGACGCGCATCTTGGCAAAGTCGCTCTTGACAATGGTCAGCGCGAGCTTGGCCTCTGCGACGGCCTCAGTGTCGTCAAGGCCGCCGCTTGTGTCGGTACGGGCGTCGTCGTTCCCATCGCCGGCGGCACTCCGGGATTTTTTGTCACCGTTGCCCTCGTTTTGCGAGCATGACGTGTGCCATGACAGGGCCTGCTTTCTAACCAGGGCTTCGTTGGTTTTGAGGACTTGGACGAGCTGCAGAGTCTCGTGCCGCTTTTTGGAGCCGCCTGGTTTCAAAAAGACGCGACTGCGCTTCTCTTCGTCGGTATATCCACGTGCTTCCGTAGTGGTAGAAGAACGGCCGTTTTGGAGGACAGGATCGGTTCCATCCCCATCGTCGTCCTCTTCGTCGGCTTCTTCGTCGGCTTCTTCGTCGGCTTCAACCTCGACTTCCTCCGGCGCTCTACCAGCATCGCGTACAATGTCTTCAACATCGTCCATTTGATGGTGCTCGTCCGGTGTTTTTGGTTTCATTGTGGTGTTCTCCGTTGGCAATGGATTTGACAGGTGGTCATCGTCATCGTCGTTCTCTGCACTGAGCGGATCTTTGTCACCCCCATCATCGCCGGGCATTTCTTGATGGAGATCTTCATCAGCCTCGTCGTCAACTTCTGCATCTGGCCTGTGGCCCATTTCTTCGTCGACGTCTTCATCTTCAGAGCTTCTCTCTGTTCCGTCGTCTTCGCCGATGAATTCTTCGGCATCGTCATCCTCTTCGTCCCCGTCGTCCATCACCTCATCGGCCTCTTCCTCATCCTCTTGCGATGGGCGTCTTGCAGCAGAAAACATTTGCGTTAAACGCCCTCCGAAAGACGGCAATTGTGCCTTTGTCCTCTTCGCTTTCTGCCCTTTGGTTGCGGCCGTTGCGGCCATAGGCCGGCTGTCTCGTGCCGAGTTGCCAACGGCTGTGGTTTTCGGCCGCTTTGCGCTGGCGCTGGACAAGACAGGCATCGACACAGTTGCACCACCGACGGTCACAGTCGCGATTTCATCGGACAGTCGCTTGCGCGGGCCGGGGTACACAACGACGTTCGATGCGTCCTCTCGTGCTTGGTATTGGTTTGGTGTTGGCAATGAGGCGGAGATCTCCTCCCTGACTTGTGCAGCTTCAGGCTCATCTGTGCCGTCTTTTACAGCACTGCTTGCATTATTGGTGTTGTGGCCAGAGCGATCGACATCCCCAGCAGGAGTCTCAGCGATAACTTGTGGCAGCCGCTGTTCACCAGCCTCTTCGTCATCGCTCTCTTTGCCCTGTACCGGCCTTGACAGGGGTGCACTCTTGGCACTCGCGGTGGCAGCAGCAGACGATGGCGCAGAAGGCGGTGCTGCTGCTTTCTTAAAGGCAGTCAGCTTCTGGGAGGACAGCTGCCCGATGGGCACAGTAATGTCCTGCTTCTCAAACAGCTCAATGAGCGACTCGCGCAGCGTGTCCAGCATACGACCTTGATCATGCAGCAGGATGGTCTGCTTGTCCGGGCTGACATTGACGTCGTACAGATGCGTGTCGAGTTGGATGTCGGCAAATATAAACGGCGACTGTCCACTATTGTAGGAGCGGTAGACCTCGCCAAACAGCTGGGCAAACTGCGGCAGCTTGCACGGCCGGCCGTTGACGTAAAACATCTGGCGGTCCGGGGTCTGGCGGCCCTGGCCGTGTGCAGGCCGCGAGACGTATCCGCTGACGTGGACATTGTGGGTGGGCGATGCACCTCCGATGCTTGTTGTGGTGCGCTTGGTCGCGGCCATCTCCAGGGTCAGGTCGAGCGCGAGCAGCGCGCCCATGGTCTTGGCGCCAAACACATTGATAATGTTTTCGCGCGTAGCGGCGTTGCCCTTGGTGGAGAAGAGGACGACCTTCTTGCCCTTGCTCGGCTGCTGCGACACGGTGAACTTGACACCCGTCTGGATGCAGGCGTACTGGTTGAGTAGCCCAATGACCTTGGCCCACTCACGCTTGATGTTGCGCTCGAGCTCGCGCCGGCGCACGGGCAGGTTCCAAAACAGGCCCTCGACGGAGACGGTGGTGCCTTTTTGCGCGGCGACGACGCTCGTCGACCCCAACCGGCCGGATGTTTCAAAGTCAAGCCGTGTGCCTTTGGGGACGTCGGCCGCCAGGCATGTCGTGACGGAAAAGCGCGAGAGAGCGCACAGCGACGACAGCGCCTCGCCGCGGAAGCCAAAGGTCTGGAGAGTGTCGAGGTCGTCGTAGGTGGCGAGCTTGGAGGTGTAGTGCTTGAGCGCGAGGTTGGCATAGTTTTGCGGGGCAATGCCGGAACCGTTGTCCTGGACCTCGATAGCGTCGAGTCCCTGGTTCTTGAAGCGGACCTCGATGCTCGTGGCGCCGGCGTCGAGGCTGTTCTCGACGAGCTCCTTGGCGACGGAGCACAAGTTGACAATGACCTGGCCAGACTGAATGCGATGCACCTGCGATTGTGAGATTTAGCATTCGAGTTACAAGGAAGGGTTCGGCGAGAGAGCAAGCGAAACAACATACAGCCGAGGCGTCAATTGCTTTGATCGTCACGGCCGCCGCTGCCGACGTTGCCGCCATCGTTGACGCCGATCAGAGGGGACAAGACAAAATCATATTCGAGCCTGTAAGGTGGAGAGTGCGTCGTAATGTCTGGCGTGCGTTGATTTTTCGGGACGTCTACAAAGCTGCAGAGTCAACGGTCGCAATACGGCCGCCTCGGAATGTCGTTCAAAGCTCCTGTGGCGTCACATCGGCATGGCACCGTTTCGACGTTTGGTCAGCCTCGTCTCCAAAACGCGTCGCGTCTTCGGCTGTTAAGAGACGCCCCGCCATAGGGCACAAGCCACAGGCGTTGCGACAAAACTGACAGAGGTTGCCTGATATAGACTAGCGCGATATTGATGACTAATTTGAGTGGCTTGGTCATGTCAACATTCGTTCTTATGCACGTGACTCGATTCCATTTGGAGGAACCCCTGACGATGACATCCAGTGGTGATCTCTCACCCTGGCATTTGCCAAGGCCCTACCTGTAACGGCTGTCAGATGGGAAATTGGTTTCGAGCTTCATCCGACCATGGCAGAACTGTCCAGGTAACGCGGGCACAGGCGTGCGAATGTGCTGTTTGAAAGTAGGATCCACCTATAATTTGACATCAAAGCTGCCGAGAGTTGTTTCAATGAAGAAACGGAGAATGGCACGAGCCGTGTTGCCCGTTTTCGCTGAATTCATCCTTGGCCGCCCAACGTGAAAAATATTGGCTCGTGTCCTTTGCAAGGTGTACTCCGTCGATTCGCGAACTCCGCATGATTTTACGACAGGATGTGGAGGACTAATCCTTGCCCATCACAATTAATAAAGGTGTGACTTTGCAGTGCCCAGGGCTCCGTTTTGGGATTGGTTCGCACCCGTGGGCCGTTTCTCATAACGTTTTGCTATGTGAAATGGTGTCGAACAATCTGGAAGAAACGTCAGGCACGTAGTTGCGTTTGCAGAAACAATGTTCGGAGTACCGGCAACGGCATTGGGACGTGAATCCTTGTAGACATGAAGGAAGACGTCGTCTGTGGTGCGAGCGATTTGCTCAGCCTTTGGGGAAAAGCTTCTCTGCGACGATGAGGCTGAACACAGTTGAACGTCTCTTGGCCATGCTTGCTAATTGGGCTGATACCGAAATAAGACGGACATGCGCTGCCGTGTGCGGATAAGGAAAGTTGGCATGGAAATGCTGTTTTCTTGGTTGGACAAGGCTGGTATCTTGGCTGCTGTGCCGCATGTAGAAGCGCTTCAATGCTCGCGAGATATTGTGACTTGATTCAAATACGTAGTAATTACGTCGTAAAAGCAGCATTGGACGCGAGTGCTACTTCTCGCGGGGGCTAACATAGTGATGACGCCGACAAGTCTGTCAAAACGCCGTAGACCATCCTCGTGCATGTTGGCGTTGCAGTAGTCTGGAAGGCCAGACAGGTCTGGCGGGTTGAGGCGCTTCGCTCGGACCCGGGTCAGGCATCTTGCCACTTGTGGCTTGCTGGACTCGGCTGGCTTCCTTCAGATGCAAGAATGTGCGCCAGCCAAATGGCTTTTCTTGCTTCATAATTTGTCTGCATGTTGGCCAACAGCCAGGGGCTGGCATCGATATTGGCCCTTTGGCCATTTGTCCGCGGGTTTGAAGATTCCCCGTCGACAGCCTTTGTACCTTTTCCAGCCGTCCCGGGCCTATGAAACTGGGATGGTTGATATTCGCCCGCACCCGGGCCGACCATTTTGATTATCCAGCTAGGAAGATTGTCTCAATCTGCTTGCGATAGTAAAATCAGCGGTACTGATGTTGTCCAACAGCCTTGGAGCGGTCAGACATGGCTGTGTGATGAGCTCCATCAATTTGAGATGGGTGATTTCGCAGTGGCTTCTTATAAAAACACAATGTGCCAAGAGGCGAGAGCTTCAAAGGGCGGCAACTAAAAGCGGTTGGTAAACCTTTGTCCCGTGCTGCATGTTGGAACCCTATGAAAATGGAGGCGAGGCTAGACGGGACGACAAGGCGAGTTGGCCACAATTTGCTGGCATGTGTTCTCGGCGATTGATCCCATTCACGAGTTGCAAGAACAGCGTTTGAACCGCCAGTGGTGTTGTCGAGCCAAGTTAGTGGACCAGGGTGCAGTGCACATGTCACAGACAATGGCGCATCCAATGAGCTAAGTTAGCCGTGTGCCAACGAAACGTGGTGACGGCCGCAAAAACGGTCAGACGGGGCCATCGAACGAAGTCAAAGGTCTAGATCTTTTTGACGGTTTTGACGCCGATGCTACTCGATGTAGCTTCAGAAGCAGCTTAGGCGACTCCATTCCAAACATGCTTGGCGTACAGAGTGTAAACTGTATTTGGACTGCGTCCCCCAGCCCAGCCTTGTTGTTATCTCCACGAGTTTCCATCCCCGAGTTGAGCGGCAGCCAGGAACACCAACGTTGACAGGCAACGGAAGCTTCCGAGCAGTCACAGACGCGTGGCCAGAGTCGAGCGCAAATAGTCGGCAACCGCGGAGGAGACTACTGCAGGCCAAAGTTTTTCAACTTACGCAATGGGAGAGTACAAAAGAACCAGAAACTAGTGAAAGAGGATAAGGTTAGCATGAAACCAGTAAAAAAAAGAACGCCAAAAACACGCAACACGAGACTTCAAACCTGCAACATTTGCCAAAGAAAAACTCAGCCACTCTGTAAGCCATGCTGGACGCAGATAGCAGCCAATGCGACCCTCCCCCATCGGTGTCACCATCCGAAGTAGAGGTCACCCATACGATCGCTCAAGCAAGGCCCAAACGAAATCAGCACCTTGCAGCGTTGCAGGCATGCAGTAGCGTAGGAAGCTTTCCCTTGTAACAGTTTGGGAGAGCCTTGCGTTGCCGTCGTCATCGGTCGTCTTGGATGTGGCGTATCAGTACCACATGCAGCTCGAAATGGCCAATGGCTGTGTGCTGACATTCGTTGCCTATCGAGTCACGTTCCTAGTCTTCCCTTTCTTTGTTCTATTGTTTATATTTTTTATTTCTTGTTTTTCTTCTTCTATTCGTTTTTTTTTTTTTTTTTTTTTTTTTTTTTTTTAGTCGCATGCTTTGTGGCTGGCGGTCGAGACCACTTAAGAGGCAGACGGACATCGCGCGCGGCACGACAGAGCATGAGGCATAATTGTCGGCCATACAAAGAAAAAAAGAGAAAACGAGGGAACAGGGCGGGTTGGCTGGAAAGCAAAGAAAAAAACTGCAGAGACGCAACAAGCACAAAATCAAGACGGGGCCTAAGGATTTTGCCATTTTTGCTGCTCCACAACCCACTTGTCGGGGACACTATGAGACTATTTAGGAAGGCAGCGGAGACAACAGCCACGGGCGTTCCTGCAATTGCACAATTTTGAACAATTGCGCGCCTGCCTTATACTTGTTTTTAGTTCCTTCCGTGAAAACGCTCTGTACGAGCGCAATTGCACCTTTTTCGACTCGGCAGGTGCGAATCAGCACTGGGGACCTGTCGTACGAACAAAATTGTCAAAATGGGGAAGGACACAAGCAACTGAACGGTTTTGGTCCCCCGATCGTCGCTGCTCTTACCAGAAGTTGGCTTAAAACGGGAAGGCGCTACTTCTAATCTCCTGCGGACCCCCTCTTGCTGCGACTGAACGGGGACCAGTTAGCAAACTGTTCACGCGTCGGCGGTATTAAGATACCTTCGTCCCTTCCCTGTCGCTCATCGCTCTTTCCCCCGTCAAATCCGAAGCGCAGCCGCCATCGCCCATCAGTGACTGCAGTTAGCTCGACTTTGGTCAGGCCATTTCCAGCACCAGGATAATACAGACCAGGCGCCCAACAGCGCGTGAGATCCTCTGTGTCGTCCTCGTAATTTGCACTGTTTTATTTCCTGTCGTCCATCGTACCTGGCTTGTCGCCCTGCCGCTCCTTGCACCTGCCGCTCCTTTCCATCTGCCATTTCCCCATTTTGGTTGTTTCCCTTCTTTCGTCTTTTTTGTTTCGTTCCTTCTTTTTCGAGTGTGTGTTTCTGTTTCTGTGTTTTTTCGTCGTATCTCCCATTCCCTTGTCTCCCTTTCCTCTCTCGATTCGTTTCCCCCTTCTTCTCTCCCCTTTCTCCATTCCGCTCCGGCCACATCCCCCAGCGCCGCCCATTCCTCACCCTCCCCCATCGACTCACCAACCACGGCCGCCAGCGAAAGCGACGGAGAGGTGCAGGTCCTCCCCCTGGGATGCAGAATCCCGCCTCTGGCTTCTCTGCCGGCGACAATTCCACTGCTAGAACGTCCAATGGTGCGGCCCTGGCATCGCCGACTTTGCCCACAGCAGCCTCCAAGACCAGCACGACGACAACCCCTATTCCGAGCACCAGCGTCCCGACCAGCCTCGACACTGCCCTCAGCAGCCATCCGAGACACTCCTTGCCTGCGCTGGATCCGCTCTCGCGCGCATTGAGGCCGTCGCCGTCGAGCCCGACTTCGGACTCGCCCTTGGCCTCTGCATCAGCCTCAACGTCGCCCTCGACAGCGCCAGAAACACCACGCGCCAGCCTTGATTCGCGACCGTTGTCCGCCCGCAGTCGGCGTAACGGCGCCCCGTCCTTGTCCATCCCATCCGCCCACCGCGACGCAAAGACGCGGAATGGGCTGGCTCGTCTGGCGCCTATAGTCCCCTTTTCACCGCCGGCCACCGTCCTGTCCTCCACCGCGACTCGGCGATCGCCAACCTCCTCGCCCGCGCCCGCCTTCTCTCTCCCACCTGCGGTCTCGACCGCTGCCTCGACTTCTGCGTCGGCCGCGACCCTGGCCGCCTCTACCCCCTTGCTCGCCTTGTCAGGCAATACTCCCGCGCGCGGCGCTACTAGCAACCATCTCGACGACGACAGCGGAAGCCGCACCGGCGGCAGCAGCGGCATTGCCTACCGGAGCAACGGCAACGGTAACGGCATCGTTAGCGCCGGCTTTGGTTCGCCTGCGCCCAGGTACGCGATTGCGTCAGGGGCGAACGCCGTCCCCCAGCCCATCATGGAGAAGTCGCCGCGGCCGGAGCGGCCAGTCGTTCGCCGGCCACCACGCGCACGAAGCCCATGGGGCATAACCCTCTTGACGTTGTCCGCCTCGCTGCTCGGCGCTGTGCTGCTGGGCTTGATCCTCAAGTCGTTTGTTACACGACAGTTTGTTCTGGATCCCAAAGGCTGTCGTATGTCCTATATGAGGCCCTCCTACGCGCACCTGAGCGAGTTCGACACCGAGCACACTAGGTTCGCCAGTAAATACTCTCTATATTTATATCGAGAGCAGGGTGTTGATGACGAGACCAAGGTATGTCTGGGAAGGCGAAGTAGTCGAGCTTTTTTTTTTAAAAAAAAACAAAACCAGCGTTCAGATCACACAGTCCGCTGACACACTCCACAGCTGAAGGGCATTCCCGTCCTTTTCATCCCGGGCAATGCTGGCAGCTACAAGCAGGTCCGCCCCATCGCCGCCGAGGCCGCAAACTATTTCCATGACGTCGTGCAGCACAACGAGGCCGCCATCCGTGGTGGTGCGCGCAGCCTCGACTTCTTCACCGTCGACTTCAACGAGGACATTACGGCCTTCCATGGCCAGACGCTATTGGACCAGGCCGAATACCTCAACGAAGCCATCCGTTACATTCTTTCTCTCTACCTCGACCCGCGCATATCCGCCCGCGAATCCGATACGCCCGACCCTACCTCCGTCATCATCCTCGGCCACTCCATGGGCGGCGTCGTGGCCCGCACGATGCTCATCATGTCCAACTACCAGTCCAATTCGATTAACACCATCGTGACGCTTTCGGCCCCCCACGCCCGCCCACCAGTGACGTTTGACAGCGAAATTGTCAAGATCTACAGCGACATCAACGACTACTGGCGCCATGCTTACTCCCAGCAGTGGGCCAACAACAATCCCCTGTGGCATGTCACGCTCGTGTCCATCGCGGGCGGCGGCCTCGACACCGTTGTGCCCTCTGACTACGCGAGCCTGGAGTCTCTCGTTCCCGATACGCACGGGTTTACTGTCTTCACTACCACGATTCCCAATGTCTGGACCAGCACGGACCACCAGGCTATTTTGTGGTGCGATCAGTTCCGCAAAGTCATCTCCCGCGCCTTGTACGATGTTGTCGATGTTCACCGTGCGACGCAGACGAAGCCGCGCGCCGAGCGCATGCGAGTGTTCAAGAAGCACTTTCTCACCGGCATGGAGTCCATTGCTGAGAGAGACGTGCCGTCCAAGGAGCCCACGACGCTCCTGACCCTCGAGGACAACTCCAACGCCATCGTTCCCCAGGGCGACCGTCTCGTTCTGCGCAGCTTTGGCGACTCGCCCCGTCTCAAGGCCCATCTCTTGCCCATTCCGCCGGCTGGGTCGCCCGTTGGCAGGCAGTTCACTCTGCTGACCGACCAGCAGCTCGACAAGCCCGGCGACGCTGGCAAGTTGGAAGTCTTGTTCTGCAGCGTTTTCCCACTGCAGTCGGGCCAGGCTGGCGTGTTTCCGATCAAGATGGACCTGTCGGGCGAGGGCACTGGTTCCACGCGCCTGGCGTGTAAGAACGCCGCGTCAGATGTCATTGTACTGCCTGCTTCGCGGCGCAGCTCCCGCTATCCCTTCACTCTCGGTGAAGAGCGGGAGGCGAGCCCGTTCTCCTACCTTCAGTACGACATCGAGCACATCGCGGAGCATCAGTTTGTCGCTGTCATCGACAAGGCCACGGGGCATGCTCCGGGCTTCCTCATCGCCGAGTTCAGCGACAACTCCCAATCGCACCGCGTGCGCGAAACCAGCCTTCATAGCATGCTCGCCTTTGGTCTCAAGTTCCGGCTACCTGCCAACCGCCCCATGGTGACAGATGTCAAGATCTCGTCGCTGCAGTCCAGCCTCCTGGCCTACCACTTGGACATTGGAAACCAGGCTTGCGGCGAAGAGGCAGAGATCTTTACGCCGCTTGTGCGCCAGCACCTGTCAGCACCATTCGAGTCCAAGTACTATGTCAACGCGCGCCAGGCCAGTGTCAGTGTTCACGGCGTGGCACCCTACATGCCCCCGCCATTGAACCGGCGTCTCTCATCCGAAGACGGCCTGAGCTTCCAGTTCTGGACCGACCCGACCTGCAACTCGAGCATCCAAGTGCATCTTTCCGTCGATGTAATGGGCAGCATGGGCAAGCTGTATATGCGCTACCGGACTGTTTTTGCCGCCTTCCCTGTACTGATTGTTGCCCTTGTCCTGCAAAAGCAGTTCCGGATCTATGACGAGACGGGCATTTTTGTCACCTTCTCTGAGAGTCTGGACATGTGCCTTCGCAAGTCCATCCCTGTTGTTGTAGCGGTTTTGACCGTGTTTTCCCTGTCCATTGGAGGTCCCCAGGCAAGCCAGTCGTCTCCTGGCTTTTGGAACTGGCGAAATGCCACCGATGTGGCCGTTGACTTTCATAAGAACGACCTTCTTGTGGGTACACAGGACCCATTCTACTGGTTCCTCATCCCCCTCATCAGCGTCATCTGTATTGGCGTATGCACGGCCGTCAACTATGCTGCTCTGGCCTTGACGCATATACTGGGCCTCGCCCTAAGCCTCGCGGTTTCCCGTCCGGGCTGGGTACGCCACGACGATCGCCGTCGGGCGTCCCAGCATCTGGCCCATGCAGCCGACCCGCTCCAGCAGCAACAGCAGACGGCCGCAAGCCAGCTACAATCCCAGCAGTACTTCTCACCGGCCTTTATCCAGTCGACGCCGCGTCGCCGCTTGATCACCACGGCCGTGCTCCTGTTTCTGGTATCCACGGTCGTTCCCTATCAGTTTGCCTACCTTGTCGCTTGTCTCGTCCAGATTGCGACCACCGTGCGGGCCTTGCGTGTGGCATCCGATCTGCGGTCGACGGTTAACTACAACTTTTACAACTACGTTCACTCGATCCTCATCCTGATGCTGTGGATTCTTCCCATCAACCTCCCAATTTTGGCCGTCTGGATTCGGAATCTGGCCGTCCATTGGCTGACGCCGTTCTCGTCCCATCACAACGTGCTCTCAATCATGCCATTCATCGTCTTGGTCGAGACGCTCACGACCGGCAGGATGGTGCCTCGTGTGACCACGCGGCTAAAGTACGTTGTGAGCTTCCTTCTCTTCGGCGTTGCTGTTTCCGCCGCTGTGTATGGCGTGTCGTACGCCTACATGATTCATCACCTCGTCAACCTTGTCGTGGCCTGGTTGGTGACGGTCCATTCGACAGGCGACTCGGAGATTTGGTCGGGGGCAGTGCTGACGGACCTGTTCGAGAACGGGACCACGGACAGAAAACAGGGCAAGTCGCCATAGCACTAGGCTTGGTATTTGCTTTTGTTTCATTCAGCGACCATGACTCTTCTTTGTCACATTTTGGCTTTTTTTTCTGATGCCGCACTCACTTCTATTTATTTGAGCGGGCGTGGTGTGCTGGAGGTTGCTGTATTTGATTTGCGTTTCTCCATACCTCTTCTGCGAGCATTCTTGTTTTTGTTCTTCTCTTTTCCATTATGCTCCCGCTTTTTTATTACCCCTGTTTTTGTGTATTGCATATGGCGGTCGTTATACTCCATTTTTCATACCTTTATTGCCATCTATTGTTAATCTATCTCCGTTTCAACCTGTCCACAGCCAGGTAGAAACGGAGATGCTTCCTTTTCGTCTTCCTTTTTTTTTTTTTTATTTCACTTGGCAGACTGGCGCACCGGCGTTTTCTTTTCTTTTTCTTCTTGCTTTTCTCGCCCATTCATGTGGCCGCATGAGCCGGGACAAAGTGCGCGGGACGAGTGCGATGCTACGACGAAGCAGAGCCGCAGTCGTACCCGGCAATTCTTGTTCCTGGCACCTGCCAACCGCCTTCTTCTCATACTACATTTTCCTTTCTAACGTTTTATGTGTTATTTGTCTCTTTTTGGCCTTGCTCTTTGTTCTGTTTTATATTCACGCACAGGCATACAAGACATGAAAGAAGGAGAATCTGGTGCGAGGTGGAAACGAAACCCACCGACCAAAAGAGGGACTAGAGGGAGGCATATGTCTAGAGAGCAGCGATGCGGCTACCCTCTCTGTGCCTCTCATAATTTTGTATACTTTACATATATGTACATAATTTGACGTGTTGTCACCGCTGGTCTGTGTTTATTGACGGGACAAAAGCGGAAGGGCAAAAGTATAGTTGCGGACAGCGGGGAGAAAGACAGCCCACACGGACCAATACGGCATATCATCTAGCCATTAATGTTTAGCTCTTTATTTTCTTGAACCATAGAACGTACTTTTGTGAGATGGAAATTGATACGGACAAGAAATTTTGGTAGCCTATGATATGATAGTATGAAGTATGACGGTAATAAAAATTCCGAATGCGCCAGAAAGAACGCCCAAAAGAAAAAGAAAGAAGCAACAAGTCCAAAATACAGAAAACGTGCATGAAAGTGCAGTGGCAAAGCTTTCAACAGATTGCAAAACATGGCATCACATTGTAGCAAAAAAGACATCCATTTAGGTCTCCGCAGGCGCAGGAGCAGAGCCGTTTGCCTCGAAACCGTCAATAGACAGAGTGACTGCACCGGCTTGCACGAGCTGGATTTGTTAACATATGACTCTACCCATGGCACGAAAATACAAGGCGAGGTAGGAACTTACTGCGCGCTGCAGATCGTCAATCAAATCGTGGACGTCCTCGATACCGACACACAGCCGGATAATGTCCTCGGGCATCTGGCGCTCCTGGCGGATCTTGGCGTCGATGCTCGCGTGGCTCATCTGGCAGGGCATGCTGATGAGGCTGTTGACGCAGCCGAAGCTGACGGAAATGCCCCAGAGGCGCGTCGCCTCGACAATGCGCTCCGACAGCGCCGGGTCGCCCGTCTCAAAGGACAGCACGGCGCCCGCGCCGCGTGCCATGGCCCAGTGCAGGTCGTACTGCGGGTGCGACGCGAGGCCGGGGTAGCGCACGCGGAAGCCGTGGCCCTCGAGGAACTCGGCAATCGTCTGCGCGTTGGCCTGCTGCTTCTCCATGCGGATGGCCAGCGTCTTGACGCCGCGCATGAGCAAGAAGGAGTCGTTGGGCGCCAGGCCGCAGCCGGTGGTGTTGATCATAAAGTAGAGCTCGTCGGCGAGCTTGGCGTCGTTGCAGGCAATGATGCCGGCCATGATGTCGTGGTGGCCGGACAGGTACTTGGTGCCGGACTCGTAGGTGATGTCGGCGCCGACGTCGAGGGGGTGGAAGAGCAGGGGCGAGAGCATGGTGTTGTCGACGACGACGAGGGCGCGCGGGTTGGCGGCGTGCGCGGCCTTGGCAATGGCGGGGATGTCGACGATCTTGAGGAGCGGGTTCGTCGGGGTCTCGAGCAGGACCATGGCGGTCTTGTCGGAGACGCGCGCGACGGCCGCGCCCACGTCGGTCGTGTCGACGTGGTGCACGACAATGTTCTGCTTGCGGGCCAGGTACGTCAGCAGACGGTTGGTGCCGCCGTACAGGTCGTCGCCCGTAATGACCTCGTCGCCGGGCGACAGCAGGCGGGTGATGACGTCGAGCGCGCCCATGCCCGAGCCGACGGCGAGCGCGCGGTTGGCGTTCATGATCTTGGCCATGTGGCGCTCGAGGTGCGTGCGGGTGGGGTTGCCGGAGCGGGTGTAGTCGTACTCGCTGCCACCGGTGGCCGAGGTCTGCTTGAACGTGGCGGACTGGTAGATGGGGATGCTGGAGGCGCCATGCTGGTCCTTGGTCTCGGTGTAGACCAGCTCGGTTGCGAGGGCATAGCGTCGGCGGCCGTTGGACGGGCTGGAGGGGGCGGGCGACGGCGGCAGGTTGTGGCCGTCCAGGTCGACGCGGGATAGCACCTTGGAGACGGGCTTGTCGGCCATTGTGTTGGAGGAGGAGGAAAAGGAGGAGTATGGAGAGAGGTGTTGAAAAAGGATATGTGAGGATTGAATGGGAACGAAGTGACGATGGACTCTTTTGGGTCTTTTCGTTCTGACTCGCGTGACTCACAGAGGTCCCTGGTGGACGGGTCGAGCGAGCGAAGCGGAAATCGGACACAGAAATCCAACGGGCCAGTGGTAAAGACAGCCAGTGGAGGGTTTTGTCGGCTCGGCGGTGAAGGGGAAACGAAGCAATTGAGCGATGTAAACAATTGCCAGAAATTGTTCAAGCCGGGTTGGACTTTCTTCGGCAGATCAAGACAATGTGGGAGGAAAGAGCAGAGTCAATGAAAGGGGGGAAGGGGCGAACGACGGCAGGCGGGAAAAAAAGCGACGGCGGATTCGTTCGCTACAGGAATTTATGTTTAAGTATGCGGCAGGGGACGTGAAGAAAAGGAGGTAGAATGCAAAAATAAGCTCTTGTGCTGCAAGGCGTGCTCGCGATGCAATTGCGAATTCCGTGAGATTGGCTGCAATTGAACTGCTTTCTGCTTTCTGCCGACCGCCTTTTCGTGTCTCTCAAAGAATGCGCGGTGGACGCAGTCTGTTGGCTCCTTCCCTATCTAATTTTTTGTGGCCATTTTGGGCGGTGGTTGCAGCAATTGAGCCGATGCGCGGAGTTTGGCAGGTGCTGTCGGGTTCCACAAGTGGGTGCTCTGTGCTCACCGAACCGCACCTTCCCCGCCAACTTGTCTCAGCGGGCTGCAGTACATTAGTTTCGGTGAAAGGAATGGGATGAGCAAAGTACCAAGCTAGCACCTGGTTCGCCACAGGAATTTGGATTGCAAAATGACGTGCTCAGCACCGGCCGCGACTGCCATTTGGGCCATTTGGGCCGCCAGGTAAGAGTCATAGTCGGATAAGGGCATATTGCTTTTTACGTTATATGCGTTTCATCGCCATTCGTACTATTACAATTGACTTCACAATAGTGCGATGGAGGGCTTCATAAACTACCAGAAATAAAGACCATACAAGGAAAGAAGAAAAACGCCGTCGTATGCTCGGTATCCCAAATCAAGAGTAGAATATAGCCTGTGCAAACTCCCCAATCCCATCATATAGTAAAAACCAAAGAAAACGAGAGAAGCAGGGGAGGCAAGCAAGAAGAAACAGCACATAAAACCAGGTCCAAGATCCGATCTATCCCTCTATCGCAGTCTAAAGCAGGTCGATTGCGTCGCCTTCCGCGTGCCGCGTGCTGCGCCTAGTCCAGTGCAGGGACGATGTCCGTCTGGTCGGCGGTTTCATCAACATCCTCGTACTCGTCGTCGTCGCCGTTCCGGCTGCTGGCCGACTTGGACGCTCCTGTCCGCCGCTTGGCCGACGACGACGCTGCCGAGGACCGACGGTTGCTCCGCCGCCGGCTGCCGGTGTCCTCCGTGGTGGTGTAGCTCTGGGTCTCGGAGGCCTCGCCGGTCTTGGCCGTCCGCGGGGGCAGAGGGCCGACGGGAAGGGCGGCGCTGCGGGGGAAGAAGTCGTCGGTGCGGAGGCCGCGCACGTCGGCCGGGTTGATGGCGGACATGCGCTTGCCGGAGGCGCGGTGGGCGCGCAGGAACTCGCGCATGGGCATCATGGCGGCGTCGCGGCACAGCTCCTTGAGGTCGCTGCCGGACATGCCGCTGGTGACGCGGGCAATGTACTCAATGTCAAAGTCGTCGTCGTCGCGCTTGGTGTCGCCGAGCACGAGCTGCAGGATGCGGCGGCGCTGCTGGACGCCGGGCAGCGTGACGGGGAACTTCTTGGGCATGCGGCGCAGGATGGCCTCGTCAATGTCGTGCATGCGGTTGGTGGCGCCGAGCACGACGATGCGCGAGGGCACGCCGGCGGCGTTGGACGACGTCAGGCCGTCCCAGAGCGTCATAAACTCGGCCTTGACCATGCCGCTGGCCTCGTGCTCGCCGCTGCGGCGCGTGCCCAGGACGGCGTCGATCTCGTCGATGAAGATGATGGCGGGCTGCAGCTTGCGGGCGAGCGAGAAGACGGCCCGCACAATCTTGTTGGAGTCGCCGTACCACTTCTCCGTCATGGTCGAGATGTGCAGGTTGATAAAGGACGCGCCGCTCTCGTGCGCCAGCGCCTTGGCCAGCATGGTCTTGCCGCAGCCCGGCGGGCCGTGAAGCAGCACGCCCGACGGCGCGGCCAGCAAGGACCCGGCGTGCGAGTAGAGGTGCGGCATGGTGAGCGGGTAGATGACGGACTCTTTCAGCTCCTCGATGATGTCGTCGAGGCCGCCGATGTCGTCAAAGCCGACGGAAATGTCGTTGGGCGCCACGACCTCCATCGCAATCAAGTTCTCGTACTCGTTGAGCTCCAAGTCTTCGGGTCGCGGTCCATCGCGTCGTGACGCGCCGTTCCTGTCGCCGCCGCTGCCCGACCCCCCCTCGCCGTCGTCGTCGCCGTCACCGTCGCCATTCTCGGCGTCTCGCGACCGAAGCAGGCGCTGCAGGTTGGCCTTGGCCTTGCGGCGGTTCTGGTCGCTCTTCTCCTTTTCCGGGTCGGCGAAATGCGACGAGAAGGTCGAGAGGACGTTTCGGGCGAGGAAGTAGGCGGTGGCCGTCTGTGGTCCACGTTAGCGGGTGTCTTGTTCTCTCCCCCCCTCTCTCAGTTCTGTTCGAAAGTCTGTCGGACGTTTCGTCCCGTCAGGGATGCCAGGAAGACCAGGACGACCAGGAAGACCAGAATCGCTCACCATTCCAGCGAAGAACACGAGGTCCAACACATAGTCGCCGACTCGTTTTCTGTCCGACATGGCGAGGAGACCGCAGGCGACTGCGGGAAACAGCGCCGGGTTACAATGAAAATGGATGGAATCGCAAAGCAGTCGACTGCCATAAAACCAGCGCTGCAGGTTCTGCCGGAGGAGCGCGTTGGGGTCGCGCCGAGGATCGATGGCTTTAAAGTGGTTTTATGTGTCGCAGTTTCGCGGGCCAATTTTCGCCGATGCCTTGTGGCGGCAACGACCAAAGACCACTGGACTCAGCGCACACGCTTACGTCGCAGGGTCGGAAGGAGCCCTCCTGTCGAGGTTCTGGTTCGAGCCGCGGGCCAATCACATGTGATAAAGTGGGTCCTGCCGCGTGCGCATTTGCTCTTTCCTCCATCTGTCTCTGCTCCGAAAAGGGAAAGAACAAAGTGGGTCCACAAGGAAACTGCGACTGGACGCGTTGCCCGTACAACCATCGCGTACACACAAGGCCAGCCAATCAGCGCCTGACTAGCGCCCCTGTCCTGGCTCCAGCTGCCTCCCACCTTTTCATCACATCTATCTTTCGACTACGGTCAATCTGTGTCGATGATGTGCCTTGTGTGGACTTGTGCGCTCTTTGACGTTTGCTCACGTTTCTTGTCCCCTCTTTTTGACGATTGTCTTTCTCTACAGCAGAGCAGCACAAATTGGCCTGGTCCCGCCATTCTTCGCGAGGCTGTCGTTCCCTTCTATTTTGCTCTTTTTCTCGCTCGAATTGTCTCACAACTTGACGCGCTCCTCTTCCAAAACAAAACACACCTGGACCCGCCCGTCCACTGCCCCATCATCCACCCCTCTTCACCTCCCTGTCTGCGTTCCGGCATCACATGGCGAGAACAAGGGCACCTTCCCACCTGCTGAGCTTGGTCGAGTCGGATTCGGACGACGATCTGGGCGTGTTTCACGGCAAGACAACCGTGGCTGCAGTAAAGGCGAAGACGGCGGCGACAAACACAACGGCAGCGTCCGCATCCATTCGCGACATGCCGCCAGCAAAGCGAGGCCGGCCCCCGGCGACGGCGGCAGCAACGAGTAAGGTCACAAAGGCAGCGCAAAAGACGGCCGCGACGCGTCGTGCCGGTGAGCGACGAGGAGCGGCGGCGGCTGCTGCTGTCGCGGCCGACGACACCTCCACAGCAGCGAAACCAACGACGGCAGCACGGAGCCAGCGCGTGCTCGCTGACAAGACCAACGAGATGGCCGTCGAGCCAGCCGAGCCGACGACAGCAGCACCAGCCAAGGCACGCGGGCGGCCAGGGCGCAAGGCCGCAGCACCTCCTGTCACAGACGTGGTGGCGTCCGAAGCAGAGACGGAGCAAGAGACGGCTGCAGAGGCAGAGGCAGAAGATGCACCGGCTGTGCCCAAGAAGCGCGGTCGCGGCCGGCCCAAGGCGACGACAAACGAGAACGAGGACCAGCAGGCCGCGAAGCCGGCCAAGCGGGGACGGCGATCGGCTGCATCCACTGTCGACGGCGATGTTTCGATGGCGACGGACGGCGATGAGACGGCCGACATGGACGAAAACGCCGCAGCTACCACCACGGAGCTGGCCGACACAATGGAGATTGAGCCGACCGAGCCCGCGAGCGTCGATGCCAGCAGCGTGTTCCAGTCGCCACAGCGCCACAGCCGGCCGCACGCGCCAGCACCACCCTACGCGCGGCGCGCGCGAGGCGGCTCGACGACGGCCGGTGGGTCGGATGACGCGTCGGTGCGCCGGCGGTTGGGCGAGCTGACCAAGAAATACGACGCTCTCGAGGCACGGTATCGCGACCTCAAAGAGATTGGTGTCAAGGAGGCCGAGCGCAACTTTGACCGGCTCAAGAAGCAAGGTGACGACCGAGCGAAAGGTGCGCTGCCAGTTCCCCCCCGTAAGCATCCTTTTGTCCCAGGAGAGCACTGACTGACTGACATAACCACAGCATCCAACGACCTGATTGCGAGCCTCAAGGCCGAACTGGCGTCGTTCCGCGAACTGACCAAGGATGGCGCCAAGGTCCGGCGGGACTGGGAGGCCAGTGAGGCCCGTGCAGCGGATCTGCAGGCCCAGGTGGGCGAGCTCAAGAAGGCGCTCGACGACGCCAAAGCAGCATCCAAGACGCTGTCCACGAAACTGGCCGCCGCACGCACAGCCGCCGAGATGCCGGCCCTGCCGGCCGGCATGGCGGTGCCGGGAAGCGCGATCAAGGCGTCGTCCAAGGCGTCGTCGGCGCCCGCCAACGCGCGGGCCGCCGTCGAGGCCATGCAGGCTAACAGCCAGATGGCGCAGCTCAAGGAAGACCTGTACGGCGACCTGACGGGACTGCTGGTGCGCTCGGCCGTGCGCCAGGGTGGCCGCGAGATGTACGACTGCATCCAGACGGGGCGCAACGGCAGCCTGCACTTTAAGCTCTGCATCGACGAGGACGACGCAGGCGATGGCGCGGCCGGCGACGACAGCGCGCAGTTTGTGTACACGCCGCAGCTCGACGACCGCCGCGATGCCGCTCTCATTGAGCAGCTGCCGGACTACCTCGTCGAGGAGATCTCGTTCCCGCGCCTGCAGGCTGCCAAGTTCTACAAGCGTGTCATGCAGGCCCTGACGGAGGACCAGTAGGTTGGGTGGGGAAGGCAGCCGGCGTTGTTGCATTTGTGTATTTGTGCATTTTTGTTCTGGCGTTGATTGCTGTGTGCTTGCCGATGCGGTTCATGATGCATCTGTTTGCATGTCCTTTTACATTAATTCAAATCCGATACACATTTCTGTATACACATCACGGTGGCGTGCATTAGATTCTCTTTTGCCTGGATTTTCAAGCATCCACGAGCGTATCTTTATGTATTCAAGCGTATGGATTTACTCGTCTATCACCAACAATTTGTTTCTACTCCTACCAGCTAGTTCGTAGCCGCCTCCCGTCAAAGACTGTCATTGTCGCTGTTCTTTGCGCCGACGTCGTGGTCGACCACATCCTCGAGGACCGTCATGCCCTTCTTGCTGGCCGTCAGCCGCGCCCGCTTCAGCATCCGCGTGTCGCGCTCGGTGCGGCGGGTGACCCACCACGTCAGCAGCGTGACGACGACGCCGCCGGCCACACAGGCCATGGCGGCCGTGAAGCTCTGGCGGTAGCGCGGCGCGTACTTGGCGCGGAAGATTTGGGGGCCGATGGCGCCGCCGATCTGGCCGTAGCTGTTGACGAAGCCGATGCTGAACGCCGAGCCCGTGGCGTGGGCCGTGGTCTGGACGCGCCAGGGCCACATGAGCGGATAAAAGGTGGCGGACACGGAGTTGCCAATGAGGGTGGCCGCGTAGACGCCGCCGTCGGACGGGTAGGCGACCATGACGCCGTAGCAGGCGAGGACAATGGCATAGACGGTCAGCGGATAGACGGGGCGGGGCAGGCGGCTCTTGTCGGCGAAGTAGCCGGTGAGGGCGATGAGGACGATGCTGAGGATGGAGACGGGCAGGTTCAGAAGCTGCGCCTGCGCAATGGTCCTGGGGGTGTTAGAAGAGAGGGATACCAGCAGATAAACAGATACAACGCAGAGATGTTGAGGCAGAACGCAGACGAGAACGCACGTGTAGCCGAGATTGGCAATGACGGTGGGCTGGAAAAAGGAGACGCCGCTGGTGCCGACGGTGAAGAAGGCCCAGATGAACGTAAAGAGCCAGAGCCGGCTGTCCCTCAAGGCGGCGGTCAGCTCGCGCAGGTTGAAGTTGAGCTCGTCGGCGCGCGGCGCGTTGGGCGGAAGACGGGCCTGGATGAAGGCCTTTTCCCGCGGCGTCAGCCACTTGGCCGTGTCGGGGACTGCGACTGTCAGCATGGGTCAAGGCGGTGCGGAAGTGCGGAAGAAAAGCATACAGCGCCAGGGAGGGGACATACAGTCAGGCAGCAAAAAATAGATGGCAATGCCGATCAGCACGGTGACGATGCCCTCGACAAGGAAGAGCCTAAGGGAGAGAGGACCGTCAATACACTTGAAAATCACAAGAAGCACAATGTCGGCTCGCGCTCACCATTGCCAGCCAGAGAGGCCGCCGTGGCCCGAGGCGTAGTCAAAGCCATACGCCAAAAGGCCGCTGATGATGCCCGAGAAGCTGCCAAGGCAGTCTGTCGCTGTCAGCCGGGTCCCGAAAGCGGCACAAAATAGAAGAGCCCGTCCCACACGCACAGAAATACAGCAGCCGGATCGACATCTCGTCGGGCCGGTACCAGTAGGTCATTTGCAGGATGACGCCGGGGAACATGCCGGCCTCAAACAGGCCCAGCAGGAAGCGCGTCGCGTAGATGCCGCCCTTGTTGCGCACGGGCACGTGGCACAGCAGCGCAATGCCCCACGACACGATGATGCGCGCCTGCCAGACGCTCGGGCGCGCGCGCTTGAGCAGCAGGTTGGACGGCGCCTCCAGGACAATGTACGGCACGTAGTACAGCACCGTCAGGAGGCTGTACTCGTCCGACGTCAGCTGGAGCTGCGCCATGATGTTGCGCGGCGTGCCGGCGTTCATGATGCGCGCGTTGGAGAGGTTGGCCGAGTCGAGGTTTTTGATGAGGAAGATGAGCGAGCACAGGATCATCATGCGCACGTCCACCCGCCGCATGAGCTTCTTTTCCTCGGCGGCCGTCAGCGCCGACCGCGCCCGCATCCGCGCGGCGTCGTAGCCGTCAATGTCCGCGTCGGTGCTGGCGCCGACCGTCGCGAGGTCGACCTCGGCGCCGCGCTGGGCGAAATGGAGGTGGTGGCCGCCGTCGTGGCCGTGGACAGTGAGCTCGCCGTCGGTCGACACAGCCGACGAAGGCTGCACGCTGACGGCGCTGACGGCCGCTTCTTTGCTGTCGGCCATGCTATCGGGTGTCGCTGAGGACAGGAGGGTGGGCAGAAGGAAAGGTGCCGATAAATGGCCGATGGAGGGCTATGGCTTATGCACAGTGTTGGGTTGTTGGATGATCAACTGCCAGTAGCCGTGGACATCCGTTCTCGCAAGGTTTATGTAGCATGCAGCTCTTATATCTTATGGCCGTGGACATGCACGCCAAAGAGACGACCGATCATGATATCCATCCGGCGTGTTTGGTGATGCAATCGATGGTCCAAAGCATGTCTCTGGACAAGGCCAAGACCGGCTTTTCCGTGGAACGATGGGAATGTTGAATTGATTTTAACTGAAATTAATTGAAAAAAGAAGAAAAACGCCCCGTCCAGGAAGCTTCGGAGGGTCAGACGTTGCCTACCAAAGCTTCGTTTGTTTTGTGTTTGTTGTAGTAGTTTCGGCTCTATACAACACCTCCTAAACCATATCAAGTACACTGTTTTTCTTGAACACATTCACGTCCTGCACGCACTTCCCGGAGGATATTATGATACTCTCCGCCGTGCGCAAGATGTCGCCATTATGGCGTCGTTGGAGGCTGGCCGGAGCGTTCTAATCGATAAGAACACGGCCCACCGACTTACACGACTCAGCGCATTCAGGGACCTGTCACGTTGCCGATCATGCGGAGACTTTACCACGGACGTTTGCCGTTCGCATTTGGGGCAAGGCTTGCAACCGCCGACAAGGCTATCGCGGAAATTCCGTCGTGGACAAAGTATTAAAAGGTGTAAGTGGCCTTGTTGGCTCAAGACGTCGGGTGTCGTATGTCGCACGCGTCACGCTCCCAGTGATAGAACATTATAGTCGCACACGCTCTATAGTACTAAAGCACTAGCACCATAGTATACGCTCATCCACAATGGCCGCAGTAGAGACACTCCCGCTCCCGCCGACGGGCGTCGAGGCACCGAACCTGACGTACAAGCAGGTCCCCGAGACGGCATACGATCGTGAGTCTAGGCGCCCTTCACCCCTTTGGTAGCGATTGCCATTCTGTCGATGCAAACTGACCGTTCCCGCGCCTCCCCCCAGTCGAATGGGCCCAACTTGCCACGCTCGACCTGTCGACGTTCGACCAGCCCGGCGGCAAAGAGGCCCTGGCCAAGCAGCTCGAGGCCGCCATCCAGTCCGTCGGCTTCTTCTACATTGTCAACTTTGGCCTGAGCCAGGAGGAGGTCGACCGCCAGTTTGCCATTGGCAAGTCTGTGTTTGAGCTGCCGATGCACGAGAAGCTCACGTACCGCGCCGACCTCGAGCACGGCGGCTACAACGGCTACAAGCCGCTGGGCCTGCGCGAGGTGACGCCCGGCATCACCGACAACACGGAAATCTACAACATCCCCAAGTTCATCCCCGCCCACGCCGAGCGGCCCCATCCGGCCGTGATCACGGCCAACCGGCCCGAGATTGAGCACTTTGCCCGCCACATCCACGACCACATCGTCGGCAAGCTGCTCGTGCTCTTTGCCCTGGTCCTCGAGCTGCCCGAGGACGCCCTGACCGCCCACCACCGCTACGACGAGCTGTCCGACTGCCACCTGCGCTACATGAAGTACCACCACCGCAGCGCCGCCGACAACGCCAAGCTCGACAACGTCTGGGTCAAGGGCCACACCGACTTTGGGAGCCTCACGCTCCTGTTCCGCCAGCCCGTCGCCGCCCTGCAGGTGCGCGGCGCCGACGGCGGCTGGCGCTGGGTCAAGCCGCTCGACGGCAGCATCACGGTCAACGTGGCCGACGCGCTGCAGTTTTTGACCAACGGCTTCCTGAAGAGCAGCATCCACCGCGTCGTCGCCCCGCCGCCCGACCAGGCGCACATTGACCGCCTCGGCGTGCTCTACTTTCTGCGCCCCGAGGACGCGCTCGAGCTGCGGCCCGTGCAGAGCGCCGTGCTGGCGCGGCTGGGCTACGACGCCAACGACGACGAGGCGGCCGTCGGCATCACCGCGGGCGAGTGGGTCAAGGCGCGCGTCAAGGGCAACATTGGCAAGGACGGCAAGCGGCTGCCCGTGACGGGGTCGGAGCAGGAGGTCATCAAGGGCAAATCGGCAAAGTACTACGACTAGGCGAGAGATGAGAAAGAACAGACAGACAGGGTCCCAGACAAGCAGTGTTCGTGTCGCCGTCGGACAGAATTATGACATCTTCAGACAGATATACGCCCCTGCAAAATTGTGTGCTTCGTGCTGTAACCCTGCTTCGAGTGCCGAGAGTGTCTGCTGTCGCTTCGGAGGTTTTATGGTGGCAGCATGGGTGTCCTGGAAATCGTCCGAGGGTGTGTGGGGTTTCGGAGGTTTATACAGACGGCGCGCCCCACGTGGAGGGAACCCAGGGCTGTGGATAGATCGGAAAAAGAAAGCACAACGAAACAAGTGATGCCAAGCAAACATATTGCACCATCGGCTGACTCGACAGCCAGCGGGATCCGACGGGCTGGTGTGGGGTATGTTGTGCAGCGATCCGGCGACACCACGCGAGCGCGAGCGCGAGCGGGCGGCCGGCGTGCAAAACCGTCCGCAGCGATAGAGAGAGGAAGAAGTTGATCGATAAGAAGAAAAGTCGGGGCGAAGAAAGAACTGCCAAAATGCATGCCGTGATTCAATGTTGTTATTTCATGCTCGACATCCTTCTTTTCCATCTAAAACTGACGTATTGACCAGGCCCCGAAAACAGCGAATCAGTGCCGGCCTACCATTGGCGTTGGACACTATGGGCTCTCACTTTCTCTCCGACACGTCGTCTGGGGCCGCCGCAGCGTCGTCCGAAGTCAAGCCCCGCGCCACCGCCGAACCCTACTACGACTTGGGCCGGTCGTCGGCCGCCGCACCGCATGTGACCACGACGTCGCCGGAAGCCCAGATTTGGTTCGGCCGCGCCCTCGTCTGGACCTACTGCTTCAACCACGACGAGGCCATTGCGTGCTACCGACAGGTGCTCGCACACGACGATGCCTGCGCCATGGCCTACTGGGGCCTCGCCTTCTGCTCGGGCCCCAACTACAACCGCACCTGGCGCCTGTTCAACGACGCCGACCGGCGACAGGCCGTCCACGACACATTCACATATACACAGGCGGCACTGGCACGACTGGGAGTGGGTCCAGGGTCAAATCCCGTGTCCGGCTCGGCGAGCGGGCCGGCCCGCCCGGCCGTAGCAGAGTGGGAGAAGGCACTCATTCGTGCGCTCGTCGAGCGCTACCCGGACAACAGCGCCCACCGCGACACGGCCGTGTGCGACCGCGCCTATGCAGACGCCATGCGCACTGTGTACGCCCAGTTCGGTCGCGACGACACCAACTTCGACATGGTCACGCTCTTTGCCGACGCGCTGATGAACGTGGCGCCGCGGAAACTCTTTGACACGGCGACGGGCGGACCGATTGCCAGTTCGCCGGTCGCCGAGGTGCGCGCGCTCCTCGAGCGAGCCCTGGCGCGCCCGGGCGTCGAGACGCACCCGGGCGTGGCGCACTACTACATCCACTTGATGGAAATGTCGGCGACCCCGGCCGCGGCGCTGCCGGCAGCGGACATGATCCGTGATCTGGTGCCGGACACGGGCCACACGTACCACATGCCGGCGCACATTGACGTGCTGGTGGGCGACTACCGGCGCGCGGTGGAGTACAACCACCGGGCGACGGTGGCCGACGACAAGTACTTTGCGGCGGCGGGCAACGGCGGGCGCACGTTTTACAGCTACTACCGGCTGCACGACTACCACTCGCTGATTTACGCGGCGATGCTGGGCGGCATGTCGCAGGCGGCGCTCGAGACGACGGACCGCATGGAGGCGACAATCACCGAAGCGATGCTGCGCGTCGAGGCGCCCGCGCTGGCCGACTGGATGGAGTTTTTCCTGGCGGTGCGCGTGCACGTGCTGATCCGCTTCGGGCGGTGGGACGAGGTGCTGCGGCTCGAGCCCAAGGCCGACAGGGACCTGTACTGCGTGACCAACGTGTTCCGGCACTACGGCCACGCCATTGCCTATGCGGCGACCGGCCGGGTGGCCGAGGCCGAGGCGGCGCGCGCGCGGTTCCGCGCGGCCGCGGCGTACGTGCCGCCCACACGGCTCGACTTCCCCAACAAGATCACAGACATCCTGCACATTGCCACGGCCATGCTGGACGGCGAGATTGCGTACCGGCGCGCCGACTACCCGGTGGCCTTTGGCCGGCTGCGCGATGCCGTGGCGCTCGAGGACGCGCTGCCGTTTGCGGAGCCCTGGGGCTGGATGCTGCCGGCGCGGCACGCGTTCGCGGCGCTGTCGCTCGAGCAGGGGTTTGTCGAGGAGGCGGCGCACGCGTACGCGCAGGACCTGGGCCTGGCGCCCACGCCGGGCCGCGTGCACCAGCACCCCAACAATGTGTGGGCGCTGCACGGCTACCACGAGTGCCTGCAGCGTCTGGGCCGCCACAGCGAGGCCGCGCGGCTCGAAACACAGCTGGCGGCCGCGCTCGCCGATGCCGACGTCGACGTCACGTCGTCGTGCTTCTGCCGTATCGGTGTGCCGTCCTGCTGTGGCGCGAACACGGTGGAGAAGCAGAGGGACGCGATCACGGTCAAGGAGCTGTGCTGTGAAGTGGATCATTCATTGCCTTCGTTGACCTCGTTGCATGCCTAATGTACATGATAGAATACAGCACAATTTGAATAATGACAGAAGGAAAGAAAGAAAATAAAAAAAGGAAGAAGAAGAAGAAGAAGAAGAAAGGCAATCTGTTCCTGTTCCTCGGTGCTTTACGCCGCCGTGACTGGCCCGTTTACGTCGTCGGCAAACGCCTTGATTCCCAAACAAATTGCGTCCACCACGCGATAGCACGGCGTCAACGTCCGTGCGGCCGCATTCTGCGGGCAAATGTCCAGCGGATCCGTGTCCATGTCGTACCGCTCGCGCCAGCACCGTCCGTCTGGGTCCGGACACGTTTCGTGGCCGACCAAGTGCCGGTTGTGCTGCCGCAGGGCAAAGCGCCCGCCCAGGTCGGTGAGCCGTGCCGCGTCGGCCTGCAAGCCCTGGCGGACAACCGCCTGCACCATGCGGCGGTCGACCTCGAACGCCGCGCCGCCCACGAGGACGGTGTTTTTCGGGCCTCCGTGTCCACGGTCTCCACTGCTCTCGCTGCCGCCGCTTGTTATATTGCCCACCCACCGCACGTACCGCCGGTAGCCCGCGTTGACTTCGTGCATCAGACGGCCGATGAGAAGAACATTCTCAATCGTGAGCCGCGGCGCCTTTTTTTATGTCGTAGCAGATGGGGCACGTCAGCAGCCGCTCGACGAGGTCGATGCCGACGCGCAGGTCGCCGACAATGGCGTGCGACACGGCCTGCGCCCGGTGGCGAAGTGCCCGGACGGACGCCGATACGTCGTCAGCGCAGTGGCAAGACAGGGTCGCGGGCGACTGTGGCGACGAATGTGGCGACTGCGGCGGTGACAGCGTGGCAGTGGGCGTCTCCTCGCCGCTGTGATGGTGTCGGACGAGGGGACACTGCCCAAACAGCTCGATCGGGAAGGGGTCAAAGGCAAAGTCGGCCGACGAGCTGCTCGGGTCGGGGAGCGTCGTTGGCAGCGCATCGCTTGACGGCGGAAAGAGGGGGAACGACAGCGGCTGCAGAAACAAGCTGTCGACCCCGAGACGATGTGCTTGGTGCGCTGCCGCCGTCTGCAGCGGTGGGTGTGACTGCCCTTCGTCGTTCGATCCGTCAATCGACCCGGTCGAACTCGAGTCCGTGACGGGCGGCGACGGCGCAAAAGCAAACCGGCGCGCCTCGCTCGACTCCCGCGCCTCGCGTGGGCCTCTCGATGCTCTGGAGGACTCCTCCCGCAGGTCGCCGCGCTGCTTCCGCGACCGTCCCGGGATGCCCTTGTCCTGGTAGTGGCACACGACGTTGAGGGCCAGGCACCGGGTGCAGCTCCGTCTCTCGCCCGCGTACCCCGAGCATTTGAGTTTGCGTGTTCCTGAACGGTGAGCGAGTGCATGGACAAGACAAGAATTGCAATACCAAAGTACAATAAAAGGCACACGCGTCAAGAGGCTAGGATGGGGTCACTCACGGCATGCTTCGCACGATTGGCGCTTTTGTCTGGTGGGATTCTGCATCGTTGTTGCGGCGTATTTCTTATTTTCTTTTTTTCTTTTCATTCAAATCGGCGTGTGACAAAAAGATTACAAGATAAAAAATGGCCGCTGCCGACGAACACGATGAACTGAGCAGAATATGGAGTACTGTGTAAGTGAAATGGCCGTTGAAACGAGTTTGGTTGTTTCGTGGCCGCGGCAGTCCACCTTAAGCCGTCGATCGCCCTTGTCGACTCCGCACACCCAGCCTGGGCGACGCCACACCATTGGTAAATGGCGTCATGCGCTCACGAGACGAAACCGTCCGATTGGCACAAAAACCGTCCGGGCAGTCCACACAGAGCCCAGCACTTACACTGCGGTCCACAAATCGTTGGTCGTCCAGAATTGGCAAGTCCGAAGCGAATCTGCTGCAGCCTTCGCGATGCAGTGGCAGACGGGTCATGTGCAGTGCGTCAAAGGGATACATAATATCGACTCCGAATGAAGTGATTGATGCTTTGTCGTCCGCTGTGCACACAGCTGCGAGTCGTATCGAAAATGGCCCTCCGGACAACGACCCCGCAGGCGCTGCGCCGCCGCTGGGCCAATGGGCTGGAGGTCGCCCTGGTCGACGTCCGCGAAGAAGGCCCCTATGCCGACGCGCACCCGCTGTTTGCCGTGACCGTGCCCGTGTCGGAGCTGGAAGCCAGGCTGCCGGCCCTGGTGCCGCGGCCGTCGGTGCCGCTGGTGGTGTACGACAGCGGCGAGGGCCATGCGGCACGGGCCGTCCCGCGCATCGCCGCGCTGGGCTACCGGGACATTTCCGTTTTGGAAGGCGGTCTCGCCGGCTACGCAGACGTGGGCGAGCTCTACCGCGACGTCAATGTGCCCTCCAAGGCCTTTGGCGAGCTCGTCGAGGCCATCCGCGCGACGCCGTCGGCCCCGCCGCGCGACATCTTCGACGCGCTGCTCAGCCGCCCCGACAGCGACGTCGTCGTGCTGGACGCGCGCCGCTTCGAAGAGTACAACACCATGAGCATCCCGCGCGGCCGCAGCTGCCCCGGCGGCGAGCTGCTCTACCGCGTGTTTGACGCGGCGCCGTCGCCCGACACGACCGTCGTCGTCCACTGCGCCGGCCGCACGCGCAGCCTGATTGGCACCCAGTCGCTCGTCAATGCGGCCATCTCCAACAAAGTCGTGGCCCTGCGCGACGGCACCATTGGCTGGACCCTGGAGGATCTGGCGCGCGGTGGTCTGCCGCCGCTCGAAACGGGCAAGACCGCGCGCGTACCGCCGCCCTCGGACGACGGCGTCCGCCGCGCACGCGAACACGCCGCGTCCTGGGCCGCGCATGTCGGCGTGCCCATTGTCCAGGCACCGCAGCTTCTGGCGCTGCTGGCCGCGCACAGCGCCGACGAGCGCACGCTCTACCTGCTCGACGTGCGCGATCCCAGCGAGTATGCCGTGGACCACCCTGCCGGCTTCCAGTCGGCGCCCGGCGGCCAGCTCGTCCAAGCCACGGACGAGTGGATGGGCGTGCGCGGTGCCCGGGCTGTCTTGTATGACACGGACGGTGTGCGCGCACGCATGGCCGCCTCGTGGCTGCTGCAGCTGGGGTGGGAGGTCTACGTCTTTGATCATGCGGCGGCGCTGCCCGCACTCCCTGGTCCAGCACCGCATGCTCCCGCATTTGTGCCTCCACCGCCTGCCGAAGGTGCCGTTGCCGTTGCGGCTGACGACCTCAAGGCGCTGCTCGACAACAAAGGCGCCACAGTGGTCGACCTCGCGCGCAGTCCTGCCTACCGCAAGGGCCACATTCCCGGTGCCTGGCATGCCTCGGGCCCAGAGCTCGCGCGGGACCTGCAGGCTCTTGTTCGCGTCCACGGCCAAGGCCAAGGCGACGGCCCGATTGTTCTTACATCGCCTGATGGCATCGTCGCCCAAGCAAATCTCGTCGACGCACGGGACGCCGTGGCGCCGCGTACCGTACTGTTCCTGGCCGGCGGCACAGCTGCTTGGACGAGCGCCGCGCTGCCTCTGGAGACGGCAACGGGCACAAGCAACGCCCGCTGGCTGTCACCCCCGATTGACGTCTATAAGCGGCCCTACGAGGGCACAGGCAACGACCGCGAGGCCATGGAGGGTTACATTGCGTGGGAGCACCAACTTGTCGCGCAGCTGGCCAACGACGGCGTGGCCAACTTTCATGTTGTGCGAGACACGCGGGCGAAGGCAAAGTCATCATGACATATACTTCAAAATAATAACCAATTAAAGCGAAGCAGCTCTTTCAACACATTATTTGGTTTGGACACTGTATAATAATAATACTACAATGGTGTTTTTGAAATGATAGTAAAAACACAGATTGAAATTGAACTATCACTGCAAGACGATCAGGGTTTTCTTGCATATTTCAATTTCTATTTTCTTCTTCTTTCTCTGCTTAGTTCTGTCCTTTTCCTCGTCCAGAATGTCCCAAACTCCACCGCCTCTCTCACTCGACGTCCTCCCATACACGGCTAGCCAAGTCTTTCAAGTCGTGCTCGGATATCTCGATATCACGTTCACCGTCAGAAGCAACAGGTGGGCGCCGGAAAAGCTCCTCAAACCGCAGCACCAGAGGTGCACCGACGACGGTGAACAGCGCCGCTGCACGGTCGTTGGGCTGCGTGTCAAGGATATGCCCAGGCCCGGACCACGAAATCTCCATCTGCTGCTGGCGCGTGGGTTCTCGTGGAGCGGCTGCCGCACGCGTCGCCGCGCGCGTGGTTGTGGCGCCAAGGCGGTAGCTTTCCGGGCCAAAATGCTGCTCAGCGGTCCACTTCTCTATAGTGATCAAGGACCGGCGGATGACGGTCTTGACCAGGACAACGACCTTCATATGGAAGTTGGACGCTGAAAGCCACCAGCGGCCTTTGGCGCGCAACGCAGCCATGGACTGGCTAACACCCGCTTCGATAACTAGAGCTGGCCACCGTTGGTTGTTGTATCTGTTGCCCCGTCGTAGGCCGCCGCCAGAGTCTCCCTCACCATGGCCACCGCCACCAGGCAACGAGAACCGAGTCGCCTGTGTGCCCCTCCATTCTGGATCAAGTCCCATTGCAAACAGCTGGCGATCCACCAACGTGTACAACCGACTGTGCGCCTGTTCGTGAGGCGCGCTGGGGACGGTCACAATCGCAATCTCTTGGTCGGGCAAGAAAAAGAGGCGCAGGTGGCGTTCGCGCCGGTCCCGCTCGTTGCTCAAAACGTCAAAATTGGCGGGTGACATGTTGCCGAACACAAGGCCATCGAAGCGTCCTTGGCCGGGCATGGCCTTGGCTGCGCGTTCGAGTTGCTTGAAGACATCGGCGACGCTGGTGAACGCCATATCCGCTTGCAGGGGCCCGTCCTTGTCGTCCTTGCCGTCCTCTGGCTTGTCGGTCTTGCCGACATGGCTAACATGCGCGTTCATTGTCGTACTCGGAGAGGTGGTCTTTGTGAAATGAAGTTACCGGTTGCGTTTGTTCATGTCGTCGCCTCACGCAAGGACCTAGGTCGTGACGTGGAGCAGACGCTGCAGGTGGTACACTTTGGAATAAAGACCTACCCTCATCACCAGAACGTAGCTCGAGATCAATACATATATATATATATATAAATCTGTACTATGTGCTCGTAATCAACAGCACTTCTGTTCGGTTCATGTGGCCAACAATGGTAATGATATTGTAGATTGAAAACTGGAAACTGGCATTCGTCTGGAGTCTGAATGGAAAAGACATATCCATAGACAACGAATGCATTATTCGATGCCGTTCACTTTGTGAAACGTAAGGCCGATTAAATCGAGCTTAGTGTGCAGGCCTCAGTAAGTCAAGTAAGTCGCAATGTACTGACGCTATTGATCTCCCACCTACAGAGTACGTTGTACCGACAATAGTAACGTGGGGAACAAACGAGCTACGGGCTCGCCCTCGGAAAGGACCTTGAAAATAATGCACACTGGGATAGTATTGCGACAAAAGAAAGTTGATATACCTAGATAAAGACTGCAAGGACGCGCTCAACGAATGCATAATACAGAGAGTGAGATGCCAACGCCAAAAGGACAATGGCAAATCGAAAAAATAGAAAGGCGACACAAGGCAACACAAAGGACACATTTCAACATATCGACGCCACCCCGACTATTCGAACCGATCAGGCAGCACAACCGGTGCCACCAGCGTCCAGATGTACAGCGCGTAGCACCCCCACGAGCTGACAATCTTGACCCACGTCGCCCAGTACGTGCGGCCCACCGTCGCAAAGTCGCCGTCCCGCGTCGAGTCCTCGTAGTTCATCGTCAGCAGCGTCGCCACCCACGCCGTCGCCAGGAAGAAGATGATGTGGAACATCGTGTAATTGTACTGCGTGCTGCCGCGCTCGTCGTCGCCCGACTTGCCGCGGCCGCCGCGGCCGCTGTCCTCGTCGTCCGAGTCGTCGTCGTCGTCCGACAGCATCGCGTCCGCCGGCAGACTGCCCTCGGCCACTGCCCGGCGCAGCGCCTCGGCGCGCATCTCGCGGCGCGACGGCTGCGTCGTCACCAGCCCGTGGGTGCTGTAGCTGCTGCTGCCGTCGTGCGCGGCGTCCTCGTCGTCGTCGTCGGGCAGGCGGATGCCGCCCGTGCGGCTGCCGCCCAGGCCGAGCGTCTGCGTCGCCGCGCGCGTCGTCGTCCACGCCACCGTCAGCATCGTCACAATGGCGCCAATGACCACGGACGTCGTGCGCGTGCCCTGCGCCAGCAGCAGCGGGTTGCAGTGCTTGTCCTCGGTCGCGTCGGGCTTCATCGAGACGGCCGACATGGTCAGGTACGTGCAGTAGACCGCCACCATGGCCGCCTGCGCCAGGCCCGCCTTGGGGTTGTACTCCTGCACGGTGGGGTGCACAGACACGGCCGACACGACCAGCAGCAGAATGAGGTTGATTGTGATGGCCGCCTGGTTCATGGAGCAGCCGCCGCGCCCGAAGAAGACGTATTGCAGGACCGTCATGGCAATCGAGCCGAGGTACATGCCGAGCGTCGAGCCGACCAGCACGGCGCGCCAGACACGCGACTCGGTGTTTTCAATTTGCTCCAGGCAGTACTCGGCCCACGAATGCGCCATGTCCACGAGAAGAATCAGGCCGAGAATCAAAAAGAGCATCGCGCCCGCGAGCGACACGTAGTTGCCCCAGAACAGGTAGAACTCGTCGGGAATCAAAAACGACAGCACGATAAACGCCAGCCACGCAATGATCTTGGGGCCCCAGTAGCCGTTCTGCAGCGCCGCCCGCGGCTGCTTCGACGAGGACACGCCAATCAGGAGGCCCGCAAAGATGAGGTGGAACAGGCCGAGCGCAAAGTTGATGCGGTGCACCGCCAGCCAGCCGTAGCACTGGCCCGTCGGGCAGTTGATCTTGACGTAGTCGAGCATCAGGTGTTCCAGCTTCTTGACGGCCCACGGCGTCTCCATGATCCACGCCAGGATCGAGTTGATGAGGAGGATGAGCGCATAGCCGATGCGCGTGGCCACGCTGTTGCCGCATTTCCCGCAGGCGCTGCACACCATCGAACACGTCGCCGCACCGCAGCAGCTGGCAGCAAACGAGAGGACCTAGAAACACGCATGTCAGAAATCGTCCCCGCAGAAGAGAACAGCCGGCCGTTGTACGCACCGTTGTCGCACTCGGTACCGCGAGAAGCGGCAACGAGAGAAGAGCGCCCATTCTGGCGGCTGGCGTTGCGGGGCGACCGGCAGAGTCGGAGAGGTTGGCGTTTGTCAAAGAAGGCAGACGATGGCTGTATCGTTTCGGAGTAGGGTGTCCGAGCTCGTGGAAAGGCGTAGACGACCCGTTTGCGATGTGGTGATGTGGTGATGTTGTGTTGAAGAAGATGACGAGGAATGAGGAAAGTGGCGAGGCGCCGAAAGAGGAGGCAGGCACTATGGACAAGGCAGACCTGAAGCGCTGCGCCCGAGTGGGTCATTCCAGCGCCATGTTTCCAATGCAAAAGTGCACGTGATCATTTGTTGTCACATGACATATCACATGAATCTCCAACGAGAGTATCCAAATTTGCGCAACAGCGTCGGGACCCAAGTCGCAAGTATGGGTCCTGGGCGTTTTGTATTGGCTGCAACGGGTGCCACTCGTCCTGAGTCCTCCTGTATCGGTCTCACAACACCGTCCCCATATCGGAATGCCAACAGCCATTCCGACCGGAGCCAAGTGCACATTAAGAGCAAAGTGCACGCGCTGCAGGGCAGCTGCGACCCATCCGCAGTGCTCGTGCTCCACCACCACCTACACGCCTTCCCAAAGCTGCAACCCACGAGATTGCGCCAGCGCCTTCCCCCTGTGGACTGCCGATAAGGAAGGGATGAGACAGCAAGAACGATCCGAAAGCTGTACGCATCAGTATCCTCAGCCGCTCTTTCCCCGTTTCGATTTTATTTCCGCCCTTTCTTTCTTTCCTTCTTTATTTCTCTTCTCTTCTTCTTCTTTGCATCTCTCAGTATCCCTTTTCACCGCATCTCCGTTTCGTCGTCTGTATCAGCAGCCATCCAATTCGCCATTTCGCGCAGCTATCGTGTCACCGCCGCACGCACATCGGCCGCTGCCGACGTTCTAACAACACTTCCTTGTGCACGCCCGCCCCCTTCCTCGGCGCACGATTTGCCGAATGCCGGCGAAACCGGCCTTTCTCCGACAACAGTCGTTCGTTGCCATGATCTTACGATATCACCACCTTTGATTTCTGTACTACTTTCCATTGTTCCGACGGACAGACAGCCTTCCGTCTGCTGTCGTCTTCGCCGCCCCAGATTCGCACAGCATCCCGCCCCCGACCTAGCTGGCAAGCCTAGCCAGCGCCCCTCGAGATGCACGACCAGGCAGACCACCGGGCACGCCTTGTGTCGAGCGTGGCTGCCACTGTCATCTCATTAGCATGCGGAACAAACGTACGTCCCGGCGTCGGAATGAACAGTGTCGGCAGGATGAGCCATCTCTAACATATGTCTTTTTTTTTTCTCGTCTCCAGTACGTATATTCCGCATGGGCGCCGCAGTTCGCCGACAAGCTCAAGCTGTCCGCCACCCAGTCCAACCTGATCGGCCTCGCCGGGAACCTGGGCATGTACTCCATGGGCGTGCCCATCGGCATGTTCATCGACTCGCGAGGCCCGCGTCCTGCAGTCATTGCCGGCTCTATATTGCTGGCTCTGGGTTACTTCCCGCTGCGGCAGGCCTTTGTTAGAGGATCCGGGTCCGTGGTCTTTTTGTGCCTCGTCTCGTATCTGACCGGCCTCGGCGGCTGCATGGCCTTTGCCGCGGCCGTCAAGACTTCGGCGCTCAACTGGCCGCACCACCGCGGCACGGCCACCGCCTTCCCGCTGGCCGCTTTTGGCCTCAGCGCCTTTTTCTTTGCGCTGTTTGGGTCGCTCATCGTTCCCGGCGACACCAGCGCCTTCTTGTTGCTGCTGGCCATTGGCACCTTTGTCCTCACCTTTGTGAGCTTCTTCTTCTTGCACGTGCTGCCACCCGCGACCGGCCACTCCCACTACCACGCTGTGGGGGCCACCGACGACGATGCGCTCAGCGACTCGCAGCAGCTGCGCCGGACCATTTCCGAGGAGGCGAAACTGGCCCGACGCGGCGGCGGTGGAGGGCGCGGGCGCTCCTATCAACACACCGAAGAACCTGGTAGGTCACTAGACGATGACGATGATGATCATGCCCACGGCAGCTACGGCGCATATGAAGACCAAGCAGACCGGGGCACAGAGGGTGCAGGGACGCGAGGACAAGACGAGGATGAGGATGTCCGGAAGGGCGTGGACGACAACGACGGCGACCTGTCCTCGCCGCAGGCACCGCGGTCGACGGCCATGACGTACGCCTCCATCAGCCACGAGAACGGCAGCTCGAGCAGTGCCTCGGCCTCGGCCTCGACCTCCGCTTCCACCTCCGCGTCCGCCTTCAACCCTTCTGCTGCCCCGCCTGCCGCGGAGGATGCCGACCAAGATCCGATGGACGAGACGTCCTCCCTCGTGTCGAAAGCGTCATCACTGCCCGGCGAAATTCTGCTGCAGAACAGTGTTGATATGGACCAATCCCACCGTGTAGACATTCGAGGCTGGAAGCTGCTGCGCAACGTCGAGTTCTGGCAGTTCTTTGCCATCATGGGCATTCTCGCTGGTATCGGCCTGATGACGATCAAGTAGGTCCCCCGGCGTTCGCTCGTCTACTTTGTTTGTTCTTTCCGGTGAACGCTCTAACATGTCCAGCAACATTGGCCACGATGCCAACGCCCTGTGGAAGCACTACGACGAGTCTGTTGACGAAAGCTTCCTCATTGCACACCAGCAAATGCACGTATCCATCCTGTCGATTGGCAGTTTTGCCGGCCGTCTTCTCAGTGGTGAGTGGCTCTTCCGCTGTTTCACGTTCTAATCACCTGCATTTGGCTGTGGCTGACAGGGTGCAGGCGTCGGCTCCGACTTTTTGGTGAAGAAGATGCACGCCAGCCGGGTCTGGTGTCTCGTCATCGCGGCCACGATCTTTGTCGCCGCGCAGCTCTTCGCCATCAACATTACCAACCCGCATTTCCTCGGCCTTGTCTCGAGTCTGTCCGGTCTCGGCTACGGCTTCTTGTTCGGCGTCTTTCCATCCATTGTCGCCGAGGCCTTTGGCATCCACGGCCTCTCCCAGAACTGGGGCTTCATGACCCTGTCGCCCGTTGTTTCTGGCAACATCTTCAACCTGTTCTACGGCCTCGTGTTTGACGCCCACTCGGTTGTCGAGCCGTCGGGCGAGCGGTCCTGCGACGACGGCCTCGCCTGCTACCGTGCAGCGTACTTTGTGACGCTGGCGGCCTGCGGGCTCGGCCTCGCGGTGACGCTGTTTGTGATTCGTCACCAGCAGAAGCAGCGCGAGAAGGAGGCCGGCAAGCGCAGTCTCGAAGACTAATGTCTGCTAGTCGTTGCTCATCTCTTCCTATCAACAAGCATTTCTCTCTCTCTCTCTCGCCTACACAATGCCTCACACTTTGTCCATTTCATAAATCTTTCTGTCTTCCTTTTTTGGCCTTGTCTGGAGTTGTTGGAATATCAAAGCTTACATTCTGGGATAAATCTTTTTTTTTGCATGCACAAAGCAGCATGTGTCCTTTTATTAGCGATCGATAAGGCTCTTTAAATAGTGTGTTTTCATACAAGATCAAATTGAAAAATATACCTATGAATGCCGTCACTGTGGCGATGGCATGTTGTTGCATACGCCTTTTCACGCTCCCTTTAGAGCCAAAACGCTACACAAGCCTTGGGCCTGTAAAAGTCGTGTCACTACAGGCCACTTCATGTAAGGCGCGTCTAAAAAGGAAAGGCGTCGGGCTACCCCGGCGGCCGCGGACCCGACAGCGAGTCCATGCCTGTAATGTACATCCAACGTGACAAACATTGACAGCATCCTCGTCCCCCCTGTCGCTTCGCATTAACGAGAATCCCTAGCAAGAAACAAATGTCTGGTGTGGGCACTGCCTTTGTCCGTCCGGTTTCGTCGCGGCGCGCCGATGCGGTCGTCGGACCAGCCTTCCTTCGGCTTGGACGAAGGCACGATCTGCTATTCTTGTAAAATGCCATGTAAATTATCCCACATATTCTTTTATGTGTGAGACTAAACGCGTTTTTATCAAATTAATAATACGTGTCCCGTGTGTGTTTAGTACGAATTCATCTGTCAATAATGGATAATCCTTTGGTCTATCGAAGTTGTTAACTCTTCTAGTGGTGCGGCCTATGGCGATTAGAGAACCTTGATGAACCCCTGGTCGACAAGAGCGGTATGAAGAAGCTGAGGGGTGACGGGCTCGACACTGTCGACATGGACCTTGTGGGTCTTTGTGCCATCGGACTTTGTGGCCTCATTCCAATGCTCACCTGGGCCAGGGCCGGACTCCTCCGGGTCTTGGTCTTGGATATTCCAGCCCGTGGGGACTGGATTCGAGACTCCCTCGACCATCTTATCGTATGACAGAACGACGGTGAGCTTCTCGATGGTGCCCCAGACCACCTCCAGCTCGGACGTGCGCTTGGGGCGCTCGCTAGGAGCCTTGGTGAAGTCGCCAACCTCGATGGCGATGAGGTTGGTTAGGTCGTGCTCGCAGAGGTACTGGGCCATGTCAGGGATGAACTGCGCGGGGATCTCGCGCTCCTTAAGGGGCGATGGGCCCGCGCCGAACTCGAAGGGAACCAAATCGTTGGCCTCGACCTTATAGAAGGTAGCGTGGATCTTGTCCTGGGCAAGAAGCGCGTCGATGATGGGCGTGGCCCTGGTCCACTTCATCCCTTCGACGCCAGTTGCGTCGGCCTCAAGGCGGATCGTCTTCTCGGGGACCCGATCATGGCAATGGAGTGAGTGAACTCCGAAGACGCTGTCCATGCCGTGGCCCTTGATGATGGCGAGCAAAGCGTTGATGTGGTCATCATGAGAGCCCTGGAGCCTGACCTGCTTCTCAATGGGGGTGAGGCCGTTGTACCTGTGTGCGAGAAAGAAAGAAATACATGAAGTCAGCAGGTGCTTTGGAGTTGTAGCGGCCCGTTTGTAGGTAGTTGTTGCAACCCACATCTCGTTAGAGAGTAACAAGTCCTTCTCCGTAAGAGCGCGGCCAATGCCTGGGATAGCAGCAAAAGGGTAGTTGACAGCGGCGGTGGCCATTTTTGCTTGGTTGTGAGTCGAGTGTATATGGTAAATGAATAATTGAATTGAGAAAAATCTGAGGAGATGGTTCGTCTGTAGAGTTAGGCTCTGATGCTGAAAGAAAACAAATATATACTCCTTTGATCGAAAGAGTCGGGGTATTTATATCCTTCCCATCCGATCAACCATAGGCTTGAAGATGAGAGCCAAGTCGTCTCTGCTTGAAAAGAGAGAGAGACACAGCGACACAGAGAGGTATCACCATCCCACTACCAAACATTGGAGCGCTGTAGCTCGAGCTGTCACCCTGCACGTTTCGATATGAATGCATGCACAGATACGGTCGAGGTCGTGCTCTCGACTCTCGAGGCCCCGCCTGAGACACAAACCCATCGCCCATCGCTGAGTTTGCCAGCAGCATGGTAAGACTCTACCACCCAACTCTCTGCATGTGAGCGATTTTTGAGCCCAATTAGATATCGCTGCAGGCCACCATCTTTACAGTCACATCTTCGTTCAATTTCTTGATATCATAGTCCGTATATTTGCCTCATTGTAGGAAAGACCCACACGGAGCCGCAGAATGACCACGGACGGCAGCACGGTCCCGCTTAATTCGTTCTCCTTTGTCACGCAGGTCAACTATAGGCTGCCACACACGTTAACGAAGGCGGGTTGCAAACCCCGAAGGTCCTTGCGTCAAACACGACCGCCCACATCCACTCGCACACACACGTCTGCAAAGGGTGGTACCATCGGTGATTTTGTGTAACTATGAATAACAATCTCAATCTAAGTGGACAAGGTAAGTACGGGCACCGCATATCATCTGAGAACGACGGCACCGAGAAAGCGCAAGTCCTCGCTCTCCTCTGTGGCCGCCACGCCATTCTGAAAGCCATTGGCCAAGAAGAGGCCAACTAGTCTTGCAACCCTGATGCGCTCCTTGTCCACGTCAGACACACCTCTCTCACCCCCCAGATAGTAGAACAGTCTGTCCCAGAAAAGGTGTTCGAGCTCCTCGAAATTGGGGTGGTAACGCCAAAAGTCCCCAGACGTGGTTCGGACCCCCAGCATGGTCTCGAGGCCCCCCAATGATATCCCAAACGGACCAACCTCGGCGCCTCTCCAGTCGCAGATGCCCAGCATCCTGCCCGTAATTTTGTCCACATGGATGTTGTTCTCGAGGAGGTCAACATGGTGAGGCACAAGCGGCCAGCTCTCATCAAAGAGGATCGGGACTTGAGGGATGAGAGCGTCCAGCGTTGAATGAAAGCGCCTAGGGAGCCCCCTGCGTAGTTGGTGGAGTAGCGACGAGTACGTGCTGAAGAGTTGGGCACGATCTGGCCGTGCCATGCTGTCGGGCGTGTTGTAATACGCCGACGTGAAGAATCTGCGCCAGTCAGCTCAGTCGACCGTTTGCAAGAGGGAGGGAGGAAGGGGTTGACATGCCTCGCGTAGTCATCTAGGGTGAATCGCAGGAGGTAACAGTCATTGCTCTGTAGCTCGGTTCGAGCTAGGTACATACAGGCCCCCCCCAGATTGTTCATCGTGTAGACAATGACACCGCCAGCGAGGTCGTCATGGTGCTGGTGTCTTGGTGCAAAGCCCGCATAGGCCTGTTCGATGTCTCGGAGAAGGTCCATATCTAGAGGGGAATTTGGAGCGCGGAACTGGACGACAACATCGCCACCTTCAACCGTGTAGCTGGTCCCACCTTGACTCGGTGTTGCGGTGACGGGCCTGCCAGCTATGTGTCGAGCCAGTTCGTTGCATTGCTCCTGTGTGACAGCAGTGTTCTCCTGAAAAAATCTTTGTATCTGGAACCGAGACAAGTTGGAAAGATTCAACGACATTGTGCAATATGTTTTATGTTGGCGCGGATGACGGGTGCTCTTGGGAATACAAATTTGAAAAAGAAGACTGAGGGTAAGTATGAGAGGCGGTTGTTGCCTGAGGCATAAATGACACCGTGCGTCCGGCCTGATATGCTTGTATCCATGCCTCCATGTTGGGCTGACACCTTCATGCCTGAGCAACGCAGACTTTGCGCTCTGGACGTGCTGTTGAGTATCTGGATATGACACTGGGTAGGTTTGTGAATGATAGGACTGGAATATAAATGCGACTAAGAGAGGTGTACGGTTCTGGCTCGCAACACGGCGTGTGAAAAAGTCAAAATGGTGAGCTGAAGGATGCTGAGGTCTTCGTGCTCATGACAAGACAAGCAGGACAAACCATTCCTTATATGCCTCGTCATTCGCATTGTCGCCGCCCTTGTGATGTACCTTCCCAAAACTGCTGGTCAAGCATCAGAACCCCCCCCCCCCTTCTTTTGTACCTAGGCGGGAAGCCCTGCAGGAGCAAGCCATAGTTGAGGCTTGGAGGCTTCAACGCTGTTGGCCTAGGGAGAAGCCAGCCTGCGACCCAGCCCTGGTGATGGCGTGCTGTGCAAGAACATCTCAGGTACGGCCACCACCCAGAAGCCTCCTGCTAATGGTGCGGAAAATACACCCATGGCGCTAGCAAGATTGAGCGCTTGCAACAGTGTGATCTCGTCTTAATGTGTGGAGTCACCCACTTTTGGTAGGTGTTGACAACCCCGTTTAGACGCCGGCTATGACGGCAGGCCCCGTTTTGGGATATTTTCACAAAATACCACTAAAAACTAGCGACATTGTTCTGACGTCAAGAGGAAAAATGCCCCCCCCCTGAAACAGCACCAGTCCTGGTCCTTCCTTCCATCTCGTGGGCTTCCCGTCGCTCCTTTTCTTGGCAAAACCTTGATCTCCTCAGGGCTCAACGAGGGAAGGGACAAACGACACATCGTATCGTCACCTCCTTTCCTGGAGTATTAGAGGTCCTAATTATTTTCTTTTTTTATGTCGCCTTTCTTTTGTTGACACTTGCGGAACACGCTCCATTTCTCTCCCTGACCACCATATATTGTCTTCAATTGGAGCGCGTCGGCACTGCGTCCGACACACGTCAGCCAAGCATGAGCCAAGACCGGCATGCGCATCTGCCACGGCGCATCGCCAACGCGCACCACGCGTCGAGCCCCGTTTCGTTTCTGAATCCGACGACTCGCTACGTCAAGGTCCCAGCAATGAAGCCGTACAAGACGCCGGCCGGCGCCGATGTCGACATCCCAGGTGACAACATTGCCCAGGAACAGCAGAAACAACAACAGCAACAGCAACAACCACCGTCCACGCTGGCCCCGCAAGCCACACAGCATCAAAACCACGTTCATGGCGCGTACCAGGTCTGGCGCAGTCGTGACAACCGCAAGGGTCGCCATGCCATTGTGCTCACCAACGATTTTTTCCGCCATCGGCACCTCAGCCTCCATGGAGGTCAGTCTCCTGAAGGAGGGAAGGGCGAGACGAAGGGCACGACGGGTTCCGGCGCTGTCCCGCGCAGCACCAACTCATGGCGCGGCATCGCCCATATCTTGTGGAAGATGCTCGTTCGCTACCCGGTCTGGGACGTGTCGTACGACGTGGCCATCATTTTCACGATCGGGTCAGTTGTGTGGGTGATCAACTCGTTCTTCGTGTGGCTGCCGCTGGCGGCACCCTGGACCGAATTTGCGGGCGAGGAGACCACGGGCGGTGGAATAACGGCCGTGATCGGCGCAAGCATCTTTGAAGTGGGTGCTGTGCTGGGCCTCCTCGAGGCCGTCAACGAGAACCGCGCCGACTGCTTTGGGTGGGCGCTCGAGGAGGCCCTGGAGAGCGGCTTCCTGTCGCTGCAGCCGAGCCCGGACGACTGCAAACACGCGCATGTCGAGCGGACGCGACTCTTTTCCCGGCGGCGCAATGGACGCCGTCGCGGAAAGGACAAGGGCGTTGGTCATGGTGGCGCAAAAGACGGTGTCCCAGAAAGCAGCGTGGGTGGGAAAACAATCACAGAGGTCCCCGACGATGGCAATGTGAACACCAGCAGCAGCGACCTGGGCAATGCCAATACGAGCTCAGACACCGGCAGCGACGACACCCGCATTCACCCCCAGCGGCGTCGGTGGACCTGGTGCCCGTCGTGGACCGAGCTGCGCACCGTGTACACTCGCGAAATGGGCTTCTGGGCCTGTCTCATCCAGCTCTTTGGCGCCACCGTGTTCTGGATCTCCGGGTTCACGGGTCTGCCGCCGGTTGCCGACCGCCTGTCGACGGCCGGCACCAATGGCGCCTTCTGGGCGCCGCAAGTCATTGGCGGCACGGGCTTCATCGTGTCGAGCTGGCTCTTCATGCTGGAGACACAGAGAAAGTGGTACCTGCCGGCACCGCATCTGCTGGGCTGGCACATTGGCTTGTGGAACATGATTGGCGCCATTGGCTTCACGCTCTGCGGTGCGCTGGGCTTTGGCGCGGCGACGAGCGCGGCTGTGACGTACGCGTCGACTCTGTCGACGTTTATCGGCTCATGGGCTTTCTTAGTAAGTAATGCGAACTGTATCACGTTTTAATGTGACTGCTCCACGACTGGTTTCTAACACACACAGATCGGCAGCATTATCCAGTGGTACGAGAGTCTCGACAAGCATCCGATCCAGATTCAGGACTCTTTGCCCAACCATGTGCCACCATAAAGCCATACCTTGGGTTTCACATGCATAGTCTTTTGAAGGGTCTTGGCCGGCTTGCCCTGCGTGTGTTTCAAAGTTTGGACGGTGTCTTTGGTTTACTTTCGCGTCGTCGAGACCTTCTTTGTTTTTGGTCAAAAGTTATCAAGCAGCGATAAAGCGTCTGTAGTAGTTCACCGAACATGTATTTCGTTCTATCCCATAGTCATGGCCCAAGGCCGGCGCCATTGATTTGCATTTTATTATTTATCCCATGCTCGATCTTGGATTCACCATATACACGTTGGATACTATAGTCAGCGCTTCTTTTACTATCTATTTCACTTAACCTCCTTCGCCAGGCGGAGTACAGTACATTGTGAAATTCATCAGCGTCTCGCCCTGTCTTCTCTCCGTCAGGCTGCATAAAATACTTGCAACCATACACTCAGCGGCTCCTACATCTTGCCGTCCTGTGCTGCCTTTTCACCACCACCAGACCGCCTGTACGACTACTTGTACCTAAATGTCCTTTCATCTCAGGTCAATTTGTGCGCTCGTGTAGATGTAGGCAGTCTGCATGACCTGGCGAAGCCATGCCGTTAGAGTGAGGCTTCGTAAGCAGTCGTCCGCATTTCGTCGACTTTGAAACTCTGCTAGCTTCCTTCCCTTTGATGTAGTCGCAGTTCAAAGTTCCTGCCTCTCCTACTGCGCGCATCCTAACACTTTCCTTTTTTGTATGGGAAAACGGGCATTCGCCCCGCAAGGCAGGAGCGATGCACAATTGGTCCTTCGTCCCTCCCTCAATGGCCACCAAAGGGCAGCGTACTTCCTTCTCTCGTGAGCGTTGTCGTTACATGTCATGTAATTCGTTACATGTCATGTAATCACACTAAATATACCTCTGCACAGGCTTAACTACACTGAGACAAGGAGACGCATAGCAGCCACTAGCACTACGTTCTGGTACCTTGAAACGGCCAGAAACGTGTCCCGCTCAGCTTGTCGATCCGCAACTTAGTCTTACGTCACATCAGGGCAGGCGCGCCTAGGCCAATTGCACCAACTGCGCCTTCTTCATTGGTGCACAACAACCATCAATTACAGGCAGGTGCATCCTCCGTAAAGTAGAGTCGCAGTTTCCTCAAGGGCCGTCGTCATCCCAGCCGAGCAGCTGATCCTCCTCAATCTGACGAAACAAGCCACTTCTCCTCCTTCCTTGCTGACGCCTCGCTCTTTCCTTTATTACCTGAAAACTCATCGTCTCCAACGCTCCTTCTTCTTTCCTCACCGTCTCTACACTACCACCACAACTTCCCATTATCCTCTTCTCACAATCTCTCATCCTAACTCCCCGCATATTCCAAAATGGAGCAAATTCAACAGCTGAAACGCCGCACAACAGACCTCCTCCAGTCACTTCCGGAGACGCTCTCGCCGACCAAGACCACGTTCGGCAATATCTTCTCGTCGTCCCAGTCCGCTGCCCCACAGGATGACTCCCTAAAGGGCACCTGGCAGCGCGTCGCCATTCCATCGCTGCCCCGCTCTTCGTCCTCTATCAATGTCATTGCCGGCACCGCTTACGTCTTTGGCGGCGAAAGCGTCAATGCGCGCAAGCCCGTCGACAACGTCATGCACGCACTGGTCCTGCCGACGGGCAGCGCTTCGGCCGACTACTATACCATCAAGGCGGCGCCGGCCAAGAAGCCGGCGGTACCCGAGGCGCCCAAGCTGACCATCTCGGAGCCGCCGCCGGAGTCGGACCCTGTCGCCATTGTCGAGCCGCAGTTGGTGACACCGGACAGCACAGTCAGCGGTGAGGAGGCGGAGACGGCGACCACAGCCACTGGCAGCGAGGGACAGGGGGAGGCGGCCGAGGCGATCGGCCTCGACAGCAAGGACGCCAAAGGCAAAGGCAGGGTCACCGAACAGGACTCGACGGGTGCCGTCGACGAGATCCCGCTGCCGGGCCCGGCGCTGGGCGATGTGCCGTCACCGCGTGTCGGGCACGCCACGGCCGTCATTGGCAACCGCATCTTCTTGTTTGGCGGCCGGGGCGGGCCGGACATGAAGCCGCTCGAGGAGCGTGGCCGCGTGTGGGTGTTTGACACCAAGACGCATACCTGGAGCTTCCTGGACCCGCTGGCCCCGTCGGCGCCGGTGCCGCTCCAGGCCGTGCCCGAGACGGGCCACGCAGCCACAGTGGCCACGACGGCGGCGGCGCCCTCGTCGGTCAACCGCCCCATCTTCCCCGAGGCCCGCAGCTACCACGCGGCGACGGCCTCTGATCTGCCGGCCAGCGCCGACGACCCGCTCTCGTCGTCCTTTGCCAAGCGCGGCCGTGTCAGCAGCTGGAAGGAGTGGGTCGAGGGTGACATGGCCGAGGTGGGCACGCCGCAGCGGCCCATTGTGGGCAACATTGCCGCGCGCGCCCGCGACGCCGACAGCGACGGCTATGGCACGTTCATTGTGCACGGCGGCTGCCTGGCGAGCGGTGGCCGCACCAACGACCTGTGGGCCTTTGACGTGCGCACGCGTGTGTGGCAGGCGCTGCCGTCGGCGCCTGGCCTGCCCCGCGGCGGCACGTCCATCTGCATCAGCCGCAACCGGCTGTACCGCTTTGGCGGCTTCAACGGGTCGACCGAGGAGGGCGGGCGCCTTGACTTTTTGCAGCTGGAGCTGAACACGCTGACGGACACGAGCGTCGACAACGCCGACGTCACCCTGGCTGCCAAGGGCGCCTGGCAGAGCATTGTCGCCGAGACCAGCCCCGTCGTGTCCAACACGGCGTCGGTCGCTGCCGACTCGGCCGCGGCCGAAGAGGCGACGGCCGGGCGTGACAGCGATGCTGCGCCGCTGGTTTCGGGCGCCACCTGGCCCGGCGACCGCTCCGTCTCGAGCCTCGAGACCATCTCTGCGGGCGGCGGCTGGGAGTACCTGGTGCTGGCACTGGGTGAGCGCACGCCGAGCGGCACGGGCCACGAGGCTGCCGGCACGTTTTGGCGCGACGTCTGGGCCTTCCAGGTGCCCTCGGACAACTTTAGCGCGGCCAGCGTGTCCAATGCCGTGCGCTACGTGCTGCCGCGGCGGCTGTTTGGCGGCGCCTCGGGCGCCGGCGAGGGCCGCTGGTCGCGCGTGGTGACGGCGCCCTACGACGCGGATGACGACACGGCGGGCGAGGGTCCAGAGTTTGGCCCGGAGGCGCGCGGCTGGATCGCGAGCTCGCGGATTGGCGAGCTGGAGGAGAACGGCATTGTCATCTTTGGCGGCCTGAACGAGAAGAACCAGCGGCTGGGCGATGCCTGGATTTTCCGTCTGGGTGCCGATACGCGCGAGTAACGATGACTTGGAATTTTTACTTTCATTATGATTTGGCGTGTTTTGCTCTGTTGGACCGATTTAGCTTGATTTCTATGACATCTTTTGGGTCGTAAATTGAATATGAACGTTCTACACAGATAGATTACGCAGTGATGGCATAAGATATAAGTTGCAATACATGATTTTTAGCATTTGGTTATATACAAGACAGCTCGCTACCTCTTGCCGCCCATCTCATCTGTCCTCGTGTCCTGTGACTGTTCGCTCACGCTGCCATTGCAGTAGCATCCATAAAAGTGTACCTCACACGCATGGCCAACTGCCATAGTCTGTATTCCGCAGTGCATATCCCCTATTTTCGGCCATCTTCTTCCCCTACAGGTCACTCCGGGTCGTCTCCGTGCCCCACGGCTTGCTTGTCAGCGACGTCAGGCCTGCGCTGTTCTCGCAGGTGTCGCGGCCGGACAGCGGGCCCGCCTTGGGTAAGGGCGTCTTGCCCGTCGTGTCGAGCGCCGACGCCTTGAGGCCGTCCAGCAGCGCCTTGACCGTCTCGGGCGTCAGGTCCTCGTAGTAGTCGTCGTTGATCTGGATCATCGGCGCGTTGACGCACGCGCCCAGGCACTCCACCTCGATGAACGTAAACAGGCCGTCCGCCGTCGTGTGGCCTGCCGTGATGCCCAGGTGCTCTGTGATCGCCTTGACCACAGCGTCGCTGCCGCAGCCGCCGAGCTGGCAGGGAGTCTATAAGAAAGTCAGCTTGTGGCCTTATTCGCATCTCCTCTTCTTCTGTCCTCGCTCGCTTCGCTCACTCGCATCTCCTCTTCTTCTGTCCTCGCTCGCTTCGCTCACTCGCATCTCCTCTTCTTCTGTCCTCGCTCGCTTCGCTCACTCGCTTATCCTTTTTTCTTTCCTCGCTCGCTTCGCTCACTCGTTTCTCTCGTTGGCGCTGACTTACCGTCGTGCATGCCTGGACAAAGAACTTGCCCACCGGCGTCCGGTTGTACATTGTGTAAAACGACGCCACCTCGTAGACGCGCATGGGCGGCATCTCCAGCAGACGCGCCACCTCGTTCATGACGCTGATGCTCGTGAAGCCGTGCTGCCGCTGGCCGACATCGAGCAGCGGCATGACCGCGGCCTTCTTGTACTGGGGCGGGTAGCGCTTGAGGATCTCTGCAATGACCTGCTCGTTTTCGGCCGAGAACTTGAACGGCAGGTCGGGGTTGTTGTCGGGGGTGTGGCGGTGCTGACAAACGTTAGTATACCAACAAGGCAAGGAATCGAAACAGGAGAAGCCTCCTAAATGTAGACTCACCACCATGAGGGTATCACTGGCCCTCCGGGCAGAGGCGGAGAGGGCACGGATCTGCATGGGCTTTGCGGCGGTGGCGGCAGCAGCCGCCAGGGCCGGGTGGGGAGCGACGGTGCCGCATGCGGAGCGGACGGCGCGTCGCAGGGCGGTCGAGGAGATACGCTTGGCGGCCATTGGAGCGGTGGTGTGTAAAGTCGGAGAGAGGGTATATAACTGGTGGTCGTTGAGGGTCGTTGAAACGTTTTGGAAAAAGGCTCAAGCGAACGAGAGACGCCAGGGGCCGAGGAATTGAAGTCGCACGTTTGGGGCCGACTGCCAAAACAAGACAATTGGATCCGTCGTCGGATACCGAGTGGACCTATGGTGCGCGCTTGTGGTCGTGGGGATATGGAATTCTACCAGCGCTCCAGGTCGTGAGCCTCGTCTCTCGATTTTCCCATTCGACTACGGTTTGGAAGCGGCCGGGACACTAGCTTTGCTTTGTCGGGCCCTTGCCAGATCAAATTGGGAGACTGTGATTGGTTGAATTATGGCCTTCAACAGTGCTTAGTAATATTCTCTTACGAGGTGGTATATGCAACTATAGCTATATAATATGCATATATAGGGGCTATGCGAAGACTGCGGCGATGTTGACGGCGAAGGTCTATGCACTCATTTGGAAGAGAGAAAAGCATGTGGCAGCCTTATTTCCGTAATTGATATGTCTGCTGGCCGTTTTCCGACAGAATCCAATTCACAGTACCCAAATCCGGTCACATTCGGTGGCATCTGAGAATCACCGTCACCGTCTGTCTCGAGAGTACGCTTTTGATGTGCAAATCTGGAGGTTCGATTTAAACAAAGGTATAATAGGTAGGCTTTGCAAATAACTTGGGGTTTAAAACGTTTTTTGCAGGTTTTCCTTGCATTTTTTGTTTCATATTTAGCAAACTTGTTTTCGCCTCGGAGATAGAAGTTAAGAAAACTAATGGCAGAACAAAAAAGTGGCATATACTCTGGGACTCTCGTTTGGCAACCGTATATTCGTTTTGTTCTCTCTCACACTTACGTCTTGCATCTGGTACTTAGGTTGATATAACCGATACCAACAACGGCGGGTGGCGGCACAGCGAGGAGCGTGCCAAAGACGGGCGTTTTGGGTAAATGGAGCGGGCATTGGATATATGAGAAATGCCCTCCAACGGGTGACGTTCCGGTGCTGCAGAAGAGGCGCCAGCTCCGTGTCCAAGCACGGAGCGTAGTTTGCAGATCCTGGGAGGCAACGGTCAGGATTTGATTGTTGTGCTTCGCGCTTGTCATTCTTTTATTTGACTTTATCCTCGGCGCTCCATTGACCAACGTCGGCCAGCAGGGCATTTGTCGGCAAAACTGGTTTTCTGAATACCCAGAGACCGGTACAAGATAAGACAATAAGTAGAGGGCAGAGTTGCCAAGTGTGGTGTGGCTTTGCATATGCCGCTGCCTGGTTCTGCGAATTGTCAAACAACCAACAATCGTGTGCTTCTCACTAATCAGGATCGGGGCCACTGAATCGATCCAGCGAATACAGTTTACCAAAATATCAACTATGAAACTTCAACGAGAAAATAGAATTATGTAGAGAAGATGTAGGAGCTCCGGAAGACAACAAACGAGGCGGTTGACCATAGAGGTGCATGGCTAGTTGATTCAAAGCGCCAAAAGCCGGCAGACACAACGGAAATACGACATATCGCAATGCGCACAATCTTCTGGTCTACGGGCTTTCTGTGTTCCGTATTTCTGAACTAAACACATTATGGACGGGCCATCTGTCCATTTGTGAGGAAAAGGAAGAAAGAATTCAAACGACAGTATTTGTCTTTCCCTGTCCAGCATTCCTGAAATCAAAAGAACATCTTTTTTTTGTCCATTTTAATGTCCGCAACAGTCCGCGCTCTAATAAACTTTCCTGACAATATATGTCGTATTTCTACACCTCTTATTTGCCTCTCGGACCTCTTGGTCGAGCCGTCTTTATCAAAAGTAAAGTCTAGCCTCCCATTATGTCTAACCACATCTCATATCTCTCTGACTGTCCGAGTATCCCTCTCTCCCCCTCTCCAAGACCCGCCCAAAGCATCCACCCTTCTTCCGCCCTGCATGTCGTGTTAGTGGTGCGCTCCGAGCGCCTTGAAGGAGGTGTCCATACACCTTTTCGTCATGCCCGGTTCCCCCCCCTCATCATTGTCTCCCTCACTTCAACGACTATATATGAGCTCGCTGTCATGCCGTTTGCCCCTTTGCCTCCTGGCTGGGCCTCTTTTTGTATTCCTTTTTGGTCTTGTTCCTGCGTCTTTGCTTCCCCTACTCTCTCGCTTGTGTTTTATTCCTTTTGCCTGTTATTGATTTCTCACGTTTGTCGCGTTTTTGCAAATTAAAAGCAGCGTTGTTGGTTGTGTCGTTTGCATCCTCTTTGCCTCTCCCACGTTTCTTTTAATTACTCGTCTGTTTTGCCTGCCTTCCTTCTCGCTCTCCTTGCCGATTCAGTTTCTACTCACGCAAGATCTCCAACAGCGTCGCTTGGAAGCGGCTGGTCCAAGGCTATGTCATGATACCCATCTCCCGTCTCTGTAATATACCCCTGACGCGCCTCGACTCGACGTCAATACATATAAACGCCGGCGACATTTCTTCTTATTTTTGGTTTCCACTACAGATCTGGCATCTGTAGACCCGTCTCTCATTTTCAGCGGCAGTCTTTCTTTACCATTGTCACCGTGCCTTTTTGCTCTTCACACTTTTTCGAGTCACTCCTTTCAGCATGTACACGGCGTCTCTCCTCGCGGCCGCGGCCGCGGCCGTTCTCCCCAACCTGCTTGTCTCCGCCACCGCGCCGCCCAGCTATCCCGGATTCACCCTCATCTGGAACGACACGTTTGCCGGCGCGGCAGGCACACCGCCCAATGCCAACAACTGGAGAACCGTTACCGGCTACCTCAACCAGAACAGCGAGGCCGAGGTCTACTCGAGCAGCACCAAGAACCTCCAGTTGAGTGGCAGCGGCTCCCTTCAGATTGTGCCCCTCAAGGACCCCCAGTCGTCCGGGCCGGGCAGCGGCTGGACCTCGGGCCGCGTCGAGTCCGCCAGCGGCTGGCTGCCCGCGGCTGGCCAAAAGACACGGGTCGAAGGCCGCATCCGCATGGGCGACGGGCCCGCCGGGACCAAGCAGGGCATCTGGCCCGCCTTTTGGCTGCTGGGTGAGGCCATCCGCATGGGCACAAACTGGCCGCAGTGCGGCGAGCTCGACATTCTGGAGCTGCGCAACGGCGTGGCCATGGGCTTTGGCACAGCCCACTGCGGCACCACGGCCAACGGCGGCGTGTGCAACGAGCCCTCGGGCCGCGGCGCGACCGTCGCCGTCCCCGACCCGGCGGCGTTTCACACGTGGACGATGACGTGGGACCGCACGAGCAGCGACTACAAGGCGCAGACCATCCAGTGGGCGCTGGACCAGACGGTCTTCTTTACCCTCGCGGGGGCGCAGCTCGACGAGGCGACGTGGCGGACGCTGGCGGCGAGTGGCTTCAACATTGTCATGAACGTGGCCGTGGGCGGCGATTTTCCCGGTGCGCCCAACAGCGCGACCCAAGGCGGCACCGCCAGCCAAATGGAGGTGCAGTACGTGGCCGTCTATGCGACAAATTGATGGACTGACCAAAGGTCGTCTCATGTCTTCCTTTTTTTGCTTATTCTGTCTGTGGAAATACGTGAATATCCATTTTTTAGGGTGTGTGAAATCACAACTGTTGACCCCTAATGTTTCGTTTCGTTTCTTTTTTTCTTTTTTTCTTTTTTCTTTTTTTCTTTTCTTTCTTTTCGCTTCTCTTGAATACTATACTGCACATTGTTCTCACAAATACACTACACCGCAACAATTTGTTTGCACCGCATGGATTCGCCTGTTTCTTTTATTTCAGTTCACGACGGACTCACTTGGGTGAAAGTCACGATTTAAGTGGTTGGATATTTCATTATTTCATCGTCATTACTGACACTCGACCTTCGTCAAGAATGCAACATTTCAACTCCAAGTTCCTCAGTCAAATCCGAGCCGAACAATCAAAACAAATGCGAGAAGGGGTATCATGGCGGATGCAATATGGCCCAAGTCCAGCATAAAAGGTGAGCAATGACGCTTTACGTTCGTTTCATCTTTCTTTTCTTTGGTTCTTTTGGTTTCCAACTCCCTCCTCACTTGCACCAGCATCAGCCATCTTCATCTTCAATCAACAGCATCAACATCATCAACACGACATTCATGAGCAAAATAAAATTGCATGTTTTTTTAGTCTTCTTCCGCCAGGGCTTGCTTCTTCAAAAGACGAAACGTCGGACAGTCTTTTTTGTTGCTCTCTCTTTCTTCTCTCTCTTTCTCTTCCCTCTCCCCATACTACACTTTCCACTTTCGTTTCTCTTGGCCTCCCCTCTTCTCCTTTTTCTTGTTTCCCCCAATCGTGATATTCCGTTTGTTGGACCCGAGAAAAATTTAAAAAAGTTGTTCGGTGCGTCGTGTACTTTTCGTTTCGCGTTCGTTCAGAGAATCAAATAAAAAAAAGAGAGGGTGGAAAAAAAACCGTTGACGCCGTTGAAAATCGCAGGATCATGTCGAAAAGAAAAAGGATATTATGCCAATACCGAAAACGAGACGATGTCAAAAGAGACATAAAAAGGGCGAGAAAGTGGAGAAACGTGCGAAATCCCGACAAAAAGGGCGTGGCAAAACAAAAGCAAAGAACGAGGTATTGGGGTTGTCTTTGAAAAAAAAGACGGCGAAACGATCACAAGCAGCGCACAAAAGGAGTCGAAACCCCCAACAGAAACAGACAGCCCTTAGGCGAGCGAGAATCGACAAAACGAATTCGGCGACAACAGGAAGTGCGACGCAGCACATGGTTTTTTTGTTGTTCATGTACGACGCCTCCAACGGCGTACGGCAATCAAAGGACTTCCGCTGCGCTTGCGTTGAATGTCATCGCTGTTGCCAGGCGCCGAATTCCTCTCCATCAAAACTGCTTGTTCAGATATTGCCGCCTAAGCAACAGGGGCAATGGGCGCGACGGGGGCAGGGGCCGCAACGTTGTTGGCATCAACCGGGATCTGGGCGATCGGCACATCGGCGGTGCTGGGGATGTCGGTAGTGGTGTTGTTGGCCTGGTTCTTCTGCGGGCAGTCACGCGAGATGTGACCAGCCTCGCCGCACTGGTAGCAGGTCTTGCCGGCAGTGTTGAGGGGGCCCCCGTTAGGGGCAGTGCAGTCACGCGAGATGTGGCCCAACTTGCCGCAGGCGTAGCACTTCATGGCCTGAGCCTGGCAGTCGCGGGCGAAATGGTTAGGTCCGCCGCACTTGTAGCACGTGGCAGGGCGCGGGCCACCGGACACGAAGCCTCCGCGGCCGTAGCCGCCGTAGCCGCCACGGGGAATCATAGGCACGCCGCGGCCAACGCCGGCAGCGTTGGGAGCCTGGCAAGCACGGGCCAGATGGCCGGGCTGGCCGCAGTTGTAGCAGCGGCCGCCGGTGGAGGCGCCAGTCAGGCGCAAGGTCGGGCAGTCCGCCTGCACATGGCCGAGGCCCTGGCAGTGGTAGCACTGCTTGGCATCGGTGGTGCGGGGCAGGGGGCAGCCGTTGGACTCGTGGCCGGGCTGCTTGCCTGTAAAGGAACGTAATGTCAACAATTGCTTTTGTAACGGCGCAAACGCGAAATAGTACTTCGCTTTTTGGATTTATCCACTTACAGTTGTAGCAAAGACGCTCGGCGGACGAGCAAACCTCGGCGTAGTGGCCGACGTTGCCGCACTTGTAGCAGGCACGACGAGAGAGAGAAGACATGATGTATGTGGGTGTGAGAGGTCTGAATTTTCATGTTAGTGGCTATTTGAAATAAAAGGACGAGGCGAACCAATGTTCTCCGTCAGAACCCAGAGAGTCCCGTCCCTGTGATCCAGGCTTGTGGAGGTGTGCAATGTAAAGGGCAGTGTTAAAATTTGAAGAGGTGCAGAGCAGTGACGTGCGAACCCGATCAACAGCCCGAACTTCGTTGTGTGGATTAAGTTGTCCCGATCAGCACAACTCGTCGCACACGGCCTGCCTTGTCCACCCACGACTTTCAGGATGCATGAGGCGCATGAGCCTGTGCGACATCGCCTCGCGCTGCAATTCTCTGCCGCTGCTCTACCAACTGCCATTGTGGCATTGAGAGAAGACCGAAGTCGGACGCGTCTTGAAAATGTGAAGCGAGAGGGCGCTCTAAGCACAAGAGTCTCCGATACAACGGGGTGAGAGCCATATGGGATGAAGTGGAAGGACCTCGGTAGAGCGCGTTCACAGGGAGGCGGGAAGGCAGTGCATGGTGGGAGCACAGAGCAAGAGGAATGGATGCAAGACGTGCAGAATGCGGCTGGAACCCCAGTCCAAAGTCCCGATAGATTGGTTGGCTGCATCCTTGTGGCAGACAACGTGGCGCGACATCGTAGTGGCGATGACCAAAACGACGACACGGTGGTGCCAAGTCCAGTGCATTTGCTGACGCAGTCGAAGATAGAGACAGTGGTGAATCGCATACGTTGTTTGTGACTGTGAGTGCGCGTCTGTAATCCCAGGCAGTTGAGGCTCAAGTCAAAGCTTGTCGGTACCGAAGCGGCCGCGTTCCCAAGCGGGCGTGAGACGGGCGAGGAAGCCACGCCGGCATGGTCACACGGTCGGAGAATAGGCGTTGAGTGCGAGGCTGTCGACTGTGCGTCGCGACGAGGATACGCAGCTCCAGATTCGGGAGGCGAAATATGACGCGCTCCAGGCCAACAGCTGTCGCAGGGAAGACGACGGTGATGTGGTGGGCGCAGAAGTGGTGCGAGGTGGATCGAGAGAGGAGCGACGGCGAGAGTATATGCAGTGACGGGAGGAGAGAAGAGACTCAAGGACGAGAGAGGAGGGGAATATGGAGAGATCGGAGAGATCGGAGATGGACGGAGAACAAAGGATCAAAAGGAACCAAAGGAACAGGACAACAAACTGAGAAGAGGGCGCGACAAACCTGAAGACAAAATACCCTGCAAAAAACGATCCCTTCCAAAAACTTCGGCTTCTTCGTCAACTTCTTCCGACAGCAACACCGACAACAACCCAGATAAGGATGTAATGTATGGTGAAGAGCAAAATGATTGAGATGTGGATATCGAGAAAAAGAGAGAGGAAGAGAGGGAAAGGGGAGGAAGAGGTAGGAAAGGGAAAGAGGAGGGGGAAAAGGCAGGAAGGGATATAAAAAAATAAAAACGACACTAAAACAGCAGTTTAAAAAAAATGAATAAAAAATTATGGGAAGGAGGCGACGAGCGACTAAGACGACAGGTTTTGGGCCTTTTTGTGGGGATGGCCACCGCCTATGGAAGGAGGCGACCACTGGTATGGCGGCGGCAGGCGAATAGGAAAGAGCTGGTAAGTCTCGACTACGGAGCAAAAGGTGAGGAGCGGAAGGGGCGAGACGTGAAAGGCGGGCAGAGGTGCGCCAGTGGCAGGGGAGAATCCAGGACGAGGGAAGAACCCACCAACACAAAAGTGGGAGGCGCAACTGGGAGGAGTGCTCAATTTGAGATACCCAGCGGGTACCGCGGCCTCGCGAAATATTGGCGCTAAGTTCAGCGCACAGTCGAGGTACCGTGCGGGTCACGATTGTGCGGTTGCCATCGTCCGTCGCCCATCGCCCATCGCCCTTGCCTTAAACACCTAGTCTGACCAGCCCTGACCATTGGGGCCAATGGGCTTTGTGGCAAAGCGGCGCCGGTGCGGAAAGGACAGGCCCCCAAAGCTGGGATGCACTTGCCTCGACTATCGTGTAGCCGAGGGACTCACAACGGGCAAGTACTGATCCAAGCCGAGAGACCTGCACTTTCCCTTTTCATGCGCTCGGTGCGTCGTGCGTGTCTTGCCCACTGTGTCTTTGCAACTGGACTGCAACGCACCTGCCATCTTTGTCCTTCGTGCCTGGCCGATGGTCTCTTGTGCCTCTTCAGTACTTTTTCATGGAGAAGTTCTGCCCCCTTTTTGATCTCTTCAACCAAACAATTCCCAACATGCACCTCTCATCGCCTCTGCGTGCGCCCGCCCAAGCCCCCTTTCGCCGCTACACTCGGAGTAGCTTGGCAGCCGACTTGGTCTAGTGCGCTGTGATGTTGCGGTGGAAAGCCCAAAGGAGGCCAAAAGACATATCATGCAAGGGAAACAGAACACGAAAGACGAGAAAGCAACATGGGGGTGTCTCTTGTCTCTCGTCAGGCGCCGCGCCTCTCTTCCCCCTCATCAGCCCACACACCACCCATGCTCCGAGAGAACGTTGGTTGACAGAACACTCCATCGACTGTGGGACGAACCGGCAAAGGGGATTCGCTGAGCTTTGTGGTAAAGTTGAGACGGAATACATCCCAGTGGGTCGGAGCGCGCGTGGGCTCTTTTTTTTGGTTTGTTTTTTAACCAGGGGCGTCTGCGCCGTCACCGGTCTACTGTTTTATTGGGGCTAGTCTGGAGGTGTGGCCAGGCCCTGTCAGGCCTTCACAGTATGTTTGAAGGCGGCAGGTGGAAGGGACAGGGGAGAGGATACAAATAAAAGCACTGACTGAAAGCAGAGTTGCAGAACATCGTTGGGTTGCAAGCGCGAAAGTTCAGCACACACACTCACACGGCATAGCTCTCCGACATTGTGATATACAAAAACAGCCACCAAGTGAATCAGTTGATCGAAAGGAGCTGACCATCGTACCAGCACACAACAAGCTCTTTCTAGTTCTTTCAAATCAGCCCCCGCCGCTTCTCAGGACAGCCAAATATGGCCACGGTTATTGGTCTGCTTCGTGTATCGAAACGCTTCACCATGACAGAAGAAGCGGTATTGGCCCGCTTTGGGCTAACGAACTCAATGCGTGTCCCCCCTTCCCACGGCACGTTTCTGCTCACCGCCGAAAAAAGCCAATAGGACGAAAGTGCAAGAAAAGAGGATCGTCACCGAACGAGTGTTTGACGATGCATTCAATAGGGTCGCAGGGCAGCACCTTTGTTTACTCCACACCTGCTGGTTTTGGCCCTAGTCCCGATCTCTTGTCGAGTCTTGTCTCCCCACCACTCTTAGCAGACGAACGGAATATGGGAATATATCGATTTGATGGTACCGAGACGGTTCTAAGCACCAGCACGAGTTGAACAAAGCATTCTATTCGATTCTGCAATAAAACGTGCCGCGCCGGTTCGACAGTACCAGATGAGGCAGATTTGAGTATCGTGGCTCTCAAAGTGAGAGTCTACGCTGCAGTAAGCCATGAGTGTCCTATTTTGGTCCGTTAACAGAAGCAGTGCTATCAGCTTCGGGCAGCTCTCGTTTATACGTTTGCTTCCTGGCACCAGACGCCGATGTAGGCGATGTCAGTTTTCACTTTTTCTTTAAGAAATGAGGGGAGGGCAACCGGTCTCTCGACAACCAGCCGACCGTTCCAATGGGAGAAAGAGACTGAAACTCGCCGGTGCGCCGCGGATCACATAGCCAAACACTGATTTCTCTTATTCTTCGGTTGGCTTGGGTAGTCTGTCTTCAATCAAGGAAAGATGCAGACATCCGGTGGCAGCAAATATCCGCTTTTGACCTTGTGCACGAAGATGTGTGAAGAGATCGAAGCCGTCAATACCTTACCTCTGGAACAAATACATCAAAAATAAGGAACGGTGATGTATTTCGATCGCATGCTACAAGTGGTAGGCAATCCCCGGTGCCGGTGCATTGTTCATTTCAAAGGACAGCGAGAGGGATATAAACTATTCGTCTTCACTTATTGGGACCCAAATCGTGGCCAACTTTGTCAAAACGCCATGTGCTAACCACTCTATGCTGTGTCAAACAGGTATAAAAATCAAACCCAAATCATGTCCCGTAATTACCCCCCGTCCCGCTCCCGAACAAAAACGACAGAAAAATCAAAATAAGTAAGACAAAACAATGAACGCTCAATTTGTTACAGATGTATAACTACACAGCAAGGTGCTCGTCAACTCTCGTCTCTCGCCTTCACCACGCCGGTCGCGGTGCCGTACGCCCCGCCTCGGACGGGTGCTGAGGCAGCGGGATCTCGGTCGTTGGTGCCATGGAGCGTGGCTGGGCCTCGACAACATACTGCACGCCGTCATCCGACATGTACGACGGTGGACGTGGGCTCTGGCGGCCGCGTGTGCTGGCACCATCGCTGTCGTCACGAGATTGGCGGTGGTGGGTGCTGCTTGTCCTGCTGCTGCTATCGGAAACACTGCTGGCGGCGCCGCCACGCATTGTGGCACTTCGACTACGGCTGCTGCGGCTGCTCCTGCTGCTGTTGCTGCTATTGCTGCTGCTCGCCTCTGTTGAGCGCGTCGTCTCGCTGCCTCCGGTGGTTGTCGTTGCCGCCGACGGCTGTTCGTTGCGCTGCCAATAGATGCGGTTCGGATCCACACGCACGCTCTCCCGCCACAAGCCGTACGCTGGTGGCTGCATCTTGGCAGTGACGCTCTCGAGGCCCGCGGCCTCTTCGTCGCGCGCCAGCACCACGCGGATGGGCTGGTTGGGGATGGCGTAGCCGCCCGGGCCGTACATGTCCGGCAGGCCCGCGGGACCACCACGGCGGCGGCGACGGTACTGCTCCTCGGCGGCCTCTTCCTCGGCGGGCGACATTGGGTGGATTACCATGAAGCACAGCCGGATGAGTCCGTGGGCGAAGAAGATGGTGGTGCACAAGAGAATGAGGATGAGGAGGACGGCAAATTCGGTGTTGTAAATGTTCTTCGTCATGTAGAGGGCCAAGAAGACGCCTACCATGAGCGTGAGAAAGGTGCCCGAGACGAACAGGCGCAGGATCTGGGCGCGCATGCGGCGGGACTTGATGTAGGGGAAGCAAAACAGGAACCGTTTTGGTGGAGCGTTTGGGTCGGCCGGCCCGCGTCCTGGGTAGGGCGGCGAGACGCCCATGTCGACGACATACTGTCGCTGGTGTCGCTGCCGCCGGCCCGACCGGTTCCCGCTGCCACTGTGGCTTCGGCTCCCGCTCCCACTTCCGTCGCTGTTTTGCCGGTTCTGTCGCCGCCGCCGCCGGCCGTCGTCGGCCATGTTCGCCAGGTGCATCTCGGCCGGATCCGCCCCCTCGAAGCGCCGCCGCCGGCCTCGTCGGCGGTCGTCCTCGGTCCCCGCTTCGCTCAGGCTGCTGCCGCTGCGGTGCCGACTGGTGGTAACGTGCTGGGCCGGCACGATGGGCCCAGGCTCGGACATGCCTGTGGGAGGCACAGCTGGTGTCGCTGCCGTTGTGGTCGTGGAGGTGGTAGTACCATTGGCCGTGCCCGGCCGGGACGGCGGGCCGCTCGAGCCTCGTGTCCAGGTTCGTTGCAGGTTCGGCAGGTGCAGGCGAGTCGAGGGCAAGGACGGCATCCCCAGAGAGCCAAATTGTGGTGTTTTGGGCGAGACGATTTCGTCATTGTCCGTCGTGGCGCTGCCGGCGTGACTGTTTGTGGTGTAGTGGCTGCTCGTCGGGCGGGGCGCCGCGCGGCCAAAGGAGGGCATCGATGGCATTGAAGGCATCGACGGACGTGGCAGATCGGCGAAGCGGCGCAGGACGGCACTCACAGGTGACGAGCGGGCTGTCTGGGGCTGTGCCGTGCCTTGCTGCCGCATTTCGGGCTGCTGTGGCTGCTGCCGCTCTTGTTGCCGCAACTCCTGTCCACGAGCTTGTTGCCGTTCTAGGTCGGCCTGCTCGGCCTCGGCCTGCCGCCGCAGGAAGTTCTGGCGTGCATTGCGGAAGATGTCCATTGCGAGAGTGGAATGATGTGAGGCTGTACAGGCACCAGTGAGAAAGTGCGTGTTTGACGGAGGCGGGGAGAGGAGAGCAGTATGGGCGTCCTATTTCGAGCCGTTCATGCTTTTTTGAGGTGTCCTGCACGCCTTGCTGTCGTTCTCTTGCGGTGTTCGACCGTTTTTACTGCCGATGCCTCCTCGAGCTGCCAGGCTGTCGTGACGTTGTCAGTCGTCAACCACGAGGTGTGTCGAATGTACTTTGTCGAGTCTCACGAGCCGCGAGTCGTAAAGCGGTTATCTGCAAGTGATAACCGAGGAAGAAGAGGAAAGAAAAAAGAGGGAAAGAGAAACCGGAGAGGTTCTCGGAGGTGAGGATAGGAAGAAAACAAAAGAAACAAAAAGGCCAAGACTTGAGAGTCGTTTGTAGAATATGGGAGGGCAAGGGAGTAAGAGAATGAGTGATGAGGGCCAATGAATACCAGGAGGCCAAAAACCTGTGACAAGGTCTGTCCTCAAGACGGAGTTGTCATCCAGGAAAAAGAAAAGTGACAGAGAGAGAGAGAAGAGAGAGCGTGCGTCTGGATGTGTCAGGAAATGGTGAGGGAAAGTGAGAAACAGAGTACGAAAGGACAAGGGGTGGGAGCCTCGTTTCGGAAAAGACACTGCGCTGTCGCAGTGCACAGGAACTGAGAAAAAGAAAATAATGAGAAGGGGAGCAACGACAACCAAAGAATTGGAAAGAAAGAAAAAGACCGAAAATGGGTAGGAACAAACAGAGGCTTTTTGCCAATGGATTATGCTTTGGAAAGCAGGCGAAACAACGTATGCAGGTACACACACACGGCGAGACTAATACGAACACATCCAATACAACACACCAACTCGCACATGAAAACGCAAGGAGAGCACAGAACACAGAACATTGCTTACTACCGCAGTCTGAGGTTGCGCCCGCTCGCGCCGTCTCCTGTTTTGGGTTCGGACCTGCACTAGACGACGAACACAGAAGACGCCAAAGCAAGCTGTGACGTAAACACGGCTTCGACAGAGATACTAGGGGGGCAAACCCCTTTCAATACAACGTACTCGGACGGGTCTGGGCTGCGGTCGGCGAGACGATGTAGGGAGGACGAAAACGGCAATCGACAAGCAGGGGAATGTGAGAGAAACAGTACGTCGTGAGTATAGAAAGAGGCACGAATACGGACAGCAGAGAGAGGGAGGTGTCGCAGTAGTCCGTGATAGAGCACGAAAAATAAGTGCAAAATTGGGAAAATAGTGCACGATGCGTGAGGGACGCCAGGAATGCAGACTGAGACAGGGGTGAGCAAAGTCGCAGTAGGGGGCCAACTGCGTCACAAACCCGGAAAAGGAATAGGCTTTGGCAGGAGACTCGAAGACGGCAAGCAACGGTGAGAACGAGTGAGAAAGACAGCTCTGTACCGTGCTTTCTTCCACTGTATCTCTGCACTTTTTCTCCTGTATGTCTCTTTGCCCATTTTTGTTTTTATTTCGTCTTTCTTTAACATCACCACTTCCGATTCCGTCCGCCGGTTTTCATGGCGCTGGCTTTGGAATTCATCCCAGAGTATGTCGTAATTCCACTGCGATCTTTTGCTGCCGTGTTTGGCATGTGAGAATATGAAAAATGCCTGTCATAACGTAGCACTGTTGCAGTAAGAAAGTTGCTAGTTTTATCCTGCATAAAGCTTTGAACAATCTGACAGGGTAACCGCCGCTATCGTCGTGGCTGCTTCCTTCAACTGGACTGGCTGCGACACAGGGCTGAACTGTCCATGGCGCCTTCTCCATGCATGTGAGAAGGCCCGCTGAGCACCAGACATTTTAAGGAAAGCACGACCACGTCCAAAGTCAGGGGAAGCACAACAACGGCAAGAGCAAAGGACGATCACTCCTGGGGCCGCGGAGGACGGACAACAGACAGCCAATAAAGACGAAAGACTACAAAGACTCTGAAGGACTGAAGACGGGAGGGGAGACCAAGATCCAACTGAGTCGCAAAATACAACCAGAAAAGGGGGCCTCGAAAAGGGGGGGGGGGGGGGATGAGTTGGTTCCTGCGACACGGCTTGTGGTTTGGGGGCTGTCGCAGCATGGATCAGGAAATCACGAACGAAAGGCGCAAGGAGATCGGAATCGGAAGCAGAGTGAAAGTACTGCGTACAACATACAAGGGCACACAAATTGAAGGGTGCGGCTTGGACGTTCTTCTGAGGTGAGGGCGGCCATGTCGATGCTCTTGCCTAATTGATGCAGGGGTCCGCGGAGTGTGGGCGTTTGTCGTGTGTTTCGGGTTCTCTTTGGGGGAAAGAACGGGACTGGGCTTGAGCCTCTGCCCGTGGGCGCTAAGACCCTTCCTCTGGAAATGGAGACCTGCCAGCCAATCAACGTGCAGCAGTGAACCTGAGCTCCAAAGACGAGGGAGATGTCCGGATACGATACGAATACCGTTGCCAACACTCTCATGCCAGTGCTTCATGTCGGCTGCGCCTCACGTAACAGGTGTGTTTGCGCAGTGTGGCAGCTACTGGTTTCTCAACGGTTTGACGCTGATAGAGTCCTAGAGTCGTAAAGAGGGTGGAAGAAGGAAGAAAAATGATTGATGTCCGCGCCAAGCACGACAAACCAACATTGACAATGTCGTACACCGATGAATAGGGAGACAACAGGGACATCGCGTCTCAAATAAACGTGTGATTAGGAAAGGTATGCACGCTCTATGAACCAAATATATCATCACGATATGCCAGAAAACGCCACAAATTACATACAACACATTGTACCCTTGAAGTACTCTCCCGAGGGCTCGGCCACCAATGCCAGGTCGGGTAGACCGCATCCAACTGGTTCGAACGCGGCTCTGCGCATGTCCACGTATCCCGTACACCCTCTTTGTATCTGAAGGTGACATGTTGCAGGCGTCCTGCAGCTTGGTGGAAAAAAGATGCCTCGCCATGAAATCACGAGCACCAGTGCCGTTCCACTGTCCGACCAGATATGTCTTCTGCACTCGCCACTTGCCAAGGCATAGTGGATGTGCCGTCTGTGCCTATTAAGCAGAAACAAAGCCGGGCCATAATGTACTGAAGATCGCACACGCAGCCTGAACTGGCAACAACATGTACCAACCAAGATGTCCCTCGTTTCCCTTGTTGGTGGTTGACGTCGTCAACAACTGTCATGGCGAGGTTTCTCGTAGACCAGATCCATAAACGGCAACTTGTCCTGCTTGGCTGCGCAGCCGTCACTTGTATATAGCGGCACGGACTCCCACCGAGGAGAGCCTGGTGCTGTTCTCGATCCGCGGCCTTGCTTGTTCCTTGGCAGCCTCGTCTAGACAAGGTCGACGAGCGCCGGATTATATGTAGACATAGCCAAACCATCTCGACCCGGTCAAGGCAGACCCAGACTTGGCTGCGTGTCGCTACGTCATCGTGCTTGCCGCGCGGCATGTCGGTCGGCCAGGAGACACGACGGTGGTGCCTTATTTCAGCTCGCCGAGCATCAGCGTCCGGTCAGACGACGCAGAGAGAACTAGAGCTGGTTAGTCGCTATGAAGTAAACATAAACATTTGTACATTCGGCAACGGGTGGGGACCATCAACTCACTGATCGGCTCGTCCGAAGGCGAAAACTCCGCCGCGTTGACACTGCCCTTGTGGCCCGGCAGCTTATACAGCAGCTTGCCATTGTCGCTCGACCACACCACCACTGTCCCGTCGCCCGACCCGGCGGCAATCCGCTTGCCCTGCGGGTCCCAGCTGGCGTGCGTCAGATTTTTGTCCACCCCCGGCTGCGCGCCGTCAAGCGTCCGTATATGCCGCTCCGTCGGCGCAAACGGCCGAATGTCCCATGTGCGCGCCGTCGCGTCCATGGAAAACGACAGCAGCGACTGGCTGTCGGGCGACACCCGCAGACTTGTGACGGTGTCCTGGTGCCCGTGCAGCGTGTACACCACCGCCTGCTTGCGCACGTCCCACACCTTGATGTCGTTGTCGATGCCGCCTGCGTACAGCTCGTGGCCCGCCTCGGCAATCGCCACCGCGGTGATCGGGAAGTCCGTCTGGATGTAGTCGGCCGCGTTCTTGGTGCGCGGGTCCCAGATGCCCAGCGACCCGTCGTCGCTGCCGCTGTACAGGATCTCCTCGCCGCGCTTGCTAATGTCCAGCGCGTTCACCGCCTCCTCGTGGCCCACGTACCGCCGGATGCGCGCGCCCGTCGTCAGGTCCCAGCTCGCCAGGTGCGTGTCGGCCGACGCCGAAAACAATATGTCTGCGTCGCGCGACCACTGCAGGTCCAGCACGGCGCTGCGGTGGCCCGTCAGCACGCCGTAGTTTTCGCAGTCGCCGTACGTGCGCCACAGCAGAATCGACCGGTCCATGGACCCCGACGCCAGCAGGTGGCCCGCCGGGTCGAACTTGGCACAAAACACCTCGTCGCCGTGGCCCGTCAGCTGCATCACGGGCGCCTGCAGCCCGCTCGTGCGGGGCTGTGCCTGGATCAGTGCAGTGCTGCCCGGCCCGCCAGAGCTGCCGCCCAGGTTCGGCCGCTTCACCAGCTGGCTGCCGGGCTGCGTCGCCGATGCTCGTCTCTTTTCCGACATTGTGGGGCATGCAAGTGCGAGAGCGCGAAACAGGCGAAGCGTAGCGTATTTTCCAAACAAACGGGTAATGTCCTCTGAAGACGCGAGCGTGGTTGTGGACGTAGTCGGGTCGTGTCGCAGTAGCGAACGTTGGTTGTCGTTTGTTTGGTTCACGTGGTGCCTGGTTGAAGCTCCGCAAAATCCAATTTTCCTTTGGCCGTCCTCAACTTTCGAGTTGCGCCAAAAGGGAGCAAGGCCTTATCGGTGAATAAAAGTGGGCCGTGTTCCTTATCGCACTCCCCGCCAGATGGCAGGAGCACTCGAGCCCACTGGACAAGGCAGGCACGCATTACACCGCCAGCGAGACAATCGGCTGCCGAAAGCTCCCCCATTGCAACATCGACAACCGACAACGACCACAACGCCGGCGACGTTGACGACGATACCCCTGCGAACGACGGCACATTACCTTTCTTTGACGAACCAACCCCCATCGCAACCGTAACACAGCCGCGCCCAACCCTGCGTCGTCCGGCACAACTGCACCGCGCCAGACTCCAGGGCCTCTGGTGTTGGCCGCCGCATACGGAGGAGCACAATGTCTGCCGCAAAGGCTGCCCGCGTGGGCGAGGAGTGGGTACTGCGCATGTTGTCTGCGTGGAAATGGATACCGGGCTAACCTCGCCAGAATCTGGAAGACACGGATAGACAAGGTCAATGCCGAGCTCGTGACCCTCACCTACGGCACCATCGTCGCTCAGCTATGCAAGGACTACGACAATGACTACATTGAGGTCAACAAGCAGCTCGACAAGATGGGCTACAACATTGGCCTGCGCTTAATAGAGGACTACCTCGCAAAGTCGGTGTCCATGAAGCGCTGCAACAACTTTCGCGAGACGGCCGATATGATTTCAAAGGTGAATTCCCTCCCCTATATGTATCTTACATCCTTCTCTCCCTTTTGCCCTTGTCCCTTTTGCCATTTTGCCATTTTGTTCTCCCTCTCCTCCCCCGCTGACACCACCTCGCGCCTAGGTCGGTTTCAAAATCTTCCTCAACACCACACCCATCATCACCAACTGGACCTCCGACGGCAAGCAGTTCTCCCTCGTCTTTGACGAGCTCCCCCTCGCCGACTTTGTCGAGCTGCCCGACGACGGCCGCGCCCAGGACGAGCTGTGGTACTCCAACATCCTGTGCGGCGTACTTCGGGGCGCCCTTGAAATGGTCCAGGTCCAGGTCGAGGCCCATTTCATCAGTGATGTCCTGCGCGGCAACGACACCACCGAGATGCGGATATCCCTGATCCGCTACATTGACGACGAGCTGCCGCCAGAAGATGACTAGAAGTGGGGGAGGAACCATGGGAACAAGTACGAGCATGGCAAGCATGATACAAGCAAACAGGTATCGGACTCTGTGGTAGCAAAGGCGGTGTTCGGCCGGTTCGGGAGCCTCCACGAATAATCGCACTCCAAATGCAGCCTATGTTGCATGGCGGGTAATGAGGGAACGGAAGAAGTGGAAGAAGCAGAAGTCTAATCATTCAGACACACTTGGTTACTGGCCAACCAAGCTTTATTTTTTTGCGTATGTACTATGAGCTTTAATCGTTCAATCTACGAAGGGCAAAGCATAGCCTGGCAAACTCGTGATGTTAACGGTGTTGAAGATACGGCATATGGCCGGTGTAGCATTCCCATCGTAATACTTAAAAATGCACAGCAATTTCTTGTTGTTTGTGTTTATATATATAAAGAAGAAAAACAAAGGGCAGATAGAAAGAAAGAACGAGAAAGAAAAGTGCTCTATAGATATCTCTTTTCTTGATTGTTTAGGAAAATTATGTTTTTTATAAATAAATAAACAATGTTAGGACGTCTTACCGGTTCGAATCGTCTTTTGACATTTCAAAGAAATGAAAATGAGATTGAGGTAAAGCAAAAAACGTGTTTAAATCCTGTCAGATGGCAACTTACATCGTAGAGCCCCAGACTTCAGATTCTTATCCGGAACACTTTTGCGAGTGCTCCATGACTAGCATAAAAGCTCACTGCCTTTTTTTGTTTCTCGAAGTGAACCAGAGCAGAAGGTATCTTGTTTAGCTGAAAAGGGAACAGATTGTCGTGTAAACCTCGCAAATGTTACGTAACGACAGGGCAGCTCTGGGTTCCAAAGCCGAGGCTGCAGAAGTTGTCTATGATACTTCAATAGCCGTCTGCATTCAATAAATACAATCCTATTTATGGTGGCATTTCCAGCTTTGTTGGTTTCAAATTATTGTCTTTGCGTGCCTCAGGAACGCCCCGTGGGAACTTTTAATTCACAAGGTGAAAACTGATCGGGCGGTATGAGCTAATGCAAGGTACGAATACATGGCAAGTGACGTGGGAGCTCGACTTATGCTGGTCAGGTCCGGCCGTGGGGCCAAGCAGGCGTAGGAGGCAATATGGCGGCAATGGGGGCCGTTCCGACGCAGTCTCAACCGGCATTCTCTCGATGGTCGTCTCAAAGCTTATAGCGAACAAAGAATCAAGACGACGAAATAAAGACGAGGCCATCGTATGAGCCGTTTTAGACCTAAAATAAACCGACTGCAAAAAGCGCGGAAATACAGTCCATGGATGAGTTGGCATGCTTTTGAAAATATGTTAACAATACGAACGAAGTGTTCAACACCCATTCAACTATTTACAACCCCTCACTAGTTCTCAAGCTCCTCTCCAGCCCTCTCATGTTAGGCTCTGATGAAGCATATCATTCACCTAGCATACCTCTTGCCACGATGACAGCTCGCCCAAATGCAAGGGCGCTCCGCCCAGACTTTGATCCCTGAGCTCTGCTACCCCGTAAAAGCACAATAGCGTTAAAATAGTGTGACAGCAGCCTCTAACGTCTGGAGCCTTAACACAAGCATTTTTTGTTGTTTTGGTGTGCTAGGCTGCTGCTGGCCCCCTTCTTTTGCTCGCATTGCCGGGTAGTCTAGGCCTGAAGCAGCGAAGACCTGCAGGCGGCGGTCGATCAATGTAGGTTGACCAGCCCACGGCCAAACTGGCCAAGCCAAAGGCTGGCCTTTGAGCCTTCTCGGCCTGCCCCCCATTTTTGCTGCCCAAAAGCTTTTGTCAATTCGTGCTTCACAGCAAGCTCCTGGACCTGATATTCACCAAACTGGCTGCTGACTTCACGTCGTATCTCGAATGGAAGCAGTGCGTCACTGCTGCTCAGCTGACAATAGCACTTACAAGTTCTTTTGCAACGCCAAGCACCACTGTGGGCAAGCAATCATGTGTGTCGCGTTTCGGCCGTAGATGCGGGTTATCCCTCAGTGTTGTCCTCCGCCGCCGGCGAATCGATCCCCCGTTTCCGCCAGCGCAGCACAACGTGCACCCCGTTTCGCCCCAATTGGTCCGACAATAGCACAAACCGTCCCTACTTTTGCTGTGCCAGGCTTTCTCCACCGGATGGTTTCCTGCTCTTGTTTCTCATTGTTTGTCGTCCCCGTTGGCTTTGGGCAGTCAACTTGTTTGCTTGCCTCTGCTACCAGCGGGGACGGTCGGCTATGCTGCGGGCGTCCGCAGCTCCTCACGAGGAATGCACTGCTAGAGAGACTCGTCCACTGGCGGCATTGCTGTCGAACATAGGACCCAGTGGCTGTATGCGTTTGTGCGACATAAGGTGCTATTGAGGTGCTTTAGTCAACCGATCTATTGTCGTTCTATTGTCACGGGTAAGGGCAGCTAATGCATGGTCGACTTTATGTGGAAGGAGCCAACGAGGCTGCAACCGTCGGGCCACAGATCACAACACCAGCATCACACAAACACGCACAAAAAACTCGAATTCTCAGAAATATAACGACGTAGACAAAGCAGCACCAAACACACACGTGCAGATATCAATTCTTGCATTGTAATTTCGGCGCGGTCGCCGTCGTTGCCAGCGCCGAAACAGTCACGGCGTGGCCAATTTACACGCTCCTTTTGGCCTGAGGCATCTATGCATGTAAATGGACGGCGCTAGTCCCTATTTGGATATTATAGCCTTAAAATCCAGGCATCGGTACTGGATCTACGCATGCCATCCCCACTTCTCCATGCCTCAATCTGCGCCGACGCGAGAGTTTTCGCACATTAGCCCATCGTAGTCCCCCCTCCTCCTTGTTCTCTCCCAGCGCCAGATGAACCCGTCCACAACCCCTAGCAGCAAGCCATACTACCCCCTGCAGGACAACAGCAACACCAAAAATTAAAAATCGGCTGCAGAAAAACAGGGACCAAAAGCTACTTTACAGCAGCCCTTTAGCAGCTTTCTCAGCGGCCGCTAGCGGTGACGCCCACTGCGCCTGCCATTTGCAACGCTTTCCCTTTGAATTCATCCCAGGCAAGAGCCGTCCGTGTTGCTGTCTCTGTCTGCTTCCGCTGCACGCTGTCCGTTGTGCAGTCCGTCGCTGCTTCCCTCACCCAGCGCCTTCCAACCCCCGTTTGCTCCTTCCCTCCGTTCCAAATTCCTCTCGCACATCTCGACCTTCCCTTTTCTGTTTCCCCTTCGCGACTGCCCTGTTTTTCCTTCCTGGTATCGATTCGCTTCTTCCTTTCCTTTTGGTTTCCACCTCTCTTTTGTTTCTTTTCTTTTCCCTCACCGTGCCGACACTTGCTTCGATTGACGACGTCGCCTCGCCCCCCCTATTAATGTGTTCGCCTTCGTTCGCCCGCGCGGTTCTGTTCGCAGTCGACCGATCCGCTTAGAGATCGAGTTGTGGGCGTGGCCCCAATCCAACGCAGCAGAGGCTCAGGCGAGGCCACCAGCATCGCGAATGAGCTGACGGAGAACCCGTTTTGTTGTTCCCGGCAGCATCATCACCGCTTTGCTCTTTTCTGCATTCTTGCTGTCACCGACCACGGGTTGCAGAGGCCGCTTTTTGGTTTCGCTAGCACACCAACAGCGTTGTCCCCCATACAACACACACCACGCTTCTCGGAGAGCTGCTCTCCCCTTCGCCTGTCGCAAAGGGGGAAAACCCGCCCTTCCATTTTATCGCCACATCCCGTCGCCATACTTCGCATTTCGATTCGACCACCATTTTCCTCTTTATTCCGGCGGATTTTCTCGTCAGCAGCTTCGACCTTTGTCAAATCCGCCTCCCTCCGAATCGAATAGTAACACGCAACTTCACGCGACGTTTTTGCCGTACCTCTCCTCCCCCTCCCTATTTTTTTGTCGTTGCTGCTTCTTTGTGCATCGCATTCGTTGCACACTGTGACGCTCGCCCTCTTTCTATTTTCTGCTTTCTCAACCGCAACACACCACTCAAACACGCCTTCTGCGCAATCAACTGTTGCTCCGCCGGAGTAGCTGGATAAGCAAGACCTGTGTCGGCCGACTCCTCCTTTCTCAGCATCAAGGGCTATATTTCTGCTTCGCCGTTAGCGTCGCAACCCTTGCCCATTTTCTGTGTTTCTCCTCCGCATGAAGTGGTTCGCTTGCTGGCTTGGAAGCATCGAGTTCAAAGTAAAGAAAAAGAGTTGCACACCTGCAACTTGATTTCTTTTCGGGGGATCGCGACTCTGGAACTGCATCGGATAGGCACAATACGCGTGTCTTTTCTTTGTTCGTTCTTTTCTTTCGCTCCTCGTGCCTTGTTTTTGGGGCACGCTTGGATTTCTGTTGTCGGGACTAGGCTCTCCGTCAACCTGATCGCCGCGTTTCTTCGCGCCCCTTAGTTCAAGGCCTTCTCCTCCTTACAACCCGTTCACGTTATTGAACGCTTGGTTCTCGTTACCCCGAGCATCATGAACAACATCAACATGGCCAACATGGCCGCCATGACTGGTGCCGTCGGCGCTCCGATGGGTATGATGAACAATGTCGGTGTCCCGCCCGGCGCGGCAAACCGGCCCCAGCCTCCGCAGAACCAGCAGCAAGCACAACAACAGCAGCAGGCCCAGCAGCAGCAGCAGCTTCAGCAGCAACAGCAACAGCAGCAGGCACAACTCCAACTTCAACAGCAGCAGCAACAGCAACAGCAGGGCCTGTCCCAAGGGCAGCCCCATGGCCAGCCCCAGGGCCCGGCCCCGGGCCTCCCTATGCAGGAGATTGGCAACCGCACGTTGCTCAACACCTACATCTACGAATACTTCCTCCGGTACGAGATGCTGGACTGCGCCCGCGCGATCCTTGGTCAGCAGGTGAACTTGCAGAAGGATGGCCCTGACGGCCGCCGCGACGAGAACGGCAACATTATCAACGGCGTCGGCGACGATGCTATGGACACCGACTCCAAGGACTTTGCCGACGCAAAGACCGTCGAGGACCTGCCGACCCCGAACTTGCCCATGCCGTCAGATAGTAGTTTCCTCTTCGACTGGTTCTGCCTCTTCTGGGAAATGTTCAACGCACAAAAGGGCAAGGGTCACCATTCTGGCGTGAACCAATACACGCAGCACATGCAGGTATGTCTCACCTCTTTTGATCCTTTCTCCCGTCTTGTCGAAGTCTTCGTGTTGCTGACAAGATGTTTCCTTCTCTGATGTACAGTCTCGCCTCCGTCAAGCCCAGCAACAGGACATGCTCCGTCAAATTCGCCCCGACTTTCAGCAGCAGCAGCAGCAGATGATGATGCGCAATATGCAGAATGGCGGAATGCTCGCCATGAAGCAGGGAAACAATCTCCCGCGTACGGCCATGGCGAACAGCCAGAACATGTTCGTTTTTACTTTCCTTACGCTCCCAGCGCCACAACTCATAGGCCGTCGCTAATTCTTGTTTTTCCTCGTCCCCACAGTCCGCAAGGTATGAACATGCTTCAGGCAAAACAGGGCCAGATGCAGCGGGACCCGTCGGATCTTGACGGCAACCGCGCGCGCCCCTCGTCTCCTGGCTCGGGTGAAAATGCTCCGTCGCCCTCCAAGCGACCCCGCCTGGACAGTGTGCCTTTTAACCCCAACCAAGCGGCTCTGATGCAAAACGGTCGTCCGGTTGCACAGGGCATGCCTGGCCAACAGGTAGGAACCGGTCCTATAAACCCTCAGGTTCACCAGATGTTTCTCGCCAACGGTGTGAACCCCGCTAGTCTGAGCACCGAGCAGCTCCAGCAGTTCTCCCAGCAATCCCCCGCCGCCCAGGCCAAGAGTATTCAGGCTTACTCACAAAACCTGCAACAGCATCACAACGCTCAGCTGCCAAACAAGGTCATGCCCAATGTGTCAGGTCCTCCCGGTCAGGGCTCGCCTATGATCCCGGATGGTGCTTCGCTGAATGCGTTCTACAATGCCGGTGAGCTGGCCGGCCCCGCTGCTATGCGCGGTGGCCCTGGCGCTCCACCGGCAGGCGGTGGGAGCAACCACGCCCTGCAGGACTATCAGATGCAGCTGATGCTCCTTGAACAGCAGAACAAGAAGCGTTTGATGATGGCTCGCCAGGAGCAGGACGGCAATGTCGGCATGGGCCGCCCTGACGGCACCCCTGTTGGCACGGTCGGTACACCGGGCGTTCCTGGTGCTCCTGGCCAGCCCGGCGTTCCTGGTGGCCCCGGCGGCCCCGGCGCGCCCAACGTCGGCCAGCAATTCCCTGGCTCGTCGCCTCAGGGTGGCCGCCCCGGCGCCTCGCCCAACCCTGCTGATCAGATGAAGCGTAACAACCAGCAGATGGCTGGCAACGGCATGGGCTCACCGCTGCCTGACAACCCGCAGTCCCGCGGCTCACCGAACGCCGCGAACTTTATGAACACGCACATGGACCCGTCCATGGCGCCCAACTTCTTCAAGGTCGACGGCAACATGGCCGCTCAGCAAATGAACGGCATGCGGACCCCTGGCGCCCACCCCGGTATGCCTTTCAACGGCCCCATGAACCCGCAGATGATGGCTGCTGCCCGTCAGCAGCAGCAGCAACAGCAACAGGCTGCCGCTGCGGCCGGTGCTGCAGGCCAGGGTGGTCCTCCGATCCAGTGGCAGCAGGGTGCACCCAACGGCGGTCCGATGAACGGCCCGCAGGGCGGTGCCCTCCAGGCCCCGCAGCCGCAGGGCACACCTCAGCAGAGAGCGATGCCGCCACCGTCCGCACCTGGTGCTGCTGCCGCCAGCGCCAACCAGCGGACAACGGCCTCGCCCCAGACAAGCACTGCGGCGCCCCCGACGCCACAGACGGCCGCCAAGGCCAACCCGAAGAAGAAGGACGGCAAGGCTACGAAGAAGGTACAGGACGAGGATCTATGCTGTGTTCTGTGGAGATCGATTTGGTCTCTGCTTCTGTCATTTGGTTGTGCACTTCCGCTAACTTATAGAAACCGCAGACTGCCGCGCAGAAAAAGTCCGCGTCGAACCTCAACGCCGCAGCAACACCGGCCGGCGAACCCTCGACTACCGACGCTGAGCCGCCGACACCGGCAACGCCAATCACGCCCGGCAACGCGGCAGGTTTCAACGGCAAAGCGGCAGGACCTGCCGTGTCAGCTCCTCCCGCTGGCGCCAATGTTTCGAATGGCCAGCCGCCTGCTGTTACGGCACCTGGCGTGACCCCTGTCCCGCCACCGGCACCGGCCGCGGCCGACCCCAACCAGAACTCGGCGTTTGGCATGGACAACACATCGATGGTGCGTGCTCTTTTGCTTTTTGACCCGAGTGGTTTTGTGTCAGGTTTGAACACTAACATTTTTTTTATAGACGTTTGGCCTCGAGTTTGCCGACCCTATGGCGTCAGGAGACGTGCTCAACGACTTCGACTTCGATACGTTCCTGCACGAAACCAACGAAGACGGCAGCGGCTTTGACTTTGGCTCGGCCACTTTTGGTATTGAAGGCACGGGCGAGATCGGTGCTGACTAGATGGAGCACTGGTTCTTGACCCGGTGATACAGACTTTTTGTTCGCCAATTGTGGAGCCGATCTCCGCACTCTGCAACCGACTTACTTTGCCGGCTGTCAATAGTATCCCCTACATCTCGCATCTGGACAACATTTTCTCTTTGACACAATCTCGCCTATGATGTGTGTTGCACCGTTGTTCTACTTTACTTGCAATTTTGGTTTGTGCGCTTTTAATCCGGGCAGCATTTCTTTCTTGAGGCGTTTTCCTGGGACCTTTTTCTTTTGTCATTGATCGTCTTTCCGCTGTCATTATCTTGTTGATTCTGATGCGTTCGTCGTTCTTATCTCCTGTCTTTCGTCGATATTTTGCGACCATTTTTTGCTCTCTCCAAAATTCACCGACTGTTTGCACTCGTCAACGTTTTTGCTCCCATGGTCACTACGCGACAACGCCTCGGCATCCGGTGGGATTTTGCCCACGACTTGATACACAATTACTACAAAATGACGTTTTCTACTCACTTCTTATGCGGGCCATTTCTGGCCGTCGACCTGGCTGGACTTTTGTCCTTTTCAGGCCGCCTCAATGACGAAACCGACCCTTCGAAACAGCGTCTGACTCGTGCTCCGCTTACTGCACTTTGACGCTTCTGCATCTGCGGCAGTTCTTTCTTGTTCGACCAGGAAGCCACACATTTCTTTCGGCAATGTTTGCGTGTGCGGAAATATACGAAAGAGGAACGAGATGAGACGAGCAGATGTGTGGGCAGGACATATTCGAAGGCTTGATCGGCCCTTTCCCTTTGTTCGTGTATATGTATCTATTAGAGCCTGTGTGCTTTTACTCTCCCCGTTCTCGTCCTTTTTTTCTCTTCATCCTTCATCCCTTTCTCACCTAAATCTCTCTCCTTCTCGAGAGCTTCCCCACTGTCATCCTTTCCTTTACACCTCTCTGTCCTCGAGTTTGCTCTCTTTTCTTCATCTTTGTTTCCCGCACTTTTTTTTTGGCTTGTCGTTTTCGTTTTCGTCCGCCTCTTTTATTATATGCCTCTTGGGACGATGGAATCGGGGGAAAGGGATTCTTCAAAAGGGAAGGGAGGACTCGGGCGGAAGTTGGTATTGTTTTGTGTTTGTTTTCGTCGAGTTGTTTGCTTGTCTATCACTTTGTTTTGGTCGATATATCTATTTCAACGCTGTCAATTGTTCCTCCCACATCTTTTGTGCCTTGTGACGTTCGTGGCTTATTCCGACCCTCTCTCCTCCCTTCCAATACGAATGGAGAACCAGCTTGGCATTCAAGTTTTGTAATAGTCTCGAGCCACATATTTCTGTATCTAACTACTGGACGGTCGGAAAGAAGAGGTATGATGTCCTAGTAGGAACAAAATATATGTTCTTTTCAGCTCGAATTTTCAGCCTTTCTGAGTAACTCCCCTGAGTCAACATATGTCCACCGGCCACATCTCGTCAACCGCCGCACTACGTGCAGTACTCGTTCCGTTGCTGGCTCTTTTTGTCCCATTTCCTGACCTTGCCGTCCCGCAAAACGAGCACAACGTCAAGGTGTCACTGGGGCGGCCAGTGGATCGAAACGAAACGAGGTTGTTCCATTCTCCGACGGTCCTGGTCGTGCAAACACTCCCCAGAGGGGTACACCCGTGCTCGTTTGCGAGCCTTTGTCAATGCAATGCGTGTGTTCCAGTCTTATCTACCCAAGAGATGCCGTTGTGCAGAGAGCTTTGGACGTTGCGCAAAGGAGGCGACTGTCACGCTGTGACTGGAGATAGAAGAGCACACAATGGCTCTGTGCTTTTGCCTTCGTTCGGCCTTTTGTTCCTGGCCTAATACGGACGATAAGGGAAAGAGGCCAGGGCGAGGGAAGGTGGGAGGGACAGAGTTGAGGAAGGAACGAAGGGAAGTTCTTGTCGACTGCTCTTTCCTCTTTGGGTACACGTCCACCTTCCACCCACAACTTGCTTGTCTCGGAGGCTCCTGCCTTTCACTGTCATGATTGACGCCTGTCCGCGGTTTCTTATCCTGCCTTTTCCTTGGAAGAAATTTTATTTTGCCGTTTCGATTTTGCGCTTCCACATCTTGTCATCATCATCACCGCCGCCATCACTCGCATCAAATGGGCAAAGCGGTCCATGGAACCATAACCAAACACGGGTGCTTGATTAGAAGAGAACATACAAACAAGCGGGATAGCAGAGCTTGATCTCTATTCATCGTTGAAGAGGTTGATACAAAGAGACGCATCGTTGCGTTTCTCCAGATATTCATCACGACCTTGACCACCCTGCAACTATGGCCGTCATCTCGCTGTTGCGATTTTGTACACCATTATCACCGTCTCGCCATTTCTGGACATATGTCACGGTCGTCATAGCGGCCGCCATTCTGGCAAGCGGTGTGCGTGCCGACTGCTACTGGCCCGACGGGACCGAGAACGATGAGCATCAGCCGTGCTACTCGCCCAATGGTGGCGCCATCGGACTCTGTTGCGGCACGGGCGATGTTTGTTTGTCAAACGGCGTGTGCATGAGTCGCTCGTCCGCGGGTGGCTCGACGGATATGATTGAGAGCGCGTACGCAAATGCCCTGGATACCAACGTTTATTACCGCGGCAGCTGCACGTTCAAGGACTGGAGCCAGGGCAAGAACTGCCCGACGGTGTGCATCAAGGGCTCCGGAATCTCGCCGCACACGGACGTGGGCATCATCCCGTGCCCTGGGTCTAACACAGACTGGTACTGCGCTGATAGCAACATGCACAGGGCCAACTGTTCCACGGGTGCTTTTATTGTTTCGCTGCCCAGTGAGTTCTCTTGATCCTCGTTGCGGATTTTCAACAAGCGGACGTTTCTAACGTGATAGGACCTGTTTCGTTTACCACAATTGGCATCTCACCGTCCAAAACTGCTCATACTGCAGCACCTACCTCAGCATCCACCTCGATGGCAACCTCGATGACATCCTCGCCAGGTGGCGGGAATGCAACCACCGGGCTTGTTACCGCACCTGGAAGCGCTGCGCCTACAGGCTTCCCAAGCGGTGTGTCTGGACCGTCTGTGGCGTCGACAACATCGGGCAATCCATTGTCGACGGTGGTCCCTCCGCCCACAACCTCGACTTCGTCAAACTCGGGCTCGAACGTCCCTCTGGCCGTGGGCGTCACCATCGGAGGTGCTTCTATTATTGCCGCCGCCGTCATAGGGTACTTTCTCTGGCGCCGCCGGAAACGGGACGAACCTGCCCCGGCCGAGTCGCCGCCACCGCGTGATGTGCCCGACGACGTTATCCTGAATTCCGTGCTGGAGGGGTCCATGTTTCGATCTGGAAGCCTTCTCAGTCGACGTCCAAGCAAAACACTACTGAGCAACATGGGTGCCGGCGACGGCGGTCCAGCCGCACCGATGCCGGACACTAGATCTGTGCTGAGTGGCCCGTGTGCCGAAAGTCTCCGTTCAGGGCGCATGCTGAGCTCATTCCAGCAGTACCAGCAAAGCCAACAGCAACAGCAACAGCAGCAGCAGCAGCAGCAGCAACAGTACCACCAGCAGCCGCTCTTCCAGCAACAGCCACAGGCGCCGCTTCATCTGCACCAACCGCACCCCCAGCGACACTACAGCTATGCACAAGCCCGCTTTAGCCCGGACGCAGTGGCCATGCACGACCTGCGACGGACACCGCCGGTTGCTTGGGGCCACCAAGGCAGTGGCCCGAGCGTGACGAGCGAGCCCATCCCCGAGATTCCTTATGATGGCCGGCGCATGGCTGCGTACCATGGCGTGCCCACCATGGACCACAACAATTACTCGGAGCTGCCTGGGTAACGGACCCACACCAAGGAAATTCGACGGAACTGTCGTTGAGGGGGTAGGCATATAGGCACTGAGATTCCTCACTACTACGTTGATGCATGTTGATGAGCGAAGGACGTCCAGTTGTTTCTCTCTGTTGGTAGCTACTTGGACAGACGAGGGTCTGCACTTTCTAATATTGCGAGTCGGATTTTCGACACTTAATCGAGAGGCAAGATGCTACTTCTGTACGGCAAGTGTCGCAACCAATTATACCCCATATTTGATTCCCATTGGGGTTGTGTTCTTCGTTGCTTTTCAGTAAAAGGTTGTTCGTGCTTCGTTATCATACATTCATTACGACATACATTATTCAGCCTGGCCACTGACATCTAGTACTCATCGTCGTTCTCGTCTTCCAAGACCATGCGGTCGCCGGGCGGCTCGAAATCGCCGATACGAGCCGGCTGGTCGCCAAGCGCCTGGCCCAACTTGACGAGCGTGAACTCGTAGACGCGTGCTACGCTCATCTGAACGTCACTGACGTCGTCGTCACTGGCGTCGTCGTCGTCGCCTTCATCGGCCAGCGTAGTGGCATCGTCGTCGGTCGGCTCGGCTGTTGTCTCCCGCTCGGCGTCTGTTTCCTCGCCTTGGACGGTCGAGGATGCCTCTGTGCCGACGGTCCCTTCTCTGTCTTCGCGGCGACGCTGACCCGGTTCCTGTGCTGCCCGAGACCGGCCGCTACGCAAAGGATTCGTATTATTCGCATTCATCTCGTCCAGAGGGTCAGGCGGGCCGCGTCGGAACACATCCACCACGACCATGCGCGTCTGCTCGGCAATGCTTCGGCACCGCACCATGTCCGTCCGCGACAGGCCCACCCGACGGTAGCTGTTGGTGCTGCCGCCCTCGAACCCGGGCAGCGTCTCGCGCGTCTCGAGGTCCTCGCCCACCAGCAAGCTTGCAAAGCAATAGTCGAGTTTGCGCAGCAGGGCGAGTGTCGCGCGCGGCGACGGCGGAAAGCCCTCCATCCATGCAATGAGCTCGCTCGCGATGCTCAAAAGGTACTGCACCTGCAAAGAGGGGGTGCCGGACCGCCACAGGTTGTTGAGCAGCGCGTCGAGGTCGCGGCACAGCTCGCCCATGGATGCATAGCCGGCCGTGTCATGGTGGCTGCTGCCACCGTTGTTGTTGTCGAGGTTGTTGTCGATGTCGTCGCCGTCGTCGTCGACGTCGTCGCCGCTGACCGCCTCGACAATACCACTTCGTTTTACAAACCGCCGACTAATGTGCAAGAGACGATCGCTGACGAAACGGCGCACAATCTCCTCCTTGGAAGAGCCCGGCCGCAATGGATGGCTGCGGGGGTGTGGCAGACCGAGGGCGGAGGTGCTGCTGCGTGCAGAGGAGGCATGGCTAGGTGTGGGTGACATGAGACCAGAGCTATCCGGAACAAACCCGCCAGGGCTCGGTGAGACCACAGACGAAGCCGGAGTTCGTGCTGGGTCAGCCATGGCTGGCTGAGGTATGCTGAGGTGTGCTGAAGTGCGCTGAGGTGCTGGGAATGTGAGGTCCGATACAGTCCTTTTGAGTTGAATGTGGGATGAAGATGAGATGAGAGAACAGATGCCTGAGAGAGAGCTCCCGCTGGCCCGTCTTTTTCAGTCAGATAATGGCTGGCTTTAGCAAAAATTCCCAAAAATCAGCTTTGTATAACTGTTTAATGCTCTGGCAAATATGTCGGAATATGTAAGCATAGAATAAGGTGTGTATATGAGTGCTTGGTGATCATTGTTCGTGGGGCTGGTGAAGCTGTCTTACAGTGCATCGCCGCTGAATTGGGGCATGATTGGTCGCTAACGGTATTAGCCTACATTTGCTCAGCAGCAGACCCACCAGCCACAGTTGGTTAGCCGGAGTGTGGCGTCGACTCCATTAGCGCCACAAAAAAATTCGCACTCTGGTTTGCAACTTTGACGTCAACGGCGACGACAGATGACGACAAGACGACGACAGACGACTGAGACGACACAACGCGCACGACACGAACAGCGACGATACACGATATTTCTCACGTCAACACACACAAATACACTCACCGACACGCACACACACACAAAATGTACCAGCCAAGACAGATCGTGCAGGTCGAAAAGGCCGGCGGCCAGACGCTGCAGCCCAAGGGCTTCTTCCGGTCGACCTACGACAGCCTGACGGCGGCCGAGAACGCTTCGTTTGTCAAGGGCATTGCCGCCTTTGCTGTCGGCACTGCCTTCCTGGCCAGCTCCTGGGGCGAGTTCCTGCTGCCGCCGTAAGTGCATGCCGAGACGGAGGAGAAGGAAGATTTGGTGAGGGCTGGCCGCTGACTTTCCACAGGCAATAAGCGACAGACGGCGAACGAACAGACGAGCGGACAGATGAACTGCAAAGGGGTGGTACGGCCAGAAGATGAGCACGCAATAACATCTGCGGACACGGAGACTGTGAAGACGCATCACTGATCGGCCGACATATCTCCTTCTTTGTCTATACCAACGACCAGCTTAACGACACTTGTCCGGATGTATACGCGTCGGTGATGTATTTGTACGACAGCAAGGCTACGACGCGTACACTGGGAGAGGGATGCCTTGGAAGCTCCCGTGGGATACAGAAATGGACAACGAGGATGAATAACAGCACAAAACACAAAACACAAAAAACATCCCAAAAGCACATCAAAACGACAAAAATGATAGCAGGGCGGGCACCGTACCCGCGACAATATTGAATCTGCTATATGTATGCGTTGGACACTCCTGCGGCGCAACAAAATACAAAATCGCATAATTTCCTCTCTCCAAGTGCTGTGCCATATGTTCTGTGAACTCGTTTGATGTGGGAGTTGTGAAGTTGACGCTACAAGATGCTTTGAGCAACGCTCTCCCAGCATCACCATCGCCAAATAGGCCCTCGCACCTTTATAATTGTATTCGTGTTTGCGTCTTCAATCTATTGACCGTTGTTGACGGATTCTTGGGCAATTGTTGCATCAGTCGTGGTGGCTGACGAGAAAGGCACCGCCAACGACACCAACCCTGGTAAAATTACATTCATGAAAAACGGGAAAGCAGAGCCTATACGTTTATGGCCAAACATAATTGTTCTTTCTGACTGCCGCATAGTAGATAAACACGAGTTTAGCCGGCCGCCCTGTCTACTTCGTTTCGTTTCGTTTGGTCGGCATCGAGAGACGGGATGCGTGTAAGACAGTGGAAGGTCTGTTTAAAATCTTTAATATGGCTATATTCGCTTGGGCGCGCGGATAGGCGAGTCAGACTGCTCATTCCAGCCCTCCCAAATTTTCCGCAGGCTTTCCAACGTCCGGCCTTGAGCACATGTTGGCTAAATGAAGCCGACATTGTGGGTGTAGAGGGTAAGAAAGAGACAATAAGGGGAAAAGGAAAGGGAAAGGCCTGGGGAACAACATGGCACATGGGGCTGCCACCACGTTGTGCAGAAGAGATCTGCCCTTGTTGAATTTTGTTCCTGGATCTCTCGCGAGGCAAGGTTGACAATCTCACGATCTTCGGAATCAGTAAACACACCGACCACGTACACTCCTTTGATACCCAACGACCGCAGCACTTACACCGCCATTCCTTTTGATACAAACCAATATTGTCGCTCATTTGTTCCTGTCGTCTGTCAACCGTCTCCCAGATGCGTCTCCATCTTGCCCTGTTGGCCGCCACGGCCGAGGCGGTCATTCTCATGGCCACCGACCACCTCCAGGACGCCGCCGGCTTCACCATCGAGCTGCCGGGCCACGCCCTCGCGTCGGCCTCGACTGTTGCCCAAGTAAACGCACAAAATGGCGACACTGCCGCTGCTGCGGCGCCCATTCTCGGCTGCACCACCAGCTCCTTTTCGACGCCGAGCTGGCTCGTCCGCAATTTGACCTTGAACCGCACCGACGACAGCGTCACGTTCGACCTCCTCAACCGCGCCACCAACTACACCGCCTTCATTGGCTGCGCCAACGCCACGGCCGACGAGAGCAAGCCCGACGTGTATGCGCACTGTGATGTGCAGACGGACCCTGCGCCCAGCGACGACTCGCTGCTGGCGCTCGTGCGCGTGACGGCCAAGGGCACGGCGGCGGATGTGCTGCTTCGGCAGAGGTGGGCCTGCAGCGACCGCACGACGGCAGCGGTCCAGCCAATCAACTTCTCGGCGGCCGGCAACAGTTCCACGGTGCTCGCGTGCGGCGCCGCCGGCTGTGTGGCGGTCGACTCGCCCCTGCTCGTCCGGGGCAACCTCGCCGCGCCCGTGGCCATCCACCCGGCACCTGCCGACGGCCCCATTGGCCACAGCAAGGCCGGCTGCTCCGCGGCGGCCAGCAAACCACCCTCGTGGTCGCTGCAGAGCGTCTACTACCTCAACCAGACGGGCGACAACGGGGCGACCGCGATCTCGTCGCAGACGCTGATGCTGCAGGTCATCAACCACGCGATTGGGTACCAGGCCGGCTGCACGGGCTTCTTGTCCGACGACCTGTCGACCAAACCGGTGTCGTTTACCTGCGCCGGGCAGGGCTACGACTTTCTCGGCAGGGACCAGTACCGGATCCAGACGCAGGCGCTCTTTGAGCCGGCAACGTTCAACTTTACCGTGAACCAGACATGGTACTGCGATGACACGGACGAGGGGAAACCGTGAGTACTGTAGACGTCGAGGGAAAGGGGGACTTGTGTTGGACGGCGCACGTCGAGACTAACAACATATAGGGTCAGCATCACGGCCAGTGGCAGCACGGTCCTGCCGCTCAACTGCACGAGCGTCGCTGTCGGCGCGGGCGACAAGGTGGGCAACAAGACGACGTGCCTGTCCAATGGCGACATTGTAGTGCAGGCCCAGCACCCCGGCACGGTAACGTCGCTGCCGCCGTACTCCGTCACCGATCCGCTGCCCACACCCGACGGCTGCACGGTGTCGTCGATTGTGGGGCCGGCCTGGACGCTGAGCAGCTTCGAGATTGACAGTGATCCCAAAGGAAACAGGACGGCGAACATCACCTCCGTCGGCTTCGATCTCCGGCTTGCCACTGGCACCAACGAGGCCACCTATCCGATCAGCGTCTATCAGGGCAGGGCTGTCGAGGGCAGGCCGCAGTGGTTCCACTGCACGTTTGGTGCCGACGAGATCCCGCTGGCGCCGTACAACTGCACGTATACGTACGATGCTGCGGCCAAGCAGCTGACACTGGCGGCCGACTGGATCTGCAGCGACCTGGACAGAGAGCGCCCGGTTCTCTTCAGCGGCACGGCGACGACGGCCATCTCGAAGCCGTTTAGTTGCTCGACAGCAGGTGGCCAGACACAGTGCCTGACGGACGAGACGGCGTCCTGGAACGTGCCCATTACCAACGTCACCTGGCGGGCGGCCGACAAGGATGTGCTGGCGCCGTCGTAGTGAGGTGGCAGGGAGACGTCTGGATTGTACTGGTGTTGCCGGGGGTTTTGTTTCCGTTCCTGTCACTTCCGGTCACCTAAGTCTCTTGCCGTTGAGGACATAGCCGTCGAGCGTTGGAATGTCGGCGCGGTCGTATGTTCAGACTGCGTATCTTCATTTTCTTGTATATTATTTCCCCTCAACATTAGTATCCGTACCCAACCATTCATGGCACCACTTGCGACTAGCTCATACGAGGGTATCGTCGAGTGTCACTCGAGGACGCCCGCCGTCTGTTGAAGGTATACGACGTGTTTGACACCAGGCATACGCAACGTACGGAACGTACATAATTATGTGCCGTGCGCCGTGCATGCCAAATACCTGCTGGTACGGTGAATACGCCGTAAGTAAGCGGCAGTCAGCTGTGGATGTTGACCCAGTCGGTATTCGCCGTATTGACAGCGTATGCCGCTGTCATGCCCATCGCCTTTTGGCGCACGCACCACACCAGCTGTTTTTGAAATTAGCCTGCAATAACATCGATGATGCCCAAAGCTTGGAGACGACGCTGGATTTTTTTCCACTATAATTTTCCCTTGCTGTTTTGTCCCGGCGGCTGAAATTTGGTTGACCGTGCATGCTCTCTCACTCTGATGCTTGGTCGGCCTTTTGTTGTTATGTCGACACTTGTTCCGGAGGCGGGCAATTGTCGCCATGGCGCGAGACATGTCCAGTCCATTGAACAGACCACCATTGACCGTCAATGAGCTGTTTTTGTTTGTTGCATTGGTATTAACAAATCTCTTACCAGATCCTTCGGATGCAACCTCTGATGGGGCTTCAACCCCCCCCCTGCCACCCTCGCCCCTTTTCGTCGTAGCGTATACGGGGAAAACGACAGAGGCTAAGTAAACATCTGTATCCACTGTGACCATTTTGCACGCGTCTGCGGAGCAAGGAAGTAATACCACGAAACGTGCGCATTGTGCGAGGGGAGAAGGACTAAAGTTGGTCGAAATTCTGGTTTCTGTTTGTTGTCAGCAAACCGTGTTATTCGCACTGAAATTTGGGTACATTATCGCGATAAAAATATGAATGTGGCGTCAAGAGACACCCCGGTCAGCCCTGCTGTGCTTGGCAGAAACGTGCTCTGGGCCTTTTTGCGCCTGGCTACGGAATTGAGCCGCACATGCCCCTGCAGTAATACTGCGCACCCCTGTCGAAGATGTGTAATTACCATGCTGCATCGTTCTGGACCTTTTGGTTGGGCATTGGCGGTTTGTCGAGTCAGGTAATTTTTAAGAGGGGGGATGCTTGAAAAATCTTCGCTTCGCCTGCTGTAGTTTTCAGTGAACAAATGTGTCCGCTGCCTCAATTATTGGCAGGAATAGTCGAACTGGTATTTCGCCTGTTTTTCCCGCTTAGAAATTTGACATGAATTGTCCGTCTTTGTTTCGAGGCTTGTAAGCCGTCATGTTAGGTTGATGCTGTCGTACGTCTAGATCCCCGGAAGTTTCAAGAGTGCAATGGTTTGAGGTCATATGCGCACATGTTGTAAGATACATCGTACTCCAGCAGACACTAATCTTGCGAAGACAAATATCAACACTCGCGACAGGAGCAGGCTTGTCGTGCGGGTGTGCAGTCGTCACCAAGAAATTGGCGCTGGTTCCAGAGCTTGGAAAACGAGCAAACGGCAATATCTTATGGTGGACGGGAAATGCGGTGCATTCGCTGGCAGGCACTGTTCCGTCGATCGCATCCTCTTCAAGCCACTCCCGACATCCGTGGGCCAGGTCAATACGTTTTTGATCATCGCCCTCTCCAGAGCGGATCATCCGCGGAGCGGAGCGATCGCAAAGACAAGGCCCCCTGTAGTGTGGAATAGCGACCTTTTTCCGCACGCATGTTGTCTCGCCATGCGCTGGAGCGAGACGACAGTCGCTTCATTGAGTCTTGTCTCGGATTCAAACAGGACCCTTTGTCGTTCTCCCTAATAGGCGCTGGCAAACTGACACGGAGATTCTTTCTTGCACGGCAACTCTGTTGTGCTTGGCCATCTGACGAGGAGACGACAAACAGGACAAACAGGACACCAGGACGACAAAGGGGACATATTCTCCAACCGGGCCTTCAACTGGAATCGTGTCAAGAATTCTGCCCCTGGCGAGGAGGGTAATTACCTTGTGCCACTCGTGCTCCATGCCGTTTTGGGTCTGCTGTCTTCTAGTTAGCCAATTTATCCGCTCGCAATGCTGGCGATATCGGGCGCGTACCAAGCCATAGGAGTCTTGGAGAAAGGCCGAGAGCCGGGCACTGAAAAGACTGGAGCTTCTTGGCGGCGGGGAGTGGTGATGATTAAATAAGAGAGAAACTGCCTTTGCTTGGAAGACAATCTTGGAATTCGTCCAACAGAGTCCACATCAGTACGAGAAAGAACGACTTGTCTCTTTCCTGCCCGGCCACAAAATATGTTCGTAGTCCTCTGTTCCTTCCTAAACGCCCGGAAATTGGCATGGCTGGTGGAGGTGTGGAAGGGATGTTGTAGCGAGGAAGGTGTGCCCGACGTAGTTGCAGCACATAGAAAGTACTCTGTCGCAGAGAATCGTACCTTCCCAGCGCTTTTTCCACCTGCTGCTGGAGCGGATTCTTTTCAAACCTCCTGTCCTTTGGGCATATGTAAAGACACTGGGGGCAGGGACATTTTAAGATATTTCGGCGAGGAACTTGATTTTTTTTGTTTGTTTACGATCCCGTCTCACGGGAGCCGCATCATGCTGGCGAGTACGACATGCTCAGCCAGATAAAGGGAAACCCGCTAAGTGAAGAATGTTCTGCTGTGGGGGACGCAACAGCCTCATTCGCACTTTCCTGCTGTGATGCTGGCGGCCGCTCCGGCTGTGGGGTCAACAGCACGTCCACATTCATGGCAGGAACGATGAAGCGAGCCACTGCCAATTTTGGTGCTCTTCACGACAATGTTGTTGCCACAGCCTGGGCAGCTTCTAAGCCTATATCCCCTGGCCAAGGCCTGGCTGTCACTTTGTGTCCCTTGCACCTTCCCCCTGCTATTCCCTGTAAGGTGTTGCCTGCCGTGCTTACCCACCTTTTTCGCACTCCTTACCTCTTGTCGCTTTCCTCCACTGGCATTTTTGCACTTTCTTTCTCCTCGGGATTGTAGTTATGTGTGTGCCCCGCAGTCTTTCTGCACCTTCCTCTCCATCGCAGGTGGCACCCCCTGACTTCAACGGACAAGGCGCTTGGTGCTAATCTTATTCCTTTCCATCTTCTTTTGCCTCAAAGCTCAAATCGGTAACGCTTCGTTCCAAGCGCGCCAGCCCGGCGAAACTTTCAGACGAGCCGTCACACGGTTTCCACCAGACCCCCCTTACCAGGTCCCATTTACCAAGAAGCAGCCAATCCTGGTCCTCTATCTGTTGGTGATGGATGGCCAGTGGGTTCTCGGCCCACGCTAAGGGATGCGGCTTGTGCTGTTGACTTTACGATGTATTGGGTTTTGGAATTCTGCTTCGGGCAACTCGTCTGCTACACCGACAACACTGCAGACGGTTATGGATGGGTGCCGTACCTGGCGTGCCGCTTTTCCATTGACACCCAGTCCCCAGCGCGCCAAGCTGGACTGGCGAGATGAAGAGAAAAAAAAGAAGAAAAAAAAAACACATCATGAAGGCCAACATACGTTGCGAACGTGTTGGGTGACAAAGCCCTACCATGCCTATGCATCCCCTGCCACTATCATGCTCCCACCGTATATTAACTGACACACACAGGCCCAGCGCAAGGGAGGCACAATGAGACGCAAAGAGGCACGCTGGGATCTCGAAGACATGGCGGCCCATTCTCTGCTTCCGCCGTCCGGGCAAGTCTGGAATTAAGCAAAACGGTCGAGGTAAACCCGGCGTCTTCTGTTTGCCACTGTGCCGCCCTGCCGACCTGACCGAGGAATGCGACGAAGAAGGAAACATGAATGCAAAGCAGCATACGGCTGCAGTCGAGCCTTCCATAAACCGTTGAAAAAGGTTGATTTCGACAGACGTGTTTCAACGCCTGATGTTCGTTCGATGTCGTCGGCAAGCATTCCGTTGGCGGTTCTTTCGTCACCCCTCAGCCTTGGGGGACTCTTCAGAAGAACCGCAGGACGGGCATCGTCAGTCATCTTAACTTTCAGGGCCATCCACTTGTACCTGCATGAGATGTGCCTCCCAGGCCAATCACGATCTGTCTCCCCGGTCTTTCCACTGACCCCGAATCCTTCGAGACTGGAGGCTTTTTCTATTGTTCCTGATCTTATCCACTTTGCCAGTTCTGTTCCTGGCAGGTCGACATGCTCGGCACGCCCTGTCGCGCCCTTCCTACCTTCTCGTGCAGTGCTAGAGACATGTTGCTAGGGAAGAGACGGAGCTAGAGTTCAAAAGGGCAAGCAGCAACCAAATGGCAATGCCAAAAGGTACCAGGCAAACCCCTTCGATGGGACGTGGACTGAGGCCAGCCCAAGGCAGGGCAAGGGTCGATACACGCATGGAGCGGCAGACTTGCCCAATCTGGCTATCGTGCCCCTTTTCACACTCAACATGCAAACTCGCAGAGAGCAGCCCCCCTTCACCTCCTACTCCTCCTTGTGGCTTGCCCACCACCCCCCATACGCGCGCGTGGCATGGTCGTTCTCGGGACTTTTCCTCGAGCAATATATGGCTACGATGGCTCGCCGCTTGTCCAGCTTTGGACGTTTTCCTTCTTTTTCTCCTTCTTTTTTTCCTCTTTTTGTTTTCTCACCATCGCCAACTTCGTTCACCAACCGACTCTGTTCACTGAGTCGTTTTTTTTTTTTTTGCATTCCTTCTGGTTTGCGTCCTTTCGTTTTGATCTTTGGATCATAGTCACTCATTTTTATATAGTCTCTCGTTCTTCAACGGCCTCGTCCCGTTCTCTTTTGGCACTCCTTTTTTTCATATCACCAACACTCATTTATATAAACAAAGAACGCAACAATGCCTTCTATCAAGAACACTCTCCTGGCTGTGGCTTCCGCCGCTGTTGTGGCCGCCAAGTCCGCCAAAGTCAATGTTTACTACGGCCAGCAGGGTAGCAATGAGCTGTCCACCATCTGCGAGACCGGCATCGACTACGTGACACTGGCCTTCATCAACGTCTCGCCCGAGAACGGCGGCAAGTCCGGCTATCCTGGTGACAACTTCGCCAACCACTGCTTTGCTGGCTACTACCCCGACTCGTTCCTGCTGAAGGACTGCCCGGACATCACCGATGGCTGGCAGACTTGCAAGGACAACGGCGTCAAGATCCTCCTGTCCATTGGCGGTGTCTTCTCGCCGACCTCCAACTACACCGTGTCCTCCGACGCCGAGGCCACCAAGTTTGCCGACTTCTTGTGGGGTGCCTTCGGTCCGTATGACGGCACCGACACGTATCCCCGTCCTTTCGATGTCGGCGCCACCCACAACTCCGTCGACGGCTTCGACCTGGACATCGAAGAGAAGTTCGCCGACCAGGGTCCCTGGAACACCCTTGTTTCGCGGCTGCGCACCAACTTCAAGGGCGGCGATTACCTTGTCACTGCTGCTCCCCAGTGCCCCTTCAACGACAGGAACTTCCAGATGACTGGTATTCTGGCCGGGTCCAAGTTTGATCTCCTCTTCATCCAGTTCTACAACAACCCGGTCTGTGATGGCTTGAATGGGGGTTTCAACTTCAATGCCTGGGTCACCCACCTCGACGGCTCCCCCAACGCTGACACCCCGCTGCTCATTGGTCTGCCCGCTAGTCCCGAAGCGGCCGGGTCCGGCTACCTTAACCCCAAGCAGTTTGAGGACCTGATTGTCAAGTACCGCGGCAACAGCCACTATGGTGGCATCATGCTGTGGGACGAGTTCTTCGGTCTCAACAACCCCGTCGAGACCAAGCAGCAGGGCAAGACCAACTATATTGGCCTGGCTGTCGAGCTTGCCAACCCTGCTGACCCCGTCCCGTCGATTATCTCGACCTCGAGCGTCGTCTCTACCAGCTCGGCTTCTTCATCCGCTTCGTCGTCCGCTTCTGCCTCCAGCTCTGTCTCGGCCTCCAGCTCTGCCTCCAGCTCTGCCTCGGCCTCCAGCTCTGCCTCCAGCTCTGCCTCCAGCTCTGCCTCGGCTTCCAGCTCTGCCTCGGCCTCCAGCTCCGTCGCCTCGTCGTCTGCCTCTGCTTCGGCTTCGGCTTCCGGCTCGGCCTCCAGCTCCGCTGCTTTCAGCTCCGCTCCTTATTCCAACTCGAGTGCCTCAGCCTCAGCTGTCCCTAGCACGTCCAGTGGCTCTGCCGGCGGCTCTGCCAGTGCTTCGGCCTCTACCGGTCCCATCTCCAGCCCGGCTGTTTCGCCTTCCGCCTCGCTGATCACCTCGACTGTCCGCTCGACCTACACGAGCACCATCCTGTCTTGCGCCCCGACGGTGACCAACTGCCCTTACGGCAAGGTGACCACGGTCATCGTCGATCTGTACACCACCATCTGCCCAGTGACTGCTACCGAGAAGCATACCACCAGCACCCCTGCCGGCGGTAACGGTGGTGCTGGCGGTGCCCCTGTTGTCAGCACCATCTACAGCACCAGCTACGAGACCATCACCTCGTGCGCTCCCGAGGTCACCAACTGCCCGGCCCGCGTCAACACCCACACGGTTGCTGTCAGCACCATCACTGTCTATCCCAGCTCGGGCTCTGGCTCTGGCTCTGGCTCTGGCTCTGGCTCTGGCTCTGGCTCTGGCTCGGGCTCGGGCTCGGGCTCGGGCTCGGGCTCGGGCTCGGGCTCGGGCGCCAACTCGTCGCCGATCATTGTTGGCCACGTCGCTGTTCCCACCACGACGCTTATTGCAGTGCACTACAGCAACTCGACGGCCTCGAATGTTACCAAGGTCAAGCCTACGACCGTTGGTGCCGGTTCGGGCAGCGGCAACGGGAACGGCAACGGTGCTGGCTCTGGCGCCACGGCCAGCGCCTCGCGCCTTTCCTCATCGCCCAGCAGCAGTGTCGTCACTGCTGGCGCTGGCAAGGTGTCGACCCATATGGGTCTGGCCGCCCTGTTCGTCGCCGGTGTTATGATGATGCTGTAAAGCGGTCAATAAAAAGGCTCCAATCTTGTCTTGATTGCTTACAATGACGGACTGCGTCTTTTCTGGGTTTCGGGCTTTTTTTTCTTTTGTCTGGTCTTGGCTTTTACTGTACAGGTGGTTTTAACACAGCATATTGCATTGCCTTAACCTTTTCCTTCTCTCTATTTATACCTTTGAAAACAAAACTTTTTTGGATTCTTTCAGTTGGACCGCAGCACCCTTTGTTGTTTTATGTAAATGTCAAGTGTGTTTGTTGCTGCAGCTTATCTCCTGCACACTTTTTCCGGGCAGGCCGTTGTGTCCAGACTTTTTGGATGTATTGGTGTGGCTTCACAACGAGTCTTGTACGATATACAGCATACTTTTGTCAGTTTCACGAAAACAGAACGAACGGTGGATTTGCAGTTTTTGCTGTTGTGGCACGCAAACATAAAGAACAAGAGACGTTGCGCGTCAGTTTGAGAACCCCATCTCTCTTCTCGTCTGGTTTGTGCTTGTTTTCCCCTTTTCCCTGTTTATGTAGGAAGTGTATGTATGCATCTTGTTGTGGGTTCGTTCTGTTCTAGCGTTGCGCGAAATTTCTTCCCATTTTTTGCACCGCCTCGTCCTTCCCATTTTTCTAACGTTGCTCACATCACAAGAAAGCCAACCTTAGAATGAGGTTTTCAATCTGATAAACCTGACATACCCAAATTCGATTGTCGATCAACGGCGCGCATCATCCTTTGCAGCACCGCCTGGACCATTCAGAGCAGGGTGGGACTGATTGGCGACAAGGACGCCAGGACGGCTGTGCCGAGGAAGTCAGAGGTACTTGCGGTGACTCAGAGGCGGCTTCTTGGGGGGGCGTGTGGCTAAGACAACGACGATCACCAAAACCTTCCCAAAACCTGTGCCAGGGTAAACGGGCAAGTTTTATGGTTCCTTTCCTTTGTGAACTTGGCACCAAACCACATCTCACCAGATCTCGTTATAAATTTCCAACGCCCACCCCTCTTTTGCCTCATTTCTTGTCTTCTCTCCTTTCTCTCGTTCAACTTCACCCCTTTCCACAGCCCTTTTTGTCACTTTCTTTCATTTGATTTCCCTTTACAAGGCACCACCTGTCTTGCAGTCGGTGTTCCTTTCTTTTGATATCCTCCGGTTTTCTTCCCCTTGTCACGGCCTCGACCTAAGGAGGCCGACCGTTAACTCTGCAAGAATGGGTGCCGGCGCTTCATCAGCAGCAGCGTGCGTCCGCAACTCCGCTTTCCACTGGTTCCGGCCCACCCAGGCACCTGTCGCCCACAACATGTCTTAGTTGTCGAGACGGGCGGCAGTGCGACAGCCACCGACAAGCACCCTCGACAGATTGCCAACAGCAGCCGCACCAGGACCCCGACGACGGCGACGTTGGTGATCTGTTCCTTAATTGGGCGAACCACGAAAGCGGCGGCAGCCTCTGTTTTGATTCTTCACCTGCATTTGTTTTTGCACCTTATTCTGTTTCAACCTCGACTTCTGTTCCCTCCAGTTCCCTGCCTTCAACGGCTCCCACCCCATCGGAGCTTTCCAATTGGCCTCTGTTCCCGGCGGCCCAGTCGACGCCCGCCGTCTCGTTTGCGGACACGCCGCTGACCACAACGCCGTCGACCACGCCGGCCTCTCTCCTTTCTTCGCTATCCACACCGCTGCTGGACTCGTACGGATCCCAGCAGCTGTCCTGTTCTTCGGCAAGCTCCTCTTTCGCTCAACAACAAGAGCAGCAGCTGCAACAACAACCCCTGCTCGATATTTTTGACTGGTCGTCGATCTTGACGATGCCGTACGCGGACCCCATCATGTTTCCGCCGTCTCGCCTTGGCATGGCGTCGCACCACCATTCGCCCTCGTCATCGGTGGGCGCGACCATGGCCACGTCAACGGCCACCCAGTCGCGCACGCCACCTCTGTCGCTGTCGCCGGCCTACTCGTCGGAGACGTCGCCTGTTGCGCAGGCGGCCGACGGCGGCTGCAGCGCGAGTGTAGCTGTCGGAGAAGACAACGACAACGACAACAACAGCAGCAGCAGCAGCAGCAGCAGCAACAATCTTCAGTTTCTTTCGTTCTTGGACCTGTCTTCGCTTGGGTCGACGCCAGGTAGCACCGCGGAACCAGCCGCGTCTGTGGCCATGGCACCGTCCGTTTCGTCGTCGTCTGCGTCTGGCACGTCGGTTTCGGCTGTAGCCGCGCCCTCGCCTCCGCCTCGTTCTTCCCTTTCTTCTTCGTCGTCCTCGGCGCCGAACGTCCCTGGCCTGACGCTCAGTCGTGCTGCGCGCGGCGTCCACAAAAGGTCGGGTGCCGGCGGTGCGCGTGTCCGGACGTCCACGACGACGGCGGCTGCAGACGACGAGGATCTCCTCCTCAAGAGACAGCGCAACAGCTTGGCGGCGCGCAAGTACCGCCAGAAGAAGCTGGACCGCATCTCGGAGCTGGAGGTGGAAGTCGGGCAGCTGCAGGGCGAGCGCGACGCGCTGCGCATTCAGCTGGCACGACAGGAGGCGGAGACGACGGCACTGCGGAAGATGCTTCTTGTGCAGAGCCGGGACCGCGAAGACGATGGAGGCAGCAAGCGGCGGAAAAGAAAGTAGCAGTAGAGAGGATTTGTTTTTTAAAAGTTACTTTTTTTTTTCACACAAAAGGACAACATTTCAAAAGGACAAAAGTACAAAAGGACTGGCCGAGTTGTTTTTATATTGTCTATTTCTATTTTTGCTTACCTCTATTCTTGCGTTTCTCCTTTTCTATGTCCTTTGCTTTGTCTCGTTAGCGAGTTTTGCTCTTTTATGTATCTTATGCAAACTGAAGAATCAAAGCTTAATTGCACGCCAAAGACAAAGCAACAAATGTGCCTTGTGAAGGCTGCTGTCGGACGATGTCGGCTCTTAGGTGACATATATGTAGAATATAGTGCTTTCATGGACACGTCAAGGCACAACCACGCATGAGCCGAGGAGAGAAGAAGGCCACTGCGAGAACGAAGACACAGTCCCACCACAAACAAAACGAGGAGGACAAGATGTGACGGGAGGGCAAGAGACCAAAACGAGCGGCGCCATCATCCTCAAACGAAGATAACCCGTTGAAAAGGAACGTAGGAACGGTGCTAGAAAGTAAACTCTCTTGGCACCGACTCTTCTATTTCCATACCACCTTGTCGTCCTCTTTTGTCGCCTGATAGTTCCTGTTCCACTCTGCAGGTGTCCGACTCCATCAAATCCTCAGTCTCTTCGTGCCATGTTGTGTGCAGTGGTTTTGCTCTCAACATTGGGAACGATGGTTTTTCTTCATGCAGAGAGGCGTGCAACATTGTGTGGTTTGTGCTTTTTGTGGACGGGGCAGAAGAGAGCGAGAGCCTACCTACATATATGTCGATGCCACGATGGCGACATTGGATATCGATCATTGGGATATCGATGCCAGCAGAACATATCGATGCAGGGTCGGAAGGACAGAGGAACAAGAGAAAATCAATTTTGGTAAGGGAAATATAAAGGATAAACGAAGAAAGGGACCAAAAAAAGGAAAGGAAAAGATCGATCCAGATACCAGCAACTGTTCTTTATATATGCTGCTCGTTGTCCATACCCTCCTCTTTTTTTCCGGGGACGTCGCAAGGGAAACGACAGACGAGGGGGTAGACGGGCTCTGCAGTGCCAAGTACCAGACAAATGAGCATCTACGAGAGGTGCGTGTGTTGCTTTTGGTGATTTTGGGGTGATTTCGGTATACTGTCGAGTCGAGGTGTGTCGGATTGCGAGGGAGAATGATTCATATCTCGTCATCTGCGACGCTTCATATATAGGCCACGTCTCGCTTCACACTCTTCTTCTCCTCATCTGCAACTCTCGAGCGGATGTACCTGTACTCGCTCTTTTGACGACTCCTGACGCATCACGAAAGCACCTGGCGAAATGGCTGTTTCGTTGTGGTGCTGCTCTATAACTGGCTTGGCTCGACTATACACAAACCGTGGATGTATGGAATCGTGCTCGGCAGGATAGGGCAATATGACGGTTGCTTGCTTCCCGTCATCCACCGTCTGTCACAGTATCTATGCGACATCATTCATTGAGATACCAGTCTTTATATCCTCTTATCCTCTTATCCTCTAGGTCGCGGTCAGATTCGCTCTGGCGGAAGCAAGTGTCTGGTGTCCTCTACCCAGCCCCCTTTCGGCAAGCAGTATTCTCTTGTCTTACGACGACCAGCGGAAGGTCTACCACAGATCGTGAGTCCCGCTCTCTTATGAACGTCTACGAAAGGAAAAAAGATTCAGAATGCACGCTGCCAGAAGCACATAGACCGCATTTTGTGGTAGACGGGAGCAAGGTCATCTGGACGAAGTCTTGGAGTAGCCTGGCTCTCAATGGACACTTGGCGGCAATATAGACACCGACAGCGCTCTCTAGCTGCCCCATTCCCTCGAAAACTCTCGACATTCCTCCTCGTTCATGGCTTTCACAACATCACCGCCTTTGTCTTCCACCGCGAATCCTTCCGAAGCCCAGGCCAATCTGCTCGCCCTGCTCACCCTGTGTTGCTGCACTCAGTTCCTTACAACAGCCAGCCAAGAATCTTTCCACCAAACGGGATGCAGTGGGAGAGCAACAAGTCTGCTGCCCGCCTGCAAATGATGCGACGTTGATGCAAAGTGATGCGAAATGATTCATAGTGATAGACACACCCCTCTCCTCAAAATGGTGCTAGCGTGTTGTAGGAGTTCGCAGCAGGAAGTACCGGGTACTTCCGATCTGGACGGCGCACCCCGTACCTTCCCAATGTCGAGCCTTGCATCTGCTCCACTTTTCCGACTTCACTTTACCGTTCTGTTCATTGTGTTTTTGCACCCTGGACTGGTTTTTTGTTTTGTCTCAACGTTTGACCTGTGGAGTACGATGAGGCTGAGGAGAAAAGCGAGTTTTCTGCGCATTATGTGAGACAAACTATATCTTTGCCTGGGATACGACTGCCAAATTCGTGCTGCGACGCCGGCTCGCCTTTGCCCAATTTCTGTTTAATTGCATAAGTGCCATATAATCGTTGTATAAGTCAAGTAAGCGATATATACACAACATATGCCACATTTCGCTAGACGTACAACGCATTTCGTGGATCTACACTGTTCGTACGATGGTTGAAATGGTAAGGAAACTAATAGCCCCTTTCTTGTGTCGTGTTAGTGTTGTCTGGTTCCTAAAAGACTGACGTAGAATGATCCCGCGCATTTTGCTAATCACAGTGTGTAGCTTCAACTGGAAAAAGAAGTTTAGGTTTACGCTTAATTCATGCATCATCGGTTGATTACAAGTAAATGACATCAAATAAACGAAAGACCCCCGAGTCAACTCCAAACGTATCCGAACCCGAATGAAAGGTAGAACCAAATCATAAATCACAACAAAAATGCACATATGCACAAATGCACATCTCCAAGAGCCGGTATCACATGGATGTCCTCCTCTACTTCGTCACTCCGCGCTGTTGCGGCTTGTAGCTGATGGTGTGGACAAGGGGCATGGCTTCTGCCGTCTGCAGGATGCTGTGCGTCCTGCCCTTTGTCCATTTCACCGATTGCATGCTGTCGTAACAGATGCTGTACATTCTCATGTCAACCGGCTCCAGCTGCTTGGGGATGACGGTGCAGGCCGGACCCAGCGACGCCAACTCCTGCTTGATCACCGCCGCCGTGGCCTCGCGCACGGCGTTGGCGCTGACCAGCGCCTCGCGGACGCCGTCTGCTTTCGCTTGCAGGGAGGCCATCCGCGTGGCCAGATTGTTCAGCACCGTCGCGGCCGACCGCATGTACTCGCGGCTCCACCAACCGCCGGGGGGCGGCCGGAACCCGCCGTGGATGGTCCGCTTGGCCATGCTGTCCCCGTACGCGGAGGCGTGCGCGTCTTGCACCTTCTTCAGCTGCCTGTGGACGGCGTGGAGCAAGTCATACTGCGCGTCCGGAATGTTCCAGTCGCTGTTGGTCGTCGCCGTGGCAAGTACGGCCTCGCGCAATTTGACAAACTGGGACGGGCAGCCGTCTTTGGACGGGTCCCGGCGCACCATCCGCGGCCGCGTCCGCCCGTTTGGGTACAAGCTCGGCGGGTTCTGGTCGCCAAAAGGCGACACAAACAGCTTGCCCGCGCAGGCCTCGTCGACCAGGACAATGACTCCGTTCATTTGCGCGCGGATGAACCCGACGGCCGTCTCGACTGCGTTGAAGGCGGCCTGGGTCTGCTCAGTCATGCTGCGGAGCTTGGCCGCCTTCAAGGCCTGGTACTCGGCCGTGCTGCTGCCCCGGTAGCCGGCGTCGTCGGACGGTGGGAGCAGACTCACGACGGCGAAATGCAGGTACTGGGTCCGCATGCCGATGTTGCCGCAGAGGTCTTCTATGCGCCTGACGAGAATGTGGCACTTTTGCTCCGATTCGAAGATGGCCTCCCGGATGCCGGACAGGCTCTTTGCGATTTTGGTCTCGCCCTCCTGACGCGCCTTCTCGTTCTTGGCCTCGCGCCGGCGCTTCACCAGCTGCCGACAAAAGAGAATCGGCGACGTAATGGGGTTGGCGGTGGCAATCTTGGAGTGGGCCACCTTGTAGTCGTCGACAATGTCATGAACGGTGACAATTGGCTTCTCGTCCTTGTAATCCATGATGAAAATGACGATGGCACAAAAAAAATAATAAAAATTTGAGGTGATGCAAATAGCGATGGATGCGTTCTAACTATCCGCAGAAATTAAAAATTAATGATTAAGCATGAAATAAGATACAATGACAGAAAGTAGAAAAAAGAAAAAGAAGAGAGAAACAAAAACCTTGGCAAGAAAGAGACCAAGGAAGGAGAAGGGGCCAGATAAAGGATAGAAAAGATCCATGGGTCGTGCTGCCGCAGAAAAGGGTGCGTAAACAAATCTCGATGTTGCCCCTCATTGGTTGACAGATGGAGGGAGTTCACGCTTGCAGCTTACACTGGTGATGCAATAGTTGCCAACTTAGTGAGCGTCACTCGTTGCACATTGTGTAGTGACGTACCGTTGGCCCTCATCCAACAACAGCTAGTGGTTTGACGGAGTCAGCGAGCCAAACTGTAGGCTGGGGGACGCAGTTCATCTCTCCCTGAATGGACTGATGTTGGTCCATAATGCAGACAAAGAAACGGGAAAGCTTCGATGCGGTCTTCAAGAATGTAGAGCTTCGGCAGCGCCAGTATCCAAAATGCAAAATATAAGATGTCATTGCTTATGTATGTAGGTGAAAAGAAAAGAAAATAAAGAAAACGTTCATTTACACAGGCCCGCCTGCATCGAGCTGACTTGGCTCGACGGCAAAAGTGTACCTGTAGCCACCGGGAAACGGCGAAGAATGATAAAAGACGAGTGAATCGTTGAGGATCCCATCGTTTCCAAGGCCAGGGCCATGACAAAGCGTACTGTGCATGCACGCTCGCAATGGAATTGATCAAAAACTGGACCGAGGCCCAATCAGAGACTAGTACAAGCAGAGACCGCCGACATCTTCGTCCAGCGTCCACATGCCGGCCAGCCCGCCGACCTCGACCTCATCGTCCCCCGTCACAGCCGCTGCCACCTCCGGCGTCGCTGGCTCGGCGGGCTTGCCAAAGAAGAAGTCGTTCTTGCCCGGCACGCGGCCCTGCCGGTGCATGAAACGCTGCGTCCACTCTTCGACGGCCGGCTCGCCCGTCTCGTCGCGTGCCTGCTTGAGGAACGAAATAAGTGCCGTGCCGCCCGTGCCCTTGAGCGATTTCTTGGTGCCGCTGTCGTCCGTCTTCACGGCCGCCATCGCCAGGTTCATCGTCTTGGGCCGGTGCGTCGTAGGCGCGGCGCGGCGCAGAGCCTCGGGGCTGCGCGAGCGGCTACGGGCACGTGCCACGTCACGCGACGGAATCACAATGTAGCGTGTGACCACGGCAATGTGCTTGTCGCGCAGGGCGCGGAGCATGGCCAGGCACGAGTCGTAGGCAATCGACAGTGGTCGGTTGGTACCCGCAGCCTGGTTGGCAAGCACGTACGGGCGGATGTTGGCCACATCCGTGACGTCCTGCAGGAAGCGCGCGTGCGCGCCCGGCATGTACTTGCGCATCTCCAGAATAAAGTTGTGGCGGGATGCGGCGGCCGCCTTGGCGGCCGCATCGTCGCCGTCGGCACCGCCAGCACTGTCACCGTCGCCGGCCTTGACGCCCGTCGGGCGGTGTTCCACGCCCAGGACAATGTCAAAGAACTGGATCAGGCTGCTCTGCGCATTGCTGCCCCCGCTGTACTGGCGGTACTCCTGGTCCTCGCCGTCGCCGCGGCCGTCGTCGTAGATCACGCCGAGCGGGAGGCCCGCGTCGGCCATGTTCTTGCTGCCGGCCAAAAACGGCCGGATGCGGTGGTAAAAGACGGTGGGGTCGCACTGCTCGTGCAGGCGCTGCAGCAGCTCGCCGAGGTCGTTGAGGCGCTCGGCAAAGGCGCACAGGCATGCCGTGACCGTGTCGGCGTCGTCTTCGCGCACGGCCGCCATGGCCTTGAGCATGATGGCAATCATGGGCCCGCCGCGGGCCTCCATGGCCACAGAGACGAGGTAGAACCACGACTCGTCAATGGAGCCGGTCAGCGTGTTGAGCGTGGCCAGGTTCTCGAGCTGGTCGACGCCTTCGTCGACAAAGAGCGGCTTGAAGTTCCAGAGGCACACCGCGGCGTACGTGGCCACGGGCGGCACCTCGAGGCGCGCCGAAATGGCCAGCAGCGGCACGGTGATGGGCGGCGGGAGGCGGTCGCTGGGGCTGTCACCGCCCCAGATGTAGCCGTGCGCAATGAAGCAGAGGATGCTGTACGCCCGCCGCCACTCCGCGTCGTGTTCCAGGCCGACTGTGGAGAGCACAGGCAGACGGTCGACCACGCCGCGCAGGCGACGGCTGAGGATCAGGGCCTGCAGGTTGGCCACGACGGCCTCCCACTTGTTGTAGTACGGATCCGGCAGCCGGGCAAGGGGCAGCTCATTAGGGAGGAAGCCGTGCTTGGGGGAGATGCCATAGTCGGCAAGAACGGGAATTTTGGGAAGCATATTTGGTAGCAGGCCAGAGGCTTGTCTGGCTCTTGTTGGCCCTATGTTTCAAGAAACCGAGAAGCAAGAGTCGTTTTCGATAGCGCGTGAAGCTGCGGACTGTTGGTCACGAGGACAGCGGCTTGGATTTGTCTGCTCTTGTCTTTTGGAACGATGTCGTCGCTCGTGATTGTTTGACGTTGCGATGCTCTTTGGTCCAAAGTGTAAGCCGTCGGTAGTTTAGTATCTGTTATGCCGAGATTGCTTGTAGGGCTTGGGACTGAAGCAATTGCTGGATTCGGCAATGTAAGCGGTCGTGATGTTTCAAGTACTCGAGAGGTCCTGACGCAAGGAGTATACAGAATTGATTCTGTGATACTCCTCAGCCGTGCGAGTTTCTGGTTGCGTGACCATGGGTTTGAGGGAGTTTGTCTTGGGGTGAAGGAAAAAAGGAGAAGAGAAGAAAAGAAGAAGAGAAAAAGGAGAGGAAGCGAGACAACGGAAGGCGCCCGAGAAAAACGGGAAACTAACGGCGCTTTATAATTTGCAGGCAAGCGCCGCCCCCGGGTTGTCTCGATCGCGCCTTCTTCCGGGTTCTTTCACCAGGCTATGCCGCTAAGGAACATAGCTTGAAAATCCCAGGCTGCCCATAACCATGGGACAGGGCAGGGCAGGACCATTCTCGCACTGCTCCGCGCCATCCCGCCCTCCAAAGTCTCGAGGCGAATCCAGTGTCCCGGGTGTGAGAGGCAAATTCCGATGGTCCGGCTCTGCGCAACAGATGTGCGCCTTTTGCGTCGTATGGCACTAACGAAGAAGCCTACGCAAAGGTAGGGAAGGAACCAGTGGATGCCAGCATTTGCGAAAAAGGCAAGGGCGCAGGGGCGTGCGGAATCTCTTTTCCTGTTGTTTCTGTTTTTCCCACTGCTCCTGCCAAACTTGCACGATTCATCGCTTCTGTTTTGTGCATGTCGTCCCTCCGGGTGCGTCGCTCATAATCTGCCTGTATGGGTGCTCCATAGCGCCTGCCCTATTCTAATTTCCCCCCCTAAGACCATCCTTGGTCCGGCGGAACCGGGCTGCGCTGCTTTGCGCTGGGCAGTCGCTCTCCGACAGCGGCCTCGATTTTCATTTACAAATGCAAAATTTCCGACTCGTCTCCCTCTCACATATGCTCACAAATCGTCCCTCGCCCTAGTGGCAGACCTCGGACTTCATTGCAATTATCGTACCGTCTTATAAACCGTGACGTATTTTGAATGTGAATCGTTTTTAACGCTGTCGTGTGACATGATTTGCACATGCTTCGCTCTTTCCACGTTTTCTCATGCAGGTAAGGAAGAGCACGGGATCGCTCGCCACACAGTCGCGCTCCTGCCCTTATGAGCTGCAAGGCGTGATTGCCATATTCATTTTCTACATACACCCCGCCGACTAGGGAAGCTGCAGGTTTGTTTTGCTGCGGTAAGTTACAGGCGCTGTTTCCGTATTGGCCGTCAGGTGCCTTCGCTGTTTGGAAGGAGGGGGCTGTATTTCTCCGAAGTGAACACCGAAGAACGCAAATACAAATCCCACGGCAGGCACCGATTCGCACTTGTCCTGCCATATTCAGTAATCAAGCGAAACGCTCAAACGCACGCCACATAACCATAGGCCGTCTATGAAGCACGCTTTCGCCGACTGTGCGATACCAAATACAACCTGTCAGCGGAGTGTCCCACATCGAGTGACGTCTGTGTCACTGTCAAAGACGACTTTACATATTTGCGACGCGGGGGTGGAGCGTTGGTCGCGGCCAGGACTGTGCAAGGTGGCTGGACCTTTTAATTGACGCCACACTTCAGCCACAGCATTTGGCCCATCTGTATGTCCACACTGTGCCAGCCAAGCTTGCCCAGGATACCTTGTTGCAACCCCACTAAGCACTGTTGCACGTAATATTGTCCAACATCGTCACCACTCTCCCCTTCATACCAACTCCCCATGCAGGGTCAGACCTCACAGCACGACCGCCCTGCATGCGCTGCTAAACTCCAACAACCTCTCTGCTGCACTATCCGACGCCGCCTCGCGAGCCGCCCGCTATGGCTGTCCAGCAGCATGTGCTGAATTGGCTCTACAGCGTCCTGACGAGCGTAAGTCTGAGACCACAATGATGTGAATGTGACAGATGCGGATGTGTCCCGAGCTGCGGCGCCGCTTACTGACTGTCACTGCTTCTCTAGGAATACCAAGACGTCAATCGGACATACAATGACGTGTCGCAGGCGCTCTCCTACTTCCCCTCGCTGTCGCCGCGGACCGACGTTCACAGTGAGTGCATGGACTTTGCCTTTGGTACTTTGCAGCTTTTGTTTCCCTGCTGACCCTGGCAGCCTTCCCCAATGGCGCATCTGCTCTCCTTCTTCACCTGTCCGGCACAATACCGGCTGTCTTCCGCGGCGCCACCTACCGCTACCCCATCTCGCTCTGGGTGCCGCACAACTACCCGCGCGAGGCGCCGCTCGTCTACGTCACACCGACCGAGAATATGATGGTCCGCCCTGGCCAGCACGTCGACCCCCAGGGGCAGGTTTATCATCCGTATCTTGCCGGCTGGGCCGAGTTTTGGGATGTACGTTGAGCGAGTAAAGCAAGGGCAGCTGGGATAGGATCTTGCGATGTTGACCGCTAACCGGATTCCGCATCCTCTAGAAGTCGACGATATGTGACTTTCTGACCATATTGCGCGATGTCTTCGCCAAAGAACCACCTGTCATTGCACGCCAGGCCCCGAGAGCAGCGCCATTACAAGCACCAGCCGCATCACCAACACCTCCGCCCGTCCCTCCACCGCCACAAGAGCTGGCCTCGCCGCCGCACCCACCCCCACTGTCACCAAAGGCAACCGCTTCACGACAACAGCAGCAGCAACAGCAGCAACAACAGGACCCACCACCGCCACCACCACCACCAAAGGCAAACGGACAGCCACAGCACAGCGCCGCTGTGCTGGCGCATCACACCCCATCGCCGCCACCCGTCCCGCCGCATCCCTCGTATACCAACGGCAACAATGCCTACCCAGCATCGCAAGCAACCCCGAGCCCCCCTCCACCACCTCCTCATCCGTCAACCTCGGGAGCTGGCGGCGTCCGCAGCTCGTGGTATGGCGCAAGTCCACCACCGCCGCAAGCCGTCGAAGCAGGACCGTCTGCACGGAGTGCTAGCGGGGGGCCACCGGTCCCAGGCCGCCCTGAACGCCCTGACCGACCCGACCGACCTGCATACCAGCAATCACCTCTCGGCCAGCCGCCCATGAGCCCGAGCCAGCAGCACCAGCAGCCACCATATAACGCCTCCTACGGACAGCCACAGCCTTTACAACCATCCAAGTCGTCTCCGCCACCGCCCTCCGTGCCTTACGGCCATCAGTCCTCAAATGCCTACTATCAGTACCAACAACAGCAGCAGCAGCCGCAACTAGTCCCGCCACCATGGCAGCAGCAGCAACAGCAGCAGCAACAGTTCCAGCAGTATAACCCCCAGCAACAGCAACAGCAGTATCCACCACAGCAGCAGTTCCTTCAGCAAGTTCAGTCACGGCCGCGGCAACCCCCTCCGCCCGATCTTATGGACGAGCCCGCCACCAACGACGCTCCTAACGGCCCCTCCGACGGTGCCCACCTCGGCGACAGCCAGTCCGGCCGCGCACAAGCTGGATCCGTGCAGCCGCCGCCCGTACCGCGCAACCCGGAAAAGGACGCCCTCCTCCACCAGCTTGCACAGACCCTCGCGGCCCAACGCCAGCAGATCCGTGACAAGAACGACCTGTCCCTGGCCGGTCTGCGTGCGCAGCGGGCGGCCATGCTGACGGCGGCCCAGCGCCTGCAGCAGGACATGTCGGACGTGGCGCAGCTGTCGGCGCTGCTGACGAGCAACACGGACATTCTGCACGAGACGTTGGCCGCGGCCGACGGGCTGGTGGCGAGCAGCCAGCAGACACCGGCGCCGGCCGTGGACGACCTGCTGGTGGGCCCCACGGTGGTGGCGAACCAGCTGTACGACCTGGTGGCCGAGGAGCGCGCGCTGGCCGACGCGGTGTTTATGCTGGGCCGTGCCGTCGAGCGCGGGCGCGTCAGCCCGGTCGTTTTCGCCAAGATGACGCGGTCGCTCGCCCGCGAGTGGTACCTGAAGAAAGCCCTGGTGCGCAAGGTCGGCCGAGGCATGGGCCTCGCATCGGCATAGAAAAGAGGTGGTCGCATCGAGAAGAAGAATGTAAAGGCTCAGCTTCTTTGCTTTGTTGCGTAGATTAACGGTTGTTTCAATAGCATGTACATCCCCCATCATTTCGTTTCATTTATTTTATTTTCATGTCCGTTGTGTTTTTTTTTTGTTTTTATTATTATTCATGGACCTCGTTGCTTTTGCAAGAAAACTGACGCCTGTAAATAAGTTGATTTATAATGGCTTGGGCAATACATACATGGAAGACGTAGTAGCGGATACCAGTTCTATTTCTCTGTTTCTCTCTTCCTCACTTTCTCGTTTTTCATTGCACATAGACCAAGGAGCCATATAATAATTTCGCCGCCAGGTAATCATCAAACATAAGAGAGGACTTAGAACGATGCTGTAGCAATAGCAATTTGACTGCAGTCTTCCGTAAGCATGGCACTATTCAAGGCTGGAAGAGGTACGACAAGCTCGGGCTCTTTTCTCTCTTCTTGCAGAGGCTGACTAGGCGCTGGATATCGTCGACGTGGACCGGAATTGGGTGTTGTAGCTCGCAACTTGCTTCGGCATCGACCATTGGGGAGGAGGCCGTGGCAGAGGTCATATCTGTGTTCGACAAAACAGTGGCATCGGTTTCTGAGCGGTCCAGATCCTCAAAGGGGCCGTTAAATGTGCTCGTACTGCTGCCCTGCGTGTCTCTTGTCGACGAAGACACATTCACAGAATTGCTGTTAGCATCATTGACGGATGCTTTGGCGCCACTTCGACGCCCCCAACTCCAGCTTCGAAAACGGCTCTCTTTCGAGACGCGCCGGAACAGTTTGTTTTCCTCAAAGCCGGCGGCTGCCTCACTGGCATGGAATGCAGCACCCGACTGTTCCTTGGCTCTATGAACATGGCCCCAGACCCAGGATCGCTTTGATCCGTTCAACGCGTTTTGCGTCGTAGTCAGTGGTGCCAAAGGCTCCAATTTAGCAACAAGTTGTTCGCCGTTGCGATTGTCTGACCGGGCACTAGCAGGGTATTTGTTTTCAGTAGTTGAGTTCCAGGAAGAAGGACCACGAGTGGCTTCATGCGATGCAGAGCCTGCAAAAGCTTGACTTGGGCAAGGAACATCACCAGTGGATGAGCTTTGTTCGTGTGAGCCCCGGCGGCGCAGGTGCGACGACAGCCGCCTCCATGATCCTGAGCTTCGATTTGAATGAAGAAATGCCCGTAGTCTAGACCTTGGAAGGGCCCCAATCTGATTTTCCTGCACAGGGTGACACTGCGCTGAAGGGCTGCCAATAAGCCTTGGTCGAACAGCGTCCGTCTTTTCGGGCCCTGGGCTGTGGAGAGTGGTCTTCGTAAGCTCGGAAAGTGATGGTGACTTTGTGGTCTCGGCACATATCATTGTTTTGGAAACTTTAAGTGGCCTAAAGCTGTTACCTTCACAGTGCTTTGCAGGTGACAGTTTCGGCATCGAGTGGGTAGACATGTTGCTTGGGCCCGGACGGTCAAAGATTTTTCTGAGGTCGGCAACAGATGCGGCTTTGTGGCCGATAATTGGATGGCTTGCTACAGAGGTTGACGTTTCGTGTACTGCTTCATTTCCTTCTTCGTGATTCTTTTTGACCGGCTTCGTAATTGATTCGTGGACCAGAGGTGGCTCCCGGCGAACAGGTGTAGTCGGTTCATGGCTGGCTTGAGGAGGCAGGCTTTTGCGTGGAGTTGCTTCCGGGGACAAATCAAAGTTGTCGTTTCCAGATGCGACCTTGCCGTGGCTCTTGACGACTTTGACAGTGTCTGCCGAAGTAGTCTCAATATCTATCTGTGGAGACTCCTCGATGCTGGTGACTGACTTTGTTTTGAGACTCGATGCCTTGGCAGCTGGTGATCTTGAGACTGCCCATACACTCACGGGGAAAGGAGTGTAGAGTGTTGACTTTGAGAGAGACGCCGGCTCAATGGGTGCCATGAGTCTAACAATGGCGACTGAGTGAGACTTTCGAGAAGCCCCGTTTCCTTGGATGCCGTTGCTGGCTTGTCTCGTTGAGACCAAGCTTGTGGCAGCACTTTTGACGTTGGGCGAAGTGTGCAGGCCGCTCTGGGAATCGTACAATGCGTAAAGCCCTGTCGTGCTCGTCGTATGCGGTGAAGCAGGCTTCGTTTTGACTAGAGGCTGGCTCAAAGGAGCCACATCCACAGCAGAGCACCGCTTTCTGATTGGAGTGGTGACCCCGACGTGCGACTGCGCAACGCATTGTGTTTTCTTTTCATCCGCAAAAGGGTCTTGACGTGCTTCCCACGTGGAGTTCCTCACAGGCTGCCAATGGACAGGTTTTTGTGCATCTACAGGAGGCACAAACACAGTTGCTCTGTCGTTCACTGCTTTGGCAAGGTGTATTAGTTGGTGGTGTGTAAACAGCGGCAGACAAGACTCTCAATATTGACTTACATGACGCGCAGCCTGAGCGGCTCCCACGATGATTCTCTTTGGCTAAACGCTCGCCCCGGAGCAGGTCACGAATAAGAGTGTTTGCCTGGACCCTGCGAGCCTTGCGAGCCTCCTTTTTTTCCTCGTTTACGACTTCTTTCCGCGTCTCGATGAATGGAAAAAACGGGTTGGTGGATCTCTGCGAGCCGGATGACGAGCGGACCTAGCTGCTGTCAGCCGCGTGACGCGGGCCGGCGGGGTGTGAGTTTTCGGCGCTCCTTTGGGAGGACCCGACGCTCTGCCGGAAGCTGGACGCCGATGGCTGGAACTCCGCGTGAAGCATCGATGCCCTTGGGGACGAAATGGAGTGTGAGTAAGCCATGGAGGGAAATGTTGTTGGGGCCTGTCGGATGGTGCTCAGGGAGGCACCGTAACGCTGAGTTGGCAAAGTGAGTAGCAAAAGCAACAAATGCCAAGATGGTCTGAGTTCCGATGTAGCGGCTGAAGGTGGACAAAAGGATGCGGGCATCACAGTGGGCGGTTGGTGACGATCCTTGTTTTGCACTCCTACAGAATCTCCTCGTTTACTATTTTGTTGGCACAGGAATAGCAGAACTCGTTGGCCCGTTCAGCCAGCCAAAGCTTAGTCCTTCCTTTCAAGGAAGCTGCCTGCTGTCCGTGCATATGCATCTCGTGAACGTTCTTTCCGTTCTAGCCGGAAGTAGTTTTCGAGGAAGGTGCTTTCTTGTGCCTTCCGTTTTGGACATTGAGATCCCGTCAAAGGAGGCAGGCACGATCGTTACGCATGTCAAGCCGTCGGTTGTGTATTCTCCCTCCTCTCCCTCTCCCTCTCCCCTTTTCTTCCTTTCATCTTTCGCAGCAATCAGATACCAACATTTGCCCACGCCCTTGATGCCGACTTTTCCAGCGTCACCGGTCCATACGAAGTACCGGTCCCGCGTTCTGACGACGGCAGCTCCCGAATAGAATGTGTTCCGCTCAATAATCTTCTCGTCTCTAATAGAGTTTTCGCCGATGCACGTCAGCCACCTGGACCTGAATCTATGGCACATTTCCCAGTGTCGTCACCGAGCTCTAAATGTGTTTGCAAAACAGAGAAGATGCACAGGTACAAGTATGCAGTGTCGCTTCACCAGTGTAACTCTACACGGAAGATATATCTCAATCGAAGTAGTCAGAGGCATAACTAACAGGTTATTGCAGATTTGACGGGGTGGAGTCCCTTACTCCGTAAATAGTATTTACACAGCGGCTGCTCCAGAAGACGACCTAATCATCTGAACGCGCAAGCCAACGGCAAGGATCACAGCTCCAGCTTGACCTGGTCGGCTGTACGACATATCATCGACCCACATGGTAGCGGCCAACCAGCAAAATCAGAAGGCGATGTACCGTTGCATCTCTGCTCGACATGGATTGCCGATGGGATCTGGCGGTTCTTGTGAAGCAAAGCGACCCTTGTCTCTGCCCTCTCTTCTGTTGCTGCAAGGCGTCGGTCTCCGCATTAAGAAACGTGCGGCATGGGCGGACATTCTGGCCTTGTCAGGATTGAATTGTGTTTTATTTTTATTTTCTTCTGTGCAGACGCCTACATCGCAGGGTTTTTTTCTTTTTACCTTCCGTCGACGGCGGTTTCGTTTTGGCATTTTGGCTGCATGTTACCTGGACCCCTACATCGCACACCCGCCACACTGCCAGTGTCGTCCTCGGCATACCGACATACACATGCCAAAGACCTTTGATGTACGCTTCTACGGCGTGGTGAAGTAAACCTAGACAGGAAAACGACGCCAAAAAGCCTCACTGCGACCAGGCATGCCACTTCCAAGCAGGTTGGGGGAAATCATCCCCAAAACGGCGACCGAATCAGCCAGCAGAAAATGCAAGGCAGGGCAAAGTAAGGCAAGAAATACGAGCAACGAAACTGACAAACTGCAGCTGTTTCATTGGGCTGTACGCGCATAGGAAGGATACAGGTGCCGAGCACCAAAAAGCTTCTTTGGCCGGCTAGCCCACACTCGACTTACACAACAGTGTGCCTGAACGACTCGCCACCTTTGTCACCAGACTAACTGCGGCACACGGCAATGTTCATGGGTCAAATGCGTGGCAAAGTTTGGTGATTTTGTCCGACCACGTTTTCATTCGGGTGTCGTCTGTCTACGCTACTTGGAACTGATCGTTTATTGTTGAACTGGCCGTTATATTTCCCTCGCCTCTTCATACCTGGCGTCACCGTCGTTCTCGCCTTCTCTGCATTTTGCCCTGATTTTGTTCACTTTTATCCTCGTCTGGGCTCTTTTTGCTCCTTCTATTTCGCCTTTAGCGTGGGGGATCACTTGATTTTCACATGCATCGCTCGCTGCGCATCAGGTGGCACCTTCTCTTTGGATTTAAACCGTGCCTCCGTTTACTGGGCATCTAAAAAGATGTCTCTTCGAGACCGTCGCCCAATCATCGACAGCACATGGCCGACGTTAGCCCCAGCCGTTGGGGGCAAAAAGACCAGGGGGGGATGGACGGGCTGGCACGCGGCGACACGGTTTGTCCCCCTGTCGACAACCGGCGTTCTTTCTAGGCCTGGCCAACCCAATCAGGTACAGGAAAGGCCGATCTTGCGACCAAATTACACTAAATACATCGATGGGCCACTCGCAGCACTTAGACCAGGGCGGTCGAATGAAAGAAGAGGGAAAGACAACCATGCTACGCCTCTTTTTTGTTTACGGAGGCTCGGAGAAGACCCCTGAAGGGTTACAAAAGCCATAGCACGGGGTATCCCGACAGCTACTTTCGCGAACCGCCGTGGAGGATTTCGGAATGGGAGTGGCCCTCTGGTGTGTTCTACCAGATGGTGAACAGACAGCAGGTAGATTTGGGGAAGGATAAAGTCTGGATGACGTCCACCTCCTTGATGGGCTGAATCTGAGAGATCGTCCGTCAGTGCAGATAATACGACCCGAGAACGGACAAGACATCCTTGCCTCTTATCCAGTTTATATACAGTAAGTAGTGGCTTGCTGTTGTCTTTATTGCCTTCGTATTAGTCTTCTTGTCTCCTGCTCATTATGGTTACTTGTTCCATCGTGTATTCAATTTTGTGCTTGCTGTTTCCCGAATCGCAGTGTGCTGACTCAATCACAGCCTCGTATCTCACCATGGTCTACAACATCCCGTCGGCCGCATGGGGCCTGTCTGTCCTCGCCGCGTGTGCCCGCGCTGCCAACTTCCCGCCCACCCCGTCAGACAAGACGACGCCGGTGCAGCAGCGCATTGCCGTCAATGGTGCCAACTGTACGTACGGATGGTGTTAAGACGCAATATATGCGTGGGACGGAACGCCGACTAACAATGCAGCCATGTCTGTTGGCTGGAACACCTTTGAGCAGCTCGACAAGCCCTGCGTCAACTACGGCACCTCGCCCGACAAGCTCACCTCGCAGGCTTGCGGTACGTCTGTCACGTACGACACGGCGCGCACCTACTCCAACGCCGCGTCTCTGACTGGCCTCACGCCGGCGACCACCTACTACTACAAGATCGTGTCGACCAACTCGACCGTCGAGCACTTTTTGAGCCCTCGGCTGCCCGGCGACACCACGCCGTTCCAGATGAACATTGTCATCGACCTCGGCGTGTACGGTGTGGACGGCTACACGATCGGCATGGACATGTCCAAGCGCGACACCATTCCGACTATCCAGCCCTCGCTCAACCACACGACCATTGGTGCCCTCGCCGAGACCATCAATGACTACGAGTTCATCATCCATCCGGGCGACCTGGCGTATGCGGACGACTGGGTCTACAATGCCGCCAACATCCTCGACAGCCACCAGGCGTACGAGGCGATTCTCGAAGAGTTTTACAACCAGCTGGCCCCCATTGCCGCCCGCAAGCCCTACCTGGCGTCCCCCGGTAACCACGAGGCCGCCTGCGAGGAGATCCCATACACGTCGGCCCTGTGCCCGTCCGGGCAGCACAACTTTACGGATTTCATGAACCGCTTCGGCCGCACGATGCCGTCGGCGTTTGCCTCGACATCGTCCAACAGCGACGCCAAGATCTCGGCCAACACGGCGCGCCAGCTGGCCAACCCGCCGTTCTGGTACTCGTTCGAGTACGGCATGGCGCACGTCGTGATGATTGACACCGAGACGGATTTCCCCAATGCGCCCGACAGCCAGAGCGGCAGCGCGCACCTCGGCGCCGGCCCCTTTGGCTCGCTCGGGCAGCAGCTGGCGTTCCTCGAGGCCGACCTGGCGTCCGTCGACCGCACCGTCACGCCGTGGGTTGTTGTCGGCGGCCACCGCCCTTGGTACTCGACGGGCGGCAGCGGCAACATCTGCTCGCCGTGCCAGAAGGCGTTTGAGCCGCTCTTTTACAAGTACGGCGTAGACGTGGGCATTTTCGGCCACGTGCACAACTCGCAGCGCTTCCTGCCCGTCAACAACAGCGTGGCGGATCCGGCAGGGATGCAGAACCCCAAGAGCCCCATGTACATTGTGGCGGGCGGTCCGGGCAACGTCGAGGGCCTGAGCGCGGTTGGCGCCAACTACTCGACGAACGTGTTTGCGTACGCCGACGACTTTTCGTATGCGTCCATTACGTTCCAGGACAGCAAGCACCTCAAAATTGATTTCTACCAGTCGTCGACGGGCCGGGTGTTGGACAGCTCTGTGCTGTACAAGGAGCATGCGGAGCAGTTTGTTTTGCAGTGAGTTGGGTGGTGTTGCGAGTGAGAGATGATCTTGTGTTTTTTGTTTTATTTGGTGTTTTGTTTGTTTTCTGCTCTTTTCTTTTTGGGGGGGGTTTCACAATTCTTTGTCTTTTGAAGCGAGGATCTAACGAAATAAATGTAGGCAACCTGGCAAGCGGTGTGTTGCCAACAAGGCATGATGCAATGACCAAAAATTGACATTGGGACGCGATATGCCACGACTGGATGCGGTTTAAAGCAATCTAATGTCTTGTATATAGTAGGCAAAACACAAATGCTAGTTAGTCATGATATAATGTACACATTTGCACATAACACAAAGCAAAACCGCCTGTCTATCATCTCTGTGATCAATCTACCAGCTCATCGCCAATGCTGCGGATACGGTCCTCGCTCCAGCCCATGCCGCCGTGGCCGTTCCGTGTCTCGTCCCACTCGTGCAGCTGGTACACGAGTGGTGGCAGGTCCGGGTGTTCTGCGCTCCGTGCCTCTTTCGAGTCGGCCGCAACGGGCTCCTTGAAGGAAAAGATGCGGAAATCGGCATTGGCATACAAGCTGCCGCTCACGGCTTTGCTCAAAAACGCCGAGTGCGACACCACGGCCACGACCTTTTCGGGCCGCGCATACAGTTCGGCCAGGACGGTCTGCGCCCGCGTCACGAGGGCCTGCCGGTTGAAGGCATAGAGCAGCGCCTGGGGTGTCGTCTTTTCGGGGAAGATGGGATCGACGTGCGAAAAGTCGACGTGCGGGAACTGCTTGGCCACCTGGTCGATCTCGGAGCCCACGTCGCAGGGGTGGTCCGTGGTCTCCTGCCAGCCGGCGTGTGCCTCAAAGGGCACGCCGTTGGCCTGCAGCCAGTCCAGCGAGGCCATGGCGGTCTGGAGGGTGCGGGTCATCGGGCTGACGATGACCAGATCCGGGTCGAGGCGGCCCGGCAGGGTGGTGCGCAGGACCTCGCGCAGCTTTTTGCACTGCTCGAAGCCGAGCTCCGAGAGTGACGGATCATGCAGCTGATAGTCGCGTTGGATACGTTAGCTGTGTGAATGAGTGACGCAGCAGAGAACGAATGGGTTGAATACGTATCTGCAACATTGTGAAGCGCCTGGGCATGGCGGATAAGAATCACGGTCGGCGGCATGTTGACGCAGGTGAGGGCGGTGGTGGTACTGGAGAGGGGAGTCAAGGTGTACTGCCAAAGTATGGGAAAAGGCGGGGGACCGAGGCGTCTTTAAATGCCCAGCCCGTGAGGCAGCGAGGCTGAAAGACGGGCAGATGGTCTTGATGCAATTTCAAAGTAAAGAGGCCTCGCCATGGTATTTGTACGCCAAGCAGGCTCGACCTCTTCGCTCCTACCCTGAAGAGTCGGCCGTTGGCTCCTGCCTGCCGTTAGGCACGACTCGGTTATGGGGGCATCGACGTCGTCTCGGGGCAGGCAAGCGCGATTGTCGTGTCCGCCGAGCCGTCCTACAGCAAAACAGCGCCCACCAAGCACCCGCTAAAAACGTTTTTAGTGGGGACGCCGGGGCGAGGCCTGCAGGCACCAGTAATGCAGCAATAGAAGGTCCAGCGCGGCTGCCAAGCTCACTTCAAAGTGGCCCTGGCCAGAAGCTCTGCTTTCGATCTGTACACTTTTTGCGACTTCAAAGTCCACGACTCTCAATTGCGCCCGCTACTTGGCCCACCCACGCATCCGGTTGTCACGATGACGAGCATCGACGAGCTCTTCAAGGTAGTCTCTCCATGCATGCCACGACTGTGTATGTCTGTCTTGCTAACTGACGCCAGAAATCGGGCGTTCCAAGCAAACGCAAGTTTGAGCCCGTCCGCGATCCCAGTATGTTCCGAACCGCGATCCTCCTCCATGACGACGCTCGGGGTGGTAATCTTGTCGTTTACTAACATGCGTTGTCTCGCAGACGAAATTTATAAATCGGTCAAGCTCACACCCAATGGCGGGAGCAGCTCGCGCCTTGCGCGCGTCGACGACGACACCGGCGACATTGAGGCCGGCCCGTCGCTACCACCCGACGGCGAGGACGGCGACGGCGACGACTACGGCCCGGCAGCGCCTCCTGAGGACGATGGCGATGGCGATGGCGACGACGAGGAGGACCGTTTCTTTGGCGGCGGCATCACAAGGGCTGAAGCGAGCATACTAGACTACGTCGAGGGCCGGGACCAGAACGCGGCAGACGGGCCAGGAGGGGCGATCAAGGGAGGCCGGAAACAGGGCGAAACAGGCGTCACCGATGGGCCAGAGGCGTTTGACGCGGCCTGGCTGCGCAGGACGGCGCTCAACTTTGAAAAGCGCATCAACCGCAACGCCGAACTGCGCGCGCGGTATGCGTCGGACCCCACGCGCTTTATCGCCAGCGAGGCCGACCTCGACGCCGACATCAAGGCGCTGTCGATCCTGGGCGAGCACCCGGCGCTGTACCCGGAGTTTGCGCGCCTCGGCACCGCGGCCAGCCTCGTGGGCCTGCTGGCGCACGACAACACGGACATTGCCATCTCGGCGATTGAGATTCTCGGGGAGCTGACGGACGAGGACGTGGACGCAACGGACGAGCAGTGGACTGCGCTGGTCGACGCGCTGCTGGACGCAGACCTGGTGGGGCTGCTGGTGTCGAACCTGGCGCGGCTCAACGAGGACCCGGCCGTCGACACGGACGGCGTGGACCGCAACGGCGTGTACTATGCGCTGGGCATTGTCGAGAACCTGTGCTCGTTGCGGGCGACGCGCGCGGCGGACGCCTTGGGCCGCCATGCCGCGCTTCTCCAATGGCTGCTGCAGCGGGTGCAGCGCAAAGAGCACGACAAGGAGACGGTCAGCCAAAACAAGCAGTACGCGGCCGAGACCCTGGTGACGCTGGCGTACCGGTCGCCGGCCAACTGCCAGCGGCTGGTGGACCTGGACGCGGTCGACATTCTGCTGCAGCTCGTGGCCGCCTACCGCCGGCGCGACCCCGAGCGCGGCAACGAGGAGGAGTACATGGCGGACCTGTTTGAGGCGCTGACGTACCTGGTGGGCGAGGCGGCCGTGGACGACGACGATGCCCGAGCGCAAGCGCAAGCGCAAGCGCAAGCAAAATCCAAGGCCACGGCGACGTCGGACGACCCGCCGCCGCACAAGGGCAAGGCCAAGTTCGTCGAGGCCGAGGGCGTCGAGCTGTGCCTGCTGATGCTCAAGGAGGGCCACAAGAGCCGTGCGCCCGCGCTGAAGCTGCTGGACCACGCCACCAGCGGCCTGTACGCCGGCGACGTGTGCCGCACGCTGGTCGACGCCGGCGGGCTCAAGGCGACATTTACGCTGTTTATGAAGGGCGAGGAAGACGCTAAGCACAGCAAGAACAAGAATAAGAAGAAGAGCAAGAGCAAAAAGGACACGGAAAAGGAGAGCCGGCCGCATGCCGGGCCCACGGCGGAGCACCTGCTGGCCATCTTCTCGGCGATGCTGCGTCTTCTACCCGCCGACACGCCCGAGCGCATCCGCCTGCTGGCCAAGTTTGTCGAAAAAGACTACGAGAAGGTCGACCAGCTGCTGTCGCTGCGGGCGGCGTACGCGACGAGGGTGGACGCCGTGGACCGCGCGCTGGCCGTGCCCGGACGCGAGCCGACGTACACGGCCGAGGCCGACGCGACCGAGGCGGAGCGCAGGGCATTGGCGGACGCCGAGCGGTTGTCGCTGCGGCTGGAGGCGGGCCTGTTTACGCTGCAGACGCTCGACATTATCCTGGCGTGGCTGGTGGCCGAAGACGACGGCGCGCAAGAGAAGATCCGGTCGCTCTTGTCGGCAGCGGGCGGCAAGGACGACGCATTTTCCGTGCTGCGAACGTCGCTCCAGGAGCGGCGAGACGAGCTGGATCTTCGGACGCCCGAGGGCAAGGATTTGCAGGAGATGCTGACGGCCTTGCTGGGATGTCTGTAGGTGGGAGACGAGCAAGACGGACAGCGCATGCATCTAGGGACACAATGGCACAGCATTGGAAAGATGATCGGTTTAATGAACAACTATGCAAAATGGAAGCCCACGGCCAGGTCGAGTGCAGCAGTGGCAGTGGCTGCCGAACAATGTCTGTCCTTGTCCATGAGACGAAAGTAAAACGAAATAGGATATGCAAAATGAGAACACAAAGCAATGAACAAAGAGAGGCGGCATCTACCGACACCCTCCCTCGACGTAACGGCACATGGTCGCCGCCGCTCTATGCCTTGGACGGCGGCACGGGGTTGGCGCTGAGGACGGCAGTCAGCAGGTCCTTGACGACCTTGTCCTGGCTCTTCTTGCCGGCGGCCTTGATCTCCTGGATCTTGGCCTCGGCCTCGCGGCTGGCCTCCTCCTCGGCCGCCTTGTTTCCTTGGGTGTGCTAGACGGTTAGCAGTGGCACGTAGCAGATAGCACGCAGCAGGTAGCACTCGTGCCATGAACAAAGACGGGGCTGGACGTACCTCGGCCTCAAACTTCTTGAACTCGGCCTCCTTCTGGGCCTTGTACTCGTCAATCTCTTTCCGGGCCTCGTCGCGGGCCTCTCTTACGCGCTTTGTCCGGACTGTGTGTGGTTGTTAGTGGTGGAATACGAGGAGTGGGAGGTTGCTGGCAGCTGCTGTCCGAAACGTACACTCGCGCGCTGCACAAGAAGATCATGGTTAGCTTGCTGTCCTCGTCGTCTCGCCATAGAAAAGGAATGTCCCTGAGCAGCCAAAATCACGCACCTTTCTGCACAATCTGGGCGGCTTTTTGCTCGGCCTAGAGGTTCGGGAACAATGTCGTCAGTGGCTGGCCATGGAACATCTTCACATATGCACTCTGATTGCATAACAGAACGCATCTCCATCGCATGAATCGTCGAGCAAGACACAAGAACCAGGGCGGGGCATACCTCGAGCAGGGTCTGGATGCCTGTGGAGTTCTGGGCGGACTGTCGCCGGAGGCCTGTTAGCAAGGTTGAAACGATACGGCAAGAAGCTGGCCAATGGGACACCCTTATTCAGTCGTTGTGGACGGAAGAAGGGAGAGGCTGCGCACCATCTTCGGTCTTGAAGGAGGTAGAATCGATGAGCGTCAAGGCAGCTGCGGAGGGGAGCTATCGGCAGGCGAGCGAATGTGGTGTGGTGCTAGGAGATGGTCGTATGAGTACGGTTGCTTGTTGTTGAGGAGAAGAGCAACTGCGTCGTGGCAGACGTGAGGTTGAAGTTGATCGTTGGTCGTCGGAAGTGGATGTTGGATGTTGGATGTTGGATGTTGAAATAACAAAGCGGGCAGATTGGAGTTGCCTATTTGATCCAGAAGTGGAAGCTTGCTGCAGCATGGACAAACGGCAGGAGCAGGCGGGCAACCAACCAATGGGCGGTCAGAAGCGGCAGAATTTGGGGTGGGGGTGTAGAGAGACGGAAAGAGCTATGGAGCTTGGTGTGTCATAGGCTGATAGGCGGTACTTCGTATAGTGCCCGTAGATACGGCTTTTAGCGGTCTTTGGCGGTTTTGGCGGTCTTTGCTTTTTGAAGCTTTTCATCGAATCACTTGTTTTCAACGTCCCAACGACAGCGTTTTGCATACAGCCGTCCACCGCACGGCAAAATGTCCCGTGCCTCCAAGCTCACGCTGCTGGGCACGTCCCTCTTTGCCGCCTCGACTGTGGCCTTTGTCCACTTCCAGCAAGAAGCCGAGAAGACTGTAAGACCGTCGTCGATGCGACCAGGACATGCCAGAAGACCACCACTAACTGTACAGGCCATGCACCAAGGCGTCGTGCGCGACATGGAGCAGCAGCGCATCAAGCAGGAGCGGCAGCTGGACTTTGACACGCAGCGGGCACTCGAGCTCCAGTACAAACAGGAGCAGTCGGTGCACGATGCCGTTGCCGCAGCAGACGCGGCAGAGGCGAAAGCGAAAGGAAAGGGGGCATGAGACAAGGAGAGGGGTGTTGCTTCGTGTAATGAAAGTGGCTGATACCCAAAAATGGACTCAATGGGTGCGATGGGATGAAGAAATGTACGATATACTGGCGTTGCGGTTGGATATTGATCACGGGCTTTTTGAACGCACTATAGAAACAGATAGACATCTCCAAAAGTTATGATATTTTACGGTAAAGGATGAGCAAGCCTGGTAGAACATATCGTATTGTATCGGAGTGTTGTTGTTGTAAGCTGTGTTATGCTTCTTTGAGTGCATCGTCACAAGATGGTAAGTATCGCCTATATTGCACTTTAGCATTTCTATATTTCTGTGAATCGCCAGCCTATCTTCTTTTTACACGTCAACTCCCTGCCCTTCCGACCAAATAAAAGTAAAAAAGAAAGAACAAAAATTGCAACGCCATCCAGTCAATGCTGTAGTAAGAGGATAAAAACGAAAAGGGGGAAGAGTAGGTGAGGAAAAAAGAAGAGGGATAAAGGGCAGGAATGACAAGTAAAGCATAGCAAGAAGAAAACAGCAGATCGGAAAGGCATTCTACAAGATATTGCAATTTTTCCGCATGTCATTTTGATTCCCCCCAGACAAGACGGCATGAGAAGACGCAGCGTGATATCATGCACCTTTGTCACGTTGGCTGCGCTTCGCACGCCGGCGCTTCTCAACGAATCGACACGCCCGACCGGTCGGTAAACATGCGCGCGGCAATGTTCATCGACGCCAGCTCCTGGAACAGCAGCTTGGCCGCGTAGGGGATCTGCACCTGCGCAATGCGCGTCTTGTTCTTGCACGGCCGGCACTCGAACGATTGTTTCGTGAGGTTTCTAGACGGTCAGCATACTCTTGTAAAGGATGATATGAAGAAGGGGAGGTGGGGGGGGGACAGAAACATACGCAATCGGCGTCATGAGTCCACAAATCTCGCAAATGTGGACTCGGTAGGCGTCCGACACCTCAAACAGACGCTCCTTCAAGAACGCCGCCGCACCGTGCGCAATCATGCAGTCGCGCTCCATTTCACCGAACCGCAGACCGCCGTCGCGCGCACGACCCTCCACCGGCTGCCGCGTCATGATCTGCACGGGGCCGCGCGCGCGCGCGTGGATCTTGTCGTCGACCATGTGGCGCAGGCGCTGGTAGTAGGTCGGGCCGAAGAAGACCTGGGCGCGCAGCTTGCGGCCCGTGTGGCCGTGGTACAGGATTTCGAAGCCGCGCGACTGGTAGCCGTGCTCGCGCAGCAGCCCAGACACGGAGTCGACCGTGACGTCGGTAAACGGCGTCGCGTCGCCCTCCATGCCCTTGAGCGTCGCCACCTTGCTCAGCAGACACTCAATCAAGTGCGCAATCGTCATGCGCGACGGGATGGCGTGCGGGTTGATGATAATGTCCGGCGTGATGCCCTCGGCCGTGAACGGCATGTCCTCGTGGCGGTACGCGAGGCCAATGGTGCCCTTTTGGCCGTGGCGCGACGCAAACTTGTCGCCGATCTGCGGGATCTTGGTCGTGCGCACCCGCACCTTGACGTACCGCAGGTTGTCCTGGTTCGTCGTCACCACGACCTGGTCGACAATGCCGTTCTCCGTACTACGCAGCGGCGTCGACGCGTCGCGCTTCACGTGCGACTGCGTGCGCTGGCCCAGCTCCTGGTGGTCCAGGTTGATGGGCGACGTCTTGCCAATGATAATGTCCTCGCCGGACACGCGCACGCCGGGCGCCACAATGCCGTCGTCGTCCAGCTTGTCGTACGTGCCGTGCTTGAGGCGCAGCGTGTCGCTGCGGAACGGCTTCTCAAACGTCTCGACAAAGTTGATGCCCACGCGCTTCTCCGAGTCCGTGTACGCGCGGAAGAACAGGCTGCGGAACAGGCCGCGGTCGATGCTGCTCTGGTTCATAATCACCGAATCTTCCTGGTTGTAGCCCGAGTAGCACAGAATCGCCACAATCGCGTTCTGCCCCGCCGGCAGCTCGCGGAACTTGAGGTACTCCATCGACCGCGTCGTCGCCAGCGGCTTCTGCGGGTAGTACAGCACGTTGGCCATGGTGTCCATGCGCCGCGGGTAGTTGGTCAGGAAGAAGCCCATGGCCTGCTTGCCCATGGCCGACTGGTACGTGTTGCGCGGCGACTGGTTGTGGTCGGGGAACGGGATGATGCTGGCGCAGATGCCCAGCAGCATGCTCGGGTGGATCTCGCAGTGCGTGTACATGTGCGTCGTCGGGTTCACCTTGGTCTTGACCCGCTTGTTGATGTCCTCGTCGGGGACGTCCTCGGGGATCTCGTAGCCCGCCTTCTGCAGCCGGTAGTTGTCCAGGTCCTCCGGCGTCATGCAGATCATCGCCGTCTCCTCCTCCTCGGCGTCCAGGTACTCAATCGCGCCCGCCTCGCAGATGCCGTCCCAGCCAAAGAACCTGGGGTCGTCGCGCGGCAGCGCGTCGTCCTCATCCAGCCGCTGGATGTGCTCCTTGGTCAGCAGGAGCTGGCCCTTTTCCCGGCCGGACTCGGCCTTTTCCTCCTGCTCAATCGCAAACAGCGGCCGCATGACCCGGCCGGCGTCCGAGAAGATCTTGAACTCGCGGTCGCGAATGTCGCGCACCAGCGACACCTCCGACTGGATCACGCCCTTGCGGCGCAGGCCCTGCACCAGACTCACCAGGTGCTTGGGGTCCTGGTGCACGCCGACCCAGCTGCCGTTGACAAAGACCTTGGTCGCGTTGGGGTAGCGCACCGGCTCGTACTCCTCGAGCACCTCCATGTTGCGCGCAATCATAAACTCCACAATGGGGTCGGCGGGCGTGCCCACGCTGACGTAGCACATGAGCGACAGGTTCTTGACGAGGCCGCAGGCCTGGCCCTCGGGCGTCTCGGCCGGGCACACGAGACCCCAGTGCGTGTTGTGCAGCTGGCGCGGCTTGGCCAGCTTGCCGTCGCGGCCGATGGGCGTGTTGGTGCGCCGCAGATGCGACAGGGTCGAGGCAAACGTGTAGCGGTTCAGCACCTGCGACACGCCGGCCGTCGAGCTCATGGCCTTCTTCTGGTCGCCCCAGTTGCCCGTGGCGAGCGAGTACTTGAGGCCGTTGGTCAGCGTCTGGTGGCGGATGCCGACGCGCAGGTCAAAGTGCTTGCCCGTGTCGACGCAGCGCTTCAGGTGGTTCATCAGCTCCTGGTACATCTTGCGGATGATGCCCCGGAACAGCTTGGCCAGCAGCGGGCCCGCCAGGTCCAGGCGCTTCTTGCCAAAGTGGTCGCGGTCGTCCGTGTCGCGGCGGCCGAGGGCGCACTGCAGCAGCTTGTGGACCATGTAGCCCAGGAAGAAGGCTTTGCGCGTCTCGCAGCCCTCGCTCTGCGAAATGTGCGGCAGCATCTCCTTTTGCAGAATGTCGCGCGCGGCGCGCACGCGGTCCTTGCGGCTGACGGCGTGCGAGTTCTGGCCTCGCTTGCCAATGTAGTCGAGCGCGACCTCGCGGTCCTGGATGCAAAAGGCCTCCTCGATGCACGGCCGCAGCATCTCCAGCATCTGGCTGTCGTGGCGGTCGTAGCAGATGTGGTTCAGAATGTCCTCGTCGGACACGACGCCGAGGGCGCGGAAGACGACGGCGATGGGCAGCTCGGACTTGATGTACGGCAGGGTGCTGTGGACGGTCTGCCCGAAGCTGCCGCGCTGCGTGTCGCCCTTGGTCAGCAGCATGATGCTCAGCGACGAGATCAGGCGCGAGCCCTTTTCGAGCGCGCTGCGGATCTCGGCGGTGTACGAGAACTTGCTGGGCTGGGCCTTCTTGAAGACCTGGACGATGTTGGCGGCCGAGCGCTCCTGGGCGATCAGGACCTTTTCGGAGCCGTTGATGATAAAGTAGCCGCCCTGGTCGTAGGGGCACTCGTTGAGCAGAAACAGGCCCTCCTCGTCCTCGGTGGCCAGGTGGCAGATCTTGGAGCGCACCATAATGGGCAGGCGGCCCATGAACACCATGTCCTTCATGTCCTCGTCCGTCTTGTCCTTTTCCACGTCGGCCACCTCGGCGGCCTCCTCCTCCCAGACGATGCGCGTGGGCTGCTCGCCGGTCTGGTTCATCTCCTGAATCTGCTCTTCGTCGAGCTCGTCGTAGGGGATCTCCTCGTCGACGGCCAGCGACACCTTTTTGGTGATGCGCGCGTAGATGGGGCACGAGTAGGTCAGGTTGCGGTCGCGGCACTCGTAGGGCGTCAGCGTGGACACGCGGCCGTCGCCTTCGGCGAACTGCGGCTTGGACACCATGACGCTGCCAAACTTGATTTCATAGCGACGCAGCTTGACGGGGCGGTCGGAGGTGATGGGCGGGTTGCTCTGGTCGAGCGTCAAGAGGGAGTGCTCGTCGATGAGCGACTGGACCGTGGTGGTCGTAAACTCGTTGAAGGAATCGATCTGCTGCGAGACCAAGCTCTTCTTCTCAAAGTAGGACGAGATGACCTTCCAGCAGTCTTCGGGCGTGATGCTCTCGTCGCCCTCGCCCTCGCCGTCGACAATGTCGTCGTACTCGTAACCGTCGTCGTAGTCAGCCATGATGAGGGTGTGGTCGGAAGATGAAAATGGGAGGTGGTAGGAAAGATGGCGGGTCGATGCAAAAGTGAAAAGAAGCAGAAATCAACGATTTTCACCGCAAAAGCGAATGGGTCGGAAGCGTCGGGCGCGGCGACGAGCAAGGGGCCGGTGGCAGTCGAGCAACGGCACACAGGGCAAGAAGACACAGAGTCGAATCGATGGACGCGGACAGCGAAGCAGACGGGAGTCGGCCCGCAGATCTGGGCCAGGCGAAGCGACCGCGACGCGTTTCTGCTCTCCCCAGCTGTCGAGATCAGCGCATGCAGGGCGGGCGGCGCAACGCGGAAAAGAGAGAAAACGAATCGAACACAACGAATGGCGAGACGGCAAGGAACGGGCAAAGGCGTGTCGTCGAGGGCGAGACCGCGTGGTGGCAGCAGTGCGGTGGTCGACAGAAAACTCGTGATGGCAACAAAGTGGATGTAGAAGACAAAGAGGCTTTTGAGCCACATCGATGTCCCTTGGTCGCCCCTGCCTTATTTTCCCTTTTTTGTCTCGACTCGCCAGAGAGGCTGCTAGAAAGCTAGGGGGCAACACGGCAAAACAGAGCGCTAGGCCGGACATGGTGTAGGTCGCTCCTGCCTGCGCATGGGTCCGAGTTGTGCTTAGAAATTGAAGTGCACGTGACTCAAGGAAATGATGTGCACGTGACCAAAGGGAACACCTCAGGACTTACGTAATCCGCCAACTATCCCAATGCGTCGTAGCGTGCGATGACTGTGGAGAATTGGAGGACGTTCTTTCGGACAACGACAGCTTCGTACCAGCATCACCAACACGAAAGCAACAGCATCACTCCCACCCTTGGAGCAAATGGCACAATTTCCGAAAAGAGCAACAATTTGCCCCTACGTGCCCCCCTGAAATGATTCATCCTTTGTGAGAGTCGCTCCGTGGCCCGTTGCAAGTGCAAGCTACTCATCATCGTTGCAAACTCAGGGAGAACAACAAATATGCAACCAGAAAACGACCATCCAACAGCTCGCCGCACACCCTGCTCGCTCTGCCGACGCTTGATGAGATGCATCTGATGTCACTTTGCCGTGCAGCGACGAGGGGAGGGGACTGGACCAGGCCCATTGCACGCCCGCCCCCAACGGCCGTGCGGCTTGTCTTTGAACGGCTGTCCAATGCGGGAACAATGCTAAGGCTAAGCATGGAGAACAATACCAACGCCGCGGCGCTGCATCGCCGCGCCGGCCTATCATTTCTCGGCGACCAGGCAAGGGCAGGGCAGTCCGCGCTTGTCAGTCGGTTGCTGCAGACATTCGGCACATCTTTTGCCCTTTTGTCGTTTGTCGTTTTTTGTTGCTTTGTTGCTTTTCTATTTTTGCCGTCGTCCGGTTTCTGTGTCTCTTCCTCGTCACTTGTCTCTTGTCTCTTGCCTACCCCCCCTTCCCGTGGCTTTCATTGAAGAGTCTCGCCCTTGGTATTGTTGCCAGTGATGCCCACGGCCACCGTCGCTTTTCACTTTCGATAGCGTCGCCACCTCTTCTCTTCCTAGGCGAAGACGTGACATCCTTCAGCTTCACGGCCCTTATCTCTTGCCAAGGGGGGCCGGGGCCAGAATGGGCTACGCAGAGCATTCTTCCCATTCAGTGAAACGCTCACCGGAGGTATCCTGCAACAGACAACTGACAACAATCGAAAAGGAGCCGGCAGAGCAGCAAGGACGAGAACAGGACGAGCAGCATCGCCTCCTTGTTGACGCTTTAAATACGAGAGTGTATGGCGTCTTGTCTGTTGGCCGTTTTGTTATTTCTTGTCTCGCTATTCTCTCGTCTTTCTTGTCTCTCGTCGGCAACAACTGCAACTACCGTCTCTCCCTTACCTGTCTTTCGGTTGGTGCTTCGTTGGAGCTGACAAGTTGTCCGCTTTCTCATATCACTTGTTTCCCTCGTCTTCATCTTCCGTCTTTTTCCTCGCCCGTTCTTTGACGTATATCACCATCCAGCTTTTACCATCTTTCTTCTTTACCTTTCGTTTTCAATATTTTTGCTTCTCTCTCTCGCAGGAGGTCTTGCCATTCCATACCATCACCACCCGAAGCCAGGCTTTGATTTTTCCACGTCATCAACTTGCCATCTTGCAGATATTGTCCCCCGTCTCCTGTTCCCATCTCCACGTTCCTCATGGCCTCTTCTGCTCCCCCCGCGGCCGGCCCGGCCTCGTCCCCCTTTGACCCCTTCAACCAGACGTTCTATCTCACGGGCCCCGACAACACGACCGTCCCCGTTTCGGTGCCCCAAGTCGACTACATCTGGCACTACCTCATCGGCACGAGCATCAACTATGGCAGCCAGATTGGCGCCTGTCTCCTCATGCTGCTCGTCATGCTGACCCTGACGTCCAAGTCGCGCTTCTCGCGCGCCGCCACCCTCATCAACGTCGCCTCTCTGTTGATTGGCGTGATCCGCTGCGTGCTGCTCGCAGTGTACTTTACGTCGTCGCTGACGGAGTTCTACACCCTCTTCGTCGGCGACTACAGCCAGGTGCGGCGCTCGGACTTGTGCGTCTCGGCCGTGGCCACCTTCTTCTCGCTGCCCCAGCTGGTCCTGATCGAGGCCGCGCTGTTCTTGCAGGCCTACTCGATGATCAAGATGTGGCCGTCCTTGTGGCGCGCCGTGGTCTTGGCCATGTCCGTGGTCGTCGCCGTGTGCGCCATTGGCTTCAAGTTCGCGTCGGTGGTGATGCGCATGCGCGCGACCCTGAACTTGGACGACTCCCTCGATTTCTGGCTCGTCGAGGTCGACCTTGCCTTCACGGCCACAACCATCTTCTGGTTCTGCTTCATCTTTATCATCCGGCTCGTCATCCACATGTGGGAGTACCGCAGCATCCTTCCGCCCATGGGTAGCGTGTCCGCCATGGAGGTGCTCGTCATGACCAACGGTGTCCTGATGCTGGTGCCGGGTAGGTTTTGTTCTTTTCGGCGATGCTTTTCCCTCTACGTATCTGTCTATTGACGTACCGCTGCTAACAACATAGTCATCTTCGCTGCGATCGAGATCAACGGGCTCTCGTCGTTCGAGTCTGGTTCGCTCGTCTATACGTCCGTCATTGTCCTGCTGCCTCTTGGCTCGCTCATCGCCCAGGCCATGACGCGCCCCGACGGCTACGTCCAGCGCACAAACACCAGTGGTGCCAGCGGCGCGTCCGGCGCCCACCCTGGCCGCAATGGTAGCGGCCATGGTGGTCACGGCGGCGCCTACAGCCGTGCCATGACCAACACGCTCAACACGCTCGACACGCTCGACACCGTGGACAGCAAGATAGGCATCATGCACCACCACCACCACCACAGAAACCACAGCAACGGCATGAGCAAGAACAATGCCAACTCCGGTACCTGGTCGCACGCGTCGGACGCTAACAGCACCAACGCCATGATCGCGGGCGGCATTGCCACGCAGGTCCGCATCCAGGCCAACCAGTCCAGCCTGGGCAATGCGGGCATGTCTGGCGGATCTGGGGCGCCCAACAGCCACACACGCAACAACAGCCTGGCCGCCATGGACCCCGTTGAGAAGCAGCTGCATGACATTGATGCAACACCGCTGTCGGCAAGCGATTGCCGCGTGTGGGTCGACCGCGAGGTGGAAGTGCGGCGGGACATGGTGTGATGGCAAGGGTGTGAGTGTCGATGCGGTCCTACATAGTGTCGAACAGACTGCCGGACAGACTGTCGGGTTGGTGTCGACAGGTTGGATGTAATGGGAGCCACAGTGCCTGTTGGCTCTCTGGTCTGTTTTTGTCTTCTTTTCTTCATCAAATTGACCCAATGAGCGAGTCATGGCTGCAAGATGATGCCAGCTTCCTTTTAGTTTGTTTTCTCTTCTTCGTTTTGTTTATCAAACTTTTTAAACGACTTTTATTCTCGGAAATGTAGGGCCGAATTTCGGCCGTATTTACTATCAAGAACCTTTTTTACATAATCTCCCCGAAAACGTCTCTATTACTGTGTATTATTGAATAAAATGACAAAATATGAATGTATAATGAGAAACACATAGTGAATCGTTGTTAAACAATCGCAGCAAAGAAACTAACATGAGGCTCACCCTTCTGCGAAAGACTATATAAACCCTAGAAGCAGACAAATTGTCGCCACGTCGCTATTGGCCACAAGTTTTCTGTGCTCAATGCTACTGTTGCAAGGCCGCTTGGCGCAATGGTAGCGCGCGGTCCTCCTATTTTGTCCCGACCATAGGGCAAAATCCGGGGGGTTTAGACCGAGGTTGCGGGTTCGAGTCCCGTAGTGGTCGTTGTTTTTTGTCGAGTCTGAAGTACCTTTTTTTTCTTTCTCTTTTTTTTTTTTTTTCTTTAGCATTCTCTCATTCTCGTCGTGATGTTTTCGTATGATCGTTCTACATGTTTATTTTATTACACGCTTGAATTCTTTTTTTGCTGCTTTTGGAGTGTGTCAAAGCCGCGAATATAGGTACAAATGCGGCCGCCAAAACGCCCTGTAAATGCGAAGAATCAGGAACCTCGGATCAACCAAACTCACTCTTCCCTCACCCTTCCTCTCTCTTCTTCCTCTCCTATTTTGCCAAGAACTTCTGGAATGCGCCGTGGTCAATCGTCACATTGCCCACAGCCGTCAGCCGCTTGCGACCTGCCTTTTGCTTCTCCAGCAGCTTCCGGCGGCGCGTAATGTCCGAGGCGTGCAGCTTGGCCAAGACGTCCTTGCGGAACGGCTTGATGGTCTCGCGGGCGACGACGCGCTTGCCCGTGGCGGCCTGGATGATGACCTCGAACATCTGCCGGTCGACGTGCTCCTTGAACTTGGTGACCCACTGGCGGCCGACGCGGTCGATTTGCGAGCGGTGCATGACGCGGCCGATGGCGTCGACGGGCTGCTTGTTGACGAGCAGCTGCAGCTTGACCAGGTCGCTCGAGCGCCAGCCGGCGTCCTCGTAGTCGAGCGTCGCGTAGCCGCGCGAGGCGCCCTTGAGCTTGCCAAAAAGGTCGTCCACCAAGGCCATCGCCGACAGCGCGTACTTGAGGATCACTTGGATGCTGGCCGTGGACGCCGTATTGGGCGTGGTGACGGTTGCGCTGTCTGTCGTCGTCGTCGTTGTTGTTGTTGTCTTCGTCGTCGCCGTCGTCGCCGAATCCGCCGTGGCGAGAGACGCCGCCCCCGTTCCCATAAAATCAATGCTCTTCTGCTCGCCGCGGCTGGCCTCACACACCGTAATCACCCGCCCCAGGTACTCCTCGGGCACCGTGATGGTCGCGTTCACAAACGGCTCAAAGTACTCGGCACCGCGCGTGCGCCCAGCGTCGTCGGCGTCCGGGAACTCGGCCGCGCTCGTCAGTACCTTCTCCGTGCCGTCGCGCATCCGCATCTTGACCGGCACGGCCGGCTCCGTGATGATGACGCTTGCGCCATGCTCCTGGCGCAGCCGGTCCTGGAACACCGAGCAGTGCAGGCTGCCCAAGAAGCCGAGCCGCCAACCCGCGCCCAGCGCCTCCGAGTGGTCCTTTTGCAGCGTGATGCTGCGGTCGTTGAGCACCAGCTGGCTGATGCTCTCGGCCAGCCGGGCGTGGTCGCCCTGGTCCGTCGGGAACGCCGCCACGAACACCATGGGCTTGGGCTCCTCAAAGCCCGGGTACGGCTCGACAATGCCCTCGTTGCCCACCGTCGTCAGCGTGTCGCCAATCTTGGCGTCCTGGATCTTCTTCATGCCCGGGTTGAAGTACAGGTACCCGACCTGGCCGGCCCGCAGCGTCGGCTGCGCCACGCCGTCCGGGTACTGGATGCCCACCTCGCCCACCGTGTACTTGCGGTTCGTCTGCATCGAGACGACCTGGTCGCCCGCCTTGACGGTGCCCGCAAACACGCGCACCAGCAGCACGACGCCGCGGAACGTGTCGTACCACGAGTCCACCAGCAGGATGCGCGGCGGCGCCGATGCGTCGCCCTCGGGCGCCGGGATCCGCTCAATCACCGCCGGCAGGAGCGCCTCGACGTTTTTGCCCGTCTTGGCGCTGACCAGCACCGCGCATCCGTTGCTGTTGTCCTCGTCCACGTCCAGCTCAAACGTGTCGCGCAGCTGCCGCAGCGCCCGCGGCACGTCGGCCGTCGGCAGGTCCACCTTGTTGACGACGGGGATCAGCCCCAGCCCCTGCGCGAAGGCGTGGTAAAAGTTGGCCACCGTCTGCGCCTGCACGCCCTGCGAGGCGTCCACCAGCAGCAGCGCGCCGCCGCAGCTGGCATACGAGCGCGTGACCTCGGCGCGGAAGTCGACGTGGCCTGGCGTGTCGACGAGGTGCAGCAGGTAGTCCAGACCCTTGTGCCGGTAGATCATGGTGCACGTCTGCGCCTTGACCGTGATGCCCCGCTCGCGCTCCACGTCCAGCTTGTCCAGAATCTGCTTGTTGCCGTCGCCCGGCAGGATCGTGCCGGTGATCTCGAGCAGCCGGTCGCTGAGTGTGCTCTTGCCGTGGTCAATGTGCGCCACAATGCAAAAGTTGCGAAACCGCTCGATCGGGATGGCCGCGATGCGTCGCTCAATGTCCGCCGGGTTCTTGCTCACGCGCGGCTGTTTCGACGAGTAAGAGACGGCAGGTAGTGTTGTGGAAGAAGCATTCGGAGTAGCCGTAGAGGCCGTCGAGGTCGTCGAAGCCGCGTTGACTGTGGCTGCAAAGGTGCGTCGAGGGTGCCGTATGGACGTTGTCCGCTCGGCTGTCCGTGGGCGCGCCGTTGTGGACGTGCGACGGCTGATGTCATAAGAGAGCACCATTGTACTGCTGTATCTGCTCCCGGCGTCTCTGCTGGTCCTGGCGCTCCCTGCGCACGACCGGCCGCGAAGGACCGTTGCGCCGGGACGCAGCAGCCGAAGACATGGCTGCATGTGGTCTCCGAGAGGAGGGGGTATGTAGAGTCCCCCGCGCACGGTCCGATCGGAATTTGGCTCAAGTTTGCCAGAGGACGAAGTCGATGGTGAATTGGCGTAGGTGCGAGAAGGCGTGTCAAGAATATGCGTGAAGACCAATTGCCGACAGATATCGCGAGGTTCGGGCGGATTGAGGCCCGAGAATTTACGCCCTAGAGAGTCTTATCTTATCGGACCGTGCGGTTCCAAAGAGCGCTAAACATGCTCTATATTACGGGGGACGACAAGGCACAAGAGCGCTAAAACAAGTCAGGCTTGACGCTACCCAATATTTGTCGACTTTTGTTATCCAAAAATATCGTCTGCTGTTCGCACAAGGAATATATATATTGCACTCGCTCTCCAAGATAAAAAAAGATAACAAGGTATAAACGCGAAACAAAATTGCGCATGGCGACATGACATGGCGACGTCTAATACAGCCGTTACAGAGAAACATAACAGAAAGCAGCAGCAACGCGCAGAAATGAACCAGACGGAATATAAACGATATGTTCAGGGAAAAGAGAAGGAAGAGGCAGCGGTAGAAGGAATGGAGGAATAAACTGCTACAAGAGCATACACATATAGAACAAAACCGGTACATCATATATACATGCCAGAATGCAAATGTGGACATCAAGGTTATACATAAATCAGAGACGACGAGGAAGGCGTCACGCCATCACCCATTCACTGCCACGCTTGATAAACTTCTCAAGCAGCAGCGACACGTCCGAAAGCACAAAGCGGCAAATGAAGAAGGCGAAGAACTCGGCCGCGTGCCGCGTGCACAGCTCCAGGCCGACCTGCGTCTTGTCTGCGTGCCGCAGGCCGGGGTCCTCGACTTGGCGCGCGATCTGGTCGATGGACTGTGCCGCGTCAAACAACCGTGCGAGCGAGTTCATGTACACGGCATTCGGCCCGCCGAACTTGGCCGACGACACGTCGCGCTTGGCAGGCCGGCGCGTGGGCTGGGCCGTCATCGGGAGACTCGCGAGCGGGCCGCCATCTTTGCTGCCACCGGCACCGCCCGCACCGCTGGCATCCGACACGCTCTCTTTGCGGCCGCCCGACGTGTTGTAGTTGCTGTTCAGCCCTGCCGACGAGTTCTTGGACCGCAGCCGGCGCCACGAAAACGACCGCGATCCCGACTGGCCCGAGACGCTCGACGTGCGCGGCACGGCACTGCCGCCACCACCACCTGCCCCGCCGTTGGCGTCCGCGTCGATAACCACGGACGCCTCTTTGAACAGGGCACTGGCGCTCTGGACGCCGACCTCGTTGCCGAGCTTGCGGGCAAGCGTAGTCTGGGTCTGTTCCAGTACGTTCTCGAGCGCCTGCATTTCTTCCAAGACAGCGTCGGCATCGCAGGTGTCGACCTGAGCGAGCTTCATGAGCGCCGACGTCAAGAAATCGCAATTTGCAACCTTTTCGTCAACGTTCTTGAGGCGCACGCCCTTGACTTTCCATACGTCGCTGGGCACAAAGAGCTTGTTGCTGAGGTAGCCACCGCGGGGGTGGACAAGCGTTTGGTAGAGACAGCGCATGAGCCAAAAGGGCCGCAGCATCGTATCGGTCGGGCACGGCTCCAGCGGCACGGGGGCGTCCGAGTACATGGGATTGGGCGACCCGGGCGTGCTGGGCGAGTGGAAGTCGTTATCCAGCAGGTGCATGCCGCCGACGCCACTGGCAGCGATGAAGATACGGTCCTTAAACGTGGCTGCGTTCGGCGTAGGCAGTGTAGGCATGTCGGGCAGGCGTGTATTGGAGAACTGGGTGGTCAGCGGTGTACTCGGCGACATGTCGCCGTCCAGGTTGGTCAACGACATGTTGCGGCTGCGCAGGCTGCGAAGACTGGACGACGAGAAGTTCTTGCGTAGGCCGGGCCGTCCTGCAGACGGCGAGCCGGAGCGTCCATCGTTGTCGAAGCCCTGAGGGATGGGTGGTGTGGGTGGCGGGAAGTTTGGCGGTGGCATGGTTTCGACTGGGCTGGCACCAAAAAACATGGTGTTGCCTGCACCTGGTGACGGCGTCGGGGCGGCCGGTCGGCCAGCCGCGCCCGCGGCACTGGACCCTGGACGGCTCTGACTGGCGCCAGGTAGGGCTGGTGGCCCCCCGGGCGCCGTCGACAGTGCTTGCCGTTGTTGCACAAGGAAGCCTGCGGTGCGTGGCTGCTGGGGCAGTGGGGGGGCGGCGAAGGCGGGCAATGTGGACGAGGCGGCGTTGTTAGCCGTGGTCGCGGGACCTGTCGCGGACGGCGGGCTCAGCTTGGTCGTTTCAATCTTGAGCTGCTTCATGTTCTGGCCCGACAGTCGTCGATTGCGGACGCTCTGCGCGCTGCCGGCGCGTACGGGACTCGTCTGGGCGGTTGACGGGCGGCCCGGTGGGGGCATCTGGGGCGGTAGCGACGGAAGCGCTTGTGTCGGTGGTGGTGGTGGCGGTGGGGGCATGCCCTTGGGAACCATTCCGGGCGGCAGAACCGTGCTTTCGGACACAGTCGAGAGAACTGTGTTGGCAGTAGGCGGATTGGAGGCCATGGAGCTATGCCAGGTGCGCGAGGTAAACTCGCTTGAATCAGACTCGCGTGGCGGCGGCGGCTTGATGGCGGACTTCTGTTTGAGACCAAACGTAAAGTCTTCGATGGCTAGGCCACTGGTCATTTCCTCGAGAATACGCTCCTCGTCGTCTGAGTCGACGTCCTCGTCGTCCAGAAAGTCGCGCGGCGTCCGGCGTTCCACCTGCCCCTCCTCCTCTTCCTGTTGCTGTTGAAGCATCAGCTGTTCGCGGAGGCGCAACTGGCGCTCAAGGGCAATGGCCTCGCGCTCTGTCTCTCGCACGCGCTCCTTGGCCAGCTCTACCTTGCGTAAACTCTTGGACACCCTTGCATCGCCGTTGCCGTAGCTCTTGTAGTTATTTTGCGACGATGCTGGGTATGTCGGGTCCGAATTCATGGGTTCGTAGCCGTCGTTGTAGGCAGCCTCAATCGCATCGTCGAGAGCGGCATCAAACTCGGCTTCTGTGGCGCCGCTGGCCGCACGAATGTGTTTCCTCCGGATAACCATTGAAGACGACCGGGAGTGAACTGACGAGGCTGCCGAGCTGCCGGATTCGTGGATGGGGTCCAACCAAGATACCGACTCGTGGCTTCCTGTCCTGGTGTGTCCATAGGCAGCGTGTGTGGCATCATCGTTGTTTGCATTGGCGCTGCCTGGGCGCAGGGTGGAGCCGTAGTGCGCAGATGGGAGCGTTTCTTCGTCGGGGTTGTAGCGGTAGGAGGTAGGCGCATCCTCAAAAGGGCGTGATGGCGGTACAATCCGCCTCGGCGAGAGGGGAGGGGGCATGTACTGGTTGGCACTGGGTGGTGGTTGTAATGTCGACGCCTGGCTCGTTGCAATTGGCTTCGTGTTTAAGTTGCGAGGTGGGATGAACTCTTTTCTTGGCGAGCGCGAGAACGTCGACTGCAGGGTGTACTGGTCCTTGAGCAGAGAGGAAACGTGTTGTTGTGGGTGCTGCTCGTTGGCCGAATTGGGGAAACCAGACTGCATTGGTCTTGGTGATGAGGACGACTGCGGAATGGAGTAGCCTGGTATGGAGCGCGGTTCGGCTTGCCGCTGTTGCTCGCTGTCGGTGTTGTATATGCCGGACATCTGGGCCAGGTCCTCATCGGGCTCTACGGCAGTATCCGAGTCGACATCAATAGCGCCCGGATAGACCTCAGAACTGCGCCGGCCACGATCACTACTGCTCGAGGGTCGTTGAGGCAATGGCCGAGTGTCCTGACTTTGTGTTGAGGCGATAAGATCGAGTTCTTCGATCCGCGCTGTATATGTAATTTTCTGTGAATGGTAAGTGATTGAATATCAAATCAGATGCCAGGACCGAGAGACCGTGGGCTGTACTCACAATAGCTTCTAGCTTGCGTTTGTCCTCTTCACCGGGAGTCTTAAGTAGGACTTGCGTCAGAAGCCTGCATGCCTCGGAGTAGGCTTCTCGCGCGCCTTCAATGTTGCCGGCGTTGTCGAGCTGGACGGCGGTGTTTGCTTTTTGAAGGGCGCGCGAGAGCATGGCCTTTTGTGACGGCGGCTTGCTGCTCCGGTCCTTGTTGCTCTTGGTGGAGTCTGTGCTTCCATTGGGGGCTTGTGAGCGACTGCGCGTGTAGCCGCGTGAGGACACTGCCTCAGGTTGGTCGCGGCTGTACATTGTGGTGGAGAGGGGGCCGACGGCGGTCGTGGTGGTGGTGAGCTCTCCTAGATAGAACGCCTGCAGGTTATCCTCGGAGCTGAGCTGGCGAGCGTGGGGTAGACGTTGCTGCCGGTCCTCGATGGAAAGAGATGCCGTTCCGCCTTGGACCTCCTGCTCGAGTGATGGAAGGGCAATGATGGGTGGGAGGCTGGTAAAGAGTGCAGCGGAGCGGAGCGGCGAGCCGCGGTCGCGGAGAGGGGAACCGCTGTTGGACGTGCCCGACTGGCTCTTTTGCAACTTGCGCGGTGTCGATTGCTGCGTTCGTTCAGGGGATGGAGTGGTTGTGGGCTCAAATTGAGAAATGCGAAACGAAGAGCCGAGAGAATCGACGCTCAGGCGGCGACTGAAGCTGGCCGAGCGCTGGTGGCGGTGGTAGAGCTGGTGGCTGCCGGCAATGGAGGCACGGCTGGAAGCAGCGGTGGAGGCGGACCAGCGGTTGTTGAGGCGTGCTAGGTCAGGGGCGACGCCGCCGACACTGTTGGAACGCGACGGACGATGATTCGACGATGATGCGGCTGTTGTCGTGGCGGGGTCATTGAGGGTGCCGTACGGTGCGACGGCGGCCGTAGAAGCCGCAGGACGATTCGGAGCAGTCGCGCCGCCGACGTTGACGGCGTTGGCGTGGACGGTGCTGTTTCCGTTGGTGATGGGGACGGTTTTGGCGACAACGCGCGCGGGCGGAAGAAGCGACGAGGTGCGAGGGAGGGAGGCTGCGGAAAAGGGCGCGGGGGCGGCGGGCGTGGTGCGCTGGCGGAAGGAGAGGGGATGCAAGTCCGAGTCTGCAAAGGTATCGACAGGTGCAGCGGAGGGAATGGCAGCGGCCGGCGAGACAAAGGCCGAGGAGATGTGGGCCTGGGCTCTGGCGCCGGTTCTGGATGTTGCCGTCAAGTCACGGTCGGACGGGGTGTTGTAGGAGTTTGAGTTGTAGTAGGCGTGTGCGTGGGAATTGGAATCCAGTCTGGCGCTGGGTATGGCGTTGGAAACGGTGATCGGCGCAGACACGAGGGGGAAAAGGGGCAGGGGCCCAGTAGCGGTAGGATGGCCCAAGTGAGCGACGGCATGCGAGGACGTCGTGGATGACGGGTTTGAGATGGCAGACGAGGCGAAGGCAATGTGCGGTGCAGGCATTGCTCCTGTCTCGCGGGGCAGAAAAAAGAAGAAACGGACGAGGGTCGTGGCCGTGGCCGTTGTCGTCGTCGTGGTTCACTTTGCAGGCGGTCAGGGATTCTCGTGGAGCGCCCTTTTGGCGGACATACTAGTGAAGGAGGAGACGAGGGAGGGATTCATGCACTGGTCGGTGGTCTTTTGTTTGGCGGAAGAGACGGGCCCTGGCAATATTCAAGGTCGCATGGACTGAGTAGCGTCGTGGCCAGCGAAATCCGAGAAATTCGAGAGCTTTGAGGAATTCGAAATCAGGAGAACACAACACGGGCAGCCGAGCCGGATCGCCTAGTCGGCTGCTGGGTGCTTTTTTCGAGGTGGGCAAAAAAGGGGAACTCTGCGCGTGGCAGGGCTTTCAATCAGCCGGAAAGGTGCGACAGCCACGACAACCACGACAACCACGACAAAATTGGCAGACAGCACAGACGCAGCGTTCGGCTCGAGCGACTCTTGTTTCTCGTGGTCGTTTCCTCTGTCGACCGACAGTCTTGAACAATCGAGGAAACGATGGACGGACAGACGACGAGGGTCTTCCTGGGGTTTGCGTGTCTCGCTACACAGTACTTCGTGCGTCGTCTTGAATGACCCTTTTCTTAGCCCCTGTGTATTCCCTCTTTAGGCCAATTCGATTTTGGGTCCGGCCAAGGCGAAGGGCCCGTCATGACCCCTAGTTGGAAAGGTTGGGGAGGGATGGAAGGGTGGAAGGGTGGAAGGGGTGGAGGGCATGGAAAGAGTGGAGAAGGCGACCGTCTTTTGTCGATGTCACAGCAGAGTCAGGGGTTGTGTGGTGTGGTGGTGGTGCCGCCGGTGACTTTCTGGGGGCAGATTGCTCTGAAGGAGATTGGAGGCGTGGAAACAACGTGATGAGCAGACGATGAGCGAGGAAGATGCTCCTTTTGCGCGCAGACTGCACGACACCTGCGATCTGCAGCTACATCGTAGAACGGTTAGCGCTTGCTTCCTCGGTGGATTTTTTGCGTCTTGCTTGTCTTCTTTTCTGTCCCTGGCTCGCGTCCGTACTCTTCCTTTTTGCTTTCGTTTTTGCAATTCCCTCAGGTTGGGCCTGCTTCGTTCCTTTTCTGCGCCTCGAATTTTTCTTTTCTGTTTCCTTTTTCTTTTCTCACAGTGTCCATTTTCACCGATTGTCTCCCTCCGTGTCTCTCGACTCCTCCTGTCGTGACCGGCTCTCGTCTCTTATGTGGAGTCGTGTCGATGGATCTTTTGACATTGGGGCTACCTCACATATTTGGTTAGCTGTGCTGACCTTTGACGTGGTACTCGTGAGTCTATTGGCATCGGTCAAAGGCTGGCCAATGAGGCCGTACATGGCTCGCTGACAATTTCGACTGGACAATTGGGAAATGGAAGCAAAAATGCGGTCGCCCTCTGAATGGCTCCAACCGTGCGGTTTGTCTGACGCAGATCTCACGAGCTGACTGCGCTACGCTGTCCAGACGCGTATCTTGTTTCTGCGTAGTTTTGATTCGAGCTGTATTAAGCTGCTCGAGTTAGCTGTTGCCTCTTCTTTCAGCTGTTGTCTGGCCTCCTTCACTGCTACCTTTGCTCTTCACACAATCTTCTGTTGCCCTTGTTTTCGCTCGGCCATTTGCAAATAGTGTCTCTGTTGAGGTCCAGCGAGCTGGACTTTGACGAACAAGTCACAAGCAGTTTTGCTGCTCGGCTCTGTTTTCGTGTCCCCTGCGCACAATCTGTCCACGGCACTGACCTCACCTGGCCTGGGGAGGCCCTTGTAGATCGCATGCGGTGGAACAAATGTCGACAATTCCTGCATGCAAAATGCAGTGCGACCGCTGCGAAGGCCCTGCCCCGAATACTGATGCAGTCAATGCTGCATAGACAAACATGTCGAGGAAGGCCTGGCAGCATGAACGATGTTCGTGGCCCGCCACGGAGTCGCACCTCGAGGGCAAAGAGACGAGCACGACGTGATGAGTGCCGAGAAGAGCATATCGCATTTGTTGTCACGACTTTGGCATTTCGGCTTCTCCTTTTGGGACTACATCTAGCCTCGCCACCCGCACCTTCCTTGACTTGTTCCTTTCTACGCCTGTCGCGCTTGCCTTCATTGTCGTTGTCGAGAGGTACAGTGTACCAGTGTACCTTCCTTAGACGAGTCTCGCTCAGCGAAGATGGCCCTGCGCTCCTTCTCTTCTTGTTGCAAATTAAGAAGAAGAAAAAGCCTCGGGAAGGAGCGATCGCCAACCTTTGCAAGAGGGAAGGACGGTATTTTCGCGTTCGCCTTATCCCTATCCAACTCTTTTCGATGGCACGAGGATGACTGAGCACGATTCCCCATGTTAGCACACCGACCAGGCTGCAGTCGAGCCTTGGCCGCTTTGTACGGAGTAAACAAAGAGGCAACGGTGGATGTTAGTGTCGCTTTAACGACGAAAGCAATTACACTTGCGAAAATTGCGAAAATAGTGGCAGGCACGGATGATATCGATTCAGGGGAAAGAGGGGCTCTTTCCTAATTTGCTCTTCACTCTCCAGCCCTCCGGGCCTCTTTGCCATTTAGCGTGCCTGCCCTGGAGAGGCGCGTTGTCAGGAGCGCCTTCTCGTCACGACGATCTGGAGTTCCGGAGTAATACTGAGTACGACCCATTCGAATGTATGTCGTGCGCCTTTCCTTTTTCTTCTCTTGGCTGCTTGTTGGCACTTTTGCCTTTCCACACGAAACGTAGCATTCGAATCACGCAACCCATCGAACATTCGCCAGAGGCTTCCAATCCTTCTGGCGCCGAAACTGGATCCTGTCAGAGGGACCTGTTAGCCTGTATTTCGACCCACGCTGGCTGACAAAGTCGCGATGCATCTTCACGTCTTATCATCCTCCTATCTTTGGCTGCCTTCATACTAGGTTTGTTTCTGTGTCTTGTTTCCGTTTCGTCTTTTCTGACCCCTCTTCAACTCGTTTCCGTCGCTTTTTTCCTTCCCAAGCGGCTGGCTCCGTAATGTTGGACCCCCAGTCAAAGTCCACGTCAAAGGAGCAAATCCTATCCCGTCCAGTTTTGCACGGCGGTTTGCCGACCTCTCCAAACACAAGTCGTTTCATGCAGCTCACCACCTCCTGCGACATGGGCCGCACGCGAGATAAGAAGAAAGGACGAAAAAAGGCACGACTAGAAAGCGAACAAGGAAGCAAGAAGCGTAAGCGAGTGCAAATTGCTTTTGCAAGCAAAGCAGCCGTGATGTTTGGTCCGGATTTGTACAATCTGCTTTTTCTGTTTTTTCTGCTTTTTTATGGGTAAGACGGTAACGTTTCTTCAAACAAAACAGGTCTTGATATCGGCCTTTTCTCAGACACATTTCGCAGTCTTCTTCAACTTGCTTTCTTTTGAAGTGATTCAGCGGCTGAAAAGGGGGAATTGAGACAACCGAGACGGGCGGTGACTGCTGGATGGGCCGAAATGGCTGTCAACAGTACAGAGGAGAGAGGCCGTCCATCACCAACGATGGAAGATGTGCACGTACGAGTGCACTGAGTGGTCGGTGATCAACATGGAGTGTCTCTGATGAACGTCTGCACGCGCGCACGACCCAAGCCAAGAATCAAGAACAATGTCGAGCTCAGCATCGCACAGCCGTTTGTGAAGGGGGAAAGACGAGAAACGGCTGTCTCTGTTTGAGTCGTACCGGTTCTGTTTCAACGTATTCTAGAAACAGAGACACGGCACACAAGGCAAGGTGAAGAAGTAATCCAACATCGAAGTCTGGAACGCGCAGAAACAGCATAGACAGTGTCTTTACTGCAGCATGGAATAACCAAGCATTTCTTGTCCCGTCTTCACTAGTCGCCCCCCACCCCCACGGCTTGATCATCACGACGTCTGGATCGACGACTTGTGAAAATGATGTAACGTCGATCGCCACACTGCCACATCCTGCCACGACCCGACGAGCAGAGACGCGCTTCAGAGTATGTTAAATTTATTTGCTCGCTCGCGGCAAGGATGCCTTTCACGGGTACTGGGCGGACATAGGGCATGCTAGGGCATGACAAACATGGCACCCACGTCGGCGCTCACGCACTGCATCGTATGCGTTCTGCGTTGCAAGTACATTGCATATACACCATATGCACCATCGCGGTGGAGAGTTCTGGGGGAGTTTCAAATCCTAAACCCTCGCCTGACCGAGGGTTCCGCTGACTTTGTTGGAACCTCTGTCTGGGATTCCTCTGTTGTCGGCTCAGTATGCTGCCACAGCAGGTGGTGTTTCAACCACGGCGCCTATCGTCCTGTCTTTCTCCTGCTGCACTACACAGACGCGAGGCGAGACACAGTGCACCCTGAAAACGGTAATTTGAGCAGAGCCTTGTCTTGCGCTTTCGTTGTGTTTCTCTGATATTATCATCTTCCGAGTGTTCCAGTCGCCTCGCCGACGGACAAGTCGCGCAGGCGGTTGACAAAAACGGGACGAAATAGGAGCAGTGTTAAATTCTTCGGCTCCTATTAATTGCTCATGTTGTCGCCGCATCTTGTCTTATGCCGATGTTGGTATTAATATACAGGCCGCGGGCGGTGCCTTGTGCCCCGGAAACACGAGAGTACGCATTAAAACCAACGCACAGAGAAGGTGAGCGAAGATGGGACGAAAGTCAACGCCTCATATTGGCAAAATCTCGGTGCGACGGAAGACAATCACAAGGCAAGCCGGTGTCAATACCAAGCCACATAATACAATAAAATCTGTCAACTGTGGCTGTGGGTATATATGCCGCTATGGTGCAGCAAACGCCGGAACGCCTTGAAATGAACGCTGCTCTATGAAGAAAGACTTGTAAAGTCATGACACAACACGAATCAAGATCAAGTCTCGACCGGGAGTATCGATTTTGCCGTTGATGGCGTCGATGGCGACGATGGCGACGATGGGGATGATTCCGGCCCCATCGAGGAAGGGTTTGCAGAAACTTCTTTTGGGAGAGCTGTAGCCCCTGGTGGCGGATGCGGCCCTCGCGGGGCCATTGGGATGGCCTCCTCTACCTCGAATGGCGTCTTGACCAGGCGGAACTCGGCGGTCCGCAACAAGCGCTGCTGGTAGTACTCAAGCTGCGCGCCGCGCTGCGCTACTTCGTCCTGCAGACGCTGCACTTTGCGCTCGGCGGTCGCACATGCTGTGCTCTGGATGTTCTTTTGGAGGCGCAGGTCCTCGACGGCGCGGACCTGCGCAGCCAGCCGGCTCGCCTGGGCCTCCGTCTCCGTCTGGTGGCGCGCGGCCGCTTCCGCGATTTGGCGTTCCAGGTCGGCGGCCCGTTGCAACGACGCATTGTTTTTGTCGGAGAGCAGAGCCGTGACGCGGTACAGCTCGGCATCGCGAGCGGCGACGACGACGTCTTTTGCAACCAGCTGCTCCGTGAACTGCTCCTGCTGGGTGGCGTGCTCCTTGTTGCGCGTGGATGCGCAGCGGCGCTCGTCGTTGAGCTGGACGCGCAGGCGGGCGACCTGGCTCTCGAGCTCGACGCGACGGGTGCGTTCGGCATTGAGGGAGGCGAAGACGGCGGACGGGCTCGTCGACTCGTCGGGGAGGGTAGAACTGGTAGCTACGGACGGTTTGTCGGACAAGATGGTGGAGGGCGCAGTCACGGCAGTCGACCCGCGTTCTGTTTCGGCGTCATCGGGATTCCTGCCCACGTTTTGGGCCAGCCATAGCTGCTGCTCCTTGACATTCAGCCGGTGCATGAGATCGGCCTCGCGCATGGTCTGTTGGACCCGCTGCTTGGTCTTTGCTATCTCCATGCCGCTGATTATGAGGGAAAGCCTTCCATTCTCTTGGTTTTGGGCCTCGCACAGGTCGCACAGCTCTTCGATGCGGGCCTCAAGAGCCTGGATGCGGACGGTTTGATGCCCGCTGCTCCAGGGATTGTCCGTGTTGTTGTTGCCGCCCGTGTTGTTGCCGCTGCCCGGGGGGGATGCTACACGGCCGCCGCCAGTGTTTCGCGGTTTGCTGGTGCTCCCCCGGTGGAATATGTTGATGACGCTTGGGGCCATGTTGGCAGTGGTCTCTGGCGGACGACCAGAGGGCGCTTTGGTGTAAAGCTGGATGTCAGGATGTATGCATGTATGCTGGTTTTGGGTAGAAGTAGCCAGCCAGTTGAGGGAGGCGTGTATAGAGTTGTTCCTTCCCGTCTGTTGCGTTCAATATGGACAAGGCTCAGTTGCCGACATCTTTCCCATCCTTTTTGGATTGTGTCAACAGCAAGGCTCTCCACGTGATTTTCTCGTCATGCCGTATTGCGGGAAATAAACCGGGGAGCGCTTCATGCTTGATAGACGATGGCAAGTGCTGTAGAATCGGCAATGGCGAGGAGACGCCCCCAGGGCCCGTTGTTATCAGTTATGCCTAGCCGACGTCAGTGGGGCCAGGAGCTGCCCTTAGGCGGCGGCCACACCCGCCAATAATCATAGAAGGCTACTGCTGCGGCCCGGCGCTAGTCCCGAACGGGCGACTTACAGCGAATCCGAATCCAAACGACCAACTAACTGAAGTTTGCCTTGCCCACGAGTGACAACCATAACGCCTAGGCATCGAGTTTGAAATGAGGGGACAGCACTGCCACGTGGGTACTATACGAGAGAGAGAGAGACGGTATCACTCCGTACGCCGTGCTCTGGGGAAACAATCGTGGTATATTCTGCAAAGCAAATGGAGTATCGGCAAAAAGGAAATAAAACAAGAAAACAGCCAACATCCCAACAGCGGCACCAAAACGCCAGCTACTCTCGAAAGTAGAAGGTACAGAATAGTCTCAAAGCCGCACGCATCAGGCAGAATCATGACCTCCGCGCAATCGGGCCACAATGTGAATGGTGCTCTCGTTCATGATGCCGTAGTCGCGCACCGTCAGATTGCCGTTGAGCTGCTTGCCTGACCAGATGAAGCGCAGCCACTCAGTGTCCATGGACTTTTCCTCGGCGAGGCGGCGGAAAACGGCGCTCATGCGCGTGTCGATGCCGACGTCGCTGAGAACGAGCGACTTGCCGTCGAGGTCTTTGAAAAAGAGCGTTTTGAGGACGGGGACGCTGGGGGCCGCCGAAGAGGAGGAAGAGGCAGCCGTCGCTGGTGCTGGGACCGGCGCAGTCGCCTTTCGTGCTACCTGTACTGGAGCATCGGGTTCGACATTGTAGGGTGGCGGCGCTTCGACGACGGACCGGATAAAGTAGACGGTATCGCCCTGGACTGTTTGTTAGTAACTGTGTGAACTGAGAAATGAAACTCGCAACAAAACACGAGAGACTTACTTTATGGACACCGTAGTGGGACAGTGATTTGGACACTGCACGACATGGTTAGCAAACATGAAAACCACGGATCAATGTTTTGTGTGGCGACGAAAAATGGAGAGACTTACTATCTTCCATGACCTCACCGGCAAAGATGACTTGCATGGTCGACCAGCTGGCTGGGTTGTAGATGGCGTGCGCGATGCGGTGCCGAAGATCGCGCACGCTCTTGTCTGGGTCAAGGCCTTCGATGGCATGCGACTCGCCCTCGTTGGCCATCAGCTCTTCGGCAAAGATGATGGAGCCGCTGTAGGCCTCGAGCGCCTTTTGCTTGGCAGAAGACGTGCTGGTCATGGTCGTGGTTGTTTGTCGTGAGATTATGGCTGGCGATGTTGAAAGAAAGGATGCGGAAGTTGAGCCACTCGAAGTGGAAAGGAAAGGGAAAAGACAAGCAGCAAACAGGTCATGGCAGCCTTGTATATAAAAGACGCCTTGGTTGGAGCGCCTTGCGCCAAATATGGACCGTCGGTCAATGTGCATCCACTACAATGTGCAGTGCTCCGGGAGTCTGTCTGCGGACAGGCTCTCAAGGAAGAATGTCTCCAATTTCGACAGCCCCAACAAGCTTTGTGTGAGAAAATGGCTTGACCAAGATGCCAAGAAAAGGAGGTCCTCGAGCATAACGAGGCACATTCTCCAAAGTGGAGAGTGGGCTGTGCGGGTGAGAGGGGGGCCTACAGGTAAAGTGGTCGAAATAGTTTTGTATTAATGCCTTCGTTGTGCATGTTGTACTGTTGGACAGCCTTGTTTGGTCTGTTAGGAAATCCGTTTCAGGACGGTGAGGGAGCAGAGAAAATATTGTGTCCGTCGTGCTGCGTTAATCCGTTCCGCTGTAGGAGGGTCGGCTACCAGTGAATCGTCGAGGTGGGATGCTTCTTTTGTCCAATGATCCCATCCCGATTTCTTCTACCCACAGTCTGTCGACACGGGAATTTCCTCTAGATTTTATTTTCTAGGGATTCCCTAGGCCGTTGACTTTCGTCAAAAACAAAGAACGCAACAAAGAACGCAAAAAAGAGACGAAGGCAAACTCACCCCGCAAATGAACACCCGTGAGGCTGCTGTTGCAGCCCTCCTGCGACAAGGCTGGGCGCCAAAGTCGCAGGTGGCAGCAGGTGCAGCTTCGCCGACGTCTGTTCCAGCCGCACCAGTCGAACGGCAACAGTTGCAGCCTCACCCACAACCACCCATCGACATATCTCTACCGGACGATGAACTCACTTACTACTATGCAACAATTCCACAGACACCGGAACTGATAGCCTGGCCCATACCTGAGGATTCCTTCGTGTCCGGCCTGGCATGCGACTATTCCCTCGTCGATTGCTGGGACTCGACGTCCTTGGAGGACACCGCAGCTGTCCCGATCGCCTCGCCTGACTCGTCCGCCCCGTCGTCCAGTCGCGAGTCTCCAGGAAGCCTTGTGCAGTCGACGTCAAGCGAGACGACGGTCGAGAATGCGGAGTCAGCGGCGGCAAGGCACAACACTACGCCAAAGGAAGAGGAGGACATTGTGGCTGACGACGTCGACGACAGCGACCTCTTCACGCCAGTGCCGCCGTTTGAAATGCCCAGCTTTTCGAACACGCCCGCCCTCGCCACCCGGCCGACCATCCCGCCGTCTTTACACGACTGGATCATTTGCAGCGAAGTCGGCCTGCAGTGTATGCGACCGGCGCGGGGGCGCGTCATTTCTTGTGTTGCCTGTGGCCAGGATTGTGAGGACGGCGCGGGCACCGGTACCATCGACACAGAGCACGTCTTTCGGTCTACCTTTTGGCGCATGACCACCTGTCGCGCATCCCACCGGCCGCCGGAGGCCAACCATGTTCGAAGCGGCCTTTGCAAGCGCTGCGACAAGGACCATGTCTTGCAGGTCATCCGCGGCGAACACAAGTGCCGCCATGCGGGCTGCCGCCGTGTTCTTCGGGTGCATGTACTCGACGTCGAGGATACCCTCTGGGACCACCCAGGCCTGTGGACAGCGTTCCACGCGCTGATCCGGGCGCACAGCACATACGAGTGCGATATCCACGCCGATACCGTCGACAGCGACCCCCACACCGAGACCGACCTGACACCGGAGTGCGACCACGACCGCAACGTCTGTGGGCCGTGCCTCACCACGCTCTGCGAGGCGGCCATCCAGAGCGACCGCCTTGGCGACTTGGTCTGTCCCGAGCCCGCGTGCCGCAAACCGCTCAACCGCAACTCCATCCGCGACCTCGTGTCGGACGAAGCGCTGCGCCTGTACGACAAGAAGCTCGCCTTTATCGTCATGACCCGCAACCCCAACTTCCGCTGGTGCCGCTGCGGCCATGGCCAGATTCACGCCGGCGGCGAAGCGAAGCCCGAGTGGACCTGCGCGGCATGTTCGGCCCGCCACTGTTTTGTGTGCCAAGACGCCGATGTGGGCACCGTCTGCGAGCACCTCCGCCGCGTCGATGACGAGCGCGCGCTGGAGCGCCTGCGCGACGAGCACGAGCGCAGCCGCTTTGCCTCGTACGACATGCAACGGCAGCGGCAGCTGGCCGAACGAGCCGTTAGGACCCTGGCCCTTCAAGCCCACGAAAACAGCCGCGGCTCGCAGCTGGTCATTGCCACCACGGCGAAGCGCTGCCCCCGCGTGGGCTGCCGCGTACCCATCCAGCGGGATGCAGGCTGCGGGCACATGACGTGCCGGCGGTGCCTGACCGAGTTCTGCTGGGCGTGCAAGGTGATTTGGAAGGCGCCGGCCCGGCCGGGTGCGCGCGGCTCCGTCTTTGGCAGCTACGGGAGGCGCGGCCAGGGCCCGAGCTCCACGGTACTGATGCCGCTGCATTTGCCGACGTGTCGCTTTGGCTCACAACGCACCATTTCCCGTGACCGGATCGACCTGTCGGAGTATGCCACCGGCTGGGATGTTGATCTTGGGTACGACGAGGAGCTGGACAGCGGTCTGTGGTTTCAAGAGGATCAGCAGTAGCTAGTTGTAAGTTGGTGTATGATACGGTATGTGATCAAAGTTTTTGTTTATACCCGAGAGCGAGTGTATTTATATATATATCCAATAAATTGTGAGAGAACGGCAAGCGTCTTTTACCTGTCACCCACCGTCGTGATGCCCTCCGGATTCCTCGGGCCACTGGTCTTTCAAGCCACTCAGGCCGACGCCGTTTGCCAGCCGTCGTAGATTCTGCTGCACGCTGAGGCGTATGTACTGCGACCCCGTCTTGTGCAAGAAGCCGCCGCCCTGTGCCCCAATGTCCGAGCTGGTCTCTTTGGCCACAAGAAAGTGGCTGAACAGTGGTGGCTGCACCGTCAAACACTGCGGCAGGGGCTCCTCTGCTCCATCGTCACCGGCCAACTGCCCGCCGCCGGTGGTTGTCGCCGCTCGACGCCTCCTCGGCGTCGTTCCGGGCCCTTGGCGATACATACCATCGCACCAGTCCCGTAGCATCAGGTCAAACCCTGTCGTGAACGAAGCCAGCCCAAATTGATAAAGCAGCTTCCGCGCGCCCCGCTGGCTGACAGCGTACGTCTGTGTGCACAATGTTCCGCTGGCCGTGTGCACGACGCGCGTATGAGGAGGGTATTGCTTGCCAATTTGATCGGGAAGGGCAAACGGGTGCGGGCGGAGGTCGGCTGGCTGAGGGACCGTGACGTCGTCGGCCATGATCACACGCAAGAGGGACAGCTGGGCCGGTGCCGACGAGGGCCCGCCACTTTGTGTGCCCCCAATGGTGTCTGGCCGTTTTGTAAACGATGGCGGCGATGCCGGGAACTCGGTGCCGCAATGGCCGAGCCACAGGACGTCCCAGTCGTCGCCGTAGGGTGATGTTGTCGCCCATTCGTATTCCGGCGCTGAGGCCAATGGGACGTCATGCTTCTTTTGCGTGTAGCCCTTGGCATCGGAAGCGGCTACAATGAGGCGATACACATGGGCATGGTCGCTTGATTGTTCCTCTGCCGGGCCAGAAGGTTGCTGGCCTTTGCGCATGAGGGTCGCTCCGCCGAAATCGGGAATGCTTCTTGGAGCCTTGTCAAACAGAGGTCTATGGAGCTGTGCCAGCGACCTCCCTGTTCCAGAACCCTGAACCCGCTGTGGCTGGCCGTACGCCTGCGCAGCCAATGCAAACGACGTCATTTGCTCTTTGAGCCGCACGTCCCAGTCGATGTCGTCCTCCATCACCAGCGCCGTCGTCAAATTCTGCTCAATGATTCGCCGCAGCACGTTCATGTGCGCCCGCCACGAGCCCTTGTTGCCCGCGGGGATCGGCTGTCCCGCGCTGTCGGCGGGAAGCACGCGGTCTTGGACGGTCTGGCTGTCGATGCCGGGGCTGAATGTGAGCTTTAGGTTCGTCAGGCTGGCGGCCAGCGCTATGGCATCACTGCGGTCCGTCCGCGACGGCAAGTTGACGACGAATATTTCCTGGAACTGGACACGTTAGCAAGACTCAAGTACGTGCAATACAGCCAATGGGACATACACCTAGTGTCGTATTGGCCACATCGGCGAGGAGTTTGTGACGTTCTCGGCCACGACCACGGCCATGGTGTGTCCACCCTACCGGGTCGGCCGTCCATTGCTTTGGCAGGTCCTCGAATGCGACTCGATTGCGATGCACGACATACACGACGAGGCCAATGAGAACGAGGACGGCCAGTCTGGGCCGACGTCGAAAGATTCTCGCCGGCAGAAGCATCGCGAACTCATCTCAATGTCTTGGCGTGCTTTGAGGTTGGAAGAAGGACAACAGTGAATTGGAGGCAAAGGTCAAACAGACTTGCATACAGCTTATCCCGCCTGGCCCAGTGCAAATGCATTGGAAACGCGGCTGCGTGGGAAGCATTGACTGCCGGCTCATGTTGTGCGGCTCATGTTGTGCATTTTGCCATTCAAGCCGTCCCCCAGTTCTATTGTCCTGGTCCTCGGAATGCCTGCCGTGCCGTTCTGGACGAGGCGGCAAGAGCGACGCGCTAGAAAAAGGGGCAGCTTCAACACATCAAAACACCGAAAGGAAAGGACGACTCGCGAAGACATTGCACCTTCCTTTCTCACAATCGTGCCTTCCCCTAGTGTCTTCCACTGAATTTCTTTACAGATTTGTTGGTTGATCTTTCCTCACAAAACAGAATGGCAAGCAAATGAAGGCGACAAAATAAATAAAAAAATACAAATCCGAACTGAACTGAACTGCAAAAAGGACTGCCGGCTAAAGTCTACATCCGCCCACAGTACTTCAGTGATTGATATCCCACATAAGATCGACAATTGTGCATACTCAAGTCAATGGATGGCGCTACGCAATGTTTCTCTCGCCGGCAGTAACAGATCCGACTCATTCATCACTCTCTTGCTCAACACTCTTCGTCCAGCCCAAGACCGCCCACTTCCCAAATGGACGCCGCCAGCAACACACCCAGTTCATCGTGGTGCTTGCCTACAAGCTGAATACCGACCGGCAGCTTCCCAGGCGACTCTGCCCCGTCCATGCTTGGGGCCGGTGCCCATCCGCCCGGCATAGCCAGCGCCGGGTGGCCTGTGATGTTGAATGGCGACGTGTTGTCGCTCACGCCTAGGTTCGCCTGATACTGCTCCAGGAGACTCGTCCCTGGCGGTCTGCCCGCTGCCGTGATGGTGTGCGGGAGCGCCACCGACGGTGTCACGGGCAGAAGCAAGACGTCCACGTCGCTGTTCAGCACGGCGTCGTACGCTGCCTGCAGCTGAACCACGTGTGACACCGCCTTGCTGCGGTAGCGATGCGGGTACCGCGTCGTGTCGCCCAGGTATGCCGAGCCCAGCGCGGCCGTGACGACCATGGGACTGGCCGCCGTCATCTTCTCGTACCAGTCCTGCGTCAACGGCGGCGCTGCCACGTCCGTTGTCGTGTACGCGAGCAGGTCCGGCGCCTTGCCGGCCAACAGCACGTCGGACATGACACCACGCATGGCCGCCGTCCAGATCGCGCCGCCTTTGCTGTGCAGCGGCACCGAGACGTCCACCACTGTGGCGCCAAGGCTCTCGAACTTGGCCGCGGCGGCACGCACAATGGCTGCCACATTGGGGTCGAGCTTCGGCAGCGCCAGGCCCTCCTTGAGCAAACCGACGCGCAGGCCGTTTCCTGCGGTGGCGGGCGTCCACGCGCCGCGGCTCTCCTTGGCGGCAATGGCTGCCTTTAGCTGCTCGTGGTACGCTGGTGCATTCTTTCGTGTCGGCGTCTCTGGCGTCGCTCTTGGGTCCAGGCCGTCGTGCCCGGCAATCGCCGACAACAGCAGGGCCACATCCGCCACCGACGACGCCATCGGCCCCGCATGGTCGCAAAGCGGGTGCAGTGATGCGATGCCCGTGTACGGCACCAGCCCGCGCGTTGGTTTGAGCCCGTACACGCCGCTGTACGCCGCGGGCAGTCGAATGCTTCCGCCCTGGTCACCGCCAATGGCCAGGTCGACACCCGGCCCGTTGTCACCGACAGGCAGACCGCGCGTCTTGCGCCATTTTTCGACCGCCGGAATGGCCGTCAGGACGCCGCTGCCACTGCTGCTGCCGCCCGCCGCATGCCCCACCAGCCACGGGTTGTCCACAGGCCCGGAGGCGCTCGTGTCCGACAAGCCCGACATGCAAAAGTTCTCGCACGTCGACGTCCCGACAACCACGCCGCCGCTCTCGACGAGGCGCGTGACAATGGGCGCGTCAATTGACGGGATGGGAAAGGGTTGATTGGGCGAGTTGGTGAGCTGGTACGGGTGGGTGCCCAGAGTCAGCGGGATCCCCGCCACGGCGACGGTGTCCTTGAGGGCCACAGTGCGGCCGGCCAGGATGCCGGTCGAAACAGCGGCTGCGTCTTTGAGCGTGAACCGGTGGCTCCAGGCGTTCAATGGGTTGGCCGCCTTGTCGGGCACCGCATACGTCCGGTCAGCAACGGGCGTGGCCACGCTGGGCGCCAGTCGGGGGTCGACGTATGCGGGCAGGGCCTCGACTTCGCGCACCTCGTCTTCCATGGCCTTGACAAGCGTACAGTAGTCGGCCTCGTCCTGGGGGGCCATTTGGAAGCCGAACGAGGCCACCAGGGCCTGGAACGTAGCCTTGTCGAGGCCACTGGGGGAGACTGTCGAAGACATTGTTGTAACGGCCCGTTGAGAAAGACGAGGTGTGTTCCCTTCGTTACCTGGTGAGAGGTTGTCAAAAATCATTTGCACTGGCAAAGAATAAATATTTCACCCGATACGAGTGACAAGCACGTTTTCTCCCCCGCACAGAGCCCAGAGTATAGATATCGTCCGGGCCCTCGCCGGCCATCCTATCCTATGGTGGCGTGTAGCCTTCATGGCACTGAACTTGACTCTCTACACGGCAAATCTAATCTTCTTAGTCTTATCGCAGTTGCCGATTCGGGAAATGCATCTACTTGGCGGTCGGCAGTCTCCGATGCGTGGCCAAAAGCCAACGTCGTCTTGGTCGTGTTAGACGCCATGCAGCCCTACATTCTTGACTCCCTCGAGTGTGCTTGAATTTTGAATGTTGAATTTTGAATTTAATTGTCGAGAACTTCGCCCCTGACAAAAGTCAACAGAGAAAGGCATCAAAGAGATACCAACTGGAAAAGACGTCCTATTGTCGCAGTCACGTGACTTTGGTTGTCGTTGCTGTCGACATGGACTCAAGATAACATTGATGCAACGGCAGTAAAGAAACTCACTCCGTAGTACGGTGCAATATAATACATATTTCTGACTTCTGATCTTTGCACGACGACAACTGGGCGCAGTTTTGTCTTATGTCTGCTTCGAGCTGATGTCTTGTTCAGGCCGCCTCGGCTTGCCCCACTAGAGCTCTTGCCTTGTCTGACGCAATAGCCCCTCTCCTTCCCTGGCGCATGCCTTTTTTTGCTCGCTGAATTCGCACCTCGGCCACTAACCTGCCGACACCGCTCTTGCACAAATGCCCCACTCGTCAACAAATCGTCCTCTGTCACGTCGCTGCCGGCACTGCCGAGCAAAGGACATCATCGCTCTGCAGCTCCCGTATGAGCCCGTCGAATCCGTCAATAGCGGGCTTAACAGAGGAGAGGGGCAGGAACGAGACAGTTTCTTTTCGGCGTATTCGCGTCTCCGAACGTCGTGCCTCAGGAGCCCAATGGTCTTGTCTTTGGGGCAGGTGCGAATGGCGAACGACGAAATTCGCACCAGAGGCAGGAGGTACGTCAACGGCAGGCACGTCCACTGCGAAAAGCAAGACCCATGTCGAGGAAAGCGCGACGGTGCGCAAAACCATGCTTTTTTGCATGACCGTTCGGCGGAGTCGCCGGGCCCATCGATGATGGCATGGTCCCAATAAACACAAAACAGGGCGCTGTCGGCTTCGGCTCCGGCCCTTGGAAATGATTTATTTGCGATGGGCATCGCACTTCCTTACTTTACGATGGACTCCAGAGACACTCAACTGGATTGATTATTTTGCGGCTGAATGGCAACTTTACTTTTCCAAACTCCCCTCCTTCCTCGTTTTTCCCTTGCACACAGCACCGTCACACCTTCCTTGTCGAGCGATTCGCGCGCCTTCTTTCGTGCAATTCCTGTTGATCGTCTTTAGCGCTCATTTTACAACGCACTCACACCTGCTCTCCCCTCCGTGGTTTGGTCCTTACGTCACCCCGCCGCAGCTGCAGCTGAGTAACTTGCATCGTTCCTGCCGGACACAGCTGTCAACAACCCCCGTCCCGATAGTTCCTGGCCACAATCGCGCGCACACAATTCGAGGGGTTCTGTTGCTTCACGTGTGCTATTTCGTTAAGCGAAGACAATAAGGAACAAAGCAAGCCACAAACAGACAACCTCACGACTTTTGTTGTTCTTCTTCACCTCCTCCTCACCTCTCGCCTCTTCGCCGCCACCAACGGGGATCTCCTCGCATCCCTCTGAGCCTCGACCTCGTCTCGGCCTCGTCCCGTCCCTTATTTCACTCTCGCCACCTCGTCACAACCTTGACAAATGGCGACACTAACGTCCAACGAGACGCCCACATTCGCGGCTGGCGACTATGTCAAGTTCTTCGGCGCCGGCGCTCTCGCCGCCACACTCACCCATGGCGCCGCCACACCCATTGACGTCGTCAAGACCCGCATCCAGGTCGACAGCGCCATGAAGGGCCTCAACATGGTCTCGGCCGGCCGCAGCATCGTCGCCAACGAGGGCGCCGCCGCGCTGCTGACCGGTTTCGGCCCGACCGCCGTCGGCTACCTCGTCCAGGGCGGCGGCAAGTTTGCCGGCTACGAGTTCTTCAAGAAAAAGTACATTGACCTGCTGGGCGGCATCGAGCCGGCCACGCCGCACCGCACCGCCGTCTACCTGGGCGCCAGTGCCAGCGCCGAGTTTTTTGCCGACATTGCGCTCTGCCCGCTCGAGGCCACGCGCATCCGGCTCGTGTCGCAGCGCGGCTTCGCGTCCGGTCTGGCGTCGGGCTTCGTGCGCATCGCCCGCGAGGAGGGCCTGCGCGGCTTCTACTCGGGCTTCATCCCCCTCCTCTTCAAGCAGGTGCCGTATGCCGTCGGCCAGTTTTCCGTCCACGAGGCCGCCAACGAGGTCATCTTCCGCGCCATGGGCCCCGAGCGCAAAGCCAAGCTGACGCACCTGCAACAAACCGGTGTCGAGCTGACGTCGGGTATCGTGGCCGGTGTGGCGGCAGCGGTGCTCTCGCACCCGGCCGACACGCTGCTGTCGGCCATGAACAAGGGTGCCGGCGACCCGAAGCAGGGCGTGCTGAGCCGCATGTTTACGCTGGCGTCCGAGTTTGGCCCCAAGCGGCTGCTGCTGACGGGTCTGGGCCCTCGTGTGGTGATGACATGCGGCCTGGTGGCGGGCCAGTTTGTGATTTACGCGCAGTGCAAGGCCCTGGTGGGCGCACCGGCGGGCGTTGAGCTGCACAAGGAGGAGAAGCTAATCAAGTCATGAAAATAGAGAGCGGGTTCTTTCATCTTGACTTTATTTGTTTTTGTGCCTTTTCGGCTGTTTGGTCGTCTGTGTTTTCACCCTGCGGAGTTTTGGCAAGATTCTTGTGTTTCAATGTCAATCGAGTTTGTTGTGGTTTAGATCATCATTGTATTTAGCTTTTGTCTTTCTAGACTTGGATAACGATAATAGAGTCATCAAACTCACTCACTTCCAATTCATACACGACGTGGCGGGAAGTGATTGTTGGCAGTGACAGCTCAAGTCCTAGCATCACCATCTACATCCTGACCTCACTTTGCACCTCGTCGAAAATAAATATTGGTGGCAAAAGAGAAGGGTATAAATAGCCGACTTCGTATACGTTTAAGAGTCTGCTTTCTTTCCTTTTATCAACCCAAACCACAACAAGAAGCAAACGCAGCAAACGACAAAAAGTAAAACGATTTCCATAGCCCAACAACAAAACAACCCACCCCACAACTGCCAGCATGGGTCGCAAAGACGGCTACGACTTCCCCAAGCCTGCTCCGGCGGCTCCGGCGCCTCACGGCCCGGCCCCACCCCCGAAGAAGTAAGGATAGACTGTTCCTGTCTGGAGCCGATGCTACATATCAGAAGTAGGCAGGCTTACTGCTTGATCTTGTAGCCTCATGCTCACTTCTTCTCTCCCTCTCTGTCTCTCTTCACAAGAGGGGTTTTTTTTTACCATTGCAATGCTTTCACGTGCAAACGGCACCTGTGTCCGTGAAAACGGGCCTTTGACTAATTTTAAGGTGGACAACAGTTGGTCTAGTATTTTGAAATGCCTTGAGCCTGGACTATGGGAACGATGAGAAAATAAAAAAGAAACTGGGGTCCTCTTGACGAAGCAGGATGGTTTCTTTTTTATTGGATCCCCTTGGGTATTGACAGGTAGCGATCGCGACAAATAGGAACCATATGTAGCCACAATAAAAAAAGGTTTTGTTTCCCACGTATGTTGAAGTGGCCAATATCCCACCCTCGCAAACAAGTCGCATCTCATTGTGTTTTATGAAGCCTTTATTGAAGCCATCGTGATCTCACGGGGAGACTACATTGTCAGTCTTCAGATAAAGGGGAGCGTGCGACTGCTGCTGGGGTTGAATAGTGACTATTTAGTGCTGATAAGAGAAATGCAATGTCAGTATTGGTTTTGGAAAGACACCATAAAAGGCCATTCAATGTGTAGACACGTGAAAGAGACCCGGTGGAAACACGTACGCTGCAGGAACTGCAAGAGCAGGAGGAGCACGAGCCGGAGCAGCCAGAGGCGCACGAGGAGCAGTCGCTACGAACAAGGATAAGTTGTTAGTGTTTTGTTCTTATGGAATGCCTGTCTACACGTGATGAGGTGACATATGGGCTGCAGCCGCGGGAGGCTAATCCGATTCTTGACGCCAGAAAAGAGGAATGACTTATGGCTTACCAAGGGGCCATTTTGATGATTTGGGTGGGTGACTGTTTAAGGTCGAAATAGGTTGTATGATAATGAAGATGATTGGTGAGATGCTGAGAATGAATTTCTTGATGAGAGAAGAAAGATTTTTGGAAGCTCTCAAACCGGGAGAATCACGGTCCTTAAATACACATTTTCTGGCTACGGGCTAGAAAGAAAGCTACAAGCCTACAAGGCGAGCAGAGGGGTTGAAGGCAGCGAGAACAAGTGGGAAAATACGACCGAAGGCGAAGAACAAAGGCAGCCTTTCCCACGTCGTGCATACAACAATAGAAAGAACGTATCCCCCGCGTGGGAGAAGGAGAGAGCTAGAGGGTTCGCAGTCTAGGATTGTTTCTCCCTCCAAAAGTACGGCCCTCGACGTCGTATTTGCTCCTGTCTGCCTGCCACATGCGATGTCATACTACTTCCGCAGGGTTTCATGAGCAAATAAAAGTAAAGCATAGGTCATAGAGCGGGTATACGCGTGGGGAGTGGGTTGCTGATGTTAGCAGTGGGGTGCACATATTCCTCACATCAACCTGTTTGTTTTGCTTCCTTGCATCGATAGGCAGCTTGAGAAATACAGACTACTGCAGAGATGTGAGTGCCAAGCGCGGCGTGGAGGTCACGTATGTAGGAAGTGATAGGCAAACTGTAAAAAATGCAACGGAGAAGACGTGGCAGATGATAAGACAATCCAGAAGAGAGGGTGATGAACGCAGTCAAGCTACACCACCAGCTAACATATTCCTGCAGAAACATAGTAGCAGCTAGCTAGAAGTTTGTGGTGCAATCTCGGTATCACTGTATGTACTTCATAGAGGTGATACGGAACGCAGAAGAGGGTGTGCATACGCAAGAAATGTGAACCAAAAGATCATCATGCAGCCTGCACCTGTACAGCTGCAAAGGCTCCATGTTCGACATGACGGGACACCCTGAAGGAGAGGAAATAGACAAGAAAGGAGGGTGGGGGAAAGCTGTTCGGAGGGGACACGACGGAAAGTAGTAGCTCTCGGTGCAGGCCGAAAAGAAAAAACCAGCGACTGCTGCGCTAAGTTCGGCAAAAGTCAAAGAGAAAGCAAAAGAAAAAAAGAGCACATTATCAGAAAATTAAAACGAAAACGTGTTCCATTTTCTCTTCTGTGCAAACGGCACCCTGTAGCACGAGACTCTATTCTCCAGGACAGGGAACGAAAGGAGGACAAACGAAATGGGCGGGCGAGCAGGAAAGGGGAGAAAGTCTGCGGACCCTCAAGGCATCCAAACGAAGCGGGCCGAAGCCGGTCTCTGGTTGGCTGTGATCCGACATCATTTGAGGGAGGGTTGGCAGGGAGGGTAGGGGTGGTGGTAATGTGGGTATCTCTGCAGGTAAGAAAGAGCGTGAAAGGCGTAGTGAGAGCCTGGAGACAACTGGTGCCACAGATGGTCACCGCAGATGGTCACACAGCAGGCGTAGGATGAAGGAAGGATGCACGGTAAAGTGACAAATAATATAATAAGAGAAACGAGAGCAGTGTCATAGTGAGGGTGAGTTAGGCAAGAACAAAACCCAGTTGTCAGAAAATCAGGGTTTGAGGCCGAGATGGGGTGAGAAATGGTTTCTCGATCGGGTCAGGATATTCGATTGTGGGAGGACAGTGGGACGGCGAGGTGAACAGTGGATGTACCCATCTTTCCTGTTTGTTGCACCGACGCCGACGTGGCACGCGAGTCTTGTGGCAACATCGACCGCCGATGCAGGGCGGTTCCGGAGGTCCAAGTAAACCAGCGAGTAGGTTGTTGGAAGCTCCCCCCCCCCCCTCCCCCGGTATGTAATAACTTCATGTCACAACGTGGGGGCATAGAAACATAGAGGCAGGAAGGGCAACTTGGACAAGATGAGGAGACAATGAGCACGATAGAGACAGAATCTGACGGCCCAGGGTCATACAGACCCTAGCTGACCAGAGCTGGTTGAGAACGGAATCGCAAGTGGTCGGGAGGAATGGGGAGACAACGCGAGAAGAGACCAGAGGAGGGGGGTGAAACGGGGCTGGGCGGATTGTGGTCAGTTGGGTCTCAAGGACTGGGCGAAGGGGGCCAAGGGAGGTGCAGTGTGCATGGTTAGGCGCCTTCTTCCATGCAAGCTGAGCAGGAGATTAGTGGAGGATGTGACCAAGGAGGGCAAGAAGAGTGTGGGACGACGTGGGCAACAGTCGACGGGGCTCTGTCTGTGTTGCTTGCAGTCGTTACGTAAAGGTAAAGGCCGGAGACAGAGAGAAGTAGGGGACGGGAGGAAGAATATTGTGTTGGTAACGAAAGTAAGCCAAAAAAAGAGTCGAGAGGAAAGAAACCGGAGACGAACAGGCATGGGACACAGCGCGTGGGGAAGCCATGAATGCAAGAACAGTCGTGGAGGTCGTGGAGGCGCGGAGAGAGTGTGGTAGACCGAGCAGGGCCGAAGAGTACGAGGTTGAGCGAGCGAACGCGGGCAGACGTGGTTAAACACAGGAGTATAGTGGGCGAAAGGTGCGGACGAGGGCGTGTTGTCGATGCCGGTTCCGACAAACGCGAGAAGTAAGTGACTGGCACAAAATTCGAATTGTCGGATGCTGCTCGTCGGAAGATTTGCGAATGCAACGAACCGGACACGCAGGTCGAAAGGCGAAAGAAAGATGAACGGCGATCCGAACAGCGCAGGATGCTGGACGAAGAGGTGCCAGAAGCGAAAAAGATCAAAAGGAGGAAAGGAAGGGCAGAGTCAAAGACCGGCACTTGGGGTCGACTGCTACTCTTTATATCGACGCAACCCAAAAGAGCAGACAAGGAATCGAAACAGAAATTTGCTCATCTGCTCATCTGCTCATCTGCTCCTCCGCTCATCCAAGAACCGAGAGCGCGACAACTGTGACTCTCTTCCCAACCGATTCCCAGCGAGTCGGATCTGCCAGGGGCCGCATCTTGTGTCTTGTCTGAACGAAACGCATATCAGCAATCAGCAGATTGTGCCCGAGGACGTGCCAACGACAGGGAAAAAGGGGCCGGCACAAGCGTGCCTCCTTGCGCCCCTTGATCGAAGCCAGAACCTGCTTATTGACCGTCCAGGACGATGATTCAACACGGTCCCGTTTTGGAATTCGAGGGCGTGATCGTCTCTGAGTCGGCGACGAGCAGCGATGTTGGGAAATGCAGGAAACGGTCGTGGTTGTGTACAGCAAGCTGGAGAGGCGTCAGGACGGCCCCTCGTGCTTCTGATTGTACGGAGTATGTCTGTTGTGTCTTTCTTTCCTGCTTTGGTGAGCATAATCTGGTCTCCCGCCCTCAGTTGCACGTTCCAGGGACGGTGGGCATGGATCGTTCTTTCCTCACTGTTGTCTGTGAGAACCCGGATGGTCTGTTGGGTTGGGCTGCCAGACCGGGCAGGAGCGCGATGCATTCGCGAGGAAAGAGGGACAAAATAACGGACCAAGCAGGCCGAAATTGGAAAGAACGAGGGCACAAGAAACGGAGCCATATAGCTCAGGGCGGTCAATCTCCGATGAAGCCATCCGAAGGCCCCAAAGTGGCGATGCGAAGAGCCTGAGATCAACCATCACCAACAGCGGTCCTGGGACGGCCCGCATCTGATATTGGCATTGGCGACACGCTGGACGAAACGTGGAGCCAAACGTCTCTCTTAAACATTATTTAGTCTCTGTCTTGATCGACATATCACTGTTCATTAAGGCAGTCTATTACAAGCACATTTTATGCCCACCAACAACCGGTGTATAGGCAGTGAGAATACACGTCCGCTCCAAATCAAACGGGTTCGATCCCGAAGATGTTTTTTACTTGCAAAATGCCCAAAAAAAATCATGGCCAATACGAATAAGGGCCGTGCAAAACTCGTTGCGGTTTATAGTCGGCGTCAGCCGTTTGCGCGTGTCATATTGGCTCTTTCCTCTTAACTGTTATATCCCCTATATCGCAAGCTAGCGCAGCCCGATTTTGCTCGTCGACTTAGCGGATGTATACCAATTTTCTGTGCCTCTCCTTTTATGTCGCCTTCTGCGGTTGCGGTCCTCTGCTGCTCCGTACTTTTGCTCTCTCTGTCTCGTTTAATGCTCCGTATTCAAACAAAGAATAAGATAAGACGGATGTCGGGTCAGGGATGTGCTGATGGCCATTGAGAACCTTGATGGATAGACACGCTCCTTCCCGAGCTTCTTTGCACCTTTCCGGCCAATAGCGTGTCAGACATTTGCGGCCCAACTGGGTCCAGCCCTGCAGAAGCAGACCAAAGAGGTTCTCGCGACCAAGAGATGAGGAAAATAGATGGTGGTTCTTTGAGAGACGTATCGCTTCTTGATTCTCTCCACTCGCAATGCATATGGAGGATCCGACGAGAATTAAACCAGGAGATGGGCAACCGGCCATCAAGGTTCTTTCTTGTTCGCACTTTCGACGATGTCTTTCTTTTTCTTTTTCTCGTCACCTCTTTTCTTTGGCCCTCTGGCCCTCTCTTGATTCGTTCTCATCCTTGTTCGCATGCAACAGAGGGGCCGCGATGGATAGTTCGGAGGTCTAGCTGATCTGGTGAACGATTGCCGTCTTGGTTCTCGTCACTGCCTGTCTTCTCTTTTGGGGCACATTGCCAAGATGCGTTCAGTATCCAAAGGAATCGTGTCGCTTTGCCTTTCCGCGGAGCTGAGACATGGTGGTCAGTGTAATATATTGGCCCACGCGCGGACTGCAGTGCTCACCGTTGAATACGAGTCGTTCAAAATAATCAGAGATATGCGTACGCTGTACGGGGTATTTCAAAACACATGGCAGCCATCTCATGACTCATCCTCGCGTGCACCAAGATCGAATTGTGGACACAAAATTTATGTCTCTCATCTGTATTGAGACCCGCCACAATCCCTTTCCATCTATATTTCACGTGGCTGGATCGCGCTCATCATGGAGACACCAACGCCCACTTTTGTTCTGATCCTCAGCTGCGCCGCTGTGGCAGGTGTGTCAGTCTCTTGGCTCCTCTTCAGCTTCCTCTTCCCACCACCCTCGTCGACCTCAACCTCGCCGTTACTTTCGTCTTTCTTCTCGGTTACCGGCCCTGGAACGGCAGTCGTCATAGCAATTTTTCTTACAATAGCGATTCTCTATTTTGGATTCCCGCAAAATCCGTTGCCAAAACGAAAGTGCAAAAGAAAAGAATAGCCACGAGACTATGCCATGGATATACTACAGGCACAGCGGTCGACACTTGGCCGAGCCGTTCTGCGCTGCCGCCCCTATTTATTTATTATCCCATTTGTTTTACTAGTAATAATCTCGGCGTTTCGTCAAAGTGCATAGCTTTAGTCTCCTGTGCTTGTACTTTGTCATGACTAGCCGCCCTAGATCATATCCTAGTCTCTCTTATGTTGAACTCATATTCGCCTCTCGTGCATCTGCTCTTTTACGGCTTCTTTACATTGTTACTTTTTCTTGCATCGTATTCGACTCCTAAGGCCACCATCGTCTCACTGCTTGGCACATGTCTTACTTTGCTCCCTTTCTCACGGAACAGCAACCACTAGTCCTGCGCCTTCCCACGCCCTCGGTGAAAGGTCCCTCTCGTTGTCTACCCATATTGGCGGGCCAAAAAATGCCCTCAATAGCCCGCACATACTTTGTACTCTTCAGACTTGCCAGGTTGAGTCTCGTCCTTTAGTTGTTCTCCCTCGACCACGATATATTGTTCCGTCCTCTTTAGCTGAACTTCCGCAGGCCTTTTGCTCTTTCCATATTCGGTCGTGTCCGTCGCTTGTTCTGTTCCTTCCACTTTTATTACTGTGCGCCATACAAATACACTTGCCTGGCAATCCCCCCACGCCTTCCCATAACGGACACCTTCCGTATTACCCCGTCTTGCCGTCTCGCCTTCCATCGTTCTTATACCAGTCGCCCTTTCCTCTTCCCGAACAAAAAGGACCTGTCTGTCCATCAAGGTGTCTGTCCACAGCAGAAATTTCTTCACTTTCTTCACTTTCATACGAACTTCTCTACGAGAGCATACGACCACCGATTGTGCCCACTCGACCCCCCATCGACCCTCTTTTGGCCATCTTGGCTTTTCAGGGACCTTGTCGACCATCTCCGCTTAACTTTGATATATTTCTTTTCGGCGTCTCTCGCGTTTTCTGGTCCCGTTAGCCCCCATGGTCGCTCTACAGATTTTCAGACCCTTGTGCTTATATTTTACATATTTATCGCAGATCCTCTCACTCTTCTAGGAGGGTGAGCTTGCATCGTCAACAAATTGTTTTCCTTTGCATACTTCTTCCGTCGGTCTGTTGTCTTGGCATTCGTCTCTTTGGATTCCTTCCCGCCTGTCCCTAGTCGCCTACTTGTCCCGACGGAACCTTTTTTATTGGCCTTTTTTATTGGCCTTTTTCTTTACATTCCTTGCTATTTATCCAGCTTTTCAGTACGTATATTGCTCCTACCCCTCAACAACTTTACTTGCTTCACCAGTCACAATCCCGATAGTGGCTCTGTACCTGTGTAGCCCTGTGGCTGCGCCGTTCCTGGATTTGCAGCCGGCTCGTCCCCGTTTCCAGGTTCTCGGGTCGTCGTGCTCAGTTCACCATAACGTGCCTAGTTCACAGGGCCACTTGTTTATAGTGTCTCCATCCCACATCCTCGGTGACGGTATCCTGACGCAAACAACGTCTGACAAAACTCCCTAACCAAATCCAAAGCTTCACCAGAACAGCCCTCACAATGGCGCACCACCACCACCGCCACAGCCACAACCACCAACACCACGAGTTTGAGTTTGACCCGAACCATGTCGACCTGACGATGGCCGATCCGAAAGATATCATCTGCTTCCTCAGTGCCGGTGAGAATGAGTACGACGGTCGCCTGGGTGCCCGCATCTCGGCCCTCTTTGTGATTCTGATCACCTCGTTGCTCTGCACCCTCTTCCCCGTCGTTGCTACCCGGATCAAGCGCCTTCGCATTCCTGTCTATGTCTACCTCTTCGCTCGCTACTTCGGTGCCGGTGTCATTATAGCTACGGCGTTCATCCATCTTTTGGACCCGGCCTATGCTGAGATTGGCCCTGCGTCCTGCGTCGGCTTGACGGGCGGATGGGCTGGGTACTCTTGGCCGCCCTGCTTGGCTATGATCATGGTCATGTTGACTTTCCTACTTGATTTTGGCGCTGAGTGGTTTGTCGATAAGAAGTACAACATGAGTCACGGCCATGGTGACAACATTGCGCAATCCATTACCTTGGGTGGTGACAAGCACCGTAACGGGGTTTCTGGTGAGGCCGGGAACCCGGTCCCCGTCTCGCACCCCTCGCAGTCCCATCAATTCTTGCACTCGGCCGACCAAGACGGTTCAGCCGCCCCCAACGCCGCTGTTCCTCACTCGAACTCCGCAGACGACGCTAGCAACGAGAAGCTTGACCTTGAGAAGGTTGAGTATGCCGCCGCGAGCAACGAACGTGCCTTCCGCGAGCAGTTCGCCGCCTTCCTGATCCTCGAGTTCGGTGTCATCTTCCACTCTGTCATCATCGGCCTCAATCTGGGCGTCGTCGGCGAAGAGTTCAACACTCTCTACCCTGTTATCGTCTTCCACCAGGCCTTTGAGGGTCTCGGTATTGGCGCTCGTCTCAGCGCCATCCCCTTCCCTGCCCGCCCTGGCAAGTTCCTCAAGGCTCTGCCCTGGCTTCTGTGCGCCGCCTACGGCCTGACGACACCGATCGCCATTGCCGTCGGCCTCGGCGTCCGCACTACCTACAACGACAGCTCTTTCACGGCCAATGTCGTGTCCGGTGTCCTGGACAGCATTTCGGCCGGTATCCTGATCTACACCGGTCTCGTCGAGCTGCTGGCCCGCGACTTCCTCTTCAACCCGGAGCGCTCACGCGACGGCAAGCGTGTCACGTTCATGCTGGTTAGCCTGTTCCTTGGCGTGGCTATCATGGCTCTCCTGGGCAAGTGGGCTTGAACAATCCACGGCGAAACTTTGCAAGCAAACGGACATACAAGATATACACACAACAGTTTGTTTCCCAGACGCAAAACAAACAAAACATAAATAAAACGCCGCTCCAAGAGCACTCGTGGCTTGGTGCGTGTGATGCTTGGCTTTTTATGACAATTTGAAAAATGCACTTCCAGTTACCGGGGCGCATTTTAAAAAAGCTTACCTTTTTATCCCTACTTTGATATTTCGGGTATTATTCCTATATTTTATATTTCTTCACATATACCACTGGCAATTGTGTTGTCATTTTATTTACTTCTATTGATTTATATTTAAACCATCAATACTCTTACACTATTGTCAGAATTTACATGGCTTTTCAACTCCGCACCTTACAGTTGATGTTGAATTACAGTGAAAAATTAAATCATGATTTTATACTCGCAATCATGCTAGGAAACGTCGAGCATTAACTGCAAACGCAGAAGCATACAAGCCAGTACTGAAGCAATGTGCAGCTCTGTGAATTGAAGAACCGATAACAGAGCAATAGAATGTCTCGGGGAAATTAACTACTTTTAGAGAAATATCATATAAAAAATTGAAAAATTTATCAAGACGAAAATACACGAAAAGAAAAAGAAAGGAAGGCTATGAGGGAAGATAACTAGGGTATTGAGCTTCCATAAAACCCCCCCGCGCGGGTTTACCCTTCGCCCGACCGAAAAAAAAGGAAACAGAAACTGTTAAAAAAAGGGTGGAGAAAGAACTAGGCCAAGATGATAGAACTAAAGTTTTGTGATGAGAAGGGGGGAAGAAACACAAAAAGGTAGTCACCATGTGACCGTATATGCAAACCACGTTTTGTAAATCACACCATATAGCACCATTGCGTATGTCAGAAGGGGAAAACAACACGTCCCTGTCCCCGGCGGCCAAAACCCATTCCGCAAACGAAAAACTACCCAAACCAAACCAAATCAAACCAAACCAAACCCCAAAACAAGAGACGAAGCGGAACGACAAGATGAGGCCAAGTCATACCAGAGTCTAGATGCCTCCGGTAACACCAACCGATCCATTGTTCCCTCGGCCCCAAGCTCCCGAGTTGCGCCATTCCTGCCGTGGCGGCATGTCCCCCGGATCACGCGGGTCACGTGGGTCGCCGCGCTGCTGGGACTGCGACCGCGACTGAGAGGCTGCCATGGGTGGCGGCGGCTGCTGCGCTTGTGGGTGGGGGTAGAGCGGTTGATCGTCGACGTTGTCGTTGAGGTGGAGGTTGTGCTGGGACGGGAAGGGCGATACGTGGTGCAACGAGCCGTCGTCCTGGCCGCGGTTCCATTTGGTCGGCGTGCTCTGGTTGGGCGCGCTGTTGTATGGCGGGATGTTCGCACCAGGGGGTGGTGGCGCATCCTGGACGGGGCGTACGCTGCGCTCGTCCTGCAGTACGGAGGGGTCTGTCTCGACGCGCCGAGCAAGGGGCCGCGTCGACGGGTCATGGCGGTTCGTGACCTCGCCCAGCTTGCCGTACGGCTGGCCGGGTCCACTTGTTATGGTGCGGTCGCCGAAGCGCTTGAGAATCTCCTTGGTCGTGATCTCGCCATTGTTGTTGAAGAGCGAAGGATCGTTCAGGACATCGACGAGCTCGTCAGGGACCTGCGTGGTTTGGTTAGTGAAAATGAAAAATCTATACCGTAAATGACGGAGGGGTGGTGCGCCTCGGCGTCTGCACGTACCAGGCACATTTCCTCAATGTAAGTGATGAGCATGGTCACCGCATCAATGGCAAACATGGGGTCGCTGTCGAGTGCCGGAATCTTGGAGTTGACACATAGAATGTTGGGGGCAATGACCGTCGCAATGTTCCGAATGTCCATCTTGGAGCCGCTCTCGTCGTCCACCTGGTGGAACGAGCCCGCCCATTTGAGGAAGAAGAACAGGACCTCCAGGCAGTCGCGGTGGCACTTGGGCAGAAGGCAGCACGTCAGATGCAAGCACCGGCGCCGCTTCGTCTCGTCGTTGATTTTCGCCGCCGCCAGCCACAGGCGGTACAGCTTGTGCGTCATCAGTGGATCGGGCAGGTCACGGAGGTAGCGCTTCAGCAAGGCGGCCACTTGGATCACCGGCTGCTGGCCGAGGCCAACGTTGTCCGAGCCTTCGCGGTCGATCCTTTCGCATAGCTCCGTGAGCTTCTTGATGTTGCCGTTTTTACGGAAAACGCCCTCGACTGACAGATCCATCTTGCGCATGGTCGATACAATGTCGTCAACAATGGCGGGGATGCGCAGCGTGCCGGGCCCGACACCGTCCGTAGAGTCTGCACCGTCGCGTTCGATGATGACTTCGATTGGCACGCCGAATATACCCTTCTTCTTGACGTTCTTCTTGTTGTCGTTCTTGAAGGCCTTGCCAAACTTGTTCCAGAACGTGGCAGGCTTCCGGGACTCGATGAACCCCAAAAGCTCCTCGAGTGAAAACTCGGCCTCAATCATGGGGAGCATCGTCAACACGGCGAGATGCCGCACGATGAAGTATTCCAGACCCGACAACTCCGAAAAATACTTGCGGCCCGTGATCTTTTGGGGGCTCATCGCCCGATTCGGGCCTGGCGCCGCGCCGCCAAATCGCCCTTCGGAGATATTCCGGTCGCCCGAACCGCCCGGTTCACCTGGCTGGCCATCGCCGCTTTCGTTGGTGATTTGGCGGCCAAAGCCACCCAGGCGCTGCTCACGAGCCTGCTCGGCGGCGACAATGTGCGGAATGTCTTCCAGTGTCAGCGCGTCCTGGCGCCCGAGCATGGTATCAGCCATTGACTCGTCCATCCGATCCTCCACAATCTGCACGCCGGGGCCATTCCCACCACTTGCGCCCGCTCCAGCCGAGCCAGGTTGGGCGCTCGCATCCTCCGGGCCACCCATGACACGCGACGTCCTTGCTTTTCGAAAGCTGGACGACAGGTGCTTGTCGAGGCGGGTGCTCCGCAGGCGGCGTATGTCGTTTAGGGTGGTTTCGTAGGACGACGGTTCGCGGTTCGGATCGCGATCGCTGATAATGGAGAGTCGGTTGTTTCGCCGTACATCGTCGTCCTTGCCGCCGCCGCCGCCGCCTTGGGAGGACTCGTCCTGCAAGGCACGGGCCAGGGCGCCGCTACTGTGTAAAATGTCCAGCAGCCGTGCGAGAGCCACACGAAGGAGGAAGACGTACTGCTGCAGCTTGGTCACTTGCTCGAACGACACGGCCTTCTCCGCGTTGGTCAAGCTTTCGCAGGAGCTGCACAGGATCTTGCCGTCGTAGGGGTTGACGTGGGCGTCCTGCAGGGTCCGCCCGAGCTCTTTGTTGCAGCGCGAGCAGTTGACACAGGCCAGATGCCAGCGCCGCTCACCGCTCTTGGCGCATTCGTCTTCGATGGGCTTTCGGCAGACCATACACTGGTCGGAGTCGTTGACAGCAAGGCGGGAAATGCTGGCGGTGATTTGCCGCAGACTATCTTCAGGCTCATTCTTCAGGGCCTCGAGGGCGCTGATATCGTCGAGGAACTGGTAGAGGCCGTCGGGTGCACCTCGGTCTTTCTCGATGCGGAGGGCGCCTTGGAGGCAGATGCGAATCAGGAGCTTCAGGTAGTGTGCGAGGCTTGTGACAAGAGACAGAAGCTCTTGGGTCACACCGAGCTTAGCAGCGGAGGTATCCTGGGATTTTGATAAGAGAGAGAAGAAGGCAACAATCTTCTTGCACAAAAGCTTGGCCTCGCGGCCGTACGAGAGGCTCTTCATGTCCAACCGTGTCATGGTCGCATCCAAGTGATCCGCTGAGCGGAAGAGAATCTCGACGTGACTGATAAAGCGCTTCGCAACAATGACACCATCGACGTAGGCGCCGTTGCTGACGTGCAGAAGCATGTCCGAAATGCATGCCGCCGACGACTCTTCAAAGGTCGAGAGCACGCTCCAGATGCGGTAGACCTTCTCCTCCATCTTCTCCTCGTCTTCGCGAACGCGCCGGCGGCTGGCGGCCTCGTCGGTCTCGGAGAGCGGTTCGACCGGCTTCACATCTTGTGGTGCAGTGAGCCGGACGTTCCAGAATTTGTGTATCATATAGCACTCTGGATGCCAGTGCTGGTTTTGGCCATTGCGGAAGATCTCGACGAACTGCTTGAGAATGGCGGTCTGACAGCCATTGCAGCGTTGTGCGAACTGGGACGAGTAGTGGTAGTGGCAGTAGACATGGCCATCGTGTTCGTAGTAGCTGTCCTGGGCGCCGAAGACGGTCGGACAGAGTGAGCAGGTGAAATGGTCGACGTGGTATTTGCGGTCGAGTGCGGTAATATAGGATCCTCGGAGGGCGCCACCGCAATGGTAGCAAAGTAGACCCAGTCGGCGGAAGTAGTCTGTTTCGCAGAGCGGGAATTGGGGCCCACCGTTGCCGTCGTCGGCCGGGAAGAACTTGGACGCAACAATCTGGCCACAATCCTGGAGGAAATGGTTAGTCGGGCAATGAGTAGGGTAATAAAATAATCGGGGCGTGTGGCCTATTGTCAAGATCGTAGTGTTACCTTGCAACGGAAGCAGTCGAGGTGAAAAGTGCCGTCCAGAGCGCGAACGAACTGGCCAGTCAACTGCTCCCCACACTTTTTGCATATCCGCACTTGGCCGCTCGCTGTCCTTGAGCTTCCTTGCTGTGAATGCTTCCGCTCTCCGCTGCGCCTTGGCTCCAGCTCTCGATCCCGCCCACGGTCCAATTCTCGGCTGCGATCGCGATCGCGGTCGTGTGTCCGCTCACGGTCGCCTCGTTGCTGTTCCCGGTAGCTAGGTCCTGGGGAGCCTGGTGGGTGAGGATGGCCGCCCATATGGCCGTAGCCGGCGTCCCCGTAGCCACCGTCGCCCCCGTTCTGCCATGGCTGGCCTTGGCTCCGGTTGCTGCGGTTGCTGCGATCGCTGTGGTCTCGCTCCATCTGGTAGCCGCCGCTGTTGAGGGGCGGTGGTGGCTGGAGAGGGTTATGGATGTGGTCGTCTCGTACGCTGTTGTTATCGTAGCCGGACCCCATGGTGAAGGTCGGGTGTCCTGCAACGGGTGCAGGGCTGTGTTGAAGACAGCGGGGAAAAGAGAAAGGTTCGAACTGGCCGTCGGTATGGCCACTCGTTGTTCGCTGGCCTCGTCTTCGCAGTCGTTATCGGTGTTTTGCTTTCGTGGTCTCTCCGTGGTCTCTTCGTAGTCTCTTCGTTTCTTCCGAGTTTTGGCGGGTCCTCCTGGCTCCGGCGTATTTTGCACCAGGACAGGGTGCGTGCCCGCGACAAGTTGCCCGCCTGCAAATGAACGGTAGAGGCGGGGAGGGAAGCGTGCCGGGCAGGCGAGCAGCAGGGCAACAGATACAAAGGAAGATGACGATCAAATCGTCGAAACAGTCGCTCGATTGGGCAAATGGGCGACAGAGGAGGAGGTACTGAGGCTGAGCTGGTCAGAGAAAAGCGGGCTTCTGGGGACGTCGGGCTGCTGTTTTCGTCCACACACGGCTGTGGCGAAGCCCAAAAGCTGATAGGCAAGGGGGAGAAGCAATAACAGCAACAAGACGCAACGGGACGGGTGGGGAAAGAAACCGAAGGAGAGGGCAAAGCGAAGAAGACGAGCACGACGCAAACGCGGCGAGGATCAAGAATGAATAGAGATGGTGGAGGGTTATTTTTAGGCGGGGATTTTGGTAGGGTTGCTGGTGACACGGGGGTCGAGGAAAGTCGAACCTTAATTTTGGGGACGTCTGAGGACGGGACGGGCAGAGAGAGCGCTTGTCTCGCTAGGGAGGCGTTTTTCTGACTGCACGAGAAGGTGACTGAGGTGACCAATGCAGCACCAGACTGGCGTCGTCGCACGAGGACGAGACAGCTCCGGAACGAGACAGCCTTGGAAAGTCCTACGAGCGATGGGATTGGATGCGAGGTAGGTTGGACAGCGCGTCGGTAGGGAGAGAAAGAGGAGGGCACACTGTCACTCGTCGGCGCCGAGATACGTATCGACGCGGTCGCATACGACGTGTACAGAATGGCGGGCGTACGTTGCGGTTTCGACGGAACGACAAAAAGGGACGTGACGGGTTCGGGGCTGGAGAAGGCCAGCGGGCCAAAAACAAAGCCCCTTTAGCTCGGCAGAAAGTAGCGGCGTGGCTCGTTTTCGCGGTAGCCGGGCGTTAGTCGAGTCCCTTATTGTTGGCAGTTGGGTTGGCGTGGTGAATCGTTGGCGCGAAGAGACGTTGGAATGGGCGGTGCGGACGACCGTTGAAAATAGTAGGAAACGCAACGAAACCGACAAAAAACGGCGATGCAGCGACAAACGACGTCGTGAGCCTGCAATCCATCTACAGGGCGTGGACAGGGCAAGAGCGAGCGGGAAAGAAGGGGGGAAGGAGGGGCGTGTGAGGTGAGAGGGGGGAGGGCAGGTACGACTGCAGGAGACAAGAGAGGAAACAGAGAGAAAGGGAAGGCGCGAGGCACCACCAGTGGAGAGCAAGCCACAGGACTCAAAGCAGAAACGGCACAAGACGCCCCAGGGGAAGAGACAACGCGAGAGGAAGGGCGGAGAACAGGGGCCAGGGGACCAGGACAAGCGCTGAGCACCCAAAAGCCCACTGTAGCAGGATGGCATAACGCTGTGGGAGAAAAGACGGGGAGCCGAAAAAGAAACGAGAAGGGGAACTCAGGGAAAGAACAGACATCCGCGGGGCACTAGTCCTGATTTTACCTAGGTGGCCGTTTCTGGCCCGTGCGACACGCCCTTGACTTGTTCCCTCCTTCCCTGCCTGCGTGCTTTCCTTCTTGCCATTCCGTACGACATGCCAGTCGTTCTCACCTCATTCATAATTGTTCGACTCCCTGGTCCTTCCTCGCCAGCTCGCCTAGCTGCTCGCACCGTTGAACACGCTACAGACCATTGCCCCGTCATTAGGAAGGACCGTGCAGGCGATGGGGGGGACTCTACATTCCTTTGTACCTTGTACCTTTTCATCTGACGTTTTCCTGTTCGGAAGGAAGCGACGGTTGCAGCACGGCGAGCAGGCTCTTTCCATCTAATCTCTTATGCGACTGCCATGGAAGGTGCGATGCTACGAACTTGTACTTCCCGTATGTCGTACTCCGTGTTGTATTGTGTATTAATAGAATAGTTGACGTCAAATCATCACAAAACAGTCTGCTGGGTTTCGGTATTGCCCCTCCGCCTTTTGCTCTCCACCCCGCTGCTCCATGTCTGACATTCGTATCTGTTTGTTTCCCGCCCATCCGTATCCACTGAGCCACAGCCACTGGGCCCCGCTGAGGCGATATGGATATGTCTGCAGCGGTGCAGCAAATGGCGCTGCGGACTGGTTCGTCGTCTGAACCCTGGTATCAAAGCCGTTTCGCGTGTTGAGGTGGCAGCTGCTCCCTACTGCATGGACTTGCTTTAGGCAGAAACCTTAAAATAACCACTGACAAGCAGCTAGCATGCACAGTCCTTTTCCAGAGGGAACACTCTTCGTACTTCGTGCTCCCCAGTCCACCTCAATCCACACCTCAGTTCGCCTCACTGGTCGCGACCAGCTCCTCCTTCTCGCCTGCCTCGGCCGTGCTTGGACGCTTTAACTGTCGGCGCACCAGCTTCTTCAGCCGCTTCTCAATCAGCTCGCGGCCCTCGACCGTCTGCCAGATCTCGTGCGGCGCGTCCTCGACAATGTCCCAGCTCACCAGCGTGTGCGTCAGCTTGCTGAGGTCCTTTTGCTTGTCCTCCCAGGCCTTGTCGCGCTTGATCTGAACCCCCGACGAGACGAGGACGAGCGGCGTGTCCTGGTACTGGATGGCGCGGCTGGTGGTGGCGTCGCGCTTGGTGAGCGAGCTGGCCACGAGGCTCTCCTGGAGCTTGGCAAAGATGGCCTTGCTGCTCTGGTAGGCCGCGCGGCCCCAGACGCGGTCCTCGCGGGTGCGGCCCTTGAAGAGGGCGCCGGGGATGCGGTCGAGGCCGAGCGGCGAGAGGACGCCGCGCAGCCACAGCCCAAAGCCGCGACCGGAAGCGCCGACTCGCTCCAGCAGATCCTCGTGCAGCGGGTCGACCAGCAGCAGGCCCTCGATCTCGGCGCCGTGGCGCGACGAGAAGACGCGCGAGTAGATGGAACCGATGCCTGCGCCGACCAACACCCAGGGCCCCGTCTCGCCCGCGCGCGCCAGCGCCTCACTCAGCGCCTCGGTGGCCTGGCCGGCCGAGAACGGCGACGGCGCCGTGTCGCTCCAGCCGAGCCCGGGGCGGTCCGCGAAGCAGTAGCGGTTGATGGAGCCGTTCTGGACGGCATTCTGCGCAAACTGCCACAGGCCGTTCTCGACGGGGCCCTCGCCGCCCTCAAAGAGCACGGTCGGCAGGTGCTCCTTGGACTTGGTGCCGTGGCAGTACAAGTGAATCTCGTACTTGTCGCCGTCCACCCAGTACCGGTGGCCGAGCGGCGCCAGGCCGGCGTCGACCGAGCGCAGAATCAAGGTACACATCAACAGGCCCGTGACGACGCAGAGGACCAGCAGCGCAATGCTCGACACGGACACCTCGATCCACTCGAGCAGCGTGCGGCGCGACTCCGGACGGCCGGTCAGGCGCTCCTCCTCTTCGCGCTTGCCCCACTGCACCGTGCGGTCGGCAACAATGGTCCACACGGCCATGGCCAGCGCCCAGGCGACACTGGTGATGCCGACCCAGCCCTCTTCGTGCCGGGTGCGCTCGACGGCGGCCGTGACGATGGTGTTGACGAACAAGAACAAGGCGACGATGCCCGTGATGACACGCACAGACTTGGACGGCGCCGCAAAGAACAGCAGGCTGACGGCGAGGCTGGTCAGCGCGACGGTCGCATAGGCGAACGCCGTAAAGGGCGAGCCGCGTGTCTGGAAGCCCGGCGGCGTGACAAAGAGCGACACCAGCAGCAAGATCCACCAGACCGAGGTGAGGAAGAGGAGGAAGCCTGTGAAATAGTGGGTGGCGCGGACGGAAAACAAATTGTAGGGCGACACGGCCGGGTCATCGGGGCTCAGGTAGCCTGCGTGGCTGCTGTCGATGCGGTTCGGCAGCAGGCGTGTCGTCTCGTCTGGCGGCGGTCCGGCAGCAGAAGGCTGGTCGAGGCTGTCGCGGGAGGCCGACTCGCCGATCTCAGAGCGGCCAGCGCTCCGGCTGGAGTTGTTGTCCGCCGGCTTGAAAAGCTTTTTCATCGTGTCGGTAGGCATTCAATACCTTGTTTTACAGGCAACGTCCGGTAAGTTGACAAACAAGGGATGGATGCAACCGATAGAGTGAGATGATGGTCAAGAAGACTTGTAAAGAAACAAATTTCCGATGGTATCCAAGAAACAACGGATATGGGAGAAAACAAGAAAGCGGGTCAATGCAGGTAATTAAGGGCTGGACTCTCTTGCGCTTCTTTTGAGTCAAAGCTCCATTGACAGACAAAGAGAGGCGCAAGCTTGCTCCAAACTTTTGTTCCCTCGATCTCTACGATCTGCCGCCATCGGTCGATGACGTAGGCGACCATTGGTGGCAGTCATGAGACGCCCTGTAAATTGCAAGAGCAGACCGCTGGTCATTAGCTGGTGGCGCTATAAAATTGGAGCGCATTAGAGCAAACCGGCCTTGTACTACTCCATCAGTCCAGACAGAAAGTAAAATGGCCCATCTGGAAATGGGAAAGTCCCCGACTAGCACATCTTTGACTGCCTGCCAGCTCTCCTGGAGGCTGCTCATTCCATTCGATGCAAATGGGCTCTGCTGTTCGGAAAGCATGCCAATGTCGTGGCGAAATTGTACGAGAGAAAATCGACATAGGCATAAGACCCGCCTGTAATACAGGGCTCTTTAGGCCTTTCGCCCGCTGTTGCACGGAATCTAGCGGTGATTCAATTCTGCTGGCTTGATAGGCGGATATTTGCCATAGTGCAGTCATGTCTGGGCTTCGCAGGATACCGAATACACGATGCCAAATTATAAGACCACCATGAAGAAAATATAGATTGTGCAGATAAATATGTCAAAACATAAACGCCTTTTGTACGCCGGTATGCCGTTTTCGATCATAATCTCCTTCCACGTCTCCAAGCATATGGTGGCCAGCTGAGAACACGTGCCTTTTGCACACGCAAGCAGGGCCACCGTCGACGTTGCTCTGATAAAGTATGGCCGTCTTGGTGCAGTGGCATCGTAGTCCGGCCGGGACGGGACGGCAGAAGAACAAGCAGCCAGGCCGCCGACAGCCAGGCCGTCGACAGACGTCAGCCCAGAGACACACAACGACTGACGCGTGGGTATCCAATTTTGCCGTCCGAAACCGCAGCCGACTGGTTGTGCTCCTCTTTCTCACCATCGTATATTGCCAGCCTTTCCCGCTTGTATTCCCTTGCCACATTGTCTCCCGCTCAACCAGACGAGAACAGCGAGCTCTCGTCACGCAGGTACTCGCCGCAGTCTGCTTGCCGGAAACATACAATCGCCGTCGGCTCCACACGCCGTGCCTCGACCGTGCCGCGCGCCGTCACACCAAAGCCAATGGGGATGTCGTCCATGGTGACAACAACGATGCCCTGGTGCTCGGGGCAGTCCTCAGAGTAGCGGCCGACGTGGGCCTTGAGGATGTTGCCGCCGTACAGAAAGGGCATGACACCGTTGGGGCGGACCCAGATCTTGTAGCGGGCGTGCTCGGCGATGACGGGGAGGGCGGTGATATGGAGGCGGAACTTGCCCGTCTTTGTGAATTTGCCTGGCAAGGTTAGCGAAAGGGAAAGCAACACAGCGGCTTCAGAACGTCCACTGCGCCGGGTCCTACCTAAGCATGTTCCGACCGAGAGCAGCTTGTCGCGGGCGACCGAGGTGGCCAGGTTGGCGACCGACAGCAATACGTAGTAAACACGGTCGTGCGACAACCGGAAGACGTGGCGGTCGGCATCGGGAGAGTCGTCGATGGGCGCAATCAGGTTCTTTAGTGAGGCGCCAGTGTAGTCGGCGAGCTTCTTGAAGACCGTCTGGGTCTCTTCTTCAGTGAGAGGACGCATTGTCGCGCTGTGCGTGGGCTGGAAGAGATGATCGGGTGCTGGAAGTGCAAATGGACCTCCACGGCAAGTTGCTTTCCTCGCCTCACCCAGAAACTTTTTTCTGTAACTTTTTTTCCTTATCGCGATTTGGCCTCGCACTGTAGCGGCGCCGATAAGAAGACCCGCTTTTCTGGTGCGAGAGCCTCGTCCAGGAGCCCACTAGCGATAGCGGACATGCACCATTCACTAAATCATCAAATTCGCACTTCAAACTGAGCGAGTTACCTTCGACATCTGGCCCTAGATGATGTTCGACATAGTCTGTAGGTCAGCTCGTATATATGCTCTCTTCTTATATGTCAAAAATAAACCGAAATACAGTCAAAATGTCTCTAACATCATCGCTAAATGAACCGCCTAATATGCCCAAAAATAAACAAAGAACGGTACAAGGCATATTGCCTCGACATCATCAGTCCGCCATCAACATCGTCGATGCCGGCACCGTAGACATGCGCTCTGCCGTCAGCTTTAGGGATACCCGCAGCGGCTCGTTGGCCACCTCTGGGTCGTCCTTCTGCAGCTGCTGCCAGGCCGTCCGCTCGAGCACCCATACCACGCAGTCGAGGTCCGCATACACCGTCGCTGTGCGCCTCGTATCCGAGAAGAAGGGCAGCTCGCCGCACGTCGTGCCCGCGACAATGCTCTCGTGGTAGAACTGGCCGTGCGGCAGGTCGTATTCGGCCCGCACAATTCCCTGTTCCAGCAGATAAAAGCCCTCGGCAGGTGCGCCGGCTTGGAAGAGCATCTGGCCCGCGGCAAACTCTTGCCGTTCAAAGTAGCGCGTGGCACGGAACCAAAAGTCCTCGTTCTTGTCGCTAATGTTCTGGAACACCTGCAGCATCAGCCGCAAGGGTTCGGCAAAGTTGTGCCACCTGGACTGGCGGCGGTCTTCCAAGCGGTTGATCGACTCCCGGGCGGCCGTCCGAAGAAGGTTACGCCGTGGCGAGCTGGCAAGCATATCGACTGCAGGTCCCGACCCACTTCCTGTGCCGCTACCACCGGCTGGAGGATGCAGGTACGAGTTGACTGCCGGTGTGGCCGTCGCTTTCGATACGGCCTTTGAAGCGACGGCTGCACTTGCATCGCCAGCCGTCGACGCCTTGACAATCTCGCTGGCCTCGGCCTCTTGGCTGGCATAGAGCGTCTTCAGCAGCTCGTTCTCGCACAGCTCGAGAGCCGAGTTGATGTCCGGCAAAAAAGCGACCTCGATACCGTCTTCACCGACACCCACCGCGCGCAGGTCGTGGCCCAGAGCACGGTCCGCATCGACGCCACTCAGGACCAGATGGATCCCTTTCCCAGTCAGAAGGCGGCTGATTGTGTTAAAGGCCTCTCCCGCCGAGTAGTCCAGTCCCGTCACCTGGCGCAGATCAAGAATCAGGTAGCGGATCGGCCGCTGGATAAACGCCTCGTCGGCAATCAGGTCGCGGATTTTTTGCTCCACACTCACAATCGTGCCAAAGAACAGGTAGCCGGCCACCTTGATAATGCAGATCTGCCGTCCCACCTGGCGCAGGTAGTGGTGCTGCGCGTGGTTGCGGCGCACTGTCGAGGTGACAATGTCACCGGCGTACATGGCACGGACGGCCGAGACCTGCGACGTCTGGAAAATCAGAGACACAAACGCCAGCAAGATTCCGACGCCGATGCCCACGACAAAGTCATAGACACCCATAATCAAGACAATGACAATGACCTGCCAGAACGAGTCAGCCGCTGTTATACTTTGTGAAGTGTCTGTTCTGTCAAGTGTCTGTCTTACCGTTATATATTCGAGGGGCTTGAGCTTCTTGCGCGGCTGCCAGACAGCCTCGACGAGAAGCTCGAATCCAAGGTCAAAAATCAAGCATCCGACCATCATCACGGGGATAAAGCCAATGGTCTTGGGCCCAATCAGCATCACGCCGAACGTGAGAGCGGCCAGCTCGAAGCCTGCCAGACGGCTATCGCCGCCCGACCGCATGAAGAAGAGCGTGTTGGCATACACTAGGTAGTTCTGGATGCTACCCGTGCAGCCGGACAAAAAGTTGGAGTAGCCGTGTAACTTCAGTTCGTGGTTCAGGTCGGCGTGGTCTTCGCCCGTGTTGAGAGCCAGGGCGGGCACGTTGATCGGGACGTGCAAGATGCCAAAGAAGGTCAAGGCAAACATGGCCGGAATACACTGGGCAATGGCTCCCCAGTGAACCTCATTAAATTCTAGAAAAACAACGTTAGACGGGGTTATAATAGCGTTCGTGGCTGTAGCATCGTAACGTACTGTATAATGTGTAGAAATACCACCACGGCTCGCCGGCTGGCGGGCCTTGGAACACCCAGCCATGGTCACGAAGATCCGATGGCGACGCGGAGCTGCCGATCAGTGCAATCAGATAGAAGATGAAGGGAATCGTGATGATGTAGAGGGGAAGAAAGTATTTGTTGGTGATGTGCTTCTGTCCATAGAAGAGGACAATCGCGAGAGTCAAGGGAATGACCCATAGTGGCACCGTGTCGGGCTGTATCAGCTTCTGGAGCGTGTCGAGGTTGTACTCGAGGCTGCCTTCAATGCGTGCCGTCACTTCAAACCCGGTCGCAATCAAAAACCAGCCCACGCCACCAATACAGCCGATGAGGATATGTCGTGGGATGAAGCCCACAATGTAGCCGAACTTGAAATGGCCCATAAGGTAGAATACAGTACCTGTCACCATGGCACTGAGGGCGTACGATGTGATGGTCGTAGCAATGACAGCGTCGGGATGCTCTTCGCCCACCATGTCCGTGATAGTCAAGGCCATGCTATGGAAGAAGGGCACGACTTCGATCAACTCCGAACCAATGCCGCCTCTGAAGATACTCCCGCTCGAAAATACAATCTGCGACACAATGGTACTAACATAAAAGATGGAGATGCCAGCCGCACCCAGGTGTGCGAATATAGGACTTCCTAGCGGGAACAATATCATGCCTAGAAAGAAAAGGAGGTCAGCAGCTACATTCGCAGCAAATGTGTTAATAAAAGGCTCAAATATAACTCACCATATGAGAGTGCATCCAGAATATTAAGAAGCAAGCCGACGACGACAGCCGGGAGGCACGCGATGGGCGCGACAACCACATTTTGCCAGAGCCGTCTGCGGTCCCACCACTTGAGGTTCTTGACATTCCGGTAGGTTTTCTTGAATTTGTCCCGGACCACGATCGTCGGGTTATGTGTAGGTCCCTCTTGGCGCCGGTCGAAGATACCCAGAATCCGCCTCCGCATCGTGTTCATCTGTCCCTCCAAATCGTAGCTCGCTTGGCCAACAGACCCATTCGGAGCACCCGAGCTTCCCAAGAGGGGTGTTGACTCCGTGGGCACATGTGACGCGAAGTTTGTTCCGTTGACATGCCCGCCGGCGGCCGACGAGGACAGCCGACCCTGCTGGCGCTGCAAACCAGGCCGAAGCTCGTCGCCATCCTCTTCTGCGTCCGAAAAGACAGCGTAGCTGTCGCTCCTCTCACGCACAAGGGCACCCCGTAGCTGGTAGATGCGCCCACGGTATGCGTCATTGCGGGATTGTGTCTGTTCGCCCTGGTCTTGTTGTTGTTGCTGGTTGTTGCTGGTCGAGGCAAAGGGGCCTCCGCCGGGCGTATGTGGGGGCGAGCGCCGCAACGCTCTTGTCAACAGGGAGGGGCTCTCGCCAAAGGCGGCGGTGTCGTCGGATTCCTCGTCTAACGAGGGTGACGGTTCCGGTTCCGACGTTTCCTCAATAGGCTCAGGGTCTCGATTAGCGCCGCTCGTGTTGGCAGCTGTTGGGGAGTCAAGGTCATCAGCGTCCACGTCTGAGGAGACGGTGGTTCGGAAGGAGAGTGAGCGGTTGCGATCGAGGATAGAAGAGTTTTGGCGCTCGGTCTTGTCGGCAAGCTGGTAGGTGGCAAGCTCGGCCGTGTCTTCGCGTACAGATCGTGCTTGCAGCTGGCTACTGACGGGAGCTAGAATACGGCGACAGAAGCGTTAGCAGGTGCTTTCACATGACAAGGCAGCGCAGATCTCGTGCAGGTGCTCCTACCCAAGTCCCGCTGTGCAGGGTTGATAAAGGAGCGAATGGGCTCCCTGTGACTCGTCGAAGCTACAGACGACGAGAGCTGGTGCTGGCCCTGGTGATGACGACCGTCCTGGCTGTGGAAAGGTTCCCGGGGCGCGACCACGGAGCTGATAGAGCGAAGCCGGCCACGGCTGTCATGACTGCTGGCGCTGTCCTCTGATGCCACGGACTCAGCTCGCCGGCGGCCCCAAGCCGTAAAGGCAAACCCAGCCGGAGGTGTCGAGGACATGGTGACGGAGAGAGGGGGGAAGACGATGCGCGCTGGCGTCACTTATTTCGGTTTGTCGTGTGCCGTCTGTCGTCGACCTTTGCCCGCAAATGAGCTGCACACCGGTTTATGGCAACAGCATAGTGGGGAAAGCAGCCTAGAACAAAAGCAGAATAGATGCAGAGAACAATTGAGTCGAGAGAGGATTGATCGGGTTCCCAGATATGTGAGGTCGCCGGTCTCGTTCGAATCCGGGGGCAGCTAAATTAAGGACGACAGAAAAAAGTGGCGTCAATGAAGTAGGCGACTTTAGTCTGTTGATAACGGACAGCCGAAAGCTGCCAGGGTGCCAAGGTGTTTTTTTTCAAGGAGCCGACCAAAAGTACGACGTGCGCAAGCAGCCAAGACACGCGTAAAGAAGTGCAAAAGGGAACCCAAGGGCAGAGAGATTGTTGGATGCGTGATGACGACACAACTTCTCGACCATCAATTGTGCAGAATAAAAACTAACGACCAACAGAGCCTGCGCACAGGATGCAAAATGGCCCAAGCCTTCTCTACCAACAAGGTACAGAAGCTAGGTGACTAGGGTAGCTTCTGCTGCGGCCAAGGATCGACGATGGTGTCGGGGCGAGATCAGGGTGAAGAGGAGGAGAGGAGCAAAGAGAAGTGGGCAGTGAGAGAGAAGATGGCTTTTCCTTGGGCAACGGGACTAGCGAGCAACTGGAGCTGCCGTGATGGGGTTTTTCGTGTTTTATGCTCCGTCCCTCTTTCCCTCACTTGGATTCCGTTATCTGTCACTCAAGCTAGCGCTTTCCTTTTGGTAATGCCCTTTATGAACAGAAACTTGCAATGCATTGGACATCTTCCCGAGGAAGGGACTACTCGCATGCCTTAAAGCACACGCCCAGGAAGCTGCGAATGGCTGCGCGATCAACACGTGCAAGAATATCGGCAGGAGGCGCTGCCTCACGTTTCATTGAAAATAGCAAGAGCGATAGTGCAACTGCTGTCGCCATTATTATTGACTGATTTGTCGTCAACACAACGACGGAAGGCGCGAATTGGCGAGGACAGGCACAATGGCAACAGCAATGGTCTAGATCGAACGGGACGAAAGAGGAAAGAAGAGGTCGGTTTTTTGGCTGCAGGAGGACCAAGAAAAAGTGGACATCGTGCAATGTCTTGCAGTACGGTGTGAAAGGCTGCAGGTCATATGCTTCAGAATGGCTTTATCCCTTGAGAATTGCGTCTTCTGTGCGACCGATGGTTCAAAGATGAGGACGCTACTGTCAGTCTGAAGGGAAATGGCCTGTACCCCGTACAGAATAAAGTATATATATTGTGTATTCTATTTGCGACTTTTCCGAGGTCAATTGCGTCTACAGACTCTTGTCCATGCCCCGTCTTGAACTCACTCTTTTCCAGCCAGATGATAAGCATGATATGCACTGTACAAAGTAGTATGCACAGTCCAGGCGAGGCTGCCTGCAGTTTCTTTTCAGTGCCGCAGGAGCTTCCACGATGTGAAAACTTCATTGGCCATGTGGAAATGCAAAAACGGGCCATGCAGGCGCCGGGGACTGCAGCTGTTTGTCACACCAGCTGCCACGCCCAGTACTTTGGTCCAAATGCCGTTGCATTGTCTTAAAAATGCCAACGGCGAGTACCACGTCGAAATGCAGGCTGCCGTATGCGATGGCCTCGTGGTCTGAACAGACTTTTCTGTGGACGGCTGGGCATGGAATGTCTTGCATGTGTGTACTAATACTATTGTATAATGGAATACACACGCAGGTGCACACTGGCTATTCTATGCTATATAGCCCGTAAATAGACATCTGCAGCCCCCCACGGAGTCGAACCCTTGAAGGAGGGGCCTCGGATGGCCATATCGCAGTGCTTCAACTTCAGTCGGTCCCAGTCGTTCTGCAGGAAAGGACCTGCACGTCTTTTCTTTCTTCTGAGGATTGAATCTCCTTTGCGGCTGAGAACCAACAAATGGACCTGTCGTGATATCGAGCCTGTCCTCACATGTTGTGCTGTTCGCATATCGTGACATATTTACACCTGTCGATAGCGTCTTGCCGAGCGCTTCGTCTCGCTGAGTGGCCTGCCGGTCGCAACGATGTGCACCGTCTCGCGACGCGAAGCCTCCGTTCTCGGCGTGATGCGATGTACTTGTACATGGCCTGTGGTTTGGTTTCGTTGCCATTGCTGCCCTGCCAGTGTGTTGTTTGTTTGTCGTCAACGAGGCGCTATTCTGTTCCATCAATGGCATAGCAGAATAGCAAATGTTGCCAAACACCGATGAATCCACAAACGCGCACGTCTTTGGTAATGTGCCGCTCGGAGCAGTTCCAGCCAGCGGCAATCGAGAAACGAGCTGTTCATCCCAATTTCTGAAGGTACCCCTGGGCAATCAGCCGCTCGACATCACCCTGGCGAACGTAAAACTGGCTGTTGCGGCTCAGTGTGATGGATCTGTGGCGTGTTAGAAAGCGGACGCGGAAGGCCAATTCCACTACGGCATCAAAGACAACCTACCCATATTCTGTTTGGATCTCGCCCGCGTCTTTGAGGACACGCACATCGATAAACAAGTCCCGTGGCGGCTCCAGGCTACCGGTTAAGTCGATGTCTGTCCACTGGCCCTTGTACGCCGCCAGCAGGTCCGAGTACTGGCGCACATAGTCTTCCTCCTGCGGGCTCAAGCTGCTGCTGGTATTGCTCGCCTCGGACGAGAGGCCGTTGTCGCCCGCGCCGCCAGCACCACCAGATCCCCCCCCCGCTCTGTAGCCTGCGCCGCCGCCGCTGCCACCGCCGCCCACTCCAGCACTGCCGCTGGCGTCGCGCACCTGCTGCACCGACAAGTCGACCACGTCGGAGCCCTTCCACACGAGCTCCTCGAGCTTGTCGGTGCGCGTCCGGTGGTAGGCGAGGAGACAGCGTTTGTTGCGGCGCATGGCCAAATGGTCAACGAGCAGGGCGCAGGCCGTGGCCTGTTCGACGGACGGGTCGAAGTTGCCCTGGAACGGTTCCAGGAGTTGGGCAACGTCCTTGTCGAGGTCGCGGACTTCACGCGTCACGGCGCGGACGATCTCGGTCTGGTAGGGCGGCAAGTGCGCCAGGTTCTGTGTCCGTTTGGCATGTTGGACCTGGAGGCATGAAGTTAGCACGGTACAGAATGTCACAGCAAAATAAAAAGGACTTGCAAACAAAACGACGGCAGACGCACCAGCTTGTTACCCAGGTCTCCGTACATGGTTGTGGCGAACAAAAATGCGAATTGGGGCAGAAGCAGACAACAAATCGAAGTGAAAAACGCCAATGCCGGCGAACGTGTGCTGTTCTTGCGGCGTGGAGCGACGTACGTGTCGCGATGTATGATGTATGGCGGATGTTGGACGATGTTGAGATGCAGTCAGTTAGCAGAAAGTAGCTCGAGGCGTCAAAGTCGCGTCGCGGGCAGGCGCGAACAGCCAATTACGCTACCACAAATTCAGCACCAAGTCCGGGCCCACAGCAGGCTCAAATGCGCCAACCCGGAGCCAACGTACCCCACCATGCCATTGGCATCCCGCCTTCTCCAAAATCTCTTCCTGGGCGATGCCTGACCTTTGGCCTCCCGTTTGACTCAGCGGCGACGGCATGTCGCCATGTCACATTTCACACGTCGCCAGCCATGCAGCACGTTGGTAGGGGATCCAAAATGGTCGTCTCCTTGTCTATGCATTTTTTAAATCTTTTTTGCGTATATAGGGGGCGTGCAATGTTTTCGTCTCATCCCATACATTTCGACATGTCAAACGTTTCTCATGTTTTTTGCTTGTTCCCAGGATTATTCCCAGGATCATGTCATGTCCATGTGGTCGTCCATCCAACCTCGCGTACAACACCCGCACATATCAGCAAGTAAACAAAGTCGTCAAAAAATTGACGCTTCTTACAGCTTCTGCATGGCAACAACGTCGGACGACTGGACGTAGTCCTCGAACTCGGCAATCGTGTCCTGGAGGTCGTCCAGGGAGACCTTCTCGTCCTCGACGACCAGGGTGATCTGCAGCTTCTTGATGCCGAAGCCGACGGCGACCAGCTTGGACAGACCCCAGACGAGGCCGTCCTGGTTGATGCTGCGGACAGACTCCTCCAGAGCCTTCATGTCGGTCTCGTCGTCTGGTGTTGTTGTTAGTATGCAGGCAAGAGGCAAGTACTAGACACGTACTCAAGTACCCAATAGTAAAAACGAAGAGCAGAGACTCACCCCACGGCTTGACATCCAGCGTCACAACCGACTTGGCCGCCGGCTTGACCTTGCCCTCCTTCTTCTTGCGGTACTCGGCCAGACGCTCTTCCCGGATACGGGCAGCCTCGGCGTCCTCCTCCTCGTCGTCGCTGCCGAACAGGTCGACATCGTCGTCGTCCTCCTCAGCCGCCGGGGCCTTGGCAGGGTTGATGGTGACCTCGGCGATCTCGGGGCCGTAGGCGGTGTAGGGCTTGGAGGCGTCGCCGGACAGGGTCGCGAACTCGTCCTCGTACGTGGCGATGTGCTTGTACCACCGCGCAGCGTTGGGGTACTTGTCAGCCGCCGGGGCCGACTTCAGGGCCTTGAAGACAACAACATCGGCCTGGGTGGCATTGTGGCTGTTGGCAAACGTTAGCAAGCGTCCACAAAAACATGAGCAAAGTGACGGATGCCCCGAAGGGAAAGGCCCTAAAAACAATAAAAAACAAAAAATGTAACAAAACATAAAAGATCAGAGACGCAACTGCGTTGCAATAGATAGGTCGTCATTTACAGGTCTTGAGTCTGCTCGGAAACACGGACCAATTGTTCTCATCATAAGGTGTTCTGCAAGGGGAATTCGTCTTGTCCGAGGACAACAAAGAGAGCGCAAGCAAGGCAAAAAACGGAGAGCTGCAACTTACTCAACAATGTACGACCGGGTGGTCAGGTAGCTGTTCAGCACTGCGAGTTGTCGGTCAGCGTTGGACAGCCCAGGCTGCCGGCAAACGAGCCGCGCAGCGCATGAGTGAAGCAACGAGCGAGAAAGCAGAGAAGACAGAATAGAGCAGAGAGGCGAAGAGATAGAAGCAAAAAGAACACAAAAAACGAGTCGAATCAAGAACGAAGAAAAGAAGGCCCGCGAGGCAAAACAGCGCAGAACGTACCAGCAAGGCCGGCGTCGGTGAGCAGATCCGTGAAACCCATTGTGACAGGTAGAAGCAGAGTGAAAACTTGGTCGAGAAGAGTCAAGAAGAAAAAAGAAGACAAGGACGAATGCGAAAAGGGGGAAATTAACAGCTTGACGGAAAATTTCAAGGGGAGGTTGGCGATGGTAGGAACAGGAAAGTGCTGGTGGGGAGGTGCGGGCACTGACGATGGGCAGTGGTGGGACGCAGGGCCTTTTTGGGACGAAATTTGATTTTTGATTTTATTTTTCTGCCCCGTCGTTCTTGCCTATTTCTTCGTTCGCCTGGCAGCCACGAAACGGCGCAACGTGTTTGGTCTTGGGCCGCCTCTAGACTGCTTTAAAAAAAAAAAAAAAAAAAAAAAAAAAAAATTAAAGCGGGCCACTGTTGGCGGGGCAGGCCAGGCTGTATTGCCATACACCCTATACCGACTTACAAGGGTAAAATAAAATCCCTGTATATGCATATTGGACAATCCGAGCGCTAAGTGGGCTGTCCGATAAAGGATAAGGCCTGGAAGCTTCGGTGTAGCTCCCCGAAGATACTCGAACGATCTCGAGAACGCCCCAAGATACCCCAATATACCGACAACGACGAGGAGCTTCGGATGCCCGCCAGACGACCACACCACGAAGATGGTATATACAGACATGGTTATTGGATCACAGCAGACGCGTCCGGAATTGAATTTCTGATCTGACACATTTTTTCGGCACATTTTGGCCTGCCCCCGCCAACATCGCCATCGACAACAATGCTTGCACGAAATCAGATCCTCGCCAATTCCACAAGGCGACAGCTCCTCTCAGCAGCTGGCAAGTCTAGAAATGTTCCGCCCAGCAGCCTCCGGGCCAGTCGCTTCGCCGCCTTGAACACAGCCGTCCCCAGCTTCGCAGCGCCCGTAGCGCACACCTTCCAGTACTTGCCCATCGGAGCCACCCGTTCCTATGCCAATGGCCGTCCACATCCGCCCGGCGGCACCCACCGCATGGACATGGGCGGCGGTGAGGCGGAGAAGCCGGCGCTGGAGCAGTTCGGTATTGACCTGACGGCCCGGGCGCGCGACGGCAAGCTGGACCCCGTCATTGGCCGCGACGAAGAGATCCAGCGGACTATCCAGGTGCTCTCGCGGCGCACAAAGAACAACCCCGTCCTGATCGGCAAGGCGGGCACCGGAAAGACGGCGATTCTCGAGGGCCTCGCCCTGCGCATCGTGCGCGGCGACGTGCCCGAGAGCATCAAGAAGAAGCGCGTCGTCAGCCTCGACCTGGGCTCGCTCATTGCGGGCGCCAAGTTCCGCGGCGACTTTGAGGAGCGCCTCAAAAAGGTCCTGACCGAAGTCGAGCAGGCCAATGGCGAGGTCATCTTGTTCATTGACGAGCTGCACACGCTTCTGGGTCTCGGCAAGGCCGAGGGCTCCATCGACGCCTCCAACTTGCTCAAGCCGGCACTGTCCCGCGGCGAACTGCAATGTTGCGGCGCCACGACGCTCAACGAGTACCGCTTGATCGAGAAGGACGTTGCGCTGGCCCGCCGCTTCCAGCCGATCCTGGTCAACGAGCCGACCGTCGAGGACACCATCAGCATCCTGCGCGGCATCAAGGAGAAGTACGAGGTGCACCATGGCGTGCGCATCACCGACGGCGCGCTGGTGGCCGCTGCGACCCTGTCGAACCGCTACATCACCGACCGCTTCCTGCCCGACAAGGCCATTGACCTGATGGACGAGGCCGCCAGCTCGCTGCGCCTCCAGCAGGAGAGCAAGCCCGAGGACATTATGCGCCTCGACCAGAAGATCATGACGATCCAGATCGAGCTCGAGAGCCTGCGCAAGGAGACGGACATTGCCAGCCGCGAGCGGCGCGAGAAGCTCGAGATGGACCTCAAGGCCTACCAAGACGAGGCGGCGTCCCTGACCACGCGCTGGGAGAAGGAGCGTGAGGAGATTGACAGCATCAAGCAGGCCCAGGGCGACCTCGACCGCGCCCGCATGGACCTCGAGCGTGCCCAGCGCGAAGGGAACTTTGGCCGCGCCTCGGAGCTCCGCTTCGGCATCATCCCCTCGCTGGAGCAGAAGGTCAACAGCGACAAGCAGGGCAAGTCCAGGGCGGCGTCTTCGCCTGCTGCGTCCGACAGCGATGCGGCCCCTGTCGAGACCTCCGGCACCGACGCCGCCTCGGACAGCACCCTCATCCACGACTCCGTCACCGCCGACGACATTGCTACCGTCGTCTCTCGCATCACCAGCATCCCTGTGGCCAAGCTCACCTCAGGCCACATCGAGAAGCTCGTGCACATGGAAGAGACGCTGCGGCAGTCCGTGCGCGGCCAGGACGAGGCTCTCAAGGCCGTCGCGGATGCCGTTCGTCTGCAGCGTGCTGGCCTCTCGGGCGACAACCGGCCGCTGGCATCCTTCTTCTTCCTGGGCCCCACGGGTGTCGGCAAGACGGAGCTCTGCAAGAAGCTGGCCGGCTTCCTGTTCTCCACCGAGTCGGCCGTGGTCCGCTTCGACATGAGCGAGTTCCAGGAGAAGCACACCATCTCGCGCCTCATTGGCGCGCCCTCAGGCTACGTCGGCTACGATGACGCCGGCCAGCTGACCGAGGCCGTGCGCCGCAAGCCGTATGCCGTCCTGCTCCTCGACGAATTCGAAAAGGCGCACCGCGACATCTCGGCACTCCTCCTGCAGGTCCTCGACGAAGGCTACCTGACCGACGCCCAGGGCCACCGCGTCGACTTCCGCAACACCATTATCGTCCTGACGTCCAACCTCGGCGCCGACATTCTCGTGGGCAACGACCCTCTGCACCCCTACAAGGAGACCGACGACGGCAGTGTCGACCCCGCCGTCCGGGAAGCCGTCATGGACGTCGTCTCGGCAAGCTACCCGCCCGAGTTCCTGAACCGCATCGACTCGTTCATCGTCTTTAAGCGCCTGGCCCGCGCCGCCCTGCGCGACATTGTCGACATTCGGCTGCGCGAGCTGCAGGGCCGCCTGACCGAGCGCCGCATCACGCTCGATGTGACGCTGCCCGCTCGCGACTGGCTCGCCGACCGTGGCTACGACCCCAAGTTTGGCGCGCGGCCCCTCAACCGTCTGATCACCACAGAAATTAGCAACAACCTGGCCGACAAGATCATCCGTGGCGGCGTGCGGACGGGTGACGTGGCCACGATCACGGTCAAGGAAGACGGCTCGGGCCTGGAAGTGGCGACGGCAGCGCCAAGCACGGTCACGCCTGCACCCGCCGACGACGCCGCAGCTACTGAGTCGTCATAACAACCCCATCACTCTCTCTCTCTCTCAACAAAAAAAAAAAAAAAAAAAAAAAAAAAAAAAAAAAGAAAAGGCATTAGTCGACATCGGAGCAAGGTAGCAAAAGAATCACAAGGGCCTACATTGGCAATGATATCATGGGACATCTAGGGGGTGGGACATTTCAAAAACTGGACTTGAGGCGTTTTTACTGGATTATATTTGGCATATTCGTATTTGCAGTTTTGGGTTGTCGTTTTATTTTTCTTCATTCCCCTCTTGTGACATTATGCAAACATGTTCTGTATTATCGTCCGAAAGAATCTAACCATCCTAACTCGGGTACGTTTTAAGACTTTAAAGTATTAACAGACGGTCTTACATCATTTTGTTTAGATTTTGTTAGACGTTTCCAAGTGTCTCAAATTTATTGTCTCGTCTTCTTATCTCGTAGAATAAAACAAACACTACAGCCAACCTTGGCCATATACCAATATGCCAATGGAAATAAAACAAAGTGGTCACACGCAGCATAAAATAGTACAGTCTGAGGTACGCTTTGGTAACAGTGTACGGACAGCAGATAATCATGTTGGGAAATAAACTCTTGTTCAAGTGTTCCATTTTTTGCGAATAAAACAAACGAAAAGTACAAAGCTGTTCATAACAGAGGTTTACAGGATTGATTGGGATTGAGTGTCTGCGGTTGACGGGTGGTAAAAGAGAGAAAAAAGAGACTGGTAGGTACGAGAACGTTGAGACAGTTTGAAACGAAAAACAGAGAGATGTAAACGAGACGAGAAAGAAGGCGTGCGAGCAAGGAACCAAGTTGAAGAAAGAGACACCGATTCAGAGCGAAGACTGCGGCGGAGGGGAAATCAAACACCAGCAGCCAGATGGACATACAGCAGTGAGAAACACAAAAAATAAAATAGAAAATAAAGACAAGAACCGAGTAACAGAAGGGGAAGAAAAAAAGCGCCTGGGATGAAAAAATAAGGGAGACGGATTATAAAACAGGCATATAAAAAGCACCGTGCAAAAAAATAAGTCTTTCTCTTTTCTCAAAGAGGCCCCCAAACCCTTTCCCATCTTGCCCTCGGTCTGCCACACCGTCTTCGCTCTCCCTCGTATGTTTGTCGTTACCCTCTTTCAACGTCCCTGCTCGTTCTCACTCTCACGCAATCTATCCCCCCTTCGTCCCCCAGCGCCTGGTTTCGTAGGATGTTGCCGATGTTCGCCATCTCTTTACTGGCTAGCCTGGCTCTTCTTCAGCGCACCCGAAAGCCAGTCAAGTCCCTCGTACAGACCGTCACCGGACGTGGCGCACGTCGACTGGATGAACTAGAGAGGAACAAAAGTGTCAGTTGTCTGATGCGCCGCATGAAGTAGAACGGAAACAAAATACGACTGAAGCTTACCCATTGGCGTTGCCGCATGCTGTGGAGACCGAGCTTATCTGTGATCTCGGCGGCGTTCATGGCGTTCTAGACAGCGTATAGTTAGCATCAAGCAGTTGGGTTGCTATGGCCGGGAATGAGCTGGTCGATAGGGGAACATATGGCTACGGTCCAAGCAAGGGATGCCCCAAAACTGGTCCGCCAAAACGGGAGAAAGAAGGCCAACACCCCAGGACAAAGAGAACTGGCCACGCGCTTTAAAAGCGTCGAAAGCGGAAATCGAAACAGAAAATGGGAAACCGAAGGAAAGACGTGGGTGGGATAAACGTACGGGCAGATCCTGCTTGTTGGCGAAGATCAGGAGGACAGCGTTGCGGAGCTCGTCCTCGTTGAGCATGCGCTGCAGCTCCTCGCGGGCCTCGATGATACGGTCGCGATCGTTGGAGTCGACCACGAAGATGATGCCCTGGGTGTTCTGGAAGTAGTGTCTCCACAGAGGGCGGATCTTGTCCTGTCCTCCGACATCCCACACGGTGAACTGGATGTTGCCGTACTCGACGGTCTCGACGTTGAAGCCTGCAAAGCGGTGTTAGTCAGGCCCGAGAAATGGTCCAAACGGGAGGTCCAACGCCAGCCATCGAGGCCTACGTACCGATAGTGGGAATCGTCGTGACAATCTCGCCAAGCTTGAGCTTGTACAGAATGGTGGTCTTTCCGGCAGCGTCAAGACCGACCATCAGAATACGCATTTCCTTCTTGCCAAGGAAAGAGGCAAAGATTCGGGAGAAGTTGAGACCCATGTTTGCGGCTGGGAAGAGGTGGTACTAGGTGGTTCCGAAAGAAAAGAAAAAGAAAAAGAAAAGCGGGGAGCGAGCGAGATAGACGACGAAATACGAACGGCTGATCTAGAAGTTTACCAAAAGAGGCACGAGTTAGCAAAGCTGCGATTTGGGCCCGGATGCGCTGCGAAACCAAACCGGAAACGATCACGAGACCAGGCAGGTTGTGGAATTCAGAGGCACGAAATGTAGGAACCTAGGAGGGCTTTGTTGCCCGACGTGGGGTATGATTTGGAGAGTGTGTGGGTGGTAAATGGGAAAAGGCGGGATGATGCAGGTATGGCGCGAGAAAGCAGGTACTGTCCTGACCACTGCTGTCGTGCGCCGGCGCCGACCAGATATAGTGGCAGGAAAGCATCGCTAGGCCGACAACCATTAAAAGAGGACAGATAACTTGACAACGCCCATGGTCGCTGCGAGGAAAACATCACGACTTCTGTAGCCATCCGATAGCAGGAGAGAGCTCTGGCGCAGGCAGCAGCACAGCAAGAAGGGGGCTGGGACGATGGAGGGAGGGGGTCTAGGTCTGGCAGGATGAACTCCGTCTGAAGGCTGCCGCAGTCTGTGTCTGGCCGTGTCCTGCTCCTGTGTATGGCTTTGATCGATGTCCGCTTTGAACCTGCACCTGGCAAGGGATCCGGTCCAGGCTCCGAGATTAAAACACCAAGTGAACACCGCATCAGGAGGTGTGGTGGAAATCACGGGCGGCAAGTCTGCCAAGTCGATGCCGGGCTCCCTTTGACGGATGCCTTGGGATTGGAAGAAGCTGCATGGGCGGTCGCCAGCGGACCAAGGCGGCGGTGCACGCCAGTCCTGCATAAAAACTCGGCGGCGCATCTCGAAAATATCGGGTTGCAAAACTGGCGGCTTGATCTTGATCCGAAGGCGAGCAGAACGCGATGTGCCAGGTAACAGGGAGGCCATAGGCGGACAGTCCAACGAACAGACATCACGGTGGTGTACCAGGAGACAGGGGAAGGAGACGACCAGTCGATGCTAGCATCGTAGGGCTGACGTGCAGAGGACAGAGGGAAGCCATTAGGGAAGATGATACCAAAACAACAACAGGAGCAAAGGAGTGACGATATTCCAGGGGGTTGACAAGGTGCGGGCCGGATGAAAGCCGCCGAGTGGTCTTGTTTGTCGCTTCGATTGGGGACAATCGCAGTGCAAAGCACAAAAAGCAGGAAAGGTGCTCACCTCGAGGATGGAGTCGGGATTCGTGGCTGTAGACGGGTGGTGGGTGGAGGTGGTTCCGGTGCAGAGAGGAAGTAGGAGAGAAGAGGGAGAGATTAGTTGGGGTGAGGAATAACTGGGTGATTTATCGCGATGTGGCCAAAAGTGGGATTTGTCGGTGTGTGGACTCTGTGGACTATGTGGACAGTGTGGACTGTGCGAGCGAGGAAGGAGGGACTGGGACGAAAAAAAGGGAAGGGGGAAAGGGCGGAAAGGGGGGCCTCGGAGGGGGTAAAATTTGAGACCAGAGCACGAGGAGGCTGGGGGAAGGCACTGACGAGGACCAAGATTGTGCTACCGATACTGCACTGGCTCGACTGGTTTGTGCTGATAGGACTTTTCGCCTCCCCCTTTTGCTTGTTGGACTGCGCGGGTCGCTCTTGCACTGGCTGCCTGGGACTGGACAGTGCGTGGTGTGTCTTAAGCCTGGTGGACAAGGCAGGAACGAATCAGCGTCCTTGCGAACATATACGATCGAAACTGTCTTCAGCGGGCTAGGTAGCTTCGAAGAGGGGTTGGTTGGGCGCTGCTGACAGGTGCCTGTTGGTCGCCAGCGCTGTAGCTTTCGCGTCTAGGGCAGTCGAGGGTCTTTCCAGGGAGCGAGACAGGAGGGTCCGCCGAGCCAGACGCGATAGAGACAGCCAGGACAGTGGGTATCAGTGGGTATCATAGTGGGGTTCGCAAAGGGGTAGCAAACTTAGGCCACAGCGCACTCAATTGGCCGGATCATTTCTCGGGCCGGTTTTTCTGGACGGGGAGCACCTGTAAATGGGCACCAGCACGAACATGCTGTTTGAGTTTCACGTGCTCGCCTCAGTGTTCAAAGTAGGCCCGTCTGTAATTCGTAGTGCCCACTATAATTGGCTCTTCCGCTACAGACAACCAGCTCCAGGCCTGGAGCCACTGAGCACTGCACTGCTCCAGCGCCAACGCCAACCAACCGCGTTCTGCCCTGGGTCCCATTGCTATTGCTAGGGCGGGTCCCCAATCGCGAACTGGCAAGCTGTCTCCTTTCTGGGTCCGTCCCCGTATCCCTGGAACAACACGTAAAAAAGAAAGGGGCCGTTTCTCACGATTTCCACCACTTTGTCAACCACACGCGATCATCGACGACAGAGGCGAACGGCATACGGCTTGACAACGGAATTGGTCAGTTTCTTCTTTTCTTGTTCAGTTCTCGACTCTCCTTCATTCTCTTCTTCGGCTTTCGTCCTCGACACAATGGTTCGGCTTCTTTTCGGCCTCTTGGCTGCTGGCGCGGCCCTCGTCCAGACCGTCGCCGCCCACAACATCCAGCTGCCGGCCCACGGCCGCGAGTGCTTCTTCGAGGACCTGCACAAGGACGACAAGATGACCGTGACCTTCCAGGTCGGCGACCGCGAGTTTGGCGGCGCAGGCAACCTGGACATTGACTTTTGGGTGAGATGCAGCTCCCGACCCAAGACTGGTGCCGGCCATTTTGTACGTTTATACGGTAAGACCACATTCGCTGACGCCCGTTGCCTAGATCACCAACCCGCCCGGCCAGTACGAGACGCTGCAAAAGTCCACGTCCAACGGCGACTTTACGTTTACGGCGCACCACGACGGCAAGTACATGTACTGCTTCAGCAACGAGCACTGGGGCGCGTCCAGCAAGGAGGTGTCGTTCAACGTGCACGGCATAGTATACGTGTCGGATGCCGACGGCCCCAAGGACCCGCTTGAGGCGGAGGCGCAGAAGCTGTCGGAGATGCTGGCCCAGGTCAAGGACGAGCAGTCGTACATTGTCGTGCGAGAGCGGACGCACCGCAACACGGCCGAGAGCACCAACGCGCGGGTCAAGTGGTGGAACCTGTTTGTGATCACAGTCGTTGTCGGCGAGTCCATCTTTCAGGTGTGGTGGCTGCGGCGGTTCTTTGAGGTCAAGCGAGTGATCTAAATGAGGGCTGACCGGGCCTCGGAGTGACGGGTGGGCGTGGGAAAGGCATCCACAGCAGGACGTTGCATGAGGACAAACATGAAAGGGGGTCGAACAAGCACAGACGTGCATCTAATCATCAACGACCACAAAACAAAAAGAGAACACGCCACGAAACAATACGAAGCGAGTTATTTTTGGCGCGCGCATACACAAAGTCTGGTGCAGGTCTTGGACAGATCTGCTAATATAGACTTCAACTTCGCGTTTTTTATCATATGTATAGTTATCATTTTCTGTTACAATACGGGACGAGGAAAATACATCAAACGGCATTTGCTTTTCATTTCTCATTATCAAAACATCTACTGCCGTAGCCTTCTAGTATATACACCGGCGCCACCGTGTTTCCTGATGGACGTCATGCCAAGAACGTACTACAACTTCACAAGGCGCTCTTTGATCCAAGGCAAATAAAAATAGACGAGAAAAAAGGCAAGCAAATGTATACAAAAACACACAAAACGTGCCAGCCCGGAAACCAAACGCCATTGTCATGCCCGGAAAAGAACAGCGCATAAATAAAACCAAAGCAACCCAGCAGCGCAACGAACACATCATTACAACTCGCAAAAACGTGCACGCCGACATGATCTCGTTAATTCTCTTTCCAACGCTTGTGTTTGTCATCGCGGTGCTCTACGACCCAGGGTTGAGGTCGCTGTCGGGCTTGTTGTAGTCCTCATTCGCATGGCTCTCGACGGGCAGTTCCACGCTCTTGATGGGATGCAGCAGCATGGCAGGCAGGCACATGCGGCCCTCACCGCCGCGCATGTTGGACACGGTCGAGTCGTTGCGGGTAACGTCGGCGTTCTCCTCGAAGTCGGCACCGCCGTCGCCGTTCACCTTCAGGCCCAGCCAGCGGCGGTACAAGTTGGGCGAGAAGCCTGCGTTGTAGTACCAGGTCAGACCCAAAAAGTTGTGCTCACGCTGGCCAAAGACGGACATGCGCGAGCCGCCCGAGGCACCATTGCGGCCACCGTTGAACGTGCGTGCCATGTACTGCGTCGGCCACTCGCGATCGACATAGACAGGGTGCGGCACGTAGACAGCCTTGTAGCCGTGCTGCAGGGCAGCAGTGGCAGGCCACATCTCGGAGAAGGCGTGGTGCTTCTTGAAGGCCGTCTCGCGGTGCATCGTGTGCAACATGCGACGGGACATGCGAGAGGCCGTGATGATCTGGGCGCGCCGCTGCGGCTTGCCGCTCGTCTGGCCGCCCGCTCTCTCGGCTGTCTCGTTGTAACCGGTGATGTCGTCGGCCAGCAGCCATGTCGTGCCCTCGGGGTCGAAGATGGGGTTCAGCGTAATCAGATCTGCCTCCTCGCCCACGCCCCACGTGTACCGGTCCTTCTCGTACGAGGTGGGCGGCACAGGATCGTTTTCGGGCTCAAACCAGTCCTCCGGGTCGGCTGGTCGCACAGGGCCCCAGACAGTCTGCTCGCCAGCGACCTTGTTGGCGCCGGGACCCGCATTGGGACCAGCACCGGGGACGCCGCTCCAGATATTGTCGGCACCAGCAAGGCCCGCCTCCGTCTGCACACGTGCCATCTGACGGAAGTCCTCCCAGGAACCGTGGACAGAGGGAATGTAGAAGCGCGAGTTACGCTCCCACAGGCCCTTGCGAGGCTGTTCCTTGGCCCAGTTCTCCATCTTGGTGAAGAGGTCGAGGTGGTGGCCCGTGTAGCGGATATCCATCTCCCACTGCCAGAAGTACTCGTACTCGGGATGGTTGTAGGAAAAGTGCTGCATGGCCATCTGGAGACCACGGTAGACACCGTGGACCGGCAGGCCGGGACCGCGGGTGTACAGGTCGTGGATTCCCTGGTACAGCGACAGCATCTGCGTTTCGGTCCACAGCGTGACGATGCTGCGGAACTCGGGAGGAATGACGGAGTCGATCTTCGCCCTGTAGGCCCCGTCGTCGGCCCAGATGGGGAACTTCGCGTCGTTCTTGACCTGGACAAGGAGGTGGACGTCGTAGCGTCCGCCCGACGCAAGCGAAAGTTCCACGATGAGAGCGCGCAAGTTCATAATGTCCTCCTCGCGCCAAATAAACTCATCCCAACAACGGATCACAACAGCCGTACGCGGTATGTCGCCCTGCGGGGGAGGTGCAGCCGGAGCAGCAGAGGTTTCGGCATGCACGACAGGAGCTGAATCAGTGCTGTTCATGGCGGGCTCAGAAACGACGTCGGACGTCGCCTCCGCAGGCGCATCGCGTGGCGCGTGGTGAATGGGCGCAGGAGCTTCCTTTCCGAGAGGGGCACCGTCATTGATGTAGAGGCCGTTGACCGGGGCGTGGCGAGTCTCGGCCGGCTTAAAGCGGCGGGCATTAGCGTTGTAGCAGCGTTGCTGGGCGCCGGCCCAGTCCACCTTGCGATAATCGACCTTGCTGGCACCACCCGCCCACACAGCCTCGGCCCCCTCGTTCTCGCCATACTCGCCGACTCCCAGGCCACCTGAGCGCACCGAGTAGCCGTAGCCGTATGGGCCGAAGCGACCAAAGCGGTCAAAGCAGATATCCTCGGGCAGCGACAGAAGCTCATACGAGCCCATAATGTTCTGAGGAAAGCCGTTGGGGCGGCCTTCATAGTAGCGCAGAGGCGGCACACTGACAGTGTTCTTGTCGTCGACGAAGCAGGGGCTGATGTGATCCGGGTCGCTCGCCTTGACGTAACCCTTGTACGTGTCAAAGGCAGCGCTGGGCGGCAGAGGCGCCTTGTCCACCTTGTGCAGGGCAGCAGCCGCTGCGGCCGCGGCCGCGTGCAGGTGCACCTTGGGCGCAGCGACGTCGCCCGTGCCTGCGGCATTCGCCGATGTATCGTTCACGCCCAGGCCGTACGGCTGTTCGTCTTCCTCGCGCGGGTACTGCGGCACGTTCTCCTTGAGCGGGACCAGGTTGCGCACGCCGCCATAGTAGCGAGTCAAAAAGTCAAACGACTCCCAGGCAGGCGGGGTTGCCGCTCCTTTGCCGCCGCCAACGGCTAACCGGCGGTTCTCCAGCTGGCTGGCACGGACGAGTGTGATGATGAGGACAACAATTGTCATGATCAGCGCCGTGCAGAGGTAGCGGATGACCTTTTGTGGCAGGCGGTAGATATGTGCGCGAACGGCGGCCGACGCAGTGGATGCCCGCAGCCGCCGCCGGGGCTGTTCAAAAGCCGACACCGGGTGTCCGGTACCAGGGGCGCGTTTTGGCAACATATAAGAAGTCGAGGCTGCCGTGCCGGAGGACTGTCGCGAGAAAGCACGGCCGCTGCGTGGTGAGGAGGCTGCGCTCTCACCGTCGTAGTCGTATTCGTCGTCGTCACTGCCATCGGGTGAGGAGATATCGTCGTCTGAGTAGCGATCCTTGCCGGAGGATGCTCTTGTGGGCTTCTCGTAGAGAGGAAGTGCCTGTGGCCGTGAGTCCCGCGAACGGAACAGGCCCGTGGGGAGAAGCCCCATGGCAAAAGACTGAGTGATGGAGGGCGGAGAAGAATGCGAGCTAGAGTCGGCAGACCAAGTCTGGCTGGAATGGTGTGCGGTATGGCCCGCGAAGTGGAAGGACGTTGAGGAAACTGTCCAAGCGGCACGATGAGACGACGGGAAAGTATCGAGGCGTTGAGAGGAACGATCAGAGGGAAAAGAAAAGAGACAAGAAAAGTCGACGATCGTCACGACTGGCTAAATAAAGTGGTCGTCCTAGTAGTGCGGCACAGGAGATAGGCATGTGCAAAGCAGAGACAAAAAAGTTGCCAACTGGAGTACGACAAAAAGAAACAGACAAAATTGTGCCAAAGTCAAAGTGGATGAGGACGGGAGACGATCGTCTGCTGCAGATGGATATCCGTCAACAAGTCCGTTGCAAAATCAGAAAACAAGAAAGCGACTCCTTCCCAGAACACAAAGAGGTCGAGCCTTCTTTCTCGTTGGTGTCGCCCCTTCCCTCTTCGTCTGGCCAACTTTAGTGGGGGCACAATATAGCATAAGGGAGTTCAGGAAGTCGCGACGCAAGAGAGATTGGGTCGCTCTTTCTCGCCTTTGAATTGCTAGTGTGAAAGTGTTTTGCTTGCTTTTTTGTTATTAGTGTGCAGCGCTGCCGCAGGCCATTGGCCAATGTAGCAAGAAGACGGTCCCACTTGCTATTTCTGGGCTAGTTGCTAAAGCAACCGAAGCAACAAGGTGCGGGTAGTGGGACATTTCAAGCATTCATCATGAACCATAATCGTACAACAAAAAACTCGGATCATGTGACTAAAACGCCATCCTTTTAGGGACTAGCGGGTCCGCTTTTCTCGTGACCACGTCGAAAACGCGTCGCGTCCTCTTTTTTGTTTACTTTTACCCGTATCTATCACTATAATCCTCCGTTTATATAATCTGTACGTTCTTTTACCCTTATCGTTTTTCGGTAATTGAACTACTATGGAAGACGGTATGTAGATTACTTTTATGTTATCTTTTCGACCGTCTTTTTATATATATGGTTAACTTTTCTTTTCTTTTTTAAGATATTATAACGTCTTGTCGTCGTTAAAAATCGGTACCTTTTTAAAACCTTAACCGTCTCTCGACCCTTTTTTATCTCTCGACCCTTTCCTTTTATCTTTAAACCCTTTCTTTTTATTTTTAAACTCTTTCTTTTTATTTCTCGACCCTTTTTTCTTACCTTTTAACCCTTTTTTCGGTAGTTTTATTAAAAGGTATTATTCGAAATATTAAATAGTACGAGATATTACCGAATTCGGGTTTTTATAAAATAATAAGTAAAAAAGGACTTATATAAAGTATAAAAAAAACGTTTTATTTTTAAATTAAACGTTTAAAAGGTTTTTATTAAAAGTTATAAACGTAAAAGTTATTAATATACTTTTTTTACTTAATTATTTATTTCTTTTTTATTTTCTTTATAATTAATATAATTAAAAGAATAATAAACCTACGTTTATTAATATATTATTTATTATCGACCGTTTATTTATCTTTTTCCTTTTTCTTTTATTAAATTAATAAAATTTAAAAGAAAAAAAAGAAGTACTTAAAAACGACGTCTCGTAAACTATTTTAACTTTAATCGACACTATTTAATAAATTAGTAGTTATCGTTTTTTTTAAAAAATAACTTATAAAGTTTATATCTCGTTTACGTTTTATTTTTATTATTATTAAGATACGAATATAAAATAAAAAAATAAAAACGAGAGTTAACGAGATAAAAAAAGTTTTAAACGTTACGATTATAATAATCGTTTAACGATTAAAGTATATTATATCGAGTATACGTTTATACTTTTTCTCCGTCACCGTTATTATAAGATATATATAAATATTAATCTTAAATTAAAAGCCTTAAAGTATATCGATATACGGTTTAACTTTTACACTCCCGTAAAGATTTACTACGACCTTATTATTAGTAAAGTGTTTAACGTAGGTCGTATAACCCTTTTTTAAGTTTATTATTAGTAAAAGAAGGTTAATAAAAATCTTTAAGTATAAGATTAAAATTAATACGTTTTTATATTATTACTTTTATTAAAAAAAGTCGATAAATTTACCTTTAAAAAGTACGTTTATAATAATATAAAAAAACTTACTTTTTTTTATAAAGAAATAATATAACCGTTTACTTTTATTATAAAAGAGTTTTTTATCGATACTACTTTCGGTATAAATAACGTTAATATAAATTTATTTATTATTTTTACGAAAGTTAACGGGATTAACGTTCTTTTCGTATACCTTTTCTTTAAAATAATAAAAATAACGTTTAATATTAAAAAGATTAACGTTAACGTTACGAAAGTTACGATAATCTTTTTTTTAACTTTTATACAAGATAATAGTTTTACACCTTCGTTTTTTAATTATAATAAAGATTAGTTTAAAATTACGGTTATTCGTTACGTCTTCCCGATTATTAAAGTATAGTTATATACTTAGTATATAAAACGTATAATAAAGACGAGGTTAATAAATATTAAAATAACGAGTTTATTATAATACTACTCTTTTAAGGTTTTATAACTCGTCTTTAATTTAAAACCTTATTAAAGATTCTTATTAATACGACGGTTTAAAGGATTATATTGTAAAAGGATATATAATTATATATAACGTATTATTAATATATTAAAAAATACTTCGTTAAAGTCTTTATTTTTAAACGAGAAAAAGACTATATTTAAAATATTTATACGTTACTTTAACGTACACTCGTTAATATTAAACGATAACGGGACTCGTTATAACGTAAAGTTTATTTATAAAGTATACGTAAACGAGATATACGAGTGGTGTCGAGTTCGTAACTACTTTAAACTTTAGGTTTATATATATTTTAATTAATATAAGTAAAATTATTAGTTTTTATAAACTCGTTTTATAAACACCGTAAAAATTTTTATTTTAAAAACGATTATAATTATTAAGTTTTATTAACGTTAAATTAAATACGACTTTTTATATCGTTTTAATCGACTACGTATCGACTTAATAATATAAGTTTTAACTACGTATATATTTCTTAACGTAATTAAGTAAATATATATAATACTCGAAAAAAACCACCGTATTACTCGTATAAGTTAACGTAAAACCTTTAAAAAGTAATAAAAAACGACGATTTAACGGTTTATAAATCTTATAATTATTTAACGATACTATATAAACTTATAATATTAAATATACGGTTACCTTACCTTTTTAATAAACCGTTTCCTTTTTTACAAGTATATCCTTTATTACTTTAAACCTTTAATTAATAATATACACTTTTTCGATAATATATAAAAGTATAAAACGTGTCCTTTTTAAAGTTACGAGTAACTTCTTTTAAAACTAAAATATAAACTCTTATAAATAATAAAGTAAGTTAACGTTATAAATATATAAAGGGTAAGTAAAAAGGTTTTTAATAATACGTCGAGTATTTTTATTATTAATATTAACTCGAACGATTTAAAAAACGAGGTTACTAATAAATAAGGTCGTAATATTAAAGATTATATTAAACGTCTTTTTTTTTAATTTAAAAATAAAAGATATAATAAAATACAAGATTTATTAACGGTTTAAATATACTTTTACGTTCTTTTATACGGTTAATCGACGATATTAATAGTTTATAAAAACGGTATACGATACCTCGTACTTAAAATATACGTAAATATCCTTTAATAATATTTTACCGTTTACTTATAAATAAAAACTTTAATAATATAAATAATAAGTAATTAATAATATAATAATAATTCTTTTACTTTAAATACTTATAACTTTATAAAAATATAATAATAAATATTATAATAAAAACGTTTTTTTAACCTTAAAATATATAAAAAAAACACTAAGTACGGTTAAAATAATAAAAGGTAATATTATAATATCGAAAAAGTATAATTTTAATTTAAAATTATTATACTTCGGTTACTATACTACTTTTATAAAAAAAAATCGGAAAAAATAAAAAAGGGTATTAAAAAGTAACACGTAATTAATATATTTATAATACAAAAATAATTTTCTTCTACTTAATACAAAACGTAGTCATTTTAACGATATTCTTCACGATGTATTTTTACAGCCTCACTTTTTTGACGCGCGGGCAATCGCTCGCGTTCCTGGCGGATTGATCACATGACCTATTTTAGTCACTTTTGTCACATGATCCGAGTTTTTTGTTGTACGATTATGGGACGTCGTATTCATGGGCTAATCACGAGGCTCGCTTGCCTTTGGTGGAACAGGCGCAGGCAAAAGTTCATTCTTGTGAGGAAAGGGGTGCAAATTGAAGGGAGGCAGGTGCGACACAGTTTGCTGATTGATGCGGCGTCAGTGTGAGGACGTGGAGGCAGGCGCGGACGGGGAAGTAAAAGAGCGCCGTGGAAAGGGCTACCAGCCGGCCAGTCGTTCTTTCTCCCTTTCCAGTTGCTTGTCTTCTGTCCCTTCCCCCTTTCCCCCTTCTCTTTGTCAATTTAAACTTGGCTGGCCGAAACTAACTCCACAATTAACGTCAATGCGACCTGCCAACTTGGGTCGCTCAAGTGGGTTTTTGTACCGTCCTTTTGTCCTCCACTTCGAACGACCAAAGCCCAGCAGCAAAATAAGGGCGACATTTCATTTGTGTATCCCTGTTTATGAGCCTCTCACGCAAGGCTACGCTCTTGTACTCTTCCGGCATGCTCTGTAATTACCCGCTACCCGTCCTTCCGTGGACAGGGGGACGTTTAGTAAGGACATTAAAGTGTACTCTCTTTGATCCAAGATGAATGGCCAGAAAAAACAATGGAAAGAATCTGCGTTGCCAAGACTCTTTGCAAGCTTTCAAAGAAACTCACACGAGTGTAAGACGTGCAATGATATGGAAGGCGATACATGAGATTCGTTATGTGAGATGCGATGGATGATGAGGCAAGCTTTTCTATATAAGTTTCTCCTTGATCTTTGTTCATTTTATGAATAAAATATCACAAACAACAGGTGCTTCCTGTCGTATGTGTCACCGTCTTGATATTCGTACTCTTCCAATTTGTTTTGTCAAATCGTTACTTTTTATATTGTTTAACAGGGTTTCTTGAAATGATGTTTGCTGCAGTAGACTGAGGTTTGTTTTTGTAACTGGCCTGCATTATCTCAAGTTAAATTCATTGCATTTTATTGTCCTTTTGTAAAAAAAAAAAAAAACCTGTGAAACTCGACAACAAATACATACTTTCCTGCCATCTTAACTTACTCTAGCACATCGGTCCCATTAAGTTCAACAGAATAGCCTCGTGCCACCTTATCAGTAGATCGCTTATTGATTCTCCGCCAGCCAGAAATTCTTCTTTATCCTCATTCGTCCTGCCCTACTTCCATCCGGGTCTTTCACTCGTTTATGTCCCAAGCAACCATCTCCCCCGTCCTTCCTAGCACACATCTCGCCATTTTATAAGATCATAATTTGGACACGAAGGAAATGACCCAAATATGTTCCCAATAATTGAAATCGTCACCTCCCACGTCCTTCTCAGTCCCCACTCCTCTGCTGAGGGCTTCAACTTACACGGCCCCCCACCTTGGATCTCACCGCGTCTCTGAGCCTCTCACCTCCTCTTTGCCTTGCATCTTCTCCCTCAAATTGGCGTGTTTCTGCAGCTGCTCCTGCATCGGATGCACCCCCAATTTTGGGCCCATCACATGACTTCTTCTTGGGTGGCCAATCCGTCTCCCTTCACCTCTGTCGCCGTGCTTCGGTCGCCCATACGCACCCGTTTCTGTACTGTTTCGGGCATTCTCTCGCCTTGTGACCTCAATCTGTGCAGCGGGGCTGCTATCCGGCATGCCGGCCACTGCCAATGAGAGGTCGCATCGTCGACAGAGTCCTGCACGCTCGTACGAGCACGATGCACAAGGGCGACCTATGTCGCATTGGATTTGACTCGTTGGTTTTGGGCAGCTTGCGTCGCGAACTCGCGGTGGCCAGAATGAACAAATACCAAAAAAGGGGAAGTGAAATGCATTCTTCCATTCGGAATCCAATGATCCATTCCCTGGCCCATAAACTCCAATGCCAGTCGTTTTCCTGGCCCACACAATTGTTTCCTCAGACTCGTGGCTGCGATTTGGCCACGCTCGACATACCATTGGCTGTGCGAAATGCTTGCCCCTGGTCGGTTGACTTACGTCGCTAAAACAGTGTCGATCACCAGCAGAAAGTACGACGCAAAACGACGAAAGCTGGTAAACGAGAAAGCCAACACTACTTTGCCTGCCCCATGGACCGTGTGTTTGACGTAGGATGACATAAGTGACCTTGGGCCCTCAGGCCCTCTCACTAAATCCACGTTTCCCCGACGCAAGCCTTGCTTAGCACAGCCAAGACTCAACATGAGGTCATTTGCATTGGTGTCTACGGTGTCTGGACGTACATTACTCGACAGTAGCCTGTGGCGTGTAAGTCGTCGTGTCCACATTCAGGTCCTGCTGACCACCACCGCAAAAGCCATTTTTGCGGGTGAGAGGCTGAGAGGCTCTAGAGGGACAGGCATTGATTCCATCGTCTGTTGATCCCAACCCAATCATTATAATTTACACGGCCTTGTTTCTTGTTTCGAAGATGATTTCGATACGAGGTCGTACACATATCTTGACATCTTGTAAATTTAACCTCTTGGCTTTTGTCGCCTCACCTCATTCCTCTCACATTGACTCGCGTTATGCATCCAACGTCTGTGCCATGTAGCCTTCTCTCAGCATAATTGGAACCTTGACGACGTCCACTACCTTGGATCGGCGGGATGCTCGTAGCAACCTCTCCCAGCCCTAAATGTCACCAAGTGCAAGCGTCTTTTAGAAAGCCCTTTGCAACCTTGATACACCCCGGCCCTGCACTTGATATGCTCGTGTTTCCATGTAAGCCCGTCTTGATTCCATGCCAAGCAAAGAACGTTGTCGTCCTGAGGAACTGCGCCTACTTTCATCCCCTGATGTCCTGTCACCGCCTTCGTCTTGTTTGCTATCCTCGACGTGTCTTCGTTACGTCTCCAGGTCTCATTCGTTTTCTCTCGTACTGCATCGTCGATCCAGACACCGTTCGCTCCAATCAGCCGTCTTCCTTTGTATGTCATTGGCCCGGCGCCTGTACCTCTCGACACCGGCCACCTGACCCCCGGACCCGCTTGTTAGTGGACTTGCATCTGCGTTGTTCTCGTGCCACGCACAACGCAAATGTGTCCTTCGCAGGCGCACACGATATCGCACCTTCACCCCAGCATTGTACCGCCTTGCGGTGACCCCCATGTACTGTCGACGTCGTCCATCCGCTCATGCAAACCGGCGCTGCCCTCCGTATACGGAACAAAATCCCTGATCGAACGCTGCCACTATGACACAGCAGCATCGACACAAGAGCTAAGCAGGCATATGTTATGGGAAGGAGAGACAAGAACAAAAAAAATTAAATATAAAATAAAATACCATAAAAATAAAAATAAAAACCAATTACGGCCCGATTCTCACAACAGAAACACACCGCACAATTGGCCACGCCGAAAACTTAAAAGGGCAAAAAGCCTCCCACCTTTTTGTCATCCATCGTCGCTTCCCAAAAGTAACATTGTTGCGCAACGTCCTTTGCTCCTTCCTGGACCTTGTTCTTGCCCTTCTTAATCGCCTTTCCACGTTTTATGCTCCCACACTGTCACTTTGCTCTTTCCTCGTACACACCCCTCCTTCTCTTTTCCTCTTTCCACCGGTCCTCGGGCAAGTCACCTGCCACTACTTAGCGTCGTTCTTGCTCTTGCTGTTCTGGTGTTAGTCCACACAGGTCAACTGCACATTGTCTCGAACTTCTCCTCATCTTTGCCGTCTTTCGACTCTCGACAGACTGCTGTCATTATATATTCCTAAGAGCATCCCACAACTGGTCTACATTCACACCCTCGCTTTCGTCTCGACGCTCCCTCTTGCCCTCGCACCTAGAGCCACCTCAAACCACCAACACCCGCCTTTCGCCTCGGCAGCATACAGGTGGCAAATAAAAAGGCATCTTCTCGACGCGAGACCCTTGTCGTCTCCTTGTCAGTCGTGCATCTATTCGCACTTTTCTCATTACTCTCGGTCGCCTCATCGTCAGCCCTTGTTTCCTCACGTACCCGCCGTCGTATTCTCTTGCCCGACATACCCACACATTTCCGCCCGTCTCTTGACATCTCCCGCTTGGGTCTCAATCTGTTTTGCCTTTCCCGGTTCCCATTCTCTATATCAGCCGTCAACTGTCTCTATCGGCCGTCAACATGGCGACTCTCATCGTGACGTCGACCGATGTCGACCCTCTACATGCTCTGCCTGCGTCGTCTCATACTCCACCTCTGCCCTCGACGACGCCCTCATCCACGCTGTCGCCACTCTCCCTTCCCAAGCACAACGGAGACGCCAACACTGGCGACCTCTCCATCAACATGGTCATCCACCAGAACCCCTTTTCCGTCACACTCGACGCCTGGGCCATGCTCGCCGGCTCCTTGCTGCTCGTGGTCGGGATGCACTGTATGCACCTGTCTGTGCTCAAAGCCATTATTGTTGCGGTGCCCGTCGTCTTGCTCATCCGCAACGACTATCTCAATTTCCTCTTGCTGGGCCCGGGCGGCACACCACCCACTTTTGTGGGCTACGTCCGCCTGCTGTGGTTCCGATTGTTTGCTCTGCGTGACGTCTACCACTGCCCACCTGAGACCGACCCGGGCTTGGCGCCGTCCCGTGGCATTCTGCAGAGCGGCGGCGGCGGCAGCAGCGACGAGCACATGGACTCAACTGCCAGCGAACTGCCGTACCGTCCCGGGCCCCGGCCGCAGGTGGCTGGCCTCGCGCCGCAGCGGCAGCTCGACCAGCAGGCGTCCACGGCGTGCTACAGCCAACTCCGTGCCGCGGTCGAGGCCCTGACGCGTGAGCACCCCGACACGTTGAGCATCGCGACCTCGTGCATCGAGAAGCACGGCTTTGGCCTGTTTGCACGCCATCCCGTCAACGTCTGGGGCCAGGGCGAGATCTTCCACATCCACGACTCGGAAAAGTCCATGCACATGAGCCTGCACCCGGACGACATCAAGGAGGTGCTGGACAAGGGCTGGGGTCAGCGCCACCCTCTCGCCTTTTCTGGCTGGGTCAAGGCGCCGCTGCCGCCGACCTTTGTCATGATCTATGCGCCGAGAGGTCAGTTGTCACCTGCGCTTTCGTGATCCTTTTTGTCTTCTTTCAAGTATCGTTTCCACTAACAGGTCAGACGAGAGCGATCTCGCTATCATTGTTCGCATTGTCGAGGCGGCCATCTGGTACACCATGGCACAAAAGATCCAGCTGAAAGTGCCACCTGCTGAGCCAGAGATGCTGGCGTAACTAAAGGTCGAGGTACACACAGTCTTCTTCCGGTCCACAACTGAGAGTCGTCCTCTCGCCTTAATTTGTTTTGAGATCCTTGGTCGCATTCATGGACTCGTGCAAGCTATAGTCTGCTCTTTGCTTTTTGGCTTCTATTGTTACGATATACCACAGTGATGTTTTGACGAAACCAAAAATGGTGGGTGCTGTGTTGATAGGATGTATGAGGGCGAAAGGTAGGAATTGACGCGGTGTTTAGTACGGGGATGACTGGAAATTGATGAAAAAGGGAGAGCATATATTATATCAATGACAACACTTTTTTTTTTTAAAAAAAAAGGAAGTTTAATAAATGCAAGTATTATATTCCTCAATGTTTCCTGTTTATTTTAAGAAAAGAAAATTGAAATAAATGACACAGAAAATAAATAAAAAAGCTATTAAAGAACTTAATTACCGGCCAAGGCCACAACTCTGAAAACGAGACGCTAATGGAAGAGCACCGACCATCGACACGAGAATCAATTGTCCTCCTCGTCGCTGCTGCCCATGCCCTCGTCGTCGTCGCCCTTTTTCGACTTGCGGTACTTTTCCCGCCCCGTCGCCAGCGTCGCCTCCACAATGCGCCCGTCAAACGCCCGCCCACCCATCAGCCGCACGCAGGCCGCCGCCGCCTCGGCCGTCTTGAATTTGACGCTCACCACGCCCGCGGCTTCCTGGTCAAAGAGCACCACATTGGTCACGTCGCCCAGCTTGCTGCACTCCTCGCGGATGTCCTCCTTTATGTCGAGCAGCGCGGCCGGGTCCTCGTCGAGCTCGGCCAGCGTAAACATGTGCTTGAGGACGACGACCTTGTCCCATTTGCGGTTGCGGCTGGTGCCGTTGCTGTTGCCGCCGCCGCCGCCCGTCAGGCCTGCAAACCGCTCGTCCTCGTCGCTGCTCCAGTCGGCCAGCTTGGCGTCCAGCTTCTGCGTCTTTTTAATGATTTTTTGCTTGTCCTGGTGAGCGGCTTTCCCGCCGCCACCCGCCGGCGCAGACGCAGACGATCCCGGCTGTCCACCAGTGTCCGTCGGCACCGCCGACGCCGCCGCCGACGCCGTTCCGGCGCCTGGTGTTCCGCCCTCAGCCGGCGTGCTGGACTCGCTCTGCTGCTGGTAGTTGGTCTTCTTGTAGCTCGAGTCGGCCGCCTGCACGTGCATGCGTCCGGCGTCTGCGCTGCCCGGCGTGGGCGCAAAGCGGAAGTCTGTGTCGTCCAACAGCATAATGGCCATGTCGACGCTCTGCGGCTTGAAAAAGACAATGAGCGCGTCGCCCTTGAAGGAGCCGTCGCTGTTTGTGTACATCTTGATGCGCGGCCGGCCCGAGTCAATCTCCTCGGCGATCACGCCGCACTTGCGTGAAAACAGCTCGGCCACCTCGTCGGCCGTGGCGTCGGGGGGCAGTCCGGTGACGTAGACGGCGGTATTTTGTTTCGGTTGGCGTGGGCCAGCTTGTGCCTTGGCACGCTTGTTGCTGCTGCCCGTGGTAGTGTCGTTGTCGTTGTTGTTGCTGTTGTTGCCATTGTGACCTCCTCGACGGCCGTTTGGATGCCGGTCTCGGTTCTGACTTGTATCTCGTGGCTGAACATGAGGGAAACAAGGAGCGTACAATACAACAAAGTCGAGGCAGAAGCCAAGACGGAAGAGGAGAGCAAAAATGGTCAGTTTTTCGCCCGGGACGGTGAAATTTCCCATCGCGTGTTCTTGTTTTTCGTATGTCTCATTTTGATATTCAGGTGAAGGCAAAGGAGGATGACGCAGGGTGAGGTGAGGAAATAGACAGAAAAGGGGCCGGCAGTGCAGGGGCAGCTGCACACAGGCAGCGGCAGTGGCAGCAGCAACAACGGGTGCAGCTTACCTCGCTATTGTAGTAGGAGTGGTCCGGCTTCCGTTTCCTGCTCTCCGAAGCACTGCCTTCTTGTTGATGCGCGGCAGCAAAAGCATCGATGGCGCTGCCCTCGTCCGCGTCGTCGTTGTCCGCAAGCGGGATCCAACGCCTCAGTGACTGGTCAAACTCAAACTCGGTGCCATCGTCCTGCACGGCAATGTACTTGCGGTCGAGCCGTGAATACGAGATGCGCTCATCGTCGTCAAACTGTGATATGTCCGTTGGAAACGTCCAGATCTGGCCCACCCCTTGGTCGGCCATGGCGGAGGTGATACGAGAGGACCCAGCTATAAAAGCACCATGAGGAGGACGCCGACGTGTCGTGTTCGTTATGTTTGCGATACCAAGTGAGCATGAGCATGAGAACGAGAATGAGATCAACGAAAACAAGAAATGCAGCTGGCAGAACCAGGGTAGCTTCGAAGTGGCTCCATCTCGTGGTCCTATTGGCCAAATTGTACGCACAGTGCATTACATAATAAACACTGTATTACACTGTACATCACATTGACGGCATGTCACAGTAAGACTCCATGGATCTGATCTCATTTCTTTCTTGTTTTTGGATTCGCTTGCATATTTACGCCGAAACATGTATTAATAGACATGTGAGTGTCATACAAGGAGTCTATATTCACCAAAACACATGTCCTATGACATCACCGCCCCCCGTCTCCGCTACTGCTTCTGCTTCTCGAGCTTGTCCTCGACGGCCGATTTGACGCCCTCCACAAACGCCTCGACGGCCTCGGCGCCGCCCATGGGCATGGCACCGCCCGTCAGGAAGCCTTGGTTCTTCACAGGGATGGCTAGCGCGTCCGCAATGCTGGGCAGGCCGCCGTCGCGGATGGCCATGGACAGACTGGCCAGGCTTTGCGAGAACTGTGGGCTGCGCAGCACCTTTTCGAGCAGGTTCTTCTTCTCGGCCATGGACATGGCAGCCTTGGCAGCAGCAGCGGTCTCCGCTGTGGGCTCGACCAGGTCGCCGCCGTCCTCGCCGGCCTCGTGCTGGCTCAAAATCAGGACTGTGGGCGGCAGGTAGTTGAGGAGGCCATCGATGTACTCCTCGCTGGCGTTGCGAACCATGGGGATGGTGACTTTGGTCTCGAGCAAGTCGTTGAGCAGCGGGTAAGTCTTGTCGCGTGCCTGGCCGGCGCCCGCGCCGCCTGCACCGCCCGCACCGCCCCCCGGGTTACCCTGCTGGCCGAGCGATGCTAGTAGGTTGCGAACGACTGTTGCTGCGTCTGGCGCGGATGACGAAACTCTGGAGCATGTAAGTCAGTGAGGTGATTCATCGCCAGGAGGAGAGATTTGGCTGTGACAGACGACAACATGGAGAGTGGAGAGAGAGAGAGAGACAGGAAAAGACAGAACGAGAACAAAAGACGAACACAAAACGCTAGTCTATAACAACAAAAGCCCGCCCGCACCGACACAATTGTAAATTTTTTGCTGGTGGAAAATATTCTTCTTTTTCGTTTGGCAAAACGCTCTATGGTTAATAACTGACAAAAAAAGATAATAGAATGCTGGTAAAACAACGCTGGAAACCAGTGCCTCGAGAGAGCGCGTGCCCTTGCTCTGCTGTGCAGATCGTCAGGGGGTGAGTGGTAGCCACAGATGTGGGTGTTGAGGAGGGAGGAGGGATAGGCGCGCAGGTCGTAGTTGTAGAGCTGTTCGCGTCCGCCAGGTTCTTCACCGCCTCTTTGAGATTCGATGACCGTCCTTGCACGTCTGCTTCCTCATCGTATCTTTCTTGGTGCGCCGGGCTGTGACTTGGCCCATACCGTCGGCCGTCGCTCGTCTCTCTCGTCTCTCTCGTCTCTCTTGTCTCTCCACGTCCTCATTCACACAACGCTCTCGGAAAGGAAGACTGAACACCTACGCTCTTGCCCCGTCGGCGCCGCCTTCGCGGGAATCTTCCCCTTCTTCGCGGACGTCGCCGCCCGTCGCGCCGGATCCAGCACCGCCGGGGCCTCCGCCGTGGTGGTCCTCGGCGTCTTCCATGGTCTCGTCGCCGTCGCCGTCGTTGCCGCTGTGGCCGCCGCCTCGCCGGTCGTCGTCGTTGTTATCGCGCACCTCGGCCAACTCTGCGTCAATGTCCGGCTCGCCGCCCTGCAGGAGCTCGTCGACCAGGTTGCCAATCTTGCGGTCGCGTGGGCTGAGCCAGGCCGGGTTGCCGTCGGGGCTCTGGGGTTTGGACTGCAGCCAGAAGAGGTGGCGCTGGGAGGACGATTCGAACTTGAGGACAAAGATGCGGCCGTTGGTCTTGGAAGAGGCATGGTCGCCCGTGCCTTCATAGGGAATAAAGCGGCCGTCGCCGGGAACCATGACGAGGTTGAGCGGTGCGTCGTCCATCAGGACGTCCCGTGGCCGCCAACAAAAGTGCATGAGTTCTGGGAAGCGGATGTTAGGACAGACGAGCCGGCTTCAGGGCAGTAATGGAGCATGGAGCGTGGAGCGTGAGGCTTGGGTCTTGAGACGATCCTGCCACCTGCCACTTACCATCTTCGGCGTACAGAAAGATGTAGCCCGGCTCGGGCTGAGCTTTTACCTTGTGCGGCCGGCTTGACGACTGCAGCAGAGGAAAATCAAAATGTTAGCGGCCCCAAGTCGCCAGGAACTATGCGTGCATGCGTCCAGTAGTGGCAACGTACATCCACCTCACAGAGGCCCGCCTTGAACGTGATGGTTGGGATTATTGACATGTTCGCGAAGAGCTGTGGGGTTCTGGTGTCTCGACAATAAAGATGGTGTAGACGTGCTATGGCAATCAATTCAGACTTTGGACAGTGTTGGAACACGTGTTGCGGGCGGAACACGGATACGGTGATGATGTCGTGTGTTTTGTTGGTGATGATGAGGGGAACGGAGCAACAAGACGTTGGAGCTTTCGGAGCTTCTGTTTGGGCAGGCGGCCGTTGGCGACAGGCGCCAATGCCGTGACGTCTGCAGCGTCATCTGCCAGGTGGCAACAGGTGACGGGTGGAAAGAACAGAAATGTTAAATGTGATGAGTAACCGACCCATGTGACTCTGCATGTGACATTTTATTTACATCACGTGCAGCTATGCTGCCGTTTATGTGCCTTCTACAATAGGTGGGCACGCTACGCATGATGATTGGTCAACTATTCTCCCTTTGTCTTGCCTTCCAGTTTTTTCCATGGGACGGCCCCACTCTCCTTCAGAAAATTAACGCCGCACACAAAAATAAAATCGGAGAATCCTGTGCTGATAGGGTTTGCTTCTTGGTGGGCTGGGCTAACCAATTTTTTTTCCGCCCTACTTTCCCCTACTGGCATCGGTTGTGTGGTTTTTTCTTAAAACCTCCTCTGCTTCTTAGGCCAACCCGCACATCTAGACACAACACGCCCAGTATCATCGCCGCACACATCGCGACCCGGGACAGCAACGAAGGTTTCTTTTTCGTCGTTTACCACTCCTTACAATCGACACCATGTCGCCCACCGCCCCTGCGACGAAGAAGTTCGGCAAGTCCTCGCGGACTGTGCCTCACCACACCCAGCGGGCCCAGAAGTGGTACCCGGCTGAGGACGATGCGCAGCCGAAGAAGGTGTGTTGACGGAGAGGGGAGAAGGCAGAGGGCGAACAGGATGCATGAGGCGGGCAAGCGCGGGACGAACGGACGGCCTGGAAGAGGGGGAAGCCGAGTATACCGACGCCGGCGTGGACCGATGCGGCAAGAGGAGGACATCAATGGGATGATATGCGGGCAGATGGGATTGGAGACTTGAAAGGCTTGGCCGGCATGTTTTCGTCTTTGGCGAGGATGCATGGCCAGCTGGAAAAGCCACCCGGAAAGCCCACCTGGTGGGAATCGAGAGAAACAGAGAGATGGGAACCGGAAGGCCGCCCGCATCGGACAACAATTGCGTGGAAGCCCGCCTCAATGAGCCATCCTGCATCCTCGACGACGAAACATCTGCAAGACAGTACAGTTCCAGTTGCTAACGAAGTCGCAATCACAGGTCCGCAAGGCCCTCCGCCCGTGGAACCCCCGCAAGTCCCTGGTTCCCGGCACCATCCTGATCCTCGTTGCCGGCCGATTCCGCGGCAAGCGCGTGGTCCTCCTCAAGAACCTCGACCAGGGTGTTCTGCTGGTCACCGGCCCCTTCAAGATCAACGGCGTTCCCCTGCGGAGAGTCAACGCCAAGTACGTCATTGCGACATCAGAGAAGGTCGACCTGGCCGGCGTCGACGCCAAGAAGATTGAGGAGATTGCGGCACCCAACTACTTCACCGCCGACAAGGCCAAGCAGAAGGCTGGCGAGGAGGCTTTCTTCCAGCAGGGCGAGAAGCCCCAGGTGCGTTTTACCTCCCCCTTTTCAGTTGCCTATGCTGTGTGTATTGTCCTTTCCGACCACCACTAACCCATACCAGAAGAAGGAGATTGCGACGACCCGCGTAGCGGACCAGAAGGCCATCGACAAGGCTCTGATTGCCAACATCAAGAAGGTCGAGCTCCTCGGCAGCTACCTGGCAACATCCTTCAGCCTGCGCAAGGGCGACAAGCCCCACGAGATGAAGTGGTAGACGGATGATGATCGGACAAAGAAAAAAAAGCACAACAATACACCTTTCTCTTGTTTTATTACGGATAATATGATCGATTGAAAATTAAAAATTCCACCCTACACACACACGGAGTATCCATCGTTTTCACGTTCGACGTACGTTTCCCGACAAATAATGAGAGAGAATTCAGGGCGTTGTTCTTGTTTTTTTTTTCTTCTCGTCTCATTTCTCTCCGTTTATCCCTTTCGTCTCTCTTTTATCGCGGCACTGTTATTTATGTTTATGGGTTTTTCTTTTCTTTTTTCAACGCTATACACATCATCACCAATGGCCCTCCCACCTCTCGGTTCACCGGCTTTTGCCAACCGACCTTTTCGCTTTCCGACAACCAAGGAACAATCGATCATGCTGTCGTGGATGACTGGCAAAAGGGAACCGGGGGACACCATGTGGCGAGGTGAGGTGACTGGAGAAGGGGCACGGAAGAAGAAAAAAAGGAAACGAGATGTTGGTTGGAGGGAGCATCGGCGCGTCTCTTTGTCTTCATTTGGGGCACGGGCACACAAACTCTCACGAGGGGAGCAAAAGAAATACAACCTTTTTTTCACAACATTCTGATTTTCCTTGTCAAAGAAGAACGGGAAAGAAAACATGTGAAAGGACATTTAAGAAATAAAAAAGACGAGAAACAAAATTCTGAGAAACAAAAGAAAAAACAAACAAAATTACCCATTCAACTTTTTCTTCACGGTCCCACGGTTTGTGATTCAATGGCGCACTAGATGGTCGATTTTCGGCTTTGGCCTTCTCTGTGTTTGTCACTGTTTTTCATTCTTCTTTTCTTTTTCTGTCCTGCGTTTTGTCACCCAATGTGTGTGTTGACTGGTTCTCCCCTTTTTGTTCTTTTATTCTCCCCACCGTCACCACACACAGAAGCGCAAAGCAAGAAAGCAAAAATATACGAAATACAATATATAAAAACCTTAAATATGAATATTACAGTCTTTTCAGGATACGTGAAACGAAATGAGATGCAATACGGTAAATCACTACGTAAGTCAACACGGGCCCAGATACTGGCTTCGCATAATTTACTTTTCCTTTACTTTGATATCCTATCACAACTTGGTCGACCGTCCGTGACGCACTGGACGCCCCACGGGCAGTCACTCGCGGTCGGCAAAGCTCTGGATCAGGCCCTCGGGCGTCGTATCGTACTCCTTGAGCGTGACCTTGCCAGTGGCATCGTCCAGATACGTGTTGGCCTGGACAAACACCTTGCGCGGCTGCTTGTTCTTGAGCACAACATCGCGCACCTTGGTGCCCCAGTACTCGAGGCCAACAGCCGACATCTTGTCGGCGAAGAAGGCGGTGCCGTTCACGACGTCGGCAGTCGACTTGTAGATGTGCAGCTTCTGGAGGTAGTCACCGACGGCTGTAAAGTTAGCATCGTGTCCGGGAGGAGAGGAGAGGAGAGGGGGAGGGGGGTAACGAAAAACGACCTACCCTTGCGACCGGTGGTTAGAATCTTGGAGCGGTCTAGCTTGATGGTTAGGTCGGATAGGTCGTCGTTCTTGTACTCCAGCTTGCAAAAGTCGTCGCCGGCCTCGAGGAAGCACTTGAGGATCGAAAACCGCGCCTGGCAATGCGGCTGGCCCCATTTCTGGCCCTTGGGGTCCCAGAACTCAACCGACGTCAGACCGGCCCGGGCCATGCTGAGGTACGAGGCGTACAGGACGTCGCCTGCCTCGCCGTCCAGGTCGTCGGAGCCGTCGCCGAAGCCAAAGATTTTGAGCACCGGGAACTCGCAGCTCAGGAACATGGCCACCAGCTCGGCGCGGCACTCCTCGTAGGCGCCCGCCAGACCGCCAAACACGGAGCCCCACGTCTGTCCAGGCTTGTACCAGGTCGTCACCGGCTTGCCGGTCAGCGGGCTGACGGGCGGGCTGCTGTGGTCAAAGTTGTAGACGCCGGCGCTCGTCTCCTGCAGCAGCTTGCCGCAGCCGTGGCCCGTCAGCTCGTGCAGGCCGACCTGGACCTCAAAGGCGCCGTCGCGGTACTTTTGATACAGCTCCAGGTCTTCCTCGCGGATAAAGGGGATCTTCTCGTTGGGCGCCTTGGCGCTGAGCACGTTGCCAAGCGACACATTCTTGAAGCCCTCCGTCTGGCGAATGTCGTCGTAGTTGGGGATGTTGATGCCGGCGGGGATGCCGGAGCCAGCAAATGTGAGCACCTCGAGGGACGTGAAGTCGGGCGACAAAAACTTGTCCTTTTCGAAATCAGCGCTCCAGGGCAGCAGCGGGATCAGCGTCGGGGCCGCGTCGACCAGGGCGCCAAAGGCGCGTGTACGCTCCAGGTTGACCATGGCCACAAAGCCCTCCCACTCGCCGCGCGTGCCGGCAGGGTCGCGGTACGTCTCGATGAAGCCGATGTTGGTCTCGACCATGGGGCCCTTGTCGCGGATCCAGTGGCGCTGGCTGTCCTTGAACGCGAGCAGAGAGCCCTCGGAGAAGGACTTGGCGTACGCCTCGTGCATCTTCGCCTCCGTCTCGTTGTCGGCATGGAGGGCCGCCTGTGCAATGTTTTTGGCAATCTCGGCCATCTCCGTGGCGTAATCGCCGTACACCAGGCGGATTGTGGCGCCCTTGAGGGCAGCCGGCTCGCTCTCGCCCAGCGCAAACTCAGTCTCGGTGCTGCCGACGTCGCGGCCGTCAACGGGCGGATTGGTCTGACCGGACGCAATCAGCAGCTCAAAGACCTTGCTGCCCTTTTGTTTGCGCAGACGGGTGTTCTCCGGCAGCAGACCCTTCTTCTCCATCCACTGGGCGACGCCGGCAATCTCGTCCTTGGTGATGTCGGGCGAGTCGGGGTAGTACGTGGTCAGGTGACCGTCGTCGGTGTAGCCGAGATGCAGCAGGCCGACATCCTCGGACGAGAAGATGGCGCCCTTCGTCGCCTTGTAGTGCTTCTCGGCATCGGGCGACGTGCCGGCCAGGGCGGCAAAGGCGGACTCGGGGGCCCGCGGGATGAACTTGGAGTCGCCGAAGCTCTTGTAGTTGCCGCAGTTGCCCAGGAACTGCGCGGCGTACTGCAGAAACGCCGTGAGGTGGGCCTCCTCGACGCCCGCCTTGGCAGCAAGGGCCTTCCAGTCGCCGGCAGCAGCCGTGTTGAGCGCCAGGATAAAGTCGTAGATGGACTCAGCCTCGGGAGAGACCTGGCGGAGCACAATGCGGTTGCCAGCAAACGAGGCTCTGGCGCCAGCCAACGAGAGGCCTGGTTAGCACACGTGTCACGCCGGGTGGACAGCAGACCGACCCACGGGACGCACGACGACACCTACCGGCTGATGTAGTGGGCATAGCGCTTCTGGCTGTCGGACAGAGCGTCAAAGTGTTTGGCGATCTCGAGGCGGACGACACTCGGCGGCGCGTCGGCCAGGTATTGGTTGAGCTCCTGGGCGGTCAAGGCCATGGTGGCGGTTGCGCTGAATGTGCGTGCAGTGACGTTGTGACGGCGGGGAGACTGAGGGGGGCGAGCGTGCGTGCGTGGCAGTGAGCAGGGCGTGCGTCGTGAGACGAGATGGAGAGACGAAGACGTAGATGACGAAGAAAGCCTACGGCTGTTACTGCTACAAATCAAACGGCGGGGGGCGGAGAGCTGGGCAGCGTGGTGGACGCAGCGGAGGTGAGGAAGGAGGTTCATTTGACACGACCCCAGATAGGAAGGCGCAATTGCGGGCGGTCTACATCGAGCAATGGAGGGGGCAGCTCGAAATGGAAGTTGGGTTAATACCTGGCGAGCAGGCGCAAAGCTGTCCGTGTCAGAAAACGGCAGTCACGTTGGACCTGCGGGGGGTTGTGGGGGGGCATGCGTGCACAGGATTGGCTGGTCCCTGGTGTGAGTTGCATGGCAGTTGCCTTCTGTAACCCGCAAAGAGCACGCGTCGCCCAACAGGAAAGGGCAAGAGCAGCCACGGGGTGCTGGCGCAAGGTACGGAATACGGGAATACGATGTGCGACATTTGTACACTTTCATAGACCGTTGCAGTTGGCGATGCGATGCGACTTCCAAGACATTGTCTTGCCACTGGCCCGAGGGTGATCTGAGAGCAAATTCGCCTAGTCCGGCTGGGTGCCCTGAGTAACGGAGTATCTGAGATCACAGAGGACGAACTGCCACGCAGAGGAGTGGGTCCAATGGCCCAGAGAAGGGCAGGAGCGACGTAACAAAGTGGGTCTCGCAAAGACATGGACGTTTCTGTGCACGGGTAGGAGCTAGTCGACCGGATTCGCTCCGTCATCATCCACTGTCCGTCGCATCCGCAGCAGGGCTTGGGGCTCGTTCCAGGGCGTTTAAGACGCTAAAATCAGCCTTGTTTTGGCGCTGTTTCGAAGATTCCACCCGCACAGCATGCACAGCGTCGTCTCGTATTTACCGATCTCACTCGCTCTTTCCTGCCGATAGGAATTCGTTTCCTTTTTTGTTTTCTTTTCTTTCCTCATCTCTCCTCCCTCCATTTCCCTTTTCCGCCATCATCTCCTCCTCCTCTTCTCCTCTTCGACCTGGGCTTCCAGCAGGCAGTTCATCCGGGCCCTGCACTTCACGTGTGTTGTGATTTATCCAGCGCCCTGTGCCGCTTTCCCGCCACTGCCGACCACCCGCCTGGCGAATACATAGACACATAACAAAACCTCACCTCTCCCGCTGGATTGCCTTTCGGCTGGCAAGGCACCATGGGCGAGGATAACGACGTGAACAAGGGCCTCCTTGACGGCGACATCCGGCGATCCGCTCGTTCCGAAGGCTCATCGTCGTCTGACACGATTGCCGCCGAAGTCGGATTTGAGCGCCCCGACGAACGCCTCGACGGCGACCTTTCCGAACTCGAAGAAGACGCCGACGCCAGCGACGACGCCCCGCCGACACCACGTTTCATGCAGGACGAGGGCTCCTGGCGGCGGTTCCGCTGGGTGCCGTACTGGGTGCGCCGGTCCGCCAAAGCGGCTGTGCAATGGTCCCGTGGACCCGAGGACGCACGCCCTTTTGTGATTGAGCCCCTGCTGCCCGTTGTGCAGCATGCCCCCCTTCAGCTGCTGGACTGGCTGCTGGACAGACTGCCGGGATCCAAGGACGACCCGCTCAAGAGCCGGATCCGGTGGCGCCGTGCGCTGCTGGGCGGCTGGCTCGCGATTTGGCTGCTGACGTTTGCGCTCGTGATGCGTCGTGGCATTGTGGCGGGTGAGATGGCGGACTGGGGCATCCCCGGGGACATTGGGTGCGGAAACACGTACTGGGTGCCGGGCAACATGTGCGGCCTGGACGGCAGCGGGTGCCGGCCGTTTAACGGCAGCGGCTTTGCGTTCCGGTGCCCAGCGACCTGTGCGGGCTACCAGGTGCTGAACCCGCGGGCGGTCGGCGACAAGGAGGTGGTGTACCAGACACTGGTGGTGGGCGGCCCGAACTCGGGCGCCAACGGCACGGACCACATCTACCGTGGCGACTCGTTTATCTGCAGCGCGGCCATCCATGCGGGCGTCATTAACAATGCGGCCGGCGGTTGCGGCGTGGTGCGGCTCGTCGGCCGACAGACGCACTTCACGGCGTCCAATAACAACGGCATCCAGAGCATCGCATTCGACTCGTACTTCCCGCTCGCGTTCACGTTTGAGCAGGGCGTGAGCTGCCCCGGCCAGCAGGATGCGCGCTGGCCGCTGCTGGCGGTGTCGGTGGTGTTCTCGACGATCCTGTCGCTGTTTGTGACGAGCCCGGCGGCTTTCTTTTTCAGCGTCTTTACGGGCCTCTTCTGGCACGTTGGCCTGGCCTCGGACCCGCCGCCGCACGCGTCGATCCCGGCCCTCCTCTCCAACATATCCGGCAAGTTCTTGCCGGCGGCCCTCGTCGCCTGGGTGATCTTTGACGTCATGGCCGTGCGCCGCACGCTCACGGGCTTGACGGCACAGATTGAGAAGACGGTGCTGTGGCTCGGCGGCTGCTGGGCTGGCTCGCTCAACAACTACACGTTTGACGGCATCCCGATCCAGCGTCTGACGCCGCACGACCTTGCGCAGCAGCCCGGTGCCAAGGCGGCGCTCGCCATCATCATTGGCGTGCTGCTGTCGATTGCGGCCACCCAGGTCTGGTACTTCCGCCGCGAGGGCCGGCTCCGGCGCTACCTGCAGCTGTACATTCTGTTCATTTCCGGCTTGGTTGTCTGCATGCTGCTGCCCGGCCTGCGCCTGCGCATCCACCACTACATTGTGGGCCTTTTGCTCCTGCCCGGCACAAGCATGCAAACACGGCCGGCGCTGGTCTACCAGGGCATCCTGGTGGGCCTGTTTATCAACGGCATCGCGCGCTGGGGCTGGGACTCGCTGCTGCAGACGGCGGCGGCGCTGCAGGACGACGCGCAGCTGAACTCGCCCCTGCCGACGCTGCTGGAGCCGGTGGTCCGGCTGGCCAACACGACAGTGGCCACGGCCGTTGAGGCGGCCGTCGACGCCGCAACAGGCCTGCTGGCCTCCGACGTGTCGCGCCTCGCCGGCGTGCTCACGGCCGCCGCCAACACGAGCAGCATCACCTTCTCGTGGCAGCCGCCTCCGGGCCCGCGCTACGACGGCATCAGCGTGCTGGTCAACGATGTTGAGCGGTACCGCGGCTACTTTGACGATCCGGTGGAGGCCGACGGCACAAGCAACGGCGGGCCGACGTTTACATGGGAGCGGCCGGCCGACGTGGCGGCGGCAGGCGTCGACGAATACTTCCGGTTCGGCTACATGGAGGGCAGCCAGACGGACGACTACACGCGGGCGGGAATTTGGACGGCGGAGGGCGAGTGGCTGTCGATGCCGCCTGGACCGTCACGGGTGCGCAGCCGCGAGGTGGCCGAGATGCGATAGGCGGCGAAAGGCGAGGCGGAGACGATCCTACTGTAGGAGTGGCTGCTCATGTTATGGAGTTTGGGACTGGCGGGTTTTTGTTTTTTGTTTTTGTTTTGTGATTTATATTTTCTTATTTGTTTCCAGTTTTCTTCCTTCTTGTTTCGATTTTCCGTCTTTATCCTTTGCTTCGACTCCTGTCAATATTCCCGTCTTCGACCTGGTTTTAGTTCATTTGCAGCGGCACATCATCAGCCTATCAATATAGCGCATGACAGCCCTATTACTTATCCCAGTGCCCCACTCAAGTAAGCACAAGAAACTCGTAGTCTCACCCAAGCTGTCGGCATCGGCGACACATCTATGTCCTTTCACTTCCCAGTCCTGCTCTTCTGCTCGTCTGCTCTTCTCACCTAATTTGCCGTCCATCCCCGCCATGATTCGCGTGCCCACCGAGGACGACTTCAAGGGCCTCGCGCCCGACGTCAACGTGGCCCTCCACTTCCCAGATCCGCCGGCGTCCACAACGGCCATTCTGCTCCTCTTCCACGGACTGGGCGACGCCGAGTCGCCGTTTGCCGCCTTTGCGCGCGCCGTGAATCTTCCGGGCGTGCTGGCCATTGCCGTGCGCGGGACGAGTGTCCTGCCGCCGAGCTTGGTGGCCGGAGCCGAGGCCGATGATTCATCGCAAGCTTCGTTTGGCCACGGCCCGCAACGCTTCCACTGGGGCGACGACCTGCGCCTCGACGGCACCGGCCAGCTCGACGACGACCCGGGCTTTGACGCGGCCGTCCAGCGCGTCGACGGCCGGCTGATCCAGGACGTGCTGGTGCGCGCGTGCGGCTGGCGCTACGACGACATTTTGTTGTTTGGCTTCGGCCAGGGCGGGACGTTTGCTCTGGCGCTGGCAGCACGTGTGGCAGCACGGACGGCAGCCACGCCTCGGGCCATTGCCGACAAGCCGTTCACAGGGACGACGGCTGCCTTCAAGGGCATCGTGGCCATTGGTGCCGCTGTGCCGTCGGCCGTCACGGGCGCGCCAACATCGGCGCCCCGCCTTGCCACGCCTCTCCTCGTGTGCGGCGCAGCCGGCAGCGAGGCCGTGTCTGCGGAGATACAAGGCCTGCTGCGGCGGCGGTTTGCGGCGGTCGACACAGCCGCGTGGCGTCGTCCCGACGACGAAGACAATGGGATGCCGCGCAATCGAGCCGAGATGCTGCCCATTATGCAGTTCCTCGCGAAGCGGCTGCAGCGGTGATTGTGCATGCCTTGCGGCACTGCTGAACAGAGGCAGCTGGTATGGCAACAGGCTGGTTGATGAAAATACAAAGGACACAGCGGCTCATGCTCCCCAGCAATTCCCACCGCCCGTCGACGCTTACTGCCGATACTACGCAGAGGCCAGGCAACCAGGTGACGGAAAGCCGTTGGTGTCCAACCATGGAAGAACGAGCTACCTACGAGATGTGCCTTTCCACGAGCACTCGTCCAGCTTGCAACTGTTTTGACAAGGCTCTGTGGACGTTTGCGAGTCCGACTGGTTTCGCCGTGGAAAGGCTTCACCGATGGGTGAGACTGTATAGCACTGCGCCAAATAGGGCCTGGCCACTAGAGAGCTGGAACACGCCCCTACAGCACCAAAGTTTCAGCACGGTTCTGGTCCCACTTTTCAGCTTGTGTCTGTCGTACGACACATTCTAGCGCACCTTCCTCTTTTCCACCACTCGACTCCGGCCTCATATTGCTCTCGACTGCAAGACAAGTGTCATCCTGCACAATTTCACGCTGCTGTCATTGCTTGCCGTCGTGCCACCGTCACCATGGCCGACCGTCGCCAGCACCCGCTCTCTGTCTTTACGGAAACCAACTATCTCCATGCGTTCTTCAAGTACGTTGGCCATGCTCCTCGGCCCCCTCCCTTGCACCTTCCGTTTCTGCATCATCATCATGGCCCTGTCACATGATACACATCGGCCGCCCCCTTTCTACCTTTGCTGCGTTCTCTTTTCTTTTCGGTCTCGTTGCTCATTGTGCCCTCTATCGTCCAGCCCCGGCTATGTCAAGCACGTCGTCTGGGCCCAGTGGCAGACCGTGCCTCTGCCTGCCCCCGGCCACTTTGCCGGCCAGACCATCATCGTCACCGGTGCCAATGTCGGCCTCGGCCTCGAAGCCGTCCGCCACTTTGCCCGTCTCGGCGCTTCTCGCGTGATTGTCGCCTGCCGCTCCGTCGACAAGGCCGCGGCCGCCGTCGCCAATGTCAAGCAGTCCCTCACGCCCGAGCAGGCCGCCGCCTGCACCCTCGAGGCCTGGGACGTCGACCTGGGCTCGTTTGCGAGTGTCGCCGCGTTTGGGGCGCGCGCCGCCAAGGAGCTCGACCGCCTCGATGCCGTTGTGGAGAACGCCGGCGTGGCTACCGGGACCTACACACCCCTCGAGGGCCACGAGAGCTCCATCACGGTCAACGTCCTGTCCACCTTCTACCTCGCCTTGCTCCTCCTGCCGCTGCTGCGCCGCACCGCCGCCCAGCACAACGTCCGCCCCAACCTGGCCGTGGTCTCGTCCGACGCGCACTTCTTCGCGCGCTTCGCCGAGCAGCACCGGCCGTCCATCTTCGCCGCCCTGCAGGACCCGGCCGCCATGTCCCACGACCGCTACAACGTGTCCAAGCTGCTGGAGATCCTCGTCGTGCGCGAGATGGCCCGTGTCCTCGACGACCGCCACATCCCTGTGACGGTCAACACCCTCAACCCCGGCCTCTGCCGCACCCAGCTGTTCCGCTCGCTGCCCTTTGGCGTGCGCCACCTGGTCCACGGCGGGCTGCTTGTCGTTGGCCGCACGGCCGAGATGGGCGCACGCACGCTCGTGTCGGCCGCGGCCGCCGGGCCCGAGACCCACGGCCAGTACCTCGATACCAACGAGGTGTACCCCGTGAGCACGTACGTGACGTCCGCAGCAGGCGCCCAGGCACAGGGCCGTGTGTGGACAGAGCTGCTGGGGATTCTCGAGGGCGTGCACCCCGGCATCTCCGCGAATCTGGAGTAGCGAACGGACTGGTTCAGTGAGTATGAGAGTATGATGTGGTTGATCTGTGATCTGTTCCTGTTTTTTTTTAACTAAGCGTTGTAAGCTTTTTTTTTTTTTTTTTTTTTAATCGTTGTATCCATTATATCGTTACAAAAACCATGTTCCCAAAAGCAATGCGTCCGTGTGTCCGGTTCACCCAGGGTATCTGTTGAAAAATACAGTTGAACAATCGTGAGAACTCCGCCAAATGGAAAGGCCAAAACGTCATAACGCGCAGACAATGCCCCTCAAAAACATCAGATGATGCTGCTTATTCCTCGGACGGCCGCTCTACCTTGTCCGGCGCACCGTCGTCTTTGGACCACACTTCGAGGCCGTACCCGCCAATGCCCTGCACCAAGTACGACAGGCCCTCCGGCCCGCGCTTGTTCTGGCTCCGCGGACCCCGGTCGCGCAGGTCTTCGCGCAGCCACGCCAGCACCAAGTCGCCCAGCCGCGAGTTGCCGGACGCGCCCAGCATGCTGAGCGCGGGACTGTTCTTGCCCGTGTGCCGGCCGTCCACCTCGTTGTTGTTGCTGGCTGCAGCCGCCGCGTCCCGCTGCTGCTGCTTGAGCAGTCGCTGCTGGACGTACGTCGGGTCGTCCAGGAACCGCGACGCGGGGCCCCATTCGCGCACCGTGCCCATGTGCATGTGCACCAGGTGCGTCGGCCAGCCGGCCAGGTGGTCCAGGATGTGCGTCGCGTACACAATTGTCGGCGGCGGCAGGCCCGCCGCGCGGTCCGGGTGCCGCTCGCACTCCTGGCGCAGCCACCCGAGAAACTGGGCGCGCGTCCAGACGTCCAGGTCCACCGTGATCTCGTCCAGCAGCAGCACCCGCCAGGGGCGCACGAGGCCCATGGCCAGCTGCACTCGGCGGCGCTCGCCGTCGCTGACCGCGTGCATGCGCCACGACGTGTCAATATCCAGGACACTCACGAGCTCGTCGCGGCGCGCCGGGTAGGCATCGCCGCCGACGGACGCGAGCAGCTCGTCGACGCCAATGTCGCGGCGCACGACAGGGTTGAGCACCCACTCCAGGCCAAGGTACGTGACGCCCTCGAGACCCCGCGAGAACGGGTCCACGCCCTGAATGCGGATGCTCTCCTTGGGCGCGAGGCGCTTGCCGGCGAGCAGCCGCAGCAGCGTCGTCTTGCCGGCCCCGTTGGCACCGATCAGGAGCGTACGGCTGCCGGCGGGTAGGTCGAGTGTAATGTCCGAAATGCCCGTGCTGAAGTCCGGGAACGAGTACGTCAGGCCCTTTGTCTGGATAACGGGCGAATCAGTCGTCGAGGCAGCGGCGCCATTCGCTGGCGGCGTATCGGCCATGCTGTGTATGGGTCGTGGCTGGTTTTTGTCTTTTGTCTTCGGTGTACGGAGGAAAAGTAAAAGTGCAGGGTAAAAAAAGTGAAGTCGAGATAAATGGCGTGAAAGAGTCGGAAAAGCGATAAAACGATGAGGATGAGGATGAGAAATCGAAAAAGTACAAGTTGGTGACGGTTTGGAGTGACAAACAATGCCGAGAATTTGTGGCTCATAGTGGGGTTGGATGAGACCATTCCTGCGTTGAAGAACGTAGCGCCGCCATCCGTCTCCGAATTCCGCGCGTAGTCGCAATTCTTATATACTTACGCTTCTTCTCCACCACCCATCGGTCTTCTGAGCTTCATCCACCGGAGCTCGCGCGGGCATTCATCAGATTCTTCATCGTGTTGTACATGAGCGAAGCAACGCCGTTGAGATGTTGCTTCTCGAGATAAACAAGTAGGCCTGATCGGTATGCCTGCCAGGTGATGCGAAGGCCGCCCGAGTTTGCCAGTCGCAGGAGCGCCGCCTGCGTCACAGGGCCCGCGTGCCGGCGCTGTAAGGGAGCCGGGTTGTTGCTGCCGCTGTCACCGCTCCCGCTGCCCACATTTGACGCGGCTTCCATCGCCTCGTCTTCCAGCTGCCGCAGATAGGAAATCGCCTGCAGACAGAACGTCGGGGAGTGCAGCAGACTGAAGGCGGCCGCCAGGGGCAGATCGCGGTCCAGCAGGCTCTGCACGTAGCCGGCCAAGCGGCCCACGACCGCGCCATCCACGCAACAGCCCAGCGCGTTGGTGTCGGTCGACGAAAAGGCACGCGACCGCCACAGGCAGTTGCAAACGTCCATCAGATAGCCGTTGAACAGATTGACGCGTGCGCGCTCGTGGTCGCTCAGCGGCAGGGACAGGGGCTTGGGGGGGTGGCCGTTGTTGCTGTTCAAAGCGAGGGCCGCGGCGGCCGCACTGCGGCCTGGCCGGCGCGACATGGCCGCCTCCAGGCCGCGCTTGTAGTTCGCCAGCAGCCCATAGAGACGCGATACGACAGCAGCCGACTGGTGGAAGTGGAGTGTGTACACGGCAGCGGGGGGTGGGATCAGCTCCTGGACGGAGGCAAGTACATCGTCGCGGCGGTGGGCAAGCACGGCCGTCACCTCTTCGTAAAAGTCGAGCACACCAAGCAGGGCAATGGTCGAGACGCCGCCGTTGTTCGGGGCGGAAGGCGATGCACCGACCGAGTTCTGGATCAGGGCGAGCACGAGGCCGCTGACGTGCTCGACGAGGGCCGCGACCGATCCAGCGGCCTTGGTGCTGGCGTCGTCGTCAGTACCCGCCATCAAGGTAATTCGCCACTGTCGCAAGACAAGGGTATAGAACGCCAGCAGGTCAAGTTGCGAAGAAACTTCGTTGTTGAGGAGCCGTGCTTCCAGCAGCTCGTAGGTTGCCTTGTATGTTTCTGTGGGGTGTTAGGAAGGCGTAAACCAAAAAAAGGGAACTCAGCGACAATATTTACCTGGGAAACTCGTCACTGGAACGAAGGCAAGGGACTCGAGAATGTAGCTCTTCTTGTCACGGCCGTTCCAGTGAGCAAGAATCTCGCGAAAGAAACGGTCGAAGACGGGCGGGAACGTCTTGGTGCTCGTAATGTAGTCGTGCACCACCTCCAACAAATCCATTAGCTCGTCTCTGCTGCTGTCGCCGCTCGCCGTGCTCGCCACACACGCCTCCAGCCAGTTGTCGACGCGCTTGAAGGCCTCGTCCGCAGGCCGCAGCTGCAGCAGCTTCTGAAGGAGCGGATCAGCGAGCACGGCAACCAGCTGGGTCGGCAGCTCAATGGTCTCAAAGTGCGCCGCCAAACCTGCCGCACTGTCAATCTCCTCGAGGGTGACGGACTCTTCTTGCGCGTGGATGGTGTTCACCACGGGAAGACCAGAGGCTTTTCCGGCGGAACGGCCACGTCCGGTGTGATTGTGCCGCACGCGAAAGCCATTGTAAGGCGCATCATCGAGAAGGTCGACCCCATTGGCGCCGCTGTTTCTGCCATTGGCTTCATCTTGGCGGCTCTGCTGCCGCGTGAGGCGAATGTCGTCGAGGTGTGCACGCCATTGTGGGTCGGGGTGCTATGAACAATGTTAGAATCGATGTTTGGGAACGTCCGCAAGGCATTGGCGTGCCCTCGTGCCCTCCTACCTTGAACGGCGACGCCCTGCCACGCGTGGCCGCGCCCACAATCACTTCCGGGTAGTAGTTTTTGAAGACGCGCAGCAGGCCGACCAGGTGCGGGTCATGGCCAATCTGCCGCGAGAGGCCGAGACTGTAGCGGTTAGTGTATGTGTTGTAGTTATTATTGTTTTCTCAATCGTCATCATTCAGCTCGGCTGCCTCCGCTCAAACAACACTCACGTGGCTTGGATGCGGAACGGCCGCACATGCTTCCGCCGCGTAATGAGCACCAGCACGTGGCACAGCTGCGGCCGGATGCCCGCCGTGTCCAGCAGGTTGAACAGCACCGCGTACGCCCGCGAGAGCACCGCAAGCGCCGGCGGTGCCAGCACATGGTACACGAGCACGAGCCACCGCAGCAGCAGAGCCTGGACGGGCAAGGGCGGTTTCAGCTGGCCCTGGCCCAGGCAGCCGACAATGGCCAAGACGACATCATCGGCCACGGCGGCGGACGGGTACAGATTGCGAATCAGGCTGCCGAGGCTGGCCTGGTCGAGAAGCACGCCGGGTGCCGCAAGGACGTCGACAACGAGCAAACGCAGGACATCGGGCCGCAGGCCATGCTCGTAGGCGAGGGCGGTCAAGCGTTCGACGGTGGGTTTGACGGAGAAGGGTCGGCGTTTGGCTGGGACGCGAGCGGCTGGGCCTGTCAGTAAGGGGATGGGGGATGGACCGAGGCGGGTGATTGTCCACCAGATGGAAAGCAAAGGCGCACCTTGGACGAGGTCGCCCACCAAAGCCGCGATTTCCTCGTCGGGCTCGGGGTCCATGGCAAAGGGAGAAGACGGCAACGACGAGAGTCGGTTGGGAGCGTTGCAAAACTTGTCAATTCGGAGGTGCAGGCCAGCGACAGGGCTGGTGGTGCCGCAGTGGTCGGCGAGGCTGTCTTTGTGGTGACGTTGTCGTCGCTATCTTCTGTTGACGAAGACGCGTTGGCCGTTTTGGCAGACGCGTTCCTTCCCGCTGAGCGTGCTAAAAATTTAGCGGGGTAGCAACAATTAGTGCACCCACAGCCACGCACCCTGCGAGGCTGCGACCACGTAGCGTACCTTTGCCACCGGGGCCCGCCTAACGGCCCCTGAAACCCATAAACAGTCAGCCTCGTCCACATTGTGTGACCCCAAACGATCGTCAGTTATTGGAGACAGAATTGCATTTGTGTTTTGTTTTCTACTTCTCCCCTCTATTCCTACTGTCGTCAGGTCTCGTCTGTGTACGTGCAGGGCCCGGACAAGACGTACGAATTTTCGGTGGTCAGACGTTGCACCCATCGAATTCACGTCCTACAAGCCGTCGGTCATGCAAGTCATCCGCAGGGCTGCCCGCAGGTACTCGTCGCCTCGGGGTGCTGTGGCTGTTCCGGTGCTGCCTCTGACTCTTGTTGATTCATTTGTATATTACTGTTTCAATCTATCGCCCGGCCCCCACGTATTATCGTCACCTCGAGGTAGAAGCCGGACGGTGAAGTGCCACGTTTGGATGCACCCGCTACGGGACCAGGCTGAACACAGCAAGCTCGAGTTCGGCCAGATGGAGTGAGCTTCGGACACGGAAGACTGGTCGTTGCATTTTCGTGAAGCATTTGGTCGGCAATGCCAAGGCTGTTGTCGACACGGCCTTTTGTCACCGGGAACGAGTAATGGCCAGATGCAGGCGGCAGCAATGGCCCAGCGATGAGGTGTTTGCCTAAGATCTGTTCTAATCGTTCCCGTATTTTTGTGCCCCCATAATTCACAACCATTGCTTAGTGCCCATCCTGATACGTCGGCCTTTGTAGCTGGTCCACAGCCGCTGCCATGCGTAGGACGCGGCAAGGCCATCTGCTGGCCCCGCCGTCCCTATTGTTCTGAAGCTGTCTGTCCGTCTCCGGAGCGTGACGGACCGCCTGCAGCCCCTCTACAGTGTCTGTACAGTTTCCGTGCTTTCCGTGTAACCATCCTTGTTTGTTTGTCACACAGTCCCCTCACAGTGTGGCGAGGAACGGCGGCAGGACCGTCGACAGCGTGTCGTTCGTGTACCGTTGTCCCCTGTTCCAACGCGAGCACTAGCCGATGCAAGTCAGGATCGTGTCGCTGATGGCAAAAACGACAGAAATGACTCGTCATTGTGTCAAAAGATACTCGACGCATGTGGACAAAATGGGCTATCTGTCAATCATGTCTCGCCTTCGCCTTGCTCATGGTTCTCGATATGAGGCTCGGCTGGCTGTTCAGTAAGCGCCAGTTGGTGCGTTTCAAAGGCCACAGTCTAGGCAATACATATCTAGGAGGTTGAAAGGTAGTAATAGGTGACCGGATACATGCAATCCTAGGTGGCAGCCGTTCAGGCCGCCAATTGTGACGATGAGAGCCGGCGCCCTGGCTAGGCCAACATGATCGATAGCGGCCTGGCTGATGCCTGTGATACCTCTCTCTTGTTGTCAGTCTGGGTTTGCTGCTGATACATTGTATATATGCCTTCGGCATCGTCCCTGCCTCCCCGTATCCGCTCCTTGCCTTTGCATCTCGTCGTTGCGGGCTATCATGTGTGTCACACAGCATGTTACAGCTAAGCTCACCAAAAGGGAGCGACAAAGCCTGGGAAGAAACAGGTAATAACAGGTTCTTTTGGATTTGTGAATTTATCGTCGCCTTGGTGTTTTATTGTATTTTGCCCCTTATGTTTCCTCGGCAGGAAATTCGCACTCATCCACGGAAGGCACGGAGGCAATGATTCCTACTACAAAGGGACATCGCAATGACGACTTAGTCACCAACAAATAGTTAAGAGAGAAAAGAAGAACGACGGAAAGAGCGCTTCGTAGCACGTCTTCTTCCTGTATCTTGTGTTGGCGAGGAAAGAACGGCTAACGGCTCAGCACAGTATGTGCGGGAGGAACGAGGGTGTTGCACAAGAAGGTCCTGCCGCATTCAAAGTCCCAAGCGCCCTTGCCGGTTTTTCCTCATGCAACATCCACAAAAAGTCCCAAATCACAGAGCGTCATTCGAGAACAAAATCCCCATTTCTCCTCCTCCTCCTCCTCCTCCTCTGGCCGGGTTGAATCCATACCCTCAGCTGTCGGCCTCGCAATGCCCACCCCACCCTGTTTGGATGCCCTCCCTCCTCTTTCCAAGATCCAACAGAATGTCCCAGAAAAGAATAGTTCGCCGACCTGGTGCCGCGTTCTCAATCGTGTCCTTTGAGGACAATTTGAGCGGGCCATAGCCAATCTGCCCGGATGGAGCCCCAACCATCGGTTGGCAAGAGACGAACCGGCAGGCAAAGCGGTGTCATATTAGCGACCGAAAGCGCGGTCCGAATGACCTCACTTTGTCCACGCCCTTGCGCTCTTGATATCTGTCTCTACCGAAACAAGAACGGACCCCCGTCCATCGGTGTTCTAACGCAAAGTACAACCTGCATTTCCGGGTCATGCTGGCCCCCATCACCTCTAGTTTGCCAACGAGCTGTGATGAGTGGCATTAGGTCCTGTTCGGTGCTGGGGTCTACGGTACAGGAGACACAAATGAAAAACAATCGACAAAACACGACCAGCCAATGGCAAGAAGCACGCACTCATGTACGCATCCAACAACCAACGGCCAGCAGCAGCTGCAGCGCGAGGTATGCACTCTCTTTCAGCCCCCATCACAGCGGAGCGAGCACAGTCCAATCTCCAAGGGGTGCGCGAAAGTTTTGTACGACTAGAGTCTGTGCATGTGTGCCAACACACAGTGGTGGTTTGACACTCTAGACAGTGTGTTACCCCGGAGCAAAGCAATTCAGGTGCTGTGTTCGTCTTACGTATGTTGGCTCCATCTCTTTCGCATTCAACCTTTCTTGCATATATTGCTAACATATTGCTAACATCGAGTGGCCTCTAGGTCGAATCGCCTCTCCTTGCACCGGGACACTAATTGCCTCAGTCGTTTTGAGAAACTTGAAGAAAAATAAATAAAAACGGCAACTGTTCGATACGAGGCTACGTTTTCAGGTGGCACACCCCCCCCCCTCCCCCTCAGTGACCCACAAACGTCGACCGCTTCAGCCGAGAAACGGGATGCCTTGCCCGTGTTACACCATCCAAGCGGCCAGACGCCATTACTTTGCAGTCCAGTCCCCCAGTCGTGATATGACTGTGGGGGTGCTAAAACAAGTCCTTCCAGCCCACGGTTGGCCATACAGAAACACTGGCCATAGCTCCCGTGCGGCCGCTGCGAAACCTTTTTTATTTTCTAAAAAATTACTTTTATGGGTGTGGTGGTTGTCTTGAACTTGCTTTAGCGTGCAGGGATGGGTCAGCAAGTGAGCGCCGCGAGCAAAACAAGGTCCTCGTATGCCATGAGAGGCACATATGCTCGAGGTCAAAAGAATTCGACGATGAAAAGTCACAATGGTCAATGCCTAGGTACTCAAATTAGAAACCAACCCAGGGCTGAATGGGGACCACGCCATTTGGAGCAGACATGCTCGAGGAAACCGGCAAAACACATCAAACACATGCCCCTGGTGTCTGTGTAACGCGTCCGTTTATTTCTCTCCCCATTCTCATGTCGGTCACTGCATTGCGCTGTAACCAGCCTTCGAGGAAATAAGACGTGGCCAAAGGGGGGGGGGAGCCCTTCCCCCCAACATAAAACAAAGTTCAAGCAGGTGCGGACCAAGTCGAGCAGTATCAACAATCAACAACCGGGCTGGTTCATGCCGCCGTCCTCAGTCACCACTTCTAACATCTAAAAGAAAACATTGACGTGCTGGCCAACCCATTTCCAACCTCGAATTTTACTATTCGGTGCTGTGGGCACACGGAACAAGATACGTCTTTGATCTGGAGTCCGACAGTGACCTTCAAGGTGTCGTCTATGAAGTGTCCTGTCGTGGCCAAGTTTTATTCATGACGATGTTCGAAGGAGACGCCCTGGAAAGAAGAGACGTTAGCGTATCATCGGGACGCGAAGCAAGGGGGGTTACTCTGAGAGTGGGTAGGAGGAAGCAAAAGCCACCACCCGACACAACACACGCGCACTTCGCCGGTACAGAGGCGAAGCGACCGCCCCACAGACCAACAGACACCCGTCACCACTTCAAGGCCTTTCCGCTGTGACGATTTACGGGCGTTACGTCGTTTGGGTCCTGTCCCTTGTGGCGGAACAAGGGATGGCTTGGACGAGGAGGAGTGGGCAAGTCGTTTTCCATCTGCTAGGCAATGCTGGGCGAGAATCGTCCAACGTCGCTGGGCAAAGATCCCGACTGTCCCTTTGCAAGACAGTAACTCAAATACACGGCCAACGGGAGACAGGGATACAACATATGCCCTCAAGGGGCATTCGTGTGTGACCTGACAAGCCCTGCGGTTGTCTCGCCGCTGTTCCATTGCACATATCCACATCTTGTCACCTTGCCCCTTTCAGCAGTCGCCTTGTCTCCATGATGGCAAGGGCGGCTAGCTGGCTGGCCAATGGTCACGCCGTATGGCCCACTGACATTGACCCGCATGCAGGAGGCACACACGGCGTAAAAGAGTGCACATCATTCGCTTTGTTGAGAGGCTGCGCTGTGCTGGGCACACAAAAGAGAAACAGGACACAAGGGTGGTAAAAGTGGACGAGAAGTATGTGAGGTGACGGGTCATGAGATGGGGGGAAAGCATATATTAAATGAAAGCGACAAGGGAGGGGGGGGGGGGGGACGCAATAACACGAAATGTTGGGGAGGACAAAGCAACGCTGGGCAGTCCACAGGATCAGCGAGACGGAATAGTCGCTCAAGTTCAAGTTACAGCCCGCATGGACAAGGAAGCATGCAGCAAAGGTAGTATCCAACCCCCTGCACCTCGTCCGCGTGTGGAAACACCCGAAGGTCCTGCCAAAAGAGAGAAGATTGAAGAGAGGACAAGACAAAAGGAAGGAACCAAGTGGAAAGCGTCGGACAGAGCGACCGCTTGGTCTCCCCAAGGCAGACAAATCCGCATTTTGTACGAGTTGCTCCTTCCACAGCCGCTGCGCTCCCGCCCGTCGCGACTTCTGCGCCTGTTCCTCACTTGCTCACCCCTGCCTCGTATTGTTGGGCAAGAGCCGTGCCCGAGCGTTCCTTCCTCAAAGGTAATTACGACATACTCTGCATATCACTTGCGACAAAAAACGTAGTCTCGTGATCCGTGAAACCCGGCGACAGCGGCATCACATATGGCACTGTTGTTTTGTCTGCTGCGTTCTCCGGCAACTCTTTCTTCTCGACGCGGTATAGCAGTGCGACTCTGCCACCCGCAACATTTGGTTTTGTACAACTATCCCCTGCTCCCGGACAATGCTATTGCTACAGCAGCATGCTCTCAGGAAGAAGTATTGTAAACCGGAAGGTACAAATGTGCGGCCAGACGGGCAGGTGCGACAGAGCACGTAAATCGCAGCATTGCACCTTACAAAATAACAGGAAACTCCACTTGACACCACGCCATCACATTAAAACAGGAAGGGACAAAGATGCATCTTCGCCGGGTTTGCAGCAGCCAACCGCCGTTGAGGGAAGGACCTATACGCCGATCGGTTGTTCCTTCCTCAATTGTGCAGTGTAGTCTGTTATGGTTACCTCGAGCCACTTTGTGTTCCGCGAAACCAGCTGCTGTTTCTGTATGTCAACCGTTTTGCTCGTTCTCGTATGCTCCGTTGGGGGAAAAAACATCACGATCCCCGGCCATTTTGGTGTAAACACCAGCAACACCCCCAACAACACACCAAGGGGCATGTCAACAATACGAATCCAGTTTCAACGCGTCTCGCAAACGACAGCCCTGCCCTACTGCCTATGTTTTCTTTTGTCCTTGACGTGACCGGCCGCTCGGTCGCAGGGTCGCAGGCCAAGAATTTGTCGTTCGCCCCTTTTTGTCCACATTGTTTCGGCCTCGCCCGTGGCCGCTTCACGAGGCCCGATCGTGTTTGTTTGTTGTTCTTCCATCTCGATATCGCCCGTCCCCCCACGCTTCCTGCACCGCCTCGCCTCATGCATTGGGTGCATACGACGTGCACTGCACCTCATTCTACACAAGCGGTGTACTGCCTGTTTCTGCAGCTCCTGTCGCCGCACCTCTGGCTGGCACGCTCGACTTTCTCTTTCCCTCCTCCCCGTGCTCGCCCTTCCAAGCTCCTGCAAAACAAAACACCTTTCATTGCCCCGCCCCCCCCCCCCCGACTTTGCGTCTGACAACTGGCTGTCCTTGACCGCACATTCAGCGAATCCCCGTTACTGTTGGAACTTGTCGCCTGTCGTCCTGCAGCTGGTCGCGTTTTTTATGATTTTTATGAGCACGGGTGCTCTGCACGCCAGATCCATCCTCTTCGGAGCGGTTGTCATCACCCTGAACAGCGGCACCGCCAACAACAGTCTCGACAATCTACGAGAAAGCGCTCGAAGTCGGTATTGCACAGACTCGTGCCCAGACGGCAAGCCAGAGGAAGTGCATATTTTGATCTTCGCAAACAACCATTGGCCGCCAAGCGAGGAAGCCCTCGTAGCGTAACCCGCGCAATACCCACAGCCAAACATCGTTGCCGGCCAAAGCCACACAATAATAGGACCAACAAAACCGACCGCGGCCCTTGGGGCAGAGATCAGACATCACTGGGAAGGCCAACAGGCGAGACTGAATAAAATACGGCCACTGCACAGTGTACGCGTTCTCCGAGCTGAGGACCCTCCGGCCAGCCAAACACAAACCTCCAAATATCGTTGTACATGCCCTGCTGCCGATACAATCAATGGCCAGCATATAAGAAACTCATTGGTCCTCCACCCTCTTGACCTGCTGTCCAGCCCTTTTCCCTCATCTTCAACTCTTTTTTTTTTCCTTTTACATCCCCCTCACTTACCTTCCTTTTTTTCTGTGTCTTCGCGTCACCCTATCACCCTGTCTCTCGAGATCGGCAACACGCATGCAAGTACCGCCTAGCGAGAAACGGACCGGTTGAGTGACATCGCGCTACAGCAAACAACATCCGCCAGAAACACCTTAAAAAACGTGGGGCCTGGCCCAGTCCCAGACAAAAGGATCAGTGCGAGAACGGTTTGGACCTCTCGCTCACTCACGCAGCCCTGTCCGGTTTAGACACAAAACTTGCTGGAGAGATTAGCAGCACGGGCAGCGACAATACGAAGCTGAGCCACATTGAGACCCCAGAAAAGCCGACTCGGAGGTGTTCGTCTACGTGCGGCTTCACAGCCCTATTATCTGACTTCGAAACATACGGAAGCTCAGACGGGCTCGGCTGAATTTGAACACAATACGCCCACATATCTCCTTCACAGTATTACGCCTAAAACTTCAAAAAGACAGAGAAACGGCCTGCCTACCCCCGTATTGCTCTCTTTCACAATCGTTCTTTGGGATTTTGCCCTGTCCCATTCCTGTCGGCTGCATATTCTACTTGTCTATTTACGGAGCCTGGGCCCTGCAACCAACATATCTTACTGCCTCTCCAACGAGCCGCGCCGCTTTTTACAGAAGCGAACTTTTAGTTCCTGAACTGGACCTGGGGCCTGGCCTGGCCCAGCCTTCTTTGGCACTCTTAGCTCGGATATCCTGTCACTCTTAACGTCAAACCGCCGCCCGCTTTGTGTCCTCTTTGTCGGGATTGCACTGTGAACGCCCTCGCTCGACCGCTCAGTCTCACGGGCTCGCCCTCCACCGTTGCCACAATTCTACAGTGACGCTCAACCACCACGCCATCAGGCACTGTTGATGCGACAAACTCTACCCGTGAGTCAAGACCGCCTAATTTGCACACTACACACACCAGTGCGCCCTTTATCTGCCCATCGCTTTTTCCCTTGTTCAGATTTATCCTCTTTCCCTCATCTCTTTGACCTATTTCTGGTTTTATTTTCCTCTTTTAGTTTTCCTGCTTTCACGATCAAAAGATTTTGTTCTTACACACACACACACACGCACACACACACACTGTCTCTCTCGTTCTCTTTTCTTGTGCCCTCTCCCTCATAGTTCCCTCACCCCTCATTCTCCTACGAATTTCTTTCTCTTTTTGTCTCATTTTTTTTCAGCATCACTCCGCTTTGTTCTAGAATTGGACTCAAGGTTGTGGCTCCTAGTTCCCGCGCCTCCTCGCCCTCCTCCCTGCCGGTGTGGCGGTGATCAAGGAAGCTATTGGAGCTGGAGCTTTAGCTGGAGCTGGAGCGGCCAAGTCGCACAGCAAATAAGAAGGCGAACCGAGAAGAATCCATATTTATGCGCTGCCCAGGTCACTGGACCTCTTGGAAGAGCTGAATTGTGTGTGCCACTTTTCTCTACAAGCAGCGCTTCACACGTTCCTTCCCTCGTCCCTTCGATCCCCAAGCTCAAGGTGGCTGTTCGTTCTATCTCATTTGGTCTGGGTTATACGCGCGCGGAGGGTGGCGTGCACGCGCGCGGCAGCATTGCGCTCTGAATTTCTGAAAAAAAAAAAAAAAAAAAATTTCAAAAAAAAGAGCTGCTGCAAGATGGAGTCTCCAGAGTTACGGGACATTTCAAGACGAAGAGGGGCTGTTCTCGTCCAGGACTTGCAAGAGTGCCTCCCGCTTACCACGACCCTAGGCGAAGGCGATCTTCTCTACTTGTTGACCCCAGCTGCCGTTCCGATCGAGCTCCCGGCACCAGGCGCACCGGCCGAAGACCCGTTTGAACCGCTTGGTAAGGCATTGGCGGAATACCACCCTTGGGTCCGTCACATCCCCTACGTTGCGCGCGACGGCATCACGCAGTATCACGCAAATCATCTCACTTTGGCCAAGGCCGTTATTTTTGTCATCACCGGCCCACCACACGGCGGCCAGCCCTCACAAGTTGCCCTGTCGCAGATAGTTCGCTCGATTGCTCCCGACCGGCCGCACATCGTGCTCGTGTGCTGCAGTCTGAACATACTCGGGCCCTCTGACGGCTTCTTTCCGACGCTCATTGAAGCTCAAGACTACTCCGTCGGCCGTCTAGAGTGTGCCGCCGATATTATCTTCTTGCCCCGCGGAACACGGAGACCAGGACCAATGCTCGTCATGGAATCGCCGCAGCCCCGGTGGCTGGTGGAGGAATGGGACATATTAAAGGATGCGCCGGCGACCCATGACTTGTGGTGCAAATGCGTCCCTCAACGCTTTCGAATCGACATCGCCGGTCTCCAGCGTTTGTTGAACCGGCCGGGCTACTCGAAGCACTTTGTCGTCCACGACCCGCAGACACGCGAGGTGCTCGGCTTTTGTGCCACATATACGGCCTTTATCGATCAGAACGACTCGACGTGGGTTGGTTGCATCGCCGCCCTTTTGGTCCAGCCCTCACACCGCGGCCGGGGCGTCGGCACCGCCCTCCATTACCACGCACTGCGCAAACTCGCCGAACACAGAGTGACTCGGCTGCAACTCGGCAGCACCTTCCCACGCCTCCTTTTCGGCCTCCCCTTTGAGATGGAGTCCGAAGACTGGTTCCGGCGCCGCGGCTGGCGCATCGACGATTCGGATCTGCCTGGGAGTGGCCAGGAAGCCTGCGACTGGGTGCTTGACTTTTCCGACTGGCGCGCCGCAGGCTTGTCGGACGGCGGCTTCACGTTCCGGCGATGCCAGATCAACGAATTTGACCGTGTGCTGGAGTTTGTGGCACGCGAGTCCGCCCGAAAAGACAACGTCGGCTGGTACGACCAATACTACCAGCTGGCCGGCACCACCGACATCCACGACATTCTTCTTGTTCTCGAAGGCCCCCAAATTGTGGCGACCGCGCTCAGTTACGTTCCCAGAAACGGCAGCCGCGTGGCAGAAGACCTGCCGTGGGCGCGTACTATTTCCGATCTCGTCGGTGGCGTGGCCTGTATATGTATCACTGGTGCGTGTGCTTGCTTTTCTACCTCTTGTGCCTGGCCTTCGACGGTCCCATGCTAATGCTCGCCAGACGACTTCCTCTCCGCGGCCCATACCAGAGATTCGGTGATTATCCGCCTCATGAACTACTGTGTGCAGGTTCTCGAATCGCAGGGCATGGAGAAGATGTTCCTGGACGCTGTTCGTGGCGGCGCCGAAGGGTTTCAAGCTATTGGTAGGCCACCTGGAAAGACGATGCCGAGGCGTTCCCTGCACAGACAGGCAGACAGCATGCTAACAGTACACCCAGGCTTCCAGAAATGGGCCAGCTACAGGCACGTGTGGCGTGAAGCGTGAAGCGTGAGGTCAAAAGGGACGCGCCAGGACGCCAGGTTCTCTTTTTTTTTTCTTAGGAGCGCCACTCTTTTTTTTTTTCGCAGGGAGACCAACCGCGGAGTGTGCGTGGGCAATGATTAATTACCACCTACATCAGAGCAGTCGAGATTAAAGGGGTGGATATAGTAACGCACTTGCCCCCATGGACGAGGCCGAACGTTCAGAGGCATAAAGACAACAATGGAATAGTTTCTTGCTACGACGTACTCGGCACGTCTTCCCTCCTGAATTGCAGTCCAACGGTTGTTAACGGTTCAGCGGCTCAACGGTCGGCTCCACCGGCCTTCTGTGCGACAGATCAGTTCGTCTGCAGTTTGCCATCCCGCCGTTGTCACCCTGTGAGCCTGTGTCCCCTTCTGTCACCCTCGGTACCTTTTTGCTGGTGCAGCATTTGCCCCGCCTTCACTGCTTTCTTCCAAGCGCCCGTTCCTTTGCAGTTATCACACAAACGGAATAGGCGATATGCCCACCCGAGTCGGCCTATTGCTCCGTGCGACGCATGTTACAGGAATGCAGGAGATTTCGGTTTACCAGACGGGCCCGAGATGAGCTCGAGACGGGCTCCCATCGCGTTTATTTTCAAACCGCCACTGCAGGTGCAAACCGTGGCATTTGGATTACAGTCTGCAGAATGTGGGATAAAGTCATGCTCTATACGGCGTATCTTGCAGCAGTGTCTCCGCTCTGCATCCTCCAACTGCATGCAGGGCGCCTTGTGGAATCGTCCTTCGTTTTGCCCCTCGTAAGGAGGAATCACTGCTGCCTTGTGAGCCTGGAGGAGTACGTCGGAGAGAGAACGTGGTGTACGCAGGGCCAAGGGCCATCTGCTGCGTCTGTATGGCTGGTGGATGCGTGGAAGGCTGCCCGTCTTGATGCTGATTCACGCCTTTTCTTTCCAACCCCGTATGCCCCATTTTCTCACTTCCCACCCTCCACCCCTTCCCCTTCTAGCCTATTTGCTTCTTGACCCTTACATTGGCTCCCACTTTTACCGCCCGGTGCATGGCGCTGGCCTGGCCCCCCTTTCACTTGATTCACTTGATTCTAGAAGAGACAGGGCCAGCTGATGAGCGGCACTATGTTTTGAACTAAGCTGGACACGGGGGATGGCGATAGTTGGGAGGGGCGCTCGAAGGGGCAGCACGAGGTGACGCTGAGGCGACGGTCTGGTTAACTGAGCAGCCAATATCCCCTGAGAACCGTTTAGTCCTTTTCTTTCTCGTCGGCTTCAGTGGCAACTGTGGTTCCCAAAAAGACTGCATGCAAGAGCGGGGGCGTGTGTCCGAAAGACGAGACTCACAGAGGCATGCCCACCTGTGCATGCCGAGCTACAACGTCTTGGCATGGTCATTGACCTTGTCAGCTTTATTTTTATTTTTATTCTTTTATTTTTTTTGTTACCGAGTTGATACTAGAACTCGAAAGAAAAAAAGACTGAATAGAGCACCCGAAACTGGTGAGGTCCCGGGAGGTCAGCGGTATTTTGTGTTCTTTCTTTCCTTGTGCCATTTGCCGCTGAATACTTTCGGCTCACGATAAGCAAAATGCTCTCATTTCTCAACTTGTGTAAGCCTTGTCTTTCGTTCTTTTGTGTGAAAATCTTTGTGAACTGGCGCTGCCGCCATCCTCTTTCCACGGTGCCTTTTATTTTCCGGGGAGATGTGTCTTCTATTCGTCTTCTACTCGTTCTATTTTGTTCCTGTCATCTAATGCGACTTACGCGACGACAACGGCAAGCTATGGAGCCATGGCCGTCGAAGCTCTGGCCTGTCTCTTGCGCCCTTTCCAACCCGCTGACGCCTCTCTCTGGCACGCCAAATAAAACAGCATTATTTGAGAGCAACAAACAAAGCGGGAGTCGGGCAAAAACAAAACGCCCTCGTGTCCACTACCTGGCCGGGCTGCGACATGGCAATGCAAAGGGAACAATGTAGCCGCCGCCCCTATGGTGAAGGTGGCCCTGCGGATTCTTTTTTTTTCCTTATGTTTTATTGGTGGCAACAGAGTCGCTGCTTGTTGTGGTCAAAAGCCTGCCCGGGTCGCGTCTGAGCTGACCTTGTGGAGATTGCAACTCTGCAGCTTGTTTCTGGGTCGTGACATGATGCGGCCTTTTTCTGGGCGCGATTTGTTTTGTCTCCCTTCCTGTTTGTTCTTTTCCCCTTTCCAGTCCACGATAGACACGATATAGTGCGGCAGGATTCGAAATCACGATGCATGAAAAATGGAACGCGGCAAAACAAACAGTGGCCTGCGGGCCGGGACCCGTCGGGGGCCAAAAATCCAGTTGTTTTTTTTGTGGCTTGTGCACGTAGGACTTGCCTTACTCCAAGCGTATTGGTGAAGCCAATCGCATTTCAAATCGCGAAAACAGGACTATACGTTTGTTGGGGGCCGTTTCTTTGTTGACACGTTTTTAATAGAACATTTGTTCCGACGTTCGTCGTCCGAGTTGTGATGGTGTTTTGCTGTTTACAGACCTTCGGATGAACTCTAGCCGTGTTATTTTCATGTTATGTTGCAGAGAGCGATGGCAGTGGCATGTAATATGTCGGAGAAATTGCAAAGTAAGGTATTTGTTTGCACACCCACGGCCCACATACTTTCCCCTCTTCTTTTTTTAAAAAAATTTTTTTTTTAAAAAAACAAGAAAGAAAAGAAAGAAAAGAAAGAAAAGGAAAACAAAGGCTGCCAAAAGAAGGAGATGAAGAAAAAGAGAACCCGACCTGACGAGACCACCGATCAAGACCAACCTCAACAACTCTCAGCCTTCCCTTGCCGGTCGATCCTGTGTATGTCTTCTGCGCTGTGGCAGTCCGATGAAGGCCCTGCTCACGATGGACAATGGACCAGGCGATCCCCTCTTTGGCGTCGGCGTCTTTCCTGGAAGAGAAAGCGGCCTGCTTTCCTCTGTCCTCTTGTCCTCTTTGCGCTTGGCTCCCTTTCGTTTCGCTTCTCCCTTGTTCCCTGCCCACCCGTTCCCCGTATTCACTGCGACCCCTTCGACCTCCCTGTATCGGTGCGCTCTCCGACCCTGGAACCATCCTCGAGTCCTCACCTCGTCTGACAGCCTTCTGCCGACGCGAAATCGGAGTTCCTTCTTGGTGCATTGGACCTTTTGTTCGTCGGACTTGGATTTGATTTGCTTCGCTACTCTCCGATGGATCCTGCGCATAGTCTGAGACGGTGCCTGCGGATTGCAGATTTTTGGCCCCCAAATGCTTGTTTTCCAACCTCCTACCCCAAATCTGACGCTCATCTTTCCTTTCCACCCTGACTATGTCAGAAATAGATCCTTTTTCTGCGGAACTTTTACTTACTATAGTTAGCTGCCCTTCTTTCCCGCGTTCGGCCGCCTGCCTCCTTCCTGATTTCCCTTCTTTACTCCCTTCCGTCCGGTTCACTACACTGCACTATTTCCTGTTCGAGCATGGGTGCGCTCGGCGGTTCTTGTGGCCCCTGCCTGACCTGTTCTTGCCCCCTCCCTCTTTCCGTGTTCTCGGTCCTGCTTACGACATAATCCTCTCATTCTGACTTTTCCAGCCCGCTTCCGTTTGCTTCAACTCCAGTTCATGGCGCCGCCGGACGGTTTCCTTCTTGGGAAATTGTTTGCGCTGCCGTAGCTCTGGTGTCGCGTTTCTTTGTGCCCTCCCGTGTTGGGACGCGGTATGAAAGCACAACTTTTGTTGGGCCTCAAAGAAGACTGCATGCTGCATTTGCCCATCGTAGCTTCCATGCTTCCATGCACGTACCTCCGACCCTGTGGCCCGTTCCGCTCCTCCCTCTCTCGCCCTCCTCTTCCTTCCATTTTTACTCCATTGCATGAAGAAAAACGTTTCGTCTACATCCTACAGTGATTTTTTTCTATATTCACGTGTACAGTACCGCTAGTACGCCCGCATACGCGTTCGGCCATCCGCTAGCAGCTGAGACACATAAAAAGTTGACATATACTGCGCGTTGTAGGAGACAAAGGTGTAGAAATATCAACCATCGAAATGATTCCAAAATCAAACTGAATTAAAAGGACAAACATTAAACTTTTGTGGTATATACCGAGATCCCGCCAACATAACGACAAATGAAAATATTTAAAATATAAAGAAAAAATAGGTAGAACCTCCGCAGGTTACGTCCATTTGGAGAAATCCAGCGAGTCCACCCATACTTCGGACGACCCTCCGTTCACAGCCGTCGAGTCTGTATTTTCCGACGCCGTAGTTGCCGTCGCTGTCGAGTGTACCGACGACCGCTGGTTGTTAGGATCGCCGCCCGCCACGGTAAAGAACGTCGCCATCGACGTCCGCCGCAGGCTGTTGAAACTGTCGCGCATGCCGCTCACGCTCGTACGCGACAGCTGCTCGGCACTACTGTTGCCGCCCGTCAGGCTGGGCCCGCTGCCGCCAATTGTGTTGCTCGTGCCCGTGCCGGCCGATGCGCCGACACCGCTTGCTAGAGAGCTGTTGCTAGCTCCAACAGCACTGCCGGCGCCAGGTGCGCCAGAGCCGACGGCGCCGCCCGCAGCTCCAGGCCCGCTTGCACCAGCGCCGGCAGCACCACCAGCACCGCCACTCGGCCCGCTAGCATCGCCACCCCCCATGGACGATGGCGGCGGTGAGGGTGCCACGGCAGCCAGCGCGCTGGGCCCGTAGCGCTCGCGCAGGCGGTGGATCTGGCGCAGCCGGTTGCGCCACGACGAAATGTGTTCACCGCCTTGCCGCGTGGACCACACTTGCGAGAACACCGACGCGTTGAGCGCGAGCAGCCGGATAAAGTCGGGCAGCGCTTTGAGGCTGATGATCTTTGTGCGCGCGGCCGGCGAGATCTCAGGGAACCCGGGCTTGCTCATGACCTGCACCTTGTAGAACGGCATGGCCCGCTTCTGACGCGGAGACGGCTGTTGCTGTTGCTTCTGTTGCGAGTCGTCGCCCTGCTGCTGCTGCTGCTGCTGCTGCTCTTGGGCCAGCGCCTCGTTCTCATCTTCCCGCTGTTTCTGCAGGGACAGCTCGCGACGCGCCACAAACGAGGCCCGCGACTCGGGCGTGATGACAATGTTGACGTAGTTGAACTCGGACGGGAACGTGTCGAAGCGGAACGGCAGCCCCGAGTCGTTGAAGATGATATTGACAAAGTCGTTGCCAATGTGCCGCTTCTTGCTGATGCAGATCGGGTCTCGCTCGCGGTCTGTCGGCATTTGGGTCGTCACGTGGAACACAATCTCCGTCACGCGGTCACGCCAGCAAAACGTGTAGGCACCGTCCGTGTCGAACTCGCGGTCCAAACCTTGTGTGTTGAACGTCGCGCCCTTTAGCCGAACCAGCGTGCCGAGTCCATTCAAGAAATCGACGTAGTCGCTGCTGCCGGAAACGTTGGCCAAGATCTCCGCCTCGTCCGTCTGGCCCTCGCCAATGTAGATCACGCCAACCTTGTGCCCATCCACCGTCGAGTTGCGATCAAACGCCCGGAACGCGCGTTCGACAACGTCGTCGTTGGGTAGAGGGATCGGCCGCAACGGCGAGTCGAACTGTTGTGGCACAGGCGCCAGCAGCTGGGCCAGCAAATGGCTCGGCAGAACGGGGTTGGGAGGCTGGCTGTGGTGTGCCTGGCTCGAGATGTTCACCATGGGGTCGATGAGACCACGTGTCTGATGTGGAGGCCGGGGTTGAAGATTCTCCTGGATCGTGTAGTAGGACGTGCCCGACGGCTGGCGTTTGGTGATCCGCGCGAGCCCCGCCTTACTGGCGGCCAACTGGATGGTGAGAATGCTATTCCCCATAACCCAGCTCCGTGGAACGGCCGCTTCTTGTCCACTTCCAACGTCCGGATCGTCAGCAGGGGCGGACTCATCCGCATCGGAGAATGCAACGCGCTGCATAAAGTCGAGCGTGATCTGGGCCTGCTCGTCTGTGACCTGGCTGCCATCGTTGTCGACGAACAGGCGGCTCGCGATCCACGTTACGTATTTGGCGCGGTCCGTCACACGCAGTGCCAGGAACCAGAACGTAAGGACGTGGTAGGCGAGTGCGTACACGTACTGGGGCAGGTCGTCGGATGCGTTCGGCTGCAGCGGCAGCGTTTGGCTTGGCACCTCGGGGCCATGTGAGTCGAACGCACCCAGGCCATACCCATTATACGCCGAGACGGAATTCTGATCGCTTGCACTGGAGTGGCTCACACGGGCCGACTTACGGCGGTCGCGTACAGCTTGCAGGTACCGGAAGCAGACACCAAAGGCAATGCGATACTCGTCCTCGCGGAAGTTGGAGTAGAGCCAAGGCAGCCGACTGAGACAGGCAAGCAGCTCCAAGATGTGCACAGCCACACCTGGCCGAGTGATGATTTGGGACATCTTGTGCAAGATGCTCACCAGAGACTTGCTCGTGGCGTGGGGTAGTTCGTAGCAACAGATGGACAGGGCGTGCACACACGAAATTGGGTTTTTGTCAGTGAGCCCCGCAATGAACGTCCGCACCAGATCGTCACCTTCTTGCCGCTGGAAGTACTCGTGGTAGCTCAGGATCATGGTCAGCGTCTGCAACACACACGTCTGCGCGTCTGGTCGGCGCAATCCTGTTGCTGCTGGTGGCTCTTGCGAGTTGTTCGACTGGATCTGGTCACACAGGGCTGTACGGATGCGCAGGATGACAGGCACCGCGGCGCGGCATACTGCATGATTACTGAGCTGCGAAGGCAGGTGCACGAGGGCATAGCTGTACAGCTCCCAGTTTGCGCCCTGGGTGAGAATATCAAAGACGACTTCCATCCACGCCGTCATATCGAGAACCAGTTTGGCCGGTGTCGCGTCAGAGTTGCTCTCATTCTCATGCACGTTGGGAGCAACAGAGGTCTCGCCATCTGCAGCGGCGGCATCGTGACTATTTTTTGGCACCTTTCCTTTATCTTTCACGCCCATCCCGGCCACTGTTGCTTCCAACTCGTGTGAGAAGAGGACGGTACTGGCAGTGGCGATCGGCGCCTGTGGCAAGGCATCTGGGTCGGGTAAGCTCCATTGTTGGGTGTAGCGTGGCGCCGAGGCTCTCTGTCGGGTGCTGCTTGCCGTTCGGTGGGGGGCACCGACCCTGTCTTGTGGTCCGCCACCTTGCCCAAAGGAGACGCCTCGCGTAACTCTCGTAGGGTGCTGGCTTCCGGCCGGCAAGGGGGCTCCGGGCTCATTTCGCGCTTGTCGAGCAAGAATCTCCTGTGTGACCTCGTCGGCCATCTTGCGCTCCAATGACGCCTCGGTCCGGAGTAGCACAGCGGCTAGACCCTCAGATTCGGTGTTGGACACGAGGAAAATGCGGTGTGCCCAGTCCGCGCGCAGGCGAAACAGCAATTTTAGTGCCGAGAGGCGCGCATCCACCGGACAGCTCTTGTCTCTGGCTATACCGACCAGTTCCTTGAATACTAGGCTGGCCTTACCGGCGTCGGTGTTCATTGTGTCCATGAAAATGCGGATAAGGCCGCGTGTGGCAATGTTCGAGGTGCTCTGGTCCACCATCACACCCGTATGCTCGCCCGAGGTCATCAGGGGAGAAACCGGTGTAGATCCCGAAGACACCATATTTAGCGGCTGCCGGCGCTCGTCACTCTTAATGACAGAGCCAAACGCCTCGACAATAGAGCGAAAGAGAGCATCGTCCACATATGGGGACGTCGTGACTGCGAAAGAAATCGCATGGAACAGAAGCACTGTGTCACGTTCTTCTCCAATGTGTGCAAGAATGCGACGAACGAGGTCAGCGACTGTCTCTCGGCTACCAGCGACCTCATCCACAAGCGAAAGGACATTGTGGACATCGATGGCCGTTTGCAAGGCTAACAACCGAACCGCGGCGGAGCGCGATTGGTTAGCGTAGAAGGGCCCCAACACCAGCTTCAGATTGGAATCCCATTGTGGGTCGGATGGGAAGCAGCAGCTAAACTCGGCAAAGTATTTGAGCACCAGCTCAGCACCAGAGTCCGGGAGGATGTGATGCACATCTGCAAGGAAGGAGACACAGCAGTTGCGCTGCATATACTCGGGACGCTCGTTGTTCAGGCCACGGAGCAGGGCCTCGACTCGTGCAGTAAGAACAGCAGCCTCGCGATCGACGGCATCCTGGGACGGCTCTTCGGGGCCAGTTGCGGCACCAAGCGATTGTTTTGTGTTGGCTGTCCCATCGTATGTTGCAGATGGATTGCTTCGCTTCGCACAGATCGTGGCTACGCCGAGCAGAGCGGCCCAGTCTTCGTCGAGAAGAAGCGGGTTCAGGTCGCCGTCGCCAGCGTCAAACAACTGGTTGATGAGCTGCAAGATGGATGCAACAATGCGCGGTGATGGTGTGTGGCTGACCACATTTTCAAGTCCGTCGACAAGGAGAGTGAATGGGAGCGTCGGATACTCCGTGGACCCGGCTTTCCGGACCAGCTTCTGCAACACAGCAAGGGCCCCGCGGAGCTCGCGCGTGGCGTCCTTTACTTCGACGCCCTCGAGTGGGTATTTCCGGAGGGCCTCCAGCAGGATGGTGATTGTGTGCAGGCCGTGATGCGATTTGAAGATATTGGCAAGGACCTGCCAGGCTGTTTTCCGAAGTTTGGGCACCAGACAATAGATGGAGCTCAAGACCTTCACGCAGCGTTCAAGGCTCTTGCTCGGCATGGCGCCAACGGTGACGCAGGTGTTGATGATGGCAATGCAGGACGAGAGGTCATCTTCAGTACTGGTGTTCATGGCTATGTCCAAGATGGAATCGAGCAGACCCTCCATGGCCCTGTCGCTGGCGATCTTGGCGCTGTACTTGATGACATCGATGGCGTAGGCGAACAGCTGGGAGAGGTTCCGCTCCTCGGCCGTTTGAACGCCCTTTACTTTGCCACTCTTGCCGTTGGTCGACCGTGTCGACGGTGGCTTTTTTGCGGCCGCCTTGGACTTGTAGGCTGTCTGGAACCATTCTGTGAGAACGGGAAAGACGTCATAGTCGAAGCCAGAGAGACTACGACCGTTGCTCGTTAGCTCGACGAGAGCCGAGAGCTGCAAATGGAAGTCGCTCGGGTCGGCTGGTGCCGCAATCGCCTGGAAATACTCCCGGCGCTCGATGCTTGTGGAAGAGGTGAGCCTTGCACACGCCAGCAACAGCTCCCAGCCGGCATGCCGAGCAACCTGGGCCTTGCCCGGGTCGATCAGGTCGTTTGCAGCATGCCATACATCGGTCATGGACTGGACAGGCGACTCAGTAATGATGGACCGCAGCGCATTAGCTGCGGCAACCCGCTCACTGGGTGTTCCGGTTTTCAGCAGCTCAAGGCAGTCAGCGTAGCTTGTCAGGTTGACACCGGAGCGGCTGTTGAGAGAGTCGGCGTCGGTAGGCTCGGAAGTCGATTGTGCTGAGGTAATTGAGGAAGAGGAGAGCGTGGCTGCGGCTACCGGCGCAGTGAGTGGAAGAGGCGATATTGACGTAGCGGCGGCGGATGGGCTGGAGCTCAGCGCTGGTGCTTTTGTTAACTTGGGCCCGGTTAGGCCTTTGAAGACGCCGGCTAAACCACCCGGCACCTTAGACTCGGATGGTCGGCCGGCATCGTTGGACGGGGGAGACATGAAATCGTCTTCACCCTCGGAGACCTGCTGGCCTAGCGAGACTATTCGACGGAGCATATTAGTAACGGGCCAGCTGAGGCAGCCATATTTTTGAAGCTGGGAAGGTATAGGCGAAAAGCTAAGCAGAAATGCAATCGAGGCAGAAAAAAGGAATGACGATAATGCACCACGGCTGTGGCACTGGCAGTGGTAAAAAAGCAATCAAGATATAAGTGAAAAGGATGAGGCGATCAATGTATCGTGGCAAAATGCAGAAAAGCAAGAATGCAAAGGGGGGGAATGGGTCCTCCGTATGGCGTAAAACAATTAAAGCAACGGCCACGCGTAGGCAAGGGGACAGGGTGACAATATCCCCAGATCTGATGGAGGGTCAGCCAGCGGCCTCTTTGGACAGCCTGGCAGGTAATGTGGGCAGCCACACCTTGTTCTATGCTCAGGCAAATCGCCGTGTTGCTGTGCCCACTGCAAGGTCTTGCGGACTTGCTGCTTTTTGTGTCACATATCTCGTGCCTCTGACCGGCTCGCATCTTGCACGCAGGAGAACCAAAAGGCCATCAAGAACCAAACAGTCGAGGCGCGGCGCGAGTACGGAGTTGAGCCAAACGAGGTAGGTTAGGGGGCCGGGCAATGCAGGGGAGGCGGAGGGACCAGCCTGGCCATGCACGCCGGGAACGGATAGAAAATGGGGGCAAGCACGGGAGGCCAAATCCAAGACACAAATGCAAGACAATTGACTTACATGCAAATATTGCAGTGCATAAATGGTGGAAAGGACAAAGTGAGACCGTCAGCGGGCCAGCGGGCTCAACGGGTCCCCATCAACGAAAACCGTTTTGGAGCTGTGGCGAGAATGGAGTTGGATCATTGGAGGTGGGGATTCTGGTGTGGTCGTCTGGGCCAGGCAATATGTGTTTGTGCAGTGGTATTGTCGTCGCAGATAGCTCGCTCGTTTTCCGAACAGAACGTGCTACGTGGGCTACTCTATGTCGTCCCTGTTGCTGTCGTCGTTCTCTTGGACATGCGTCGTCTTTCTTACTGGCGTTTGTTAGCACTGTAGGAGCTGTCTCAGTTTGACCTTGCACGACAGGCCTCTTTTGTCCCTGTCCCGGGTTTGAAGCAGGGTTTGGCACACCTGAACAGAGGCCACCAAGGCAGAGGCTGTCCAGTTCGTTGCGTGGGAGAGCTCTCTCGTCTAGACGTCTCCCGGCCACGCCAACCCCCCACAGAAGAAGCTGCACAGCGTATGCGTCTTGCTGCTTTGGGACAACGGCACTCGTCCTCGTGAGCTGCCAGAAGGCCAGGTCAATGGAGGAGCGCTTATCGCAGACGGGGGTGTCGAGCAAGGCGAGGTGAGGGGTGGCGAGGTGGCAGATAGTCCGGAGTGTCACGATAAGATGAAGATCAATGTGGACGGCCGTTTTGCGGTGCCAGACCGATGACGCTGTTTCGCGGGCGGCTCATTCGGCGGCGGTGGGTAGAGAATACCGTTCGTAGCGGTGTTTGCGCCGGTGCTCTTGAATGTAGAGCCGTGCTGTGTGTCTTGCAGTGGTGGTGGCCAGTTGTGGTCCAGGGTGTCGATGGTCCGAGTGTGGTTGAGAAGCTGAGGAAAAAACGCAGCGTGGGTGGTTGATAGATAATGGAGATAGAGGGCAAGATTGCAGGGCAGCAATTTCCTTTACAGCAGGTGCTCTTCGTCGCTACTTCCCCGTACTAATACTAAACCTTGGCTAGCACACTTGGTCCTGGAAGATACAGGTAGGGAAGGCGTAATGGACCCAGTTTTCTCCACATTTTCGCTCTTTGGGGGTTTGGTCCTTCCTCATCTTGCTTCAGCAAATTGCTTCTTTTGGTTCCCTTTTGACGCTATTTTATCTGGGGCAAGTGCAAGTGCCAAAGCTGCCCTTTCCTCCACCTGTCCGTCGTCATAGTCGTCCAGGATCGACGCAACAGGGGGCTTTCAAGCTTGTTCAGCACCTCGTGCCTGCAATCCGACTGGCCACCTGCCCGACACAGTACACCTGCAGAAACTTTTGCGTTGTCACACTGGAACCTTCCGTGTTTTTGTTGAGGAATGGACTCCGTCTTGTTTGCGATGCTCCTTCCTTTGCAACTTTTTTGCCCCCTTGTTCCTTCCGTGACTGAGCGGGTTCGTTGCGTGCTTTCCTGTTTCAGACTACAAGATCAGACTACAAGATAGTAGCACGTGTTTCGAAGCTGGCAAACGAAGCTCTTTGTCCCAATTTACGCGTCGTTCGTCTGAAGAGCCAAGACGAGCTGCCAGAAGTATGACGACGTCAAAGACAAAACGTGGAAGTGAGGCGGCAATATTTGGCTTGATCATTAGTGAATAAGGATGATAGACTCTCACTCCGTTACTTTCAGTTGTTTCGCTTTCTTGTCTGTCATTCAATCACTCAGAAATGCGAGATGCACGGGTATGTGAATATCGCCGTATGCATATCCGTATCAGCACGTGATGAGACCCACCGCAGCACCCCGCCGTTTGACTCCCTGACAACGGGCTGGCCAAGCTCCTGCTGTTTTGTTTGTGAGCTTCTGTGCCATACCAAAAAAAAAAAAAAAAAGAAAGGAAATACTCGCGATCCTAATCGCTTTCTACCTCTCGAACCATCCATCACTCCCAACGTATTCTCCCTACGTTACGGCCCCCATTCTTGTCCCTTGAACTCGTGTATTTCCCCGTACCCGGCAAGATGAGTGCCCAGATTGGCCACATTGTGCAGCTGCTGGACTCCACGCTCGATCCGCAGCAGCACCGAAAGGGTTTGTGTTTTCTTTTGCTTCACTTTTCGATCGTGGCCACTCTGATTAACTTTCTGACTGTTTGTTTTTCACTCTAGCCGAGTCCGCGCTCCGGAAAGAAGAAGAGAAGCCGCAGTTCTGTCTCCTCCTTCTCCAGATCACAAACTCGCAGCCGTTGCCCCTCAAAACTCGGCTTGCTGCCGCCCTTTGCTTCAAAAACTTCATCAGGCGCAACTATATCGACGAGGATGGCAACTACAAGTTACCAGACGAGGATATCAGCATGATCAAGAAGGAGCTCGTCGGCCTCATGATCTCGTCGCCGGCTAGCATCCAGACGCAGCTCGGTGAGGCCATTAGCATCATTGCAGACTCCGACTTCTGGGAGCGGTGGGATACGCTGGTGGACGACCTTGTCAGCCGCCTCTCAGTTTCCGACGCCAAGGTTACATTCGGCGTGCTTGAGGTTGCACACTCCATATTTGTGCGGTGGCGGCCGCTATTCCGCTCCAACGAGCTCTTCACCGAGATCAATCATGTCCTGTCGCGATTTGGCGAACCCTTTATGACAATGCTCACCGTGGCCGACCAGCAGATTGAGAGCAACAAGGGCAACGCCGAGGCGCTCAAGGGTTGGTTCGAGGTTCTCAGCCTGCTCATACGGATTCTCTACGACCTGTCATGCCAGGACCTGCCGCCAGTCGTTGAGTCCAACATGCAGCCCGTGACGGCGCTACTCCAAAAGTATCTCTCGTACTCCAACCCGGTCCTTGCGGCAGATGACGACGATGAGGCCACCGCTGTAGAGAATGTCAAGGCCGACATTTGCGAGGTGCTGCAGCTGTACTCGACCAAGTACGACGACGATTTTGGCCCCCACACGGAGCCGTTTATCAACACTGTGTGGAACGTGCTGTCGACAACGGGGCCCGAGAAGCGCTACGATATCCTGGTTAGCAAGGCGCTGCAGTTCCTGACCGCCGTCGCATCGTCTGCACGGCACGCTGCGATCTTCAACTCCGAGGAGACGCTCGGCAAGATTGTCGAGGCGGTCATCCTCCCCAACGTGGCGCTGCGGGAGTCTGACATTGAGATGTTTGAAGACGAGCCCATTGAGTTCATCCGCCGCGATCTCGAAGGCTCCGACACCGACTCCCGACGGCGGGCTGCCACAGACTTCTTGCGCAAGCTGCTCGAGAAGTACGAGATGCTCGTCACACAGGTCGTCTTCCGGTACATTGACCACTACCTGGAGCAGGGCAAGACAGACTGGAAGGCCAAGGATACGGCAATCTACCTCTTCTTGGCCATTGCCGCCAAGGGTGCGGTGACAGCGGCACAGGGCGTCAAGACGGTCAACCAGTACGTTAATGTGGTCGACTTCTTCCAGAAGAACGTGGCGGCGGATCTGCTGAGCGGGTCGGACACGCAGCCGATCGCCAAGGTCGATGCTATCAAGTATCTGCATAACTTTCGCAGCCAGTTGACCAAGGACCAGTGGCAGGCGGCCTTCCAGCCGCTCATCCAGAACCTGGCATCGGCAAACTACGTGGTGTACACCTATGCGGCGATTGCTGTGGAGCGTGTGCTGTTTCTGACAAACGACGAGGGCGTGCATCTGTTCTCGCGGGAGGACATCCAGCCATTCGCCAAGGACCTGCTGAGCCACCTTTTCAGCCTGATCGAGAAGGATACAGCGCCTGCCAAGCTGCAAGAGAACGAGTTTCTGATGCGGTGCATTGTGCGCGTGCTGATTGTTATCAAGGAGGGCGTCGTCCCAATTGTGGACGACATTCTCACGCACCTCATCAACATCACCAATGTGATCAGGTCCAACCCGAGCAACCCCCGTTTCTACTATTACCACTTCGAGGCCATTGGCGCCCTTGTCCGGTACAGCTCGTCTGCCATTGGCGACAAATTGGAGGCCCGGTTATGGGAGCCGTTCTCGTCCATCCTTAAGGAGGACGTGTCTGGTGAGTGCTCTTTGATTTGAATTTTCATGTATATCAGCAGTCTTTAATTGTTTGCTAACTCTCTGCAGAATTCGTTCCATATGTTTTCCAAATCTTCTCGGCTCTGCTTGAAACGAGCCCCAACCTGGCGTTACCGGAGCACTACAAGACGCTGATTCCCGTCCTTCTGAATGACACGATCTGGGAGACGAGAGGCAACGTGCCTGCTTGTGCGCGGTTTCTGTCTGTGATTCTGCCGAAGATCAAGGACGCTATTGTGGCTGAGAACCAGATCCTGCCTCTTCTCGAGATCTTCGGCCGGCTGTTTGCAAGCAAAAAGACGGAGCAGAACGCGCTCGACATTCTCGAGAGTGTGGTCATTTCCATTCCGCCAGCATCTCTCGACACGTACTTCAGCACCATCCTGGGCAAGCTTTTCACCAAGCTGGACAAGGGCCTGACGGACTCGTTCAAGATCCGGTTTGTGCGCTTCTACCACCTGGTGTCGGCCCGGGGCGTCGAGAACGGCTTGGGTGCCGACTACTTTGTGCAGCACGCGAACAAGGTGACAGCGGGTGTGGATCTGTTCAAGCCGATCTACCTCAACTTTGTGCTACCGACGACGGGCCAGTTCGCCCGCCCCGTGGACCGCAAGCTCGGCGTCATCTCGTACACCAAGACGTTGTGCGACAGCACAAGCTTTGCCAACCTGTACGAGAAGGGCTGGGGCCTGACGTGCAACTACCTGCTTGACCTGCTCAAGAACCCCCCACAGGTGACGAGTGGCGTTGGCGACGACGTGATTAACGAGGCCGATGTTGACGACATTGGCTTTGGTGTCGGCTACACGCCGCTCAACACATGCAAGCGTGGCCCGCGCGACGATTTCCCCGAGGTCGACAACGTGCAACAGTGGGTGGGTGCGTTCTTCAAAGAGGCCGACCGGCGCCACAACGGTGCGATTGCGCAGTGCGTCGAGAAACGGCTGCAGCCCGAAGCCAAGGCCGCCCTCGCGCCGTATCTGGCATGAGTGACGGGACCAGTTTCTGCGCTTTTCCACCCTTTACCCTTCGCTCTTCTCCCTCTTCACCTTTCACCCGTCACCTTTGTCTCTCATCGCCTCGATCCCCATCCTTTCTCCCCTATCACATCTTTACAATATCATATTCCCTGCCCCCTTCGTGCGGTCGGTCATTTGCTTAGATCTTAATGAATGTACTTTTTGAATGTTTTGTGTACGTGGCTTACTTTTGATGCCTTGCCGTTGTCCTTTTGACTGTCCTCATGCGTCCCTGTCCTCACAGTTTTCTCCGCCTTTATGCAGCGTTTTAGCCCGAGACTCGTTTATACATTGGCGACCACATAGAAGAGGAAGAACCAAAAGGAGCGAATGAACATACTCTTCATTTCTGGTATCCGCCACACATGACAAAGGCACGATGTCGGTTTACACGCAACGATGTCGACCATATTTTTTAGTCGTCAAGGGTGTCTTTACTCCCCTAAGTAGAGGCACAGTGGCAGTGGTCAGCACGGTTGACGATAGCGTGTAAAAAAGTAAAAGAGAACAGATCAACAACATAAACACGACAAACCAAGACAAGGGGTCTGCCAAGGCACTTGGCAACCAATACTGTCACAGGGAGCAGAAGTGAGGGGAATGTGATTCGAAATCAAGTGAATCGACATATGGTAAGGATATGAAAAAATCAACAAGAGCAGCTTCGCAGGCTTGCAGTACGTTGCTACTCCCATATTGTCCTTTCATCTGTCGATCGTCAACAATCGCTGAAGGGGAACGAGACCCCAGAAAAGGGCTAGCGATATAAACACACGTACGTCGTAATCCCCAGAAGCCTTGGGCATCATCAATCCGGGGCAAAGTGCGCGAAAAGCTCATCCTGAATTTGACTAACCTCGTTTCGAACAAGGCTGGTGAATTGGTGAAGCAAGCTCCCTCTTGAACGAGGTCATGGGGGAGGTTTATTTGCCCATTTCACGCTTGTTGCATGGGCCAAGCCTTGGAAATAAACAACGGTGAGAGATGCAGAGGAGAACGACTGGGCGACATGGGTGAAATTCAGAGGGGGAACGTGCGCGGGAGCCACTACTGTGTAATTGCTAACTGAACTGGTGAAAATAAAAGGAGCTGCGGAAGAGGGAGGAATTACACCACACATCTGTTCCCGCCGCCACGGAATCAACCATCACGCGTCCAGTAATTACTGCAGTCCGGCATTGGCGCCTTGGGTTGCCACATGGGCAGAACAGACGACCGGATTAAAGACGGCACAGGAGATGGGGCCAGACACGGCACAGGAGATGGGGAGATTGGGACCCAAGACCAAAGACCCAGGACATTGGACAAACGAACAAAAAGAAAAGGGGGGAAAAAGACGAAAAAAAAAAAACTGTCGTAAAGGGCGGTCTACGATGAGGTACCATTTGTGACGAGAACAGCCAGGCCCACGGCAGGACGTTCATATATAAAAAACATTGCAAAATGCGTACCGCTTATGTTGATATCGCCGTCCTGCATCGTCTCATCGGATTGGCGGCCCTGCATGGCCCGACAACCAGGTTCTGTGCCGTGTCTTGGATGGCGATGGAGGCTTTTGATTATGTCTGTGCCGCTTGTCCTGTCGTTCAGTGGTAACAGTGGTAATTATGTTGTACTTTTTGTCTCTGTCAGATTTGTCTCTTACCAGGACCCAGAACCAAGGTTTTGATTTTGTGGTGCTCTTTGCTGATGTGAGAAGACATCGAGGACATCAAACTGTTTGTGCCTGGCCGCTCCGTCCCGTGAACGTGAAGACGGCACATGGTCCTTTGCCGTATCTTCGCAGCGGACAGTCATCTATCTTGTATCAAGCACAGCGTACGGAGGACCTCGTCTGTCCTTGATGAATGTGCTAATGCTTTCTGTCTTGCTTCGATTTTTCCTCTTCAGAAGCTGACTCATTACGTAAAACTTGACGTCCTTGCCACGTCCGTTGACACGCGGCAAACAATACTACGTCCCTTGTTTTCGCGTTCCCGAGAAACAAACTGCAAGGAAGACAATGCCGAAATGTAAAGCAACGGTCATGTTGTGGTCTTTGCTAAACCCTTACCACCAGCCACCTGAAAACGATGTACGATACACGACGTACCGAATATGACTCCGTACTCTGTACGGCATACGGGACCTTTCACTCAGAGTCCTCGCATCCCGTCACCACCACATCTCAAAGAGGCTACACTTTGTCGACCCCGCCCAAACTTAAGCTTGGACCGCTTGGCCTCCGCAAAAGCAAAAGCCATCTCTTTTGGACTTTAGACTGCCCTTTCGTCCTTTCCGTGCCTCCCGTGGGCCCAAGTCCCCATCGTCCCCGTCGTCGAGGCGCGCCCCCGACTAAACGCTAGCGGAGCATTGTCCTTTTGCTTCTACGGTAAGGAAAAAGGAAGTTGGAAAAGACCAGGTTTCGGCTACTTTTTGACAAGGGGGTTCTTTTCATGCACTGAGCCCCAAACGGAAGTGTTTTTCGGCTTTGAACAGTGAGACAGGGCCTTGCATGCCACGCTCGCTGACAGTACTCCCTACCGTGAACGTCGGACGTCTTACTGCATCGTAATCCACCCCCAAGAAAGGAAATATTGACAGTTTGTGTTGTGGAAGCTCCCGGAGGGACCGCCCGCGCCGGTCTCCTTTGCACTTTCTTTTTGTTTCTCGTCTCCCTTCTGCACCTTCCTCCTCCGCGTTTTGCGCCCGGACCTTGGCAACACAGAGGCAGTAGTCTTGGCGCTGGTGCAGGTGCTGAATGTGGCATGCATGTCTGGCTCCTTCCTTCCCAGAGCCATGTCCTTTCACCCCGTCCAGGAGGTAACTGCAGTTGTGTCTCTCCCAGGCAGGAGCCAACCTCCTTCCCGGCTTCAGTGTTACATTGGGCTTGTCTACTGGTGTCGGGTGGCTTCCGTGGTTGCACCCCTAGAATGGCTTCGCTCGTTCTTTCCTTCTGTCTTGTTTCTTCACCTCCTCTGCTCCTGCAGCAGCAGCTGCATCCTGTTGTCTCCCACGACGTCTGTCGTTTCCAAGGAGTCAGGCGTCCAAGGCATGACAGGAGATGCACACGCTTGCATGCCCTCATCCCTGTCTCCCCCTATCGCTGCCGAACATCGAGGCAACGGTCCTGCACATGGTAGACCTGCGCCAAAGTGGAGTTGTTATTCTCGCCCTCTTTGGGAGACACGGTGAGGGCATAGAGCATCTGGACACCGTTAACCTGACAGTTGACCCTTTCAAGCCCTTGATGCTCTGCAACATAAGTCACTCTTAATACGCTGATTGCCACGCACTGTTTACTACGTCTTTTGTGCATTGTATTGGTCGTTCATGTCTGGTTTTATTTATTTATTTTTGGTGTCTTTCTCAAACGTTTCCTCATCTAGGCTACTCTTTTCTCTTTTCGTCCTTTCCCCCGACATCTGCATAACACATCAACACCAAGCGCGTATGGCGTATATGTAACGTGGTGCGCGTTTCCGTCGGTCACCTTGTTTGTTGTCTCCCCCCTTTGACCCTGAAACTGCTCAGCAATACGAACCAAGAATACGTCGTACACAATATCTCTTTCATTGTTTCGTCCGTGTTGCTCCCTCACGGGCCTTTTATCCCATTTCGGCTATCCCCCGTTCTACTCTTGGCCTTCTCACAGTGATCGTCTCTTGTTGTTTTGCTTCTTTGTCTGTTTCTCTGTCTTTTTTTTTTTCTCCTTTTTTCTTTTTCTTTTTTCGTCCTTTGCAGTTGCTTACTTTTTCTTTTTCCTTTTTCTTTTTTCCCCTCCCTCCTCGATTATCTCCGCCCCCCCCCCTCCCCCGAGCAGATTTGCTTGTTGGGTTTCCTCTCGCGCCTCTTTGATACGTTCCTTCTCACCTTCCGCCTGCTCGCATGTCCGTCGACTGCAGTCCCCGTTGCAGAAAGTAGTATGGCGTGTTTGCCCCTTTCATTCGTCTTGGGTTTGGCTTTATTTCATTGGCGTGAGTGCTTATTGTACTCCATACAACTCGTTCTTCTATTTGAATGGCTTGCATTTGGTTTGCTTTCTTCTTCTTCTTCTTCTGGTCCCTGTTTCTTGTTTCCCTTGCATTGGCCGTTGGGACCCGCCTTGACCTCGTCCGTCTCCTCTTCTTTTCTCCATCTTTTTTATTTTGTCTCTTGTCTCCGACTATCACTTTCTTACCTGTCACATTGCCACTCCGACGCCCTCCGTACCACAGTGCGGCTCCGTCGCTCTCCCTGGATCGGCGGTGAAGACGGGATAGACTATGACGGGAGAAGCTGAAAAAAAAAGCAGGAAAAGAAAGTTGAAGAAGGTCGGAAGAAGTAGAAATGGAGACGAAAATGACCGGCGCCTGAGACATGGTCTGATGGCCATAGAAAAAAGAAAAGCATTACGCCTCCCTTCTGCCGTACGATATAGCGTACTCCATACGGAGCGTGAGTACAGAAATAAAGTACGAGAAAAAGGAAGCGAAGAGAAAGGAGCAAAAGCAAGGAGAAAAACGGGGTCTCGGCTTCCTCAACGGGAGTCAAAACCCAAAATGTAAATCCTGAACTCATCGTCACATAATTACGACGTTATTACGAAGTTCCAAAGACGAGCAGGTTTAAGTCGTGTGCAATCGTCACATGTTTTGATGCCCTGTGTTTATTTATGTTCGTTCTTCTTCTTCTTTCTTTCTTTTTTTCCACATCTCACAAATCGGTTCGGTGTCCACCACGGCACGGCATTCGCTCTCCAAGTTCCCGCTGGTATGTTGTACAATACCATTGCATTAGCTTCGCTCGTTCGACCGTCTTCCTTCTGCCGGTGTCAAGACTGTCTTGTGATAGCTTGTCCCTGGGACCTGTCATGCCACCGCCCGTCGGTCGCACATGTCCATCTTCGGCATGGGTCCGGTGAATGTGATGGATGTGCCGAGTAAAGGTGGGGGCTCGTCCATTTTCCTCTGCCCGTTGTTCTTACCACTATGTTCATTATATCGCAGTCC